CAAATCACGTGACAATAACCTACCATATCACATGATTAATGAGCCCTGTCACGTGATATGTCTCCTTGTGCCTCAGGCTAGCGGAGGACTTGATATTGAAGGTAATTTTCCCTTCTGCTCAACATCGAGCTAGTTCGGTTGGTGGTTTGATCTCGAGTCTGTGAAAGAGGCCGAGAATGTAGGAGACCGATGCGTGGTGACTGGAATGACGGCCACGGACCAAGTGGTCCCCGCTTAAGAAGCCGGAAGACCGCCGACGCCTTGAGGTATATGGCGACAACCAAGGTGCGCGGCGTAACCTGCTGAATCCGATGTAGGGTTGGGGGTGGCTGGAGGTCATCGAACTTGCCATTCCGGTGGCAGACCCCGCAGGTGCACGTCGATGATTCCAAGGGGTTGCCCATCACCAACCTGTTCGTGTTAGAGACGCTGTGGCCCGGAGCCACACGGATCTACACAGACGGCTCCGGAATCAACGGTGAGGTGGGACGGGGATGACGATGCCAGAGACCCCAATGACCCTATTCCCGATCCTCCAGCGCAGGCAGTGCCCACGGACATGGCAGAGGCATTGTCGGAGAGACACGTGCGACGGACGGCGCGCTTTGTCCTCGCGACAGGCCGCCTCACGTATCTCTCCGACAATGCCTCTGCCATGTCCGTGGGCACTGCCTGACCGTATGAGAGCACCGGCCGACGACGGCTGACTGTCTGTTCTCCCACATTTTCCCACACTGTGCACGCCCCGTGGGGTTGCGATCCCGGGATCTCGTCACCCTGGGAGCGCTGATTCCCCACAATCCTCGTGGCGTGGGCGCCCACAATCCGAATGGCATGGCGGTGGACTGACTGGCGGAACTGGGGGTTTGTATAGCGAACAGGTGGCTGCGGTGGAGGACAGGCGGGCCGCGTACACGCGTATGGTGGGCAGCGGGAATTAGATGCTGGGAATGAGCTGCGGGACGACTGATATAGGCTATAAGGGCGTGAATGGGCTCTCTGGCCACGCGGTCGGATCGTGGGATCGTGGAATCCCGAGTTCACCAAATTCCTGAATCGTGGGACGTGGGATCGTGAAATTGAGAGACGATATCATGTACGCGGAGGAATCGCGCGAGGCACTCTGAGAGGCCGCAGCCTGCTTTTCATTGTCTCTTGGTGGGCACGGCCTGCGCAAGGAAGGGTAGGTCTGAAGTCATTGGTCATGAAGATGGTTTCATGGCATCTCATCCAGGGCATGGCCCAGCCATCACAAATAGTTGCGTAAAGTATTTCGTATGGCGCCCTATCTATCCGTCCGAGATACTCCAGCTGGCTGTGTTGTCAAGTTACACCTCTTCTCCAGGCCACCAGCTTTCTGGTTGGTTTGGCCGATGGAAACTGGCGATGAAAATTCATAGCGATGGGTATGATGAGGAAATGAAGAGGGCGGATGGATAAACGGGCGTACAGGGCATCAAAGAATGAGGAATGATGGAAAGAGATTTACCCACAAGCATGGGCAGTTGCGTGGACTCGGATAAGGGGGAATCGTGAGGATGGAGAGCAAAGGGGGAACAATCCATTGCGCTCGCTCGCCCGGCCCGACTCGCTCCGAACCAAAATAGGCAGTAAGACAAACAACAACACAACCCGATAAACAAACACGCCAAGACACGCCCGTTCAGTCCTTCGCGCAGTGGATAGATAGCACAGAAGCCCGGCACGGTTTTCATCCAGGAGTCCTGGAGGCCCCGAGCCACACGAACCACACTGATCGGGTATCAACGACGCCGTCAGCGCGGCAGCCGTATCCCCGGGCCCTCTATTGGTCCGGCAGGCGTACCGCGGTGCAAAGACGGAGTTGAATGTCCCGCTGTTGGGTGAAAAGGGCTTGACTTGACTTGAGTTAAAAGGACTGCATTGATTAAAGGCAATTGATTAGGTTACGTCATCTATGAACAGCCTTACGTACTCTCATTATCCCGAGGGCGCATACCATCTTGCTTACAGCCTACAGCTTGGCAGCCACGACGCTACCACCATCCAGAGTGATTGTCGCTCCATTCACATACGAGCCGGCCCGGCTGCTCAAGAACAAGCAAGCTCCCGCGACATCCTCAGGGGTACCAATACGGCCCAATGGGACATTTGCCTCGATGGTCTCTCGGTGCGCTTTCAGGGTGGCAGCCATCATCTTACTTTCGAAAGGGCCACACGCCAAGGAGTTTGAGCTGCGAAGAGTGTTGGGTTAGTCCATGCCCCATCGGTCAGTGACGAGGTGGGAGTTACACATACGTGATATTCCTTCTTCCAAGGTGGTGAGCCAAGACACGACTCAGGTGGTGCAGCCCGGCCTTGCTCGCACTGTAGGCAAAGGTCTCCAAGGCTGGGACTCTGATCCCATCAACGCTACCGATGTTGATGATGCGCGCTGGGTCGCCAGATGAGGCAGCCTTCTCCAGCAGAGGAGTGAGAAGTCTGGTGAGGTCGAATACCCGGTGGAGGTTGAGCGTGAGTACTCGCGTCCAGGCAGCGGATGGATATTCATCGTAAGGGGCGCCCCAATTCGATCCAGAGTTGTTGACGAGAACATGCAGCTTGCTCTCACGCTTAGCAATCTCTGAAGCCAGCCGTTTGCACTCCTCCTCTTTGTAGAAATCCGCAGGAATAGCATATGCCTTGCCTGAACCGAGCGCGTTGAGCTCGTTCACCGCTTTCTCGCAGGCCTGTACATCCCGCGACGAGATATAGACGGTGGCGCCGTTTTTTACGAAGCCTTCTGAGATCATGCGACCGATTCCTTTAGCGCCACCAGTGACTAGCACGACTTTATCCTTAGTACTTTGTTAGGCGCTTCGGTCAACTCTCCAAGCGGGGACCTCCACGCGGTCAGTACAAACCTTGACGTCGAATAGCTTCTGAACATCCATAGTGTCAGTTGATGGTTGGACAAGGCAGGCTGTGGCAAGTTTGAAAGATATAGAAGAAGTACTCCGTAATGTTGACGATGATAATGATGATTGATCCGCCCCTTATAGATACAACGTCGTTACCCGAATAGCCGGGCGTGGCTGCACGCCTTGGCAGAAGATACCGAGGCTGTGCGGAACGGAGGAATGATAATGCGGGGCTGCTACAAGACCAGCAAAGTACTATGTAGTATGTAGCGGGCAGGGCAATGATATGATAATGATACCGCTTGTCTGGCCATATGGTGTATCTCGCCCTTCGAAAGAGTCTCCGATTTATGAGATGGTTCCATACTAGTAGGCGATGTAATGCCTTAGGTATCCAACGCAAGGAGAGCCGACCGGATAGTCCCAAAAAAATCAAGACGGCTCTAGCGGGGCAGCATTTCATTCATCGACCCATTTGCATGCCCAGTATCGACCTTGATACTTAGCCACGATACCCTTGCTCGCAATTCGCATAGCTTGGCGATCTATTATCTTCTTTCGTTTTTATGAAAATCTCTGGACTTATAGATATTCAGTTGGAATCGCACTTGCCACCACTTCAACAATGGAGGAGCTACTAGCTAAACACCGCAAGGAACAAAAAGATCTCCAGGCTCGAATCACTCAGAAGAAAAAGTCCGCCACCAAGAAATCTCGCAAGGGAATCAATGACGAGTGTGACAGGCTTCAAAGAGAGGTCTCTGAGCGACAGCAAGCTGAGATCGCGCAATTAAACGGCGAGCCAGAGCAGCCCGTTGATGGCCTGGAAGACCTCAGTCTGGATGCATCCGATGAAGTTCGTGGCTCACCAGATCAAGAAAATACAGAACCCCCCTCCGAGACAACGTCTTCGCTGCAAAGCTCTTCTTCCGCCACTCCGCAATCCTCCAGTCCTCGTCCCAAGAAGCCCAATCGTCAAAAGGCCCGGCTGGCGCGTCGTGCAGCGGAACAAGCAGCCCAGTCAGCGATTGCTGCGGAGGAGGCTGCGAATCAAACAGATCACCGCGGGAATGAGAAAGAAGTTATGGATGGCGTGTTCAAGCGCTTACAGTTAAAGGAGGTTGAAATAAATCCGGATGGACACTGTCTCTTCTCGGCCATCGCGTGTCAGTTGGACAAGCAAGGCATGAGCCTGAAACCCGACCCGCAGAGGATGATCCTCCAGCCTTCAACCCAGTCTCGTATCGATACGGTGGCTTCTCCTAAACACGATGGGTATCGGGCAGTTAGAGCGGTCGCGGCGGATTTCATCAGCGACCATAAAGATGACTTTGAACCATTCATGGAAGAGCCTCTGGACCAATATACCAGAAAAATCAAGCTAACGGCTGAGTGGGGTGGCCAGTTCGAGCTACAAGCGATTGCGAGGGCATATGGCGTTGAGATCAATGTCGTCCAGGGCGATGGAAGGATCGAAACGATCAAACCAGGCGATGAACAGGAAAGCAAGCAGGTCATCTGGTTGGCTTACTACAGGCATACGTACGGGCTTGGAGAACACTACAATGCACTCTACAAAGATACATAGAGAAACGCAGAAACACAGGGCAATTAAACATTAGGTTATGGACCGAGTCAGGCATTCATTTTCACTGGGGAACGAAGGACCCAGGGAAAACTTCTCTACTAGTATGTCCTGTTTCCTCTCTCTATCTGGGATCCTCCTTGTTTAGCTATCCTCCTGTATCACCAAGGAGAGCCATCGGCACCTCGGAACCAGACGGACGGGAACATGATATGTTGCGGTTCCAAATGGTTGAAGCCCCTTTTATTGATAGCAGCAGGACAAGCCCGTATACTCCAACCTAGTGATCCCAGGGAGGAGAGGCATTCGCATTCCCGATCTCCGTCTATCCGTCGACGTATTTCTCGCCGGGTTATCTGGCTAGAGTGTCGTGGATGGATTGAACGCTGGCTGACCAAAAGGCTAAGGTAGCCAGTGGTTAGAGAGAGCACTTACTTACAGGAGTGATTGAATTCCTGCCTACAGTACCGGAACCAAATATCAACGCGGGGAGGCCGCCGAGACTGTACCCCACCCTCTATGCACATACAACCGATATGACGCCCTACGACACGCGATTCGGGCCCCAACTGACGACGCATCCGCTGATAACCCCGACGGTTCCCACCCAACACCCCCGGCCCGGAACAGTCTGTGCCGAAGGACATGGCGGAGGCATTATCAAGGAGTATGTCCAACACACAGCGCGCTACGTCCTTGAGACGATTTACTTCACCGGCAGACCAAGAGACACTCCGGCCAGCCCCCTTGGCAGAGCTTGACCATACGGGAGCACTGGCAGGCGAAAGTTGACTGTCCATTCTCAGAGTCACCCTGGGGTGCTAAGCAACCGCAATCCTCGTGGCTCAGGCACACCCGATCCGAAGGGCATGGTGGCGGAACGGCTGGAAGGATTCTGGGGGGAGATTATATGACTATACAGGCGGCGGCGGCGGGATATGGTGGTTGCGTACACGCATATGGCGGGTGGATTATGGTTGCGGGCTGCGAAGTGTGGGTTGTGAGAATGTGAATAGGCTTGTTCAGAATCACGCGACGGTTGGGTTCCGTATAGGGGAGGGCCGGGGGATTTGAACGCGTGGAGGGTTCGCGGGTTCGCGTGATCGTTGCACCATGTGGAAGGTATCATGTACGCGGAGGAGGCGCGCGACAGGGTACTCAGAGGCCGCAGTCTGCCTGTATAGCCTGTTTCTCGTGTAAACAGAGGCTACACTCCGGCGGGAACGTCAGGGGTAGCCACGTCGCACTACCGAGCCGCCAGGACTGCCGGCGTGGGCCGAGAAGCGCCGCAACGGAGTAAAATATGGAACAAATAAAGACACGGGCAGATAAACGGATGTTCGTAGGTGGCTGTCGTGTGAAGTAATGTACGGCTGAGGCGTGCTGGGCCGTCCGTGATGGCGGCGGCGGCGGAGGTGGTGGTGTTGTTGTTGCGGCGGGACGCGTCAGTTGCACATGCATGCTCGTCGGTACCCGCGATTCGGTCGTTGAGGAGGCCCATTGCTGCTAAGGATGAAAGCACCTACTTCTCGTGAGGTAAATAGCCTTCGATGGAGCCTCCCTTCTCGTCTCCGGGACGCAACTGCGGCGCCATAACTAGACCGTGGGTATGACTATTCTCTTGAACTTGGATACTCATCCTGCCGGTGGCGAGCGCGGGATGGGCATCTCCCCGTTCCATAGCAAGCTCCCGTGAACGAGCATCATCGTGCACCGTGAGCCTTGCGATGTCATCTGCCATATCGCTTGGGCATTGAGATTCGTCCATATGCATACTGCCGAATTGACCGACGACATCTCGGATGGAGACGGAGTTTTGTGCGCTGCTTTTGCCTTCCTTGGCCCTGCCCTCTTCGAGCAAGATGAGATGTTTGCCGCGCGCATCGTCCGCTCGTCTTTCCCACACGGGTTCGGCGGCCAGCTGAACTCGTATATACATGGCTCTTTCGGCGCATTCGTTTGAGCACCACATCTCGAGCTTTTCTTTCGGAACAATACTCATTTCGCGACCGCGACCGCCCGGCCCGCTGCCCTTAGCGCCCCAGGTAATACGATAAGTGCCTCGGGCATCCTCTTTGCGGTGCTCACGGGGGCACAGACCGTAGCCACAGAGACCTTCAATATTCCTCTCCAAGATCAAGTTGTCGTAGTCGGCGGGTTGGAAGGGAACCAGGGCGGACTTGAAAGTTCGAGCATCGTCGGGGGACGGAGAGGCAGGATCTGCGGAGGGGGATGATGGGAGTGTGATCAGTTGCAGGATGCGGTCCAGAATCAGTCCCTCGGTGTCCTTCTGGGCCTGGATTTGGTGCGCATGATGAAGAGCGATCGCTAGATGGCGGGGGTCGGCATCTGGACGGTTTGGAAACGAGCCAGGTTGCTGCTGAGACCCATGAGGGAAGGGTGGCGTCGGGCGATTTGCGGCGGGATTTGAGGGGCCTGCGGCGGCGGATGCCGCGTGCATGGAAGGTAGTGAGGTCTTTAGGAGTGGCCGTCCTGAAGACATTGTCAGGAAATCTTCAAGCGAGAAAGGGTCCGGAAGTGGGAACTGGGAAGATGACCTCCTGGCTGCGATAGAATCCATCGCGGCGCGGGTTCCACGCCAAGCCGGGTCGGCGCAACCAATAATCCGGCTACCATCGGCGGCCAGGAGGAGTAGCGATTGGGATATCGGGAGACAGCGTTCTGGGTTCATTTTGCTGCTGCAATAAGGCGCGCCTACATAGGTAGCATCACATGAGCGGGCTCCATTGAGGTCAAGAGGATATGGCTTCGCTGGACTATCCATCGTGGTCGATTGTTCAGAGAACCATGGGGCGAGGAGTCCTGGAGAGTAAGCCGAAGCCATTCTACGCATGTTTCAGGGAGCCCGGGATATTGCTGGGTTAATGATGGCCTCAGCCCAGGAAGTCCAGGAAAAGTGTACTACGCGTCACGAGAATTCTGCACCCCGCTACAAACCAGAACACTTGGTGTGGCTCGGTTTGAAGAATATCTCCACCAGCAGACCGAATGAGAAGTCGGGCCAGAGATATGCGAAATCCACCATACTCGAGACTGTGGGTATGCGTAATAGACATAACAATGTTGAATTAGGAGACCAGCCCACGAATTAGAAGAACCACTCCACGAAACGCCTCAGCCGCGTCTTCGGACCTCCCTCATGAATGATAATCTCTCCTTCCTGCAACCGGCCAGACCACAAGTCCATGTTGGAGAGCCGAACAAACTGCGGGCCATCAGTCAGCAAACCAGTCGAGAAAAGGATGAAGTCCGGGTACTAACCTCCGTGCGCTTGAAAACCTTCCAGAGGATAATGGGCACGATAAAGATCGGAATGCCGACATACGAGGCAAAGAAATCGGCCGTGGACCAGTTACCCTTAAGGAAGACGGGGAACCCAGCCACCAGTGTGATGATGGTCGATCCAATGAAACCAACCCACGCGGTGTATGGCTGGAAGGGCGATTTCCAAGGTATGGTGTCACGACTGACGCCTTGTGCTTTCATGGCCTGATAGAAGCGGATGTAACAGAGAGAAAGGGTCGCCCACGCGATCAGTCCAGCAATCGTGCTTAGGTTCAGGAGCCAGGTAAAAGCCTGCGACGGACCACCGGAGCCGAGACCTGATCGGAGTTATTAGTTCAGCATGCACACCAGATTCTCCTTAGACTACTTACTCAGATAGGCCAATGGGCCAAAAAGCCACGAGGCGATGACGGCAACCCAAGGCACACCCGCCTTGTTCACCCGCCCAAACACCTGCGGCAACTGACGGTCGGTCGTCATGGCCACGATCATGCGCGACCCAACCCAGCAGTAGGAATTACCCGCCGACCAGGCCGAGATGAGGATGCAGGCATTGACAATGGACGGCAGGGCGCTGATGCCTGCCTGCTTGATAGCAATGACCCACGGAGAGCTGTTGGCGTTGTCGGACCCAGAGACGAGGTTCGAGTTGGTCGGGCTGACGATCATTCCGATGAGCAGTGCGCCGAGAATATAGAAAAAGGCGATACGGTAGGTCACGCGGCGGGCAGCCTTGGGGATGGAGTAATGGGGGTCGACCGATTCCGCGGCGGTGATGACAACCGTCTCAACCCCGACGAAACTGAACGAGGCGTTGACGAAGGCGGACAAGAATCCAAGGAAGTGTCCGGTCGGGCCGGTGATGCCGTTGTAGTTCGTCCAAGCTCCGGGATGGTGCCAGTAGCGGAATCCGATGCTTTGGTGGTTCGGCCCGCCTCCAGCGGTGATGACGATCGCGACAATAACCAATCCAACAAAACAGAGCACTTTGATGGCGCCGGATAGGACCTCACTGTGACCATAGAAGGTTACGCTCATCAAGTTTATGGCCAGAATCAGCACCAGCCCAACCGTGATGACCACGGCCGGTGTTATGTCGGACCAGTAGCTCACAATAACTGCTGCGGCCGAGACCTCGGAAGCGATCGCAATGGTATAACAATAGCCGTAGGTGATGGCGAGTGAGAAGCCGACAGCGGGATCGATGAAGCGAGTCGCCCAGTGAGGAAAGGATCCAGCTGTAGGCAGCAGGGTAGCCAATTCGGCGATACTCTGCATCACACACCACAGGATAAATCCGATGACAATGTACGCCAGCAGTAATCCGGCGGGCCCAGCGTCCGCATACGCCGAGCCTGTTCCCACGAAGAGACCGGTCCCAATTCCACCACAGAACCCGATCATGCTGACCTGGTAGTTCTTCAGCCGCCGTTGGGTGGCACCGCGGCCACCGACGTTGAACTCCAACTCTCCTTTGAGCGGAGGAGCCTCATCGTCGTAATTGACCACCGGAGGACCTGCATATCCGTCCTGACGGATCTTCTCGTCCTCCACGGTGACGGTGGGCTGGTGCATCTCGGCGGAGCAATGCAGCGGATGCAGGAATGGTGACACAGGCGAGAAGAGAGGACGACCCCGGACTCTTGTAGGTAACTGCAGCAGCTCGCCAGTCGCCACACTGGGCCACGCGCAAACAAAATTGTGTAATTCGCCGCTGGTACCTGCATCGCGACATCGGGAACCACGTTCGCACCATTCCACTTTTCACTTCCCCTCTCGGATCCCCACCCATGTCGAGAATTTTCTTTGGTGGACACGCGGCGGCGGACTCCACTTCCACGGCGGGGTCTCTGGATACAGACTGACGGCTTGGAGCCTTGAAGATGGGAATTAGTCACAGAATGCGGTGACGATGACAGCAACTCCCCACTAACCGGGTGAGCTGGCTTCTTGGGCCTGGGGAAGCCATGCTACTACCAGTCTGAACTCGTCCGAGGGAAGCCATGAACGGCCAACTTCCATCGTGCCGTCGGATTGCGTGGCGAACGGCAGACAACTTGACGGTTGATCGTTCCGCTGGATTCGGGAACGGCGGAAGAATTTTCCCTGGCGTGCGGGCACGTGATGGCCGCTCTGGGGCTAAGACCCTTCCGGCCTAGTCCGGTTGCGGTGTCGGAGGCATTATTCGTTGGTGACCAGCCAGCGTTGTCGTTGGTCGGCATATTGGAGTGGTTGACTGCTTCCTATACGCGTGCCTTGGGTGTTGTGGCTCGGCGAGACGTGGGAGATTGGGATACGGCGTGCGGGGAATCGCATACATAGCTAGCATCAGAGACTCCTCATGTTTTCCTAGCCACCATGGCGATAATATAGCGTGTCCGCCATCTTCCCGCGCGTTCCTACCCGGCTTATACTCCATCCCCAACCATTTGACGACCCGCTGACTCCGAACACCAACTGCCCCCGACTGAAGAAATCCTATCCTGATAGACCACTGCACGACGAACACGCGAGATGACGGCCACGATCAGGCAGCTCAAAAAGTCCGCCCGAATTATCCTCATCGGTGCTCCGGGTGTCGGCAAGGGCACGCAAACAGAGCGACTCCTCACCAGATTTCCAGACCTCGCGTCCATAAGCTCCGGGGACCTTCTGCGAGAAAATGTCCGGAACAAGACCCCTTTAGGTAAGGGCCCCTAACCGGCTGCTCGGCGTCCAAGATTCGAGTCTAACGAACGGCTTCCGCGGTTAGGTCTCAAAGCAGAGGCCGTCATGCAGTCCGGCAACCTGGTCCCCGACTCGATGATCCTCGATCTCATATCCTCCGAATTCAAGACTCGAGGCTGGCTTTCAGCAGCGTCGGCTTCCTCGATAACTCCCGCCGCATCTTTCATCCTGGACGGCTTTCCACGCACCGCGACCCAGGCTTCGAGCCTGGAAACCATTGTCCCTGTCAACTTCGTCGTTCACCTGGTCACACCTCCCTCGGTCATTCTCTCTCGGATCGCGTCGCGCTGGGTACACGAGCCATCCGGGCGGGTCTACAATACCGAATTTAATGCGCCCAAAGTCCCGGGCAAGGACGATGTCACTGGAGAGCCTCTGACTCAGAGAGATGACGACTCAATTGACACCTGGAAGCAGCGGCTGCACAAATTTGAAGAGACGAGCAAGGCCTTGTTGGAGCACTATCAGCGCAAGGGCTGCCTGTGGCGCGTGGAGGGCGACACGAGCGACGAGATCAGTCCCAAGCTGTTTTCCGAAATAGAGCGACAGTTCTGTTAGAGACGGGCACTTGATGTCTCCCGGCCCTGGATTCCTTCTTGTACTATATATCGGTTTTTATTCTGGTCTCGGCTGTTTGTTGGCGTCGCATTCCTGCAGTCCAAGAAGGGTTGCAGATGGAGGCAGTGTTTTTTGTTTTTTTTACTTTTTTTTCTATCCTTACCTTACGAAGACGGCTAGCATCTTTCGTGGACGAGATATACCTTATGATCAGTCTAACGATGTTATGGAATACCGCACCGAAGGCGGATGATCAAACATTCATTCATCACTCATGCCATGAAAAATCATAATAACGGGGATATCTATCAAGCATCAGACCCAACCACACAACGCCCACCCAACAACCAAACAAACCACCACCAGCAACCTCTACTTTTTCCCCTCCCCTTCCTTGATAGTTCCCAGATCCTCCAGCCCCATCCTGGTCTTATATTCCCTGGGACTCTCCCAGTCCCCATTCTTCTTCCGATACTCCTTCCACAACCCCGTCCCCCTAACCTTCGCCCACCACTCTGCGCCCCGATACTTCTTTTCCGTAGCCGCGCCCCCAAATTCCGCCCCAAACTTCGCCTCATACACCGTCGCTAACCCCCTCCTCAGCATTTCAAACGACACATCGCGCCTCCGAAACGGGATTGGGAAATCCAGCGCCCGTCGCACCACCACCGTCGCCACAACCCGTTGATACTGGTCTTGCCGATGCACGTACGCCCGAATCCGCCGATTCATCAGATACTCCGTCAACCAGTCATGCGCTTCCTTCCCAAAAGGTTGCGCAGGGCGCCCGAAATGAGATAATTCCGGGGCATCGATTCCAGCGAGACGGATATGGATCTGCATGTCCCCCATCATTATCAGCCCGACTCCAACCCAGAATGAACGTAGCGGAAGAGGGGGGGTACACGGGCGAGGGAACAAACCGTCTTATCCTTCAACTCCTTCTTCGACGTGGGCACCTTCTTCCAAGGCAACCAACCCCAGCCCGCGAGTCTTCCGCCTGGGGTATGGTATATGCGGAAGTTATCCCCGTCACCGACACTCGTCACCTGGCCGAGGATACTTCTGCGACGGAGATAGGACGGCGAAATGTCAATCGCGGTGGGGATTCGGCGGAGGTAGAGCTTGTGCAGGTGCAGGGCGCTCAGGATGCCTGTCGTGAGAATAAGGGTTGCGAGGAGGGTACGGGGTTCAGTGAAGGCGTGCCAGTCGAGAATGTTCTTGTCGTTGGAGGAGGAAGAGGCGGAGGGGTTATTGTTGGAGGATGGTGATGGTGGTTGGTCTGGGGCTTGCGGTTTGGAAGCCCATGGCGGCCATCGCATGACGGCGCATACTAGGACTTTCGTGGGATTTGGGGTGGTGGTAGTGGTGGTGGTGGTGGTGGATAGGGGAAGTAGGTATCGTATTGTTTGCCGAGGTGAAATTGGGCGGTCAGTACGGAGTACTCCGTACTCTTAGTATATCTACCCCGGGGTTGGAGGAATCTACAATTCGAGAAACTCAAGAATGGGATTATAAAAAGGATATGGTATGGTATTTGCCACCAGGTCCAGCTAGTTCATGTTTTATTCTGTAGATCCTCGATGCTATTGTATGTTCTAAGTGACATGCTGCCATTATGTATCGACAACTAAGTATCTTCGGTCTTCAAAACAGAGCCTGACAGATGAAATATCCACAACCGGTGCGCCACAGAAAGAAAGAAAGAAAGAAAGAAAGAAAGAAAGAAAGAAAGAAAGGAATTCGTACAAAGATAAGCGGTATTAACGTGTCGAGGTTCAATCGTGCGTCTATTTGAGCGTCGCGGGGAGACTGGTCTTGGCTGTCGATGCAGCAGAGTCCACCACCTTCTTGAGCTTCTGCTCTCGGACTTTACGCAGGTATGCGAAGAGAAGAACGAAGATGAGCTCAACCCTGGTTGTTATTAGCGTGTAGTTCTCGCAAGGGTGATACCAACATACCTCTCCTTGGTCATCATCAGGAAGCCTTGCACAAGCAGTCCTTTCATGATCTGGGGCCCAATTCCCTTGAATAGGGACAGAAGCCCCTCGTGTTGAACAATATAACGCATGACTTCACCAAATGTCTTGAAGGGCTTCCCTTCGCGACCCGGAGGTGGCCGTGACTGAAGACCAACCTTGGCCACGATTAATGGCTGAGTCGCGATCGTGGCCATGGCCTTGGATAGGGCGCCGAGAACTGCACCGGTTCTTAGTTACCGTTCGTAAAAGGTTAGGATCGTGTAAGCCACTCACGGAAAGCCTCCCAGGGTTTCAAATTGTTCCTGCCCGGGAAGAGAACGTCCTTTAGGCGCTGGTAGGCACCGTAGGTAATAGCGGGATTGATCACCAGGATCAAACTGGCTTTAAGTCCTCTCCAGAGTCCAGACCACCCATCTTCACTCTCTACAACCTCCCTCCCGGTTTCAATCAGACCCTTTCTCTCCCCTTTAGGTTGTGTCTGTTGCCTTGTGGTGATAACTGCGACGGGGATGGTGAAGATCTGGGCGACTGCGCCCGCCACGGCGCCGAGGGAGAGCTCGATGGCAGTTCCCGGAGGCTTCGGGACTCTGTTGGATGCCATGTAGAAGGACCGCACGACAGTGTACCAGTAGAAGTAGGCGAAGTTGGTTGATGCCACACCGATCAGCGAGCCGGCAATTCCGGAATATAGGCCCTCGATTCCCTCCTTCTCCACGATCTTGTTGATGGCATCCAATGTCGATTTGTAGTGGACTGTGTCATTGGCGTCCGCATCTTTCGAGTCGCCTGGTCTCTTCACTTGCACCTGAAGTTTGGTCTTGACCCTGGGAGCGGCATGAAAGATTAGTGAATTGGGTCTTCGCTTCCGAATGGCAGAAATGATTTGCATACAGATCGAGAGGGTAGACTAAGGCGTTCGCTAGAACGGCTCCGGTGGCACCAGCCACGGCACTTCCCCAGGGTGAGAGCGCGGGCTTCGATTGACCGGCCATGATTGCAGAGGAGAGAGTGGAATAATTCGAGACGGAAGGGGGTAGATAGCGAGTTGAACAGAAATTCAGAACGATCGATCCGGGTTGGAGGAATCAAAGGAACGGATCCCTGAGATTTCAGTACCGGACCTGTGAGCTGGGAATCTGGCGGTGCGGAAGGGGAATTACTAGTGATCTTTCAGAGCGGGGGCTCCCAGGAGAGCCTAGCAGCTCACAATTTCGAGAATCGGAGATGACACGAGTTTCTCGGACGGCGAGAGGAAGAAGGCGGCCACACTATCCCAGTCAAGGCGATCCCAAGTGAGGCATTCATGAGAATTCGGTGCAGGGCAGACAGATAGGGATACGCAGGTGAACCTCGGCGCATTCACGGCGCATGACGAAACGAGCCTCGGTCCGATGGCCTCCCTGATCATCTTATCTGCCGGGCCTCCCCACCGACACGCGACGCTACCAGCATCCTCTACCGACAGCGGGCCTTGCATTAGGTGTATACTCTGGTGGGACAAATCTTGTTGTGAACTTGACGGGAAAGAGACAGAAACTGTACCTGTTACGACATATTATCCTGGGCTGCTTGCTTGTCTTCGGATACTTTCTACTAGGTCTTCTTTACGGATTCCGTTCTTTGTATAGCCATGTCGCTGTTTCTTCGCAATTGAACTTGCAACGCGAGATACTCGGATCGGAAATATATCTCGCACAGTACTCCGTACTTTTAATGACAAGCTAAAGCGTACTATACAAAGAACAACCGTAGAAATCCAACCCACCCCATGAACGCCGCCTTACATACTATACATCGAAGAATTGTCGCTCGCTCCAGACCCGTCCAATAGTGGCCAATATCAAGGCCACCATTACTCTCCGTCCTTGGAGCCCTTCTCCTCCTCTTTGTTCTGGCCCCAAGTCCACACGTCCCAAATATGATCCTTGATCAAATCGCCATACCCCTTCCCCTCATCCAACATTTGCTGTTCCTTTCTCAATCTCCTTTCCTTCCAATCCTCTGTTTCCCCGCCCATCCAAATCTTCTCCAGAGCCGGCTTCTCCTGCGCTTGCCTGGCCTTCAACTTCTCCAATTCCTCCCCAACCGCAGTCTGAATCTGTGCCTCCCTCGCCGCCCGCAATCTCTCCTGGATCTCCAGCGCCCGCTGACTAGGCATTTCCGATACTGCTGCAAAGGGATTCCTTGCAATTCGCGCCTTGATCCGATCCAGAAGACTCCGTCCGGTGTGTTCGCGGGTGAGGTGGTTGGCGGAGATGCAGAATGCACCCGTGAGAAGAACAGTAAGATTATCAAGTTTCCGGGGGGGTAGCGCGATCAGGATTGGGGAGGCGACGAGGAAGGTGTATGCGGAGAGGGTTTTGAAGCGCTGGAAGTCGGCTTCTCGGCGCGACTGGAGATCGAGGTCCGAGGTGGGGGTCTGGGTGGTCATGGTGGGTTGGTCCCTAGGAGGGGTATATCGGAGAAAGGTTTGTTTATGCCTTAGGGATGGTAGTGAGATTGACAATGCAATTGATTATCTATCTGGTCGTGGATCGGGGTCATAATTCCATCGCTGGCGCGAGAGGAAATTTACGGCAGGCGGTCTAGTACGGCGGGCAATAGCGGCCATCCTGCAAATGTGTTGAAGTGCTTTCACCGCCTAGTCTACCACATCTTTAAAAGGAACTGTATAAGACTATATTCTTTTATTAAATATACCTTCTTTTATTGATCTTAAGCCTTTTAAGATTGAGATTATTAGTTTATTCTATCAGAATCATTCAATTAATAGTATCATTTCAATTATTTAGAAGAAATACTATATCTAAGTTCATGAACATATAATCTGGATGTGATAGGTGTGACGGGCTAAGAAGCCGGGTGGACTACGTAAGGTACGATAGTCTGTGAAGGAATTGAATTCGCTGGTGTGACAGCAATATTGATGATATTGAGTGTGTGTTGCCTAGCTAACTACGCGAGGAGGAGGTGACTAGGTGGCTAGGTCCGAGATCACGTGATCTCCTTTCACAGCTGGAGAAAGAACTATCTAATCTGCGGACAGGTTGGGTCTTCTTATAGACAACTCTTTCTGGGAGGTTCCTTTACGACGTCGGTGAGCTCCTTTGCTGCCCTGGAGATTCCCATCCTTTCTGGAGACTCCCATTCTTTCTACGGGTGTTGTCAGATTGAGGTCCAGGACCAGACGGGTCGGAATATAGATGTTCCGATTCCGGATGGCTGACAGGGCCTAGCCCTTTTCAATAGGATCTACTTGTCAGGGTAGAAGGCCTGTCGACTAGGTAAGGAACTGGCTATTAAATGTGTAGGATTCCACTGGTAATGATAATGTAGCCTATATCCACAAGATAGAGAGACTGATCCTTGAAGGATCAGTAGTCTAATGCTGAGGAATGCTGCCTTATAGTAGGTGAGGAGGTCCCGAATTGTTATTGATGATCTTATGACTTCCATGACCATCTCAGTACGTCACCCCAAGGACCCGGACCACCCTGGTTAGACTACTACAGGACCAGAACATCGGTCGGGCCGGTGTTGATAAGATAAGACCTCCATCCGAACCGTTCTATCACACTAGCTCTAACTACTATTCACTAAATTAGATATTCAACGCTTCAAAGCTATATCTATTTTAATGAGTTATCTTACAGTCATTCATGCAGATAACTAGTCTGCTATTGTTTTAACTAAAAACCCCAAATTCCACGCCTATACGAAGCATGTCTCTATCAAATAGTACTTCATACATCGTGAAGTACGTGCAAAAAATGTTAAATTTATCTATATTAGTATGATTAAATAAGCGGCCGACAGCCTCACTAAGCTGCTTGAATGTCTCATCTACTCCTGCTTTATCAAGTAACTCGGCATGGTGGATCGTGTCTGAAATTATATCTAATATTTCTATATCTATATGTCTTTACATTTTGTTTAGGAAACGTGAACAGCCTCACGTCTTCCTCCTTTTATATGTAATGTTGCTGACTACGTCCTCGCTCATGGGGGGTATAAAAGGAGATCATGTGATCTCAGACCTAGCCACATAGTCATCTCCTCGCGTAGTTAGCTAGGAAAACATACACACTCAATATTATCAATATTGCTGTCACACTTGCCATCCCAGGCCCTTCTTTTGTAAAGAGGTTAGAAAATATGGGGATAGATGACATATTTTCATAAAAGATTTTGCTGCCACATAATTATGTACGCTGCTTCCATTTTTCTGTTACTGCCGTGACCACTTCTTCAGAACCGGCGGTTTGTCCCCACGATGCTCCAGAAACAGCTGCATGATTGCAGGCCCAGAGTTTGCATTCGCCGCTGCCGCCTTGACCACCTCTTCAGAAATGGGTAGCTTGTCCCCACGATGCTCGAGAAGCAGCTGCATGATCTGATGCCCAGTTATTTCATTCGCCGCCGCTGCCTTGACCACCTCTTCAGAAACAGGTAGCTTGTCCCCGCGATGCCTGAGAAGCAGCTGCATAATCTGATGCCCATATTTTTCATTCGCTGCTGCCGCCTTGACCACCTCTTCAGAAATGGGTAACTTGTCCCCGCGATGCCTGAGAAGCAGCTGCATGATTGCAGGCCCATATATTAAATCATTCGCCGCCACCGCCTTGACCACCTCTTCAGAAACGGGTAGCTTGTTCCCACGATACTCAAGAAGTAGGTGCATAATCTCATACCGATGGTTTTTATTCATTGCTGCCACCTTGACCATTTCTTCAAAAACGGGTAGCTTATCCCCGCGATGCTCGAGAAGTAGCTGCATGATCTGATGCCCATGCTCTTCATTCGCTGCCGCCGCCTTGACCACCTCTTCAGAAATAGGTAGCTTGTCCCTATGATACTCGAGAAGCAGCTGCATGATCTGATGCCCAGTTATTTCATTCACTGCTGCTGCCTTGACCACCTCTTCAGAAACGGGTAGCTTGTCCCCATGATACTCGAGAAGCAGCTGCATGATCTGATGCCCATGCTCTTCATTCACTGCCGCTGCCTTGACTACTTCTTCAGAAATGGGTAGCTTGTCTCCATGATGCTCGAGAAGCAGCTGCATGATCTGATACCCATCCTCCTCATTTGCCGCTGCCGCCTTGACCATCTCTTCAGAAATGGGTAGCTTGTCCCCATGATACTCAAGAAGCAGGTGCATGATCTCATACCGATGGTTTTTATTCACTGCTGCCGCCTTGACCACCTCTTCAAAAACGGGTAGCTTGTCCCCGCGATGCACGAGAAGTAGCTGCATAATCTGATACCCATGCTCTTCATTCGCCGCCGCCGCCTTGACCACCTCTTTAGAAATAGGTAGCTTGTCCCCATGATACTCGAGAAGCAGCTGCATGATCTGATGCCCAGTTATTTCATTCGCCGCTGCTGCCTTGACCACCTCTTCAGAAACAGGTAACTTATTCCCGCGATGCTTGAGAAGCAGCTGCATGATCTGATGCCCATTTTTCTCATTTGCCGCTGCCGCCTTGACCATCTCTTTAAAAACAGGTAGCTTGTCCCCGCGATGCTCGAGAAGCAGCTGCATGATCTGATGCCCATAGTTTGCATTCGCCGCCGCTGCCTTGACCACCTCTTTAAAAACTGGTAACTTGTCCCCGCGATGTTCCAGAAACAGCGGTATGATCTGATGCCCATGCTCCTCATTCGCCGCCGCCGCCTTGACCACCTCTTCAGGAACTGGTAGCCTTCCCTGTAGACGCTGCAGGAGAATGCTTGTAATAATAAATCCACACGGTAGAGGATCCCGTACTGCAACTACGAGCATCTTTTCCCAGAAATGAGGGGACTCATGCTTTTGCCACAGAACTGCCTCAACTGCAGTTATCAAATTGTTGGAGACTGTGCCGTTACTCTGCGAGAGAAGAAAATTAATATCCACGCCTTTCACTCGGCCCTTCGATAGTACATTATCCAGTCCTTTTCTTTCAGGAACTCCCAGTTTGAATAACTGTATGGCAGCATCTACCATAACAGATATTGTATGGTTTAGACTTCGCTCAGCTTCACAATGTTTATGGTTGTTTGGCCCATTTCCAACAAGCCTTGATAGGCTTTTTGAATCAGCCTTATCTTCCGGCTCGGATGCCTTCCAGCCCAGCAAAATATCATACAAACCATGTGCAGAATAGTTTCCACCGCCCCTCACATTATCTTCAGTATTCTGTACCCATTCCTTAGGCTTCACCACTGGTATTACCACCGTGTAGTAATCAGCACATAATCTGAGTACACTTGGCTGTGACAGGCCTTCAAGAAGGCAGATAATATCACCATCTTGAAGCAAATCTCCAGAAGCTTGTAGACTCCATTCAGCCATCCACTTATCACAATATCCCAGCTTCTGGCAAATCTGATTGAAAGCGACTTCGAAAGATTGTTGATTATCCTTTAAGAAGTCGCTGACTGAATAAATATAACCCAAAATCCATCCTTTACCCCTGATAATAGCTGTTTCTGGCTCATAGCATATCTCCACAGAACATTTCGCAAAAACATGTTGTGCGGCTTGCCTGAAGACCTCATGCCATGGACGCTCATAATCTGGGGCCAACACAGCACTATTCGAGTCTGAACTTAAGCCCAGTAATGCGTACACTTTGTCATGCTGTTTTATTACATTATGATTCCGGTACATGCTGACAAGCTCACCAATCGAAAGTGTAGGAACGGAAAGATCCCTATCATGAGACCGGAAGAGTGCTCCTTTGATAAGATAAGAGACCGGGCTTACTCTAGCCATGAGTCTGGGAGAAGGCTCCAGATTATCTAGACCCTCACAAAAAATATGTCCATTGATCTGAACAGTACCACACATGATTATAATAGACTGAGCGACCCCCACTTCTTGCAATACCTAAGACAGGTTATCAGCACCCTCGCTTTCAAATCAATAGAATTCTCTTACCCAAATACAGCGAAACCAGTCTCGTTGTAGCAACGCCTCACATCTCTCCCGATCTTTCTCATTTATTGACTCTGGATTCTGTTTTCTGCCAAGAGAACCGAGTAATTCAAGCGCTTTATCCCCGTATCCCCAGCCCATTCCTAGCCAGACAACAACACGTCTGGCTTGTGCATAGATCATCCGCATGAGTGGGATCTGCTTGCTCTTCTCGCTGTCATCATCCTGATTTATGCTTATCGCATCAACCCATAATACTCTGTCTAGCTGAGTGTCCCGGAGGTGTAACAATGCGGTGTGAAGGCTTTCCATTATTAGAAAAGAACAGCCATTGAGGATAATGGAACGGGATCTGGCTGGGCTTCCCCAAACATAGGAAAATACCTCATAAAGATGCCCCCCGTTGCTTGAGCGTGATAGATTGTAGCTGAAAAGTTCACATCTAATTGGGGCGTCCTTATCCTCGTCTGGCAAAAGGCGGATCATTCGTGTATATGACTTCGGTGGAAGTGGTGAGTAAATAGAAGAGGAAACAGACATATTTAAACTTTATTCATGTGTAAGGGACATTTCCTATATATATATAATAAATGCGTATTAGCCTAGATAATATCATCCAGATTCATCAACGAAGCTTGTACAGTTTCACAAAGTATTCCACGGGACGTTTCAAACAGGCCAGAAGATAAAGGCAAAAGCGGGGTGGCCTATAAATAATCACAAGAAAATGTGGGACTAACCCCTTAAGTAAGTCCGAGCCGTGCATGTAACTCCAAAGAGATCAGCTCTACCCCCCACCTTCAACCGGCAACAAAAATCAGCTCCGCTAACACGCATGATCAAGTGGTAAGGACTATTCGTGGTGGAAAACTAAACATATTCTTTCTTTCAAAGCATAATATCTTAATGAGCTGGCACGGCTGAAGGACAAATATTTGCCAGCTCGCCTTTAGCCAGCTACAGCCATATCTGCTATATAATTGGAAGATAGAGATTTCTGAAACGTCCGCCATTGCGGCGATCAGCATCTCAGTCTTAGCGTTTTCACCTGCGTGACAAAAGAGAGAAAAGCGTTTCTAGGATACTAGAGCTGGTATAATACTACGCAGAGAACTACTGCGGCGAGCTCTCAGTCCCTGCACTTTTCTCCAAATCATGTCTACGGCCACGGGTAATAGGATCAGCCGAGGAGCGTGGCTACGGCGGGCAATAGCGGCCATCCTGCAAATGCAATTTCTTGGTGTTTACTGCCGGCAGAATCAATATAAAGTCTATTGGATCGGTTAATCTTACCTAATGAAGCTGTACATATGACTTGCTTGGCTTCACTATCTAAATGGCTACTAGTCCTGAACACTACGTAGAAGTGCAAGTCTTGCTCAGGTGTTGTACACAGGGCCCGTATAACTAGGAGTGCTGGTGCTGGTGTTAGTGCTAGTATTGATAAATTATATTAAAATTATACGTATTTATAGGATGATAGGATCATCCTCATTCCCAGCCTCCTCTATAAGGATTGGTTGATTTCTGTTATATCCTTCTTCTTCATTTAGAAGGATAGGAATATGTGTAGTTTTATTTGTCAGTCTCCTACTTACAGTAGTAGCAGCAACGATATTCTTTTATACATTCGTTTATACCTTAACCCGTATAGAGCATTTTAATCCCTTATCAGGCTACTTATAGTTAGCATATGCTCCCCCTATGCGCCAGATAAATAGTGATATGAGGGAAAAGTCATCGTATCTGGACGGGCGCGGCACCTCGTATACGGAGAAGGGAGACGACTTCTATAGGATTGAATGAGGCAGGTATTTATGTATAAGGGCCGATGAGTCTTAAGTTAATGAGCTTGGATCTGGCCGTGATAGAATTCAATATCTTGGCTATTTATGGCAGCCACCGCTCTTAGTATATAATTATGGACGTACAGGCTCAATAGTTGTGACGGCAGCCTCGTTCAGGACCATGTGACCACGTTTGTTTCGTTTGCTTTAATGTTGTTTTCTTCAAGCGAGCGCCTACAACACTTCTTGTTTTCCTTTTTCCCTCCTTACGCTTAAAGTTCTAGAGTAGTTAGCACCAATACGACCTCATTTTGCTGTATTGAACGGCCGTCTCAATAGTTCTGGTGTCCTTGTAGAGAGTATTGGATTCTACCTAGGTGGAAGTTGTTTGTACATATGGACGAAGTATTCCACTATATTGCGGGGAGGGGGGCCGCGGCTATAATTATTAGGGGAGGAAAGGCTATATAAAATCATAATATAATATTAGTTTTTGTATTCTGTTTTGCTTCTTGCGTACGTATATATGGTATACACGTATGCAAAGATTATCAGAATAAAGGAAAGAAGTTTAGTTATCTGATTTTGATCATTCAACACGTACGCAGCCATGGTGGTGGTAGTAGTAGTAGTAGTAAAAGAGATAGAGATAATAAATAATGAAGTAGTAAGCGTACGTGTTAATAGAGATTAGATTGACATATAGAATAAATATAATAAATATATTAAATTTTTTATATTACTCTAATATACAATCAAATCTTAAATGGTAAAGGCTTGTATTTAGTTGCACGATTCTTATTATCTTCTTGAAGTACATACTTCCGCCTCGTACGATGAGGAGGAGAGGGAGATAAAGATAGAGTATGTTTAAAAGAAATATTTAGATATTTTTTTTCATCCAGATCCTCTTGTATAACAGACTCTTCTAAATTATTTTTAATTATAGCCTGTCTTTTCTTGATATCAGGACTCTTAGAACCTTTTTTTTTGATCTTCATGTTTGTCCGATTCATCTTATCTGCAACCGTACGGCGTTGAATGATAATATAAATCTGGTACGATCTGTGACGGCAGTGACGGCAGCCTCGTTCAGGATCATGTGATCATGTTTGCTTTGTTTGCTTTGCTGTCGTTATCTTCAAGCGAGCGCCCACAACACTTCCTGTTTTCCTTTTTTCCCCCTTACGCTTAAAGTTCTAGAGTAGTTAGCACCAATACGACCTCATTTTGCTGTGTTGAACGGCCGTCTCAAATAGCTTCATGTTGGCCCTCCTACGGGTCCTCGGGCCCGGGGGGTGTTGGATGACTAAGAGTCACCTGACCCTCGGTCCCCTTAGCTAGGATCCGTAGCCATCTGAATCAACAAGCTTCAAGGCTTCACATCCAACAGAAACAGGTTGAATGATTTCGTTGGCTTCAAGTTACCTACAGCGCAAGACGGCTTCCTGCAAGATGTTTTGACCGAGTGCCGGGATTTTGATCTCCGATGTCTCTGGGAGACATTCGCTCAAGATCAGCGGAATGACTGGGAGCCGATTATCTTGGAACCCAGCATTTATGCGCTTTGCAATATGTGGCTCACTGCACGCTAGTTTCAAGTGAGAACATGTACTAGGTCCTGGCCATCAGATAACACCTGCTCACCCCGTGTCTAAGGCCTGCGATCCGCCCATATAAAGACCAAACACCTCTCCAGACACCCCATGAAGCATCCCTCTGGGCGTGTCTCAGCTGCCCTACCGCTAAGTATCTCTCTGAACAAACCCTTAACTGGACCAATGATTCACTATGCGATGCATATTCCTAACACTAGTACAGGCAACCAGAAACTGTCTAGTCTAAGTTGAAAAAACAACAAGGATATCCAGGCTTGCAAAATGCTTCCCGCAGAAGGGACGAAAGGACAAAAGGACGAACGCCACCCATTGAAGATACCGATAGACTTACACCACCCGTACCTGCAGCGCGCAATGTATCCGTTTAGTCGAAGAATTTGGTCATAAACTGGTGGGCCAGCTCAACACCCGCACTATGGCACATTAGCACGACCATCCACGGAAAAGAAGCAGGCTGGAACAACATACAAGGTAGCCGCATTCGCAGGAACAGCTCGTGCCAACGCAGGGCCAAATCCAGGAAAGAAAGCCTTGAAGCCACCGCTGGCGTAGACGGTGCGGATCGTGCCACTGATCGTGGGGCGACCCGGTGCACTCTGCAGACGGGATTTGATAGTATCGACAGGGAAAACAGGGATCCACATGGCAATACCCGCAGCGCCACCGGCAGCCAGGACCGCCGGCATGGACAATTGACCAGTAACATTGCCCTGCGTATCCTTGGGAGTCAACGTGCGCTTGATGTATTCATATGCTGCAAAGTAGGCGGCAGAACCGGGACCATCACGGGCCAGAGTCATTGCACTGCCACGGAACACACTGCGGATACCACCCTCCTTGTATAGTTGCCGGACCACGTCCAACCCGCCAGAGTACTTGGGCTTCTGACCCGGAGGTGGTGGGTTCTGACCCTGAATCTGCAGGAGCACCTTGACACGCTCGAAGGGGGCCGTGATCAACGTCATAGGGATGGCTGAAAAGAAGCCAGCAGCTGAGATTTGACCGATGGTATATTGGGGTGTGTTGTTCTCAACGCGAACCTCGGAAAATTTGCCAACCAGTGTTTTACCCACATCGTAACCCTGATTCAACCGTCAGCTATGGCGTGAACAAGACCGCTGTGCCGGCTCGGCTAGTGTACATACCCAGAAACTGACAGCGACTGACGTGCCGATATAGTGTTAGTTTTGCAACGGATTATGATAGAGGAGAAGCTTACACATCGGCGTAACTCCCACCAGGGGAGCGGAGACTCCGGCATAAAGACCCTAGTCCAGTCAGCATGGATGCTAACGCATGAAACGCAATCACTTACGCGAACCAGACCTTCGCGGGCCACAGTTCTCTTTACAACATCGATCGCGCCCGAGTAGACGCCCTTCTCCGCAGTCTGCAACCGGACCTTCACCAGATCGAACGGATGTCCGACAACCACCGCGCAAACGCCACCAGCAGCACCAGCAGCCAGAGAGCGGATCTGAGCAATAGTCTGGTTGACGGGCTTGGGCTCCGGGAGTACCACGCTCTCCGGAATCGGTTCAGCGACGGGGGGAGATCCAGCCATGGTGACAGGTATAACGTGCAAGGAGCGGGGAGATAAAGCGGGGGGCAGGCGGTGGCAGGGGGTTTTCTAAACGGCAGTAGAAGACAAAGAGGGCATCGATGTTGGAGAACCCCCAAAAGACAAACCGAGCAGAACAGTCAAGAAAAGCACGTATCGAGATCAAAGAGGGAGGGAGAAGAAGAAGACGGAGGGAAATAAGAGTAAGTCGCTTTTGCGACGGTCACGCTCCTCCCAACGGCCGAGCAAGGGAACCATACCCCGGACCTCGGCTCGGGACGGATCAACGGCTCTTCCGAGTAAGCCCCCGTACCATGTATGTAGATTTCGGCCTTACGCCGTACGGAGTATCATGGAGTTTTGAATCCACTGCGACCGACGGCCCGGGGCTCCGTGGAGCAGATGGGGCACATTATAGATGCGCCTGATCGGATCATCTGATACGGAGTGCTTACTACACAGTATCTATCGCTTCAAACTGCGCAATTCCCCCAGATGCATCTTTCGAGCCTCTATAGTTAATCTCGACAGATCTGTCTAATCTCTAGCATATGAAGCTCCACCGAACCAGGGCTGGCATCGGGTGAACGGATACCATATGGAGCACTCGAAGTATTATGTTGCTGCCTTATTCAAAAAAGCCTTTCACCCATCATTCCGGTTATCTGCTTCCGTCTTCAAGCTGTTGGGCCCCAGCAACGGACGACAGGAAGTTGTCCCACGCATGCTCTATACATCCCACATGCACCGTCCATCGTCAGTTGACGTGTCTCTTTGGTTATCGCCACTGCCACCCGCTGCCAAGCTTTCACATGCATCCCCAGAGCAGCCCAGCGCCAGCCCAAAGCTACGCTAACCAGCGGGACTGTCTGTTTCTCAGACTAACTCTCCTAAATTAACCTACTAGTAGTTAACTAGTTACTACATAGTAGATGACTACTCCGTACGGAGTACATGACGCGTTCGATATCAATACCAAGATTGCATTGGACTCTAGCTTCGGTAACCCCTCTGACTGCCGCCCTCGTAGTCTCTTCGACCGCCTTTGTCTCCCCTTCAGAGTAGATACCAGTATAAGAGGACGAAGCAGGCTTTCGCCAAGCGTCTTGAATCGCCAATTCGCCCAGGAAGAAACGATCTGACAAACTGTCAAGCTACGGGTTCCGTTCTTTATGGGAGGGGGAATTCGATCTTCTTCTTATCCTCCCCACTAATTTTCGGATGATTCTTCTGGATTTCCCCCTCTCCTTAGAAGCTTTTCACTACAGCCTTGGACCTCCTTGTCTCCGTATTTGTCCTTGTGGTATCCGGAGAGTCCTTTCACGGCGGTCTCAGGACTGACCCCGGCCGGAACATAGGTCCTCCGGCCCCGATTAGCGAACTAACACCAGAGGCAGGTGGCGAATAAAGGCCTGTGGCGTTGAACGCCACATTCTACGGCAGCACTGTGGTAACTGCACAGCAGGGCCACAAGTAAGGCCGGCTATTTTAGAGTGATAATACTACTAACCGCGGAAAGGTGAGCAGAATCAGCGATTCGGGCGTTGAGGAGGCAGAGGTCCAGGGGCCGTGGAGAGGTCCCAAATGAGGATATATACACCAATGAATGCCAAAAAAAGTATATCAATACAAGAAACCGAAAGTAGCAGAGCATTGCGGTCGTGACCCACGCGGTAATGGGAATGTAGGGTGAGACAACAGACCTTCATTGCAAGCTTTCCACGAAAGCTTTCAGACGAGAGCTATCTTTCGTCGCGATAAAGTAGGTACCACCAACATCGGTCCAGCTGACGCTGTTTGACCAATAGTTTCGCTGCTTGACTTTCAGTAGGTTGATGGGGGAATTGAGGTTGCGAGATTGGATTTTGTGGCCCGCAGGAACAAACGACTTTAAGGATACGATCTGACACCCTTCCTTCATATCCAAGAAATGATTGATCAGCTCATTATTCAGTTGAGGGGTGAAAGCCTGGTTGTTGATCAGGATGACATCAGCGCGCTTCAGTACGTCGATGATGCTCTGTTCCTTGAGAAAATCCCCTCGAACAAGATGCGTCTTCCCTGGCGCTATGCCCCAGAGCCGACATCGCGACTTGAACTCAGTCTGTTGAAGTTCGGCGAGTTCGCACGCATTCTGCATCATTTCGCAGCCCCAACTTTCACATCCAATCTCGAGCGCTGCTTGGAGGACCACATTACCGACACCAGAGCCCAGGTCAACGAATACTTGACCTGACTTCAGCCCAGTCTCCTTGAAAATCGTGCTGATAAAGCGCGGCAGAAGTTCCCCGTATACGTTGTCCGTTCCGTTCTCATATTGACGCAGGGAGTCGACCCGAGGCGAAACAGTGCGCGAATATATTTGCGTCAGGATTCTTTCCACGTGGGGCAAGTTCAAACGACTCGTTGAATCCAGCTTCTTTGCAACACTCCCACTGCGTCTCAGCCGCACGATCGCATGGTTGTATTCCGTCACGACTTCTCGAAAATCCGCTTCGGACGAATGGGCAAGTGCTCGTCGTAGCCGGCGTCTAATTCCCGTCGATTCATTGTTGAATTCATCAGCCTCCTCGTCGGGAATGTAATTTTGGGAAACTATGTCGATGACGTTTACGATGTCGTCGATGGGCTTGAAGTCGTCGTTGTCTCGAGGGACCACAAGATGGTACCTTTCCTTGGACGAAGCGCTGGGATACTGCAGGAGTAGGTCCGGTAGAGGCTTGGCCGCCCCAAAGGCCGGTTTAAAATTTCCGGCCTTTTGGATGGAGGTAATGTCCGCCGCATGGATCATGGGCAGATTCCGGACGCCATCTTCGGAGAAGGCTTTGACGGAGCGCACGCGCCTGGCAGGATCGGGCTCTGCGCTGTCGCCTGTCCGGGCCCGTTTGCGCGCCTTGAAGGAAGTATCCGTATCGCTCGCATCGTCATCGCTGGAGAGGCGTAATTCGGGGGTTTGTCGCTTGCGACTCTGTACCGGGGTGCCGAGTCGCCGCTTCGAGGATGGGGGATCTCGGTCCCTCGAGACCGATCTGCTGGTTGACTCTCGAGCTTTGAGCCGAGCGGGGGGCGTTCGGGAGGCGGAAAGACCTGGCGTCTGAGACGAGGATCTGGAGGGAGGCGCGGCTCGCGTCTGAACGACCTTGCGGATCTGAGGTTTCTTGGGTTGTAGAGAGAAGGCGCCTCCTTTCTGGAGGTGGTCAAAAAATCCCATGGGGCCCGGTGGTTGAGCCGCACTATTGGTGAAGGGCGGGCGGCGTCAGATCCAAACCAGTCACGGGGGAGGGGGCGACGCGTAAAAGATTTACACCAAAAAAGAAAAGAAAACCAAACGGGGTAGTTATAATACGGGGGGATGCATATGTACGATAAGACGACGGGACGCAAAGGAGCGAAGGAGTGAATGCACGATGGCAGCCAAAGAGCAGCAGAACGACGACAGCGGGCGGCGGAGAAAGAGAGGAGGAATAAAAAGCCGCGACGGGGGAGAGGGAAAGGCGCCGGCGGTGATCGATAACGCCAGCGCCGCCACTCCGGGTCCGCTGAGCTGCCCTTGCCTTAGTCCCGTGGTTAGCCCGGCCCCGACGGGTGATTATCTCTCTACTTATGTACTATATAGTTTCTACTAGACAAGAGACGGAGATCGGGGGTTCCTTCGGCGGGCGCGCCCTGTGGAAGAGGGTCTCTGGACTCAGGCAATAAATCTATCGGATTCCTGAATGGTCTTTCTCTGCTCTACCGGCGTGCCTTGACCCCCCGGCGACGACGTTGTCCTTGCCTACCACCTCCACCACCACCACCACCACCACCATGAACATTGTAGGCCCGTTCCGGGGTCACGTGAGAGACAGACGGCCCGACTGGGGCCGAACCGTAATAGGCAACAGGAAAACGACGTGAAACCAACATGCCAATAAACGAGCCCGCAGCTGCTACGAGAGCGCATGAACACATCGGGTAAACAGTGATGAATTGGTACTACTAGCAGGAACTTCCACGATGTGGAGACCGAAAGGGGAGGGGAACGACGGGGCTTTTCAAGGGGAAAACAAGCGATGTGTCAAGGGGCGGCCCGGCCGCTACAAGCAAGAATCAGCGTTTCTAGACAGATCGATCATATGTACAAGGAAAGTCAGGTCTACGACGGCTCCTGCCCTAGTCGGTTGCGGTGAAATACCGCTTGAACCGATCCGTCCGGGTCAAGCGCAAGTCCACAATGACCGAGTGGCAGCTCATCAACAGACTGGGGAATCGCACGGTCCAAAAGTTCAGGTAGCCTTCGGGCAAGCCGCCGATATGTGCTTTGAGATGCTCCGGCATGTCGTTGTAATGATTGCGCTTGTTCCGGAGGGCTCGCAGCAAGTCTAGCATCTTCGATCCGGTGTATTTGCGCTGCTTCCCGAGGTTGTCCTTGAAGTCCCGGGGGAGCAGTCGGAGGAAGTCCATGTCCGGGCCCATCACCCGCGGGGCCACCGACTCCAGACACAGGAGGGCATCCGACGGAGGATCCCGGGGTTCAAACTCAAAGTGATCCGAGACGTCGCAGAGGAAGCTGAGACGGTCGGATGGAGGCCAGAAGAACGGGTGTGTCAGAACGGCGCTAGCGTCCGGCCGTTGTCGGGGATCCAGCGACAGCATCGACTGAATCAGATCCTCGGCCTCGTAGGCGTAGTCGCCCAGACGTTGCAGCTCATCGAGATTGTAGTTACCCTTGACGATGTTGGCCTCGCGCATAAACTTGCCATTCTTGTCAAAGGGGTGACAGCCTCGCGTCAGAACGTAGTAGAAAACGCAACCCAAAGAAAAGATATCGATGGCCCGAGTTGCTCGCCGGTTGGTCTGGGGGTCAACGACGGCGGGCTCGGATGATTCGGTGTGCTGAGACTCGCTGCCCTGCATGGCCGGGCTCTTGTCATCGTCCACCAACAGCTCGGGGGCGCGCCAACCCGAGGTACCGGCCGCATGTGCCGTAGTGGCGCGGAACGAGCTTTGGTTGTCCTCGAGCTTCTTGCACAAGCCGAAATCTGAGATCAGCAATCGCAAAGAGCGCGAGCCAGTACGCCCCCGGGGCATCGCCGCCAGGATGTTCTGCGGTTTCAGATCGCGATGCACAATCTTCAACGAATGGAGGTACCGAACTCCCGCCATGATTTGACGTAGAACGTCGGGCAGATCCAAGCCACCCTGAACCAACTGGGGGAAATCCGATGGCCGTTCAACGACATCCTGCAACGAGGCTGGGCACAATTCCAAGGCAATGTAGAGGAAGCCGGCTGCCTGCTCCCGACAATAATAACGGATGACGTTGCCGTGGTCGTCACTCTCTTGCAACAGGCCTACTTCATGAGACGCGATATCGTAGAATTCTACCAACATGCGTTTGACGGCTACGTCCCGCCCATCAAATGAACCTTGATACACCACGGTTCCATGACTTCCGTGACCCAGAACCCGGTCGGTGAATACCCTCAGACGACCGATCTGGACGACGCCATCCTTCTCCATGATCTCATGGGACACTGTCCGAGTCAATTGTACATCAGAGTCCGGGCGAGACGGAGGCTCAAGATTGTTCACTTCGTCAACAACGCGATCGGCCGGGTCCCTGGATTCACTGTCGCCGGGCTTCTTGCCCCGCCTATGGTTCCTTCCACCGCGACGACCGCGCCGGGCTTTCTTTTTGGGCTTCTCGCCGTCTGGTAGATTCGGGTCGTCGAAGTCGTTGTCGGCGTCTGGGCCTTGTGATGGTTCCCTGATGCGTACGCGTGGAGTTGTGTCAGGGGCAAGGGAGTTCTGGGACTTCTTGGGCCTTGGCGTTGCATCACCGCCCTGCTGTTCCTCTTCTGCCATATTGACATCGATAGTCACGTTTGCCATGGACCGATTAGGGCTGACCTCGCGGTCCAGGTGAGGACCTTCCACAATCGGAGTCGACGGAGTAGATAAAGACGGTTGGCCATATGATGCCATGATATTTTTCAGATCCAGCTTCTGCTTGGCAAGTTCCTGAATGTGATGGGAGTTGAACCAAATAAATGTGCCAAAAAACAGTAGCAAGAGCGTCACAAAGATATCGACCGCATTATCCCAACCCTTGCGGATGATGGTACTGTGTCGTAGAGCAGGTGGCAGTGCTAACTCTGACGAGCTGTAAATCAGCTCCCGGGGGGTATCATTGGCGAGATCCGCGGAAGAAGGGGCGGAAATGCTGGGGATGTGACGGCGAATGATTCGAGGGCCGTTCAGAGAATGAACACCTGCCAGTGCATCTTGTTGCTGTTTCATATTCAAGCTTGTCAGTGGCTGACCATGGCGAAGGTAGTCTTTTTCGTAGCATTGTGCCATCTTGGCCCTTCCTGTGACAAGCGGGTAGGTCTCCTCCGACATGGCATACCAGCCACCACCCTCGGTACAATCGATGAATACTCGTTCGTCACGGTCATTAAGTGAGCTATAGTCGGGGTCAGGAGGCTGTAGAGGTTGCGACAGCAGAACAAGAGGAGTAGGCTCGTTGGAGGAATCGACACTGATGGGGCGAGCAACATCAAAGACGCGGACAACCGGGCTCGAAAATCGTTGGGTGTAGCGTGGCCGGTCCATCCGGGAATGGTCGAAGCCTAGAACAACGCCGTCATGCATGCTGTAAATATGACTTTCGTCCATTGTACGAATATACTGGCTCTGAAGATCCATATCACGGTTGTTGGCCGTCCACTCCGAGTACTTCAGCGTGCAGATCGGATCCCCCGTTTCGGTATTCTGGATGGCCACCGTATATTCGATCCGGCCGAGGACCAGCGTGCCCGAAGGAGATTCACAATCCTCCATATCCATACCCAGGCCATCAACCTTTCGACACTCCTGACCCGAGGGAATGGGGCCTCTGGAGCTAAACACCCGTAGAATGGTTCCCGTACGGGCATCGATGGTATAAAGCGTCGTCTCTTTTCGAGCCGTATACGTAACAGCAGGGTCCGTCCCCGAATACGGCGTTACATCAACCAGCTCCTTGACCGTCAAACCCAGTTTCTGGAGACCGGTATCCGGCCCCGAGCTGTAGATGTAGAGACTCCCTCCCTGGCTCGGCTCGACGATCCAGATAAAATCATCTTCTGGTTGTGCACGGTCGAAGCTCGAGCGATTGGCTCGATGGTAAATGCTCTCGACCATGGGGCTGCTCGGAACCTCGAGGGCCCAGAGGGCCGTGCCGGTCTTGCGGTCGCGTGCGTGAATAGAACCGTCGACGGTCGCCAGCAGGATAAAGTCCTCAACCTCCCAGTCCTGCAAGGACCGCGCGTGCAGCTGCGGAGCCAGGCCAGCGGAGCTGCTGACCTGGGCAGGAGGGGCTCGAACGGCGCGGCCAGAGCCCGCCAGAGCCAGGGTTGCTAGGGCGCTCGCATCGTTGGATTTCACGTTGAAGGTGGGAGGGGTATCGATGCCCGAGGTGAAACCGGTCGGTCGGAGGGGTACAGAAACGGTAGAAGCAAGGTCATGGTGCGGTTCATGCCACTGCTGCGGAGCAACAAGAACGGGAAACAGGAGAAGTGCGACACTGGCAGGGAGGGTCGACCGGGCGCCAGGCAGCCGCCACCACATGGTGAGGGACTCCAATACAGTAAAGCAGATGGGAAGAGGGACTGGATTGAGGAGAATCCGATGACACGGGAGGTGTCATCAGTCAGGGGTTTTCCTCGCGGGAGAAACGGGATGGAAGGTGAAAGAATGGGGAAAAGGAGAAGAACGGGAGGCAGCATTGAACGCTGCTGGTCTGATCGTGTGACGGGCCGGGCACGCCACTGGTCACGTGGTCCGATTTGCTCGGTTTGTTCTGGCCTTCGCTTACTTGCCTCGCAGGCATTCCCCAGAACCCCACGTTTGGAGTTCTTCTTCATGCCATCGGTGTGCGTACTACGTAGTACCCATCTCTTGCTTTATGCTTGACGGGGGAGCCGGGTCCGATCGTACGGGATCCCGTTGAGGCGGGTAGGGCGATCGTGGGGATGGCAACGAGGGCATGGAAATTCTACGGCTGCACCCTTGGGGTGGTTACTGAAGACGAAGCAATGGACAGCAGAGCACCGATTGAATAGAATAGAATAGGACAGATTAAGTATGCTCAGCACAAAGGGTATCATGATGATATCAAAGTAGCAAAAGGAAAGCGGACGACTTCCCCCACCCCCGGACAAACCCGTGGCAAAAGTCACCGGCAGAAAAGAACAAAGTGGGACCCAAGCACCAACCGCATCGCTATGCAATGACCAACGAATTCCCCCTACCACGCCTCTTCCACATCAAGAAGCCACTTGCGAATGCCCTCTCGCAGTGTGTTGTCCCCTCCCGTCTGCAGCCGCCGGCGTTCCTTGTCGGATGGGCCAAGCTCTCCCTCGACGTCTTCGCGGCAATGCTCCGCCGTCACGCTGCGGACCACCTCCTCGAGAGCGCTGAGAACGAGCTTGCGACACTCAGTCCGAGGAACCTCCACGGCCCGCGGCTCGTCCCGGCTCAGAACGTCTGGCGGGTGCTTGTCCTCGTTTCGGCGAGTGCGCGACGGCGACGGCGCCCGGGAGTGTTGCATGGACGACGGTCCGCTCTGGGCAAGAACGCGCTCCAGCGCATCCACGAGCGTCCCATCAAGATCCATGATATATTCCTCCACGAAGCGTTCCTCCACATCGTTCGGGCTAAACCCATCTACGGAAGAACTCGCATGTGATTGGCCAGAAGCCGTAGCTTGGGAAAAGAAGCTGGTGAGCTGCGACGCGGAAGCCGAGCCTCCAGAGATGTGGTGAGGAGTGCCGGGTTCAGGAGAAAGCTCAGGCGAGGTATTACGCCATGAGGCATTCCCGATCTTGCGTCGCAGCCGCAATCGCTTCACTGAAAAGGTTCGGACGTCCGCAACGAGCGTGGTCGCGACATCAACCCATCGTCCAGACCCATCTGCGTCCAGACATACAGCTTGACTGGAAGTTGGTTCGGCTTGCATGGCACGTTTGATGTCGGCCTCAAGCCCGGTATAGGGCCGTACTGCTTGAAGCACAAAGTCATCATGAAAGCTCTTCAGCCACCCAGCAACGTTAATATTAGGGCCGTCAGCGTCCCTTGGAGCAGACGGAAAGCCGGAAGTGCTGCTGTGAGTGGATGCCACAGCATCAACACTGGTGACCGATGTCCGCGTCTTCTTGGGAGAGGCCATTGTCGAGTCGCCGGAGGAAGAAAGGGACACAAACCCCGGCAAAGGGAGATCAACATCGACAATGCCATCGTCGCCTCGCACCGACAGTTTCAACGACGACTCTTTCGCTTGATCAGTGGCAGCTGATAGATCCTGGGCATCTTCTTCAAGTCCATGGTGAGAGTTCGAAGACTGGGGAATCGAAATATTGCTGCTCGTCGCCGTCTTGGGAGACGCTTCGGTGGGCCCGAGCGAGACATCCCGAACCATCTGACTTAGGGTAGGGGGATGACGCCTCGGAGGGTTGGCAAACGCCGAAACAGACCGTCTGCGGATCTCTGCCGGTGCCACAGCCTCGCCGCCGCCCGCGGAGGATTCCTGGCGTGAGCTCCACAGTCCGGAAAAAAGCCCCCCCCAGCGACCATTAGCAGACGGTACGCTACCATTGCTATTGAGAACAGAGCTCTCGCTTCTCTGAAGATTTCGCAGCAGATTCTCCGACGCGAGGCTGTCATGCCCTTCGGCCACTGCCGGATCCGATCCTGCCCGCTCGGAGCGGCCCTGAGAAGCAAAGTGCGGAACCGGAACAGTACTGCCTGGAGTGGTGGTCGACGTTGTCGCCGCGCTCGTATTTCTCGTGCGCATATCCTTGGCGTGTATCGGCACCCCCAGGGCTCTGATGGAGCGGGCATCGGACCCTCGACGCGTGGTACCGTATTCCGGTGTCGACAACGGCTCTGCCTCATCTGTCGAGCGATGCGCGGTCTCGCACGACGAGACGCTCACGGACCGCTGGTGCTGTTCTTTATCACTGAGAGTTAGGCGCTGCGCGCGGGACCGACGTTCGATTGCCCTCCGTAGGGACTCTTGCCGCAGAACCGGGACATTGGGCGGGCTTTGAGAGATGGCCCTGGTGGAAGCGGCGGTACCCGGTCGGATCGGAGAAGGAAGGGGCTCAAAGCGCTGTTTGGGGGGGAGAAACGCCGACAGCAGGAAGATCAGCCTCCGTGCCGTCATCTTGTCGGGGGAGATGATGACAGTGCGCTGGGCAAGAACCGGGTCGGAATCCTGCTGAGCCTTCTGTTGTTGATAATGCCGTTTTCGGTACCACTCGGGACCCAAGGCATTGAGCCACTCAGTATGATTCCCCAGGAACGCGGTGATCAAAACCAGGAAGAAAAAGCTGTGGTCTTTGTCTCCGATGCTGCGGATAATCGAGCGGCCCTCCTCGCGCCACACCCCCCAGCGACTTTGGCCCGTTACGACAAATGGCATTTGCAGTGCGGTGCTGATGCGACGGCTGCTGCGAAGGGCTTCGTCCCGCAGCCGAGAGTTCACGGCCAGGATATTCGCAGGCAAGTGAATAAATGTCTGGTTCGTTCGTTGCATGTTTGGAGGCTTCGCTGGCTTGGGATGCGTTCCTGAAGAGGAATCTACCTTTTTGAGCAGAAACAGGATCTCATTCCGCGACAGCCTCTCCAAGTGTGATAGTGTGCGGTTGATGACATCCCAATGATCAACTAGGAGATCAATCCGCTCATCCAAACTAGCTGGTGGTGATGCAAGTGACAGACTGTCATCGAGAAATCCTCCGCGAAAACGGTAGTCGGAATCCAGGGAGCAGGACATGCCGGGTTTGGGAGAGTCCGGACCCTGCCCGTTAAACCGAGAAACCGGCCGTCCAGAATTCCGGGAGAGAAGCGGGATCTGAATGGTGATCGCTACAGCATACATGGGGGTCTTCTTCTCCTTGATCTTCCGGCGTTTCGTAACATCGGGGAAAGGAAACCCCGCATTCGGAAGGGACTCCTGGGTCAGGGAGGAGGTCTGATCCATTCGCTCCGGAGACGCCTCGGCCCCCTCCGGTAGATGGACACTGAACATTCTAGTCAGAAGAATAGTGACCTTTGCGGGCGGTTTGGAGTCATTTCCACGGTTTATGCTGGCGAAAGCCGAAGAACTGCCGGTCGTATACGCCCGCGAGAGCGAATTGCGCGTTGCCGGGGATGTTGGCGCAGTTTTACCCGGCCCATCGTCGGCGGAGATGATATGCATCTTGGTTGACGATCCCCTATAACTAAACGCACTGCTGCCGAAGATGCAGTTCAACAGACCAGGATCATTCGAATCCGTGGAGTAACACGGGCCAGGTTCGTGGATGCTCCCCGCAGGCGATAATGTGGAACTACGACCACGGGCCCTCATGAAAGCGCCAGACGACATGGGTGGCGACCGTCGTGTCTCTGAGGCGACGGCGGAGAGCGGGCTTGGCTCCGCAGCTGACGACTGAGACAGATAGCCCCGTCGTGTTCCACGGGTGAGGTTTGAAACCGTTCGAGCATGCCTTGCCCCGTGGTTGTCGAACAGCTGAGGCTCCAACCCCAGTCCATGGGCTGTCTGATCCTGCGAACTGGCGCGGGTATCCAACAAGACACAAGCGTCTCGATCTCCCAACGCATTTTGAGCAATGATCACGCGGAAATCCTTCATTGGGTCCAATTCAACGCCGCCGCGATCATCATAGGCACCGGCCGTAGAGGCGTTCGGGGAATTGTAGGCTGTGTGCAGCGGGTAAGCGTGCGTATTAGAGCGCCGGAGAAGACTAGCATCGGGAAATAGTAGGCCAGACGTATGCTCTTCCTCCGTGACGGACTCCAGCTGGTGGGCGTTTTTGGCATTGTAGACCGCGGGATTCAAGGTCGCTGCCGCCGTGCTCAACAGGCGACCCAACATGATGGCGGTCCAGGGCGAGCCTGCGGTGTAGAAGGGAAGGTGAGAATAGCGATGGAAGAGGGGCCGACCACCCGAGCAGCAGAGCAAGCGAGTGAGAGAGATTGAGCCAGAAGACCAAGGCAGGAAACCAACAGTCAGACCGGTTTACCAGACTAGGCCGTAGCACCCCATCGTTCAATCCCGCCGAGAGACGACCGTGATCAAGCCATCCAGGGAGGAACGAAAGGGATCTGTTCGTTCACGCTTGAGGCAAGACACGCCAGTTGCAGGGAGGAACTAGTTCACTTAGCAGGTAGTTAGTGCCCGGGTGGAAAGGGTGTTAGTCAGCCGCATTTAGTCCGGGGCGGGTCACTACCAAAGCAAATCGACCGGAGAAACTAGCAGAATGCCCGAAAGGTACAACCGTGCAAGAAGCTGGGGGACGGGAGTGAATTGGCCAGCCAGGAGGGGGGCAGGCAGGGGAAATCAGGGAGGGGGTGAAAATTCTGTGGGTGCGATTTGCGTCCGGTCGCTGGCAGCGGGCCCCGACCGGTGCCGAAACAATCAACAAACAAGTCAACCAAACCCGCCAAGCGAACATGCACGCGTTGGGCCAAACCTATCTACAGGGATCTAGTACTGTGCGCCGGGGACGGTCTTCTTACATAGCCAGCATCGCCTGAGCGGGCACAATTAGGGTGCGTGGAATGTGACTTGACTCGATTGGGAGTCGCGAAGAAGTGACCTCCGTAATCAGCTCTAGGCAGTATGTACTATGTACAAAGGATACACGGTCGTGGGGAGAAGGGTCTTTCAGAACCTATATGAATGGTACCCGTCTGACGGCGCTCGTTGCTAGGATGAATCTTCCATGGATCCTCGGAGTAACCTGACGTGTCTGGAGTTCAGGCCCTTCCTTTGGTATTTCCACAGGGCGGGGTACTTGTTCGCAGACGTCTTGAACAACGACAACATGGCGTCTTCATCAACATACGCACCAGCCAGCCAGCGCTGGCCACTGTCGGTTTGAAACGCGCGGCGAGCATGCGCCACCCGGCGGTTTTCGAAGATGACACACTCGCCGGGCTTCATCTTCAGCTCGAACTGGTATTTCTCATCGTCAAGATATTTAGTAAAGGTGTTGAGCGCTCTCGCGAGAGTGCGGAAGTGAAGGGGATGCATGTTCCGCAGCGGGGCCTGAAAGGGAGGCGAATAGTTGACGTGGGTGAGTTGGTAGTTCTCACTCGCCTGATGGGTCGCATGACCTCTCACCGGTTTCCTAGGCCTCTCAGTCTGAAATACAGGCCACTCATTGGTGTAGAAATGATCCTCATGGTTGTATTCGTAGGCCAGGTTCGTCTTGCACAGATGAGAATAATAACCGGGATGATGTTTTCTCATGTCGTATGCAGCGCGGAATGTGTCCACAAAGAGGGATTCCCCTCCCTCGCAAGAGTTCTGCAAACAATGCAGGAGTTGGTAGCCAGGTGGGTCATTCATGTACATCAGGTCCATGTGGAAGCCAAGGAACTGGTTGGTGTAAGCAACGTTTTTGGCCTCGGCGACACTGCGCACATCCCAGGTGGATCCGTAGAACGTATTACGGATAGGGCCCATACGAGTCGCAATCTTCTCGACCATCTCGCGCGAGTCTGGGATGTCCTTGATGAAGATCAGGCCCAGTTCAGCGAGGGTGCGCATAGACCACGTAAATGCCACTTCATCGTTCATGAACTGTTCAAATGTGATCCAGTGCTGCCAGTGTTCCATACGGGCGTTATCCCAGAACGCCCTCCAGCGGAATTTACCCGCTGCCTCAGCTTCTCTGCGGTTGATGACGGGGTACCGAAGCTGATCCAGGTCGTACTCGGAATGGTGGATTGAGACCGGAGAACCCTCGAAGATATCGTGTTTCCACACCACGTGCAGCTTCCCGTTCACGATCTTGGGACTGAGGCATTCTAGGTCAGGGCTGATATCGCTGAGGCGAAAGTTGCGTTGCTTCGAGTGCGGGTCCACGCAGGTAGGGCATTTGCATGAGTCGCGAAGAGTGGCATCGGTGATTTGTAGTGGCCCTTTGGAATCTTCTGCAATCACAAGACCTTTTTTGGTCCTGGTTATTGTGTACCTGCTGTCCTCATACTCCACTTCGCCGGGAGACCTTAGGCTATATTCCACTGATTCGGGCGATTCCAGCGACTCTGTGTTTGTAGCTGATCCTTCATCCGGGTCAACCAGTAATTCGGGAGCGGAGTCCACGGGGTCAGTTAGCCTCAGTAAGATCGTCGGTGAGGGGTTAGCCTTATTTGAAGGGGGGAGAGCGTCAGGAGGAGGGGGGGCGGCAGGAGAGGAGTAGACGCGACGGCATAAAATCGAGGCCGGCGACCCAGAGGCCTGGAGAAGGCGGAGGGGGGTTCGCAACAGGCGAGCCATGGTAAGTAACGGCAGCAAGCTGACCTGCTAGACACCGTGTAGAGGCACGCACATACAAGCACTGCACTTTGTTCTGGAGGAGGTTGGGTGCTGTCGGAATTTGGAGATGCTGGGATGTTCGGAGCTTTGTCCGAGGCACCCGGAACCGGATTAGGAATGTTCCGGCCCCAACTACACGGGAAAGCGCTTTCGTGCAAGTCTAAAATTATAAATATGGAGAACGATACATGGTCGTTGGATGGAGCCGCAGGGGCGGGTTCCGTGATCCCCAGCAAGCAGAGTAGGTAGAAGATACACAATGGAATACATCACGCTAAATGCAAAGTATCGCCCGCTTTCATCATGATCATATGGAAGACCAATCTAGAGTCCGCTTACCGCAGGAACCTCTCGACGGCACCGCCGATGTTCTTCAGGTCCAGAAGGAATGTGTCGTGACCAAACAGCGAGACGTCCTCTCCGAGTTCGATGTGCTCGACATTCTCGTTCCCAGCAGCCCGAAGGGTTTGTGCGATTTCTCGCTGCTGCCAGGCGGGGAACAGGATGTCACTGGCAACACCCATCACCAGAACCGGGTGGTTGTTGAGGGGCGCAAGACCAGCGACAAGATCCCGCGGCGGCGCGTCGGGGTTAGCCTCTCCACCAACAGCCTGAGCCATCGCAGGAGTGGATGCCGTCACGGACGGTTGCTCCTCGTATGGCTTCTCCGGAAGGGTCAGGCTGCATGCGATGTCGCTTTCGCGAAGAGTCTTTCCTCCCTCGGCAATCTTAGCCTCATACTCAGCCCTCCGATTCTTGGTCTCGGATTGGTGGGCGTAGCCGAGGTCAAACAGGTCCATTGCCTTCGACACATAAAGTAGACTGTTGGGATCATATTCCAAGCAGAACTTCTCTCCCGCATGGTCCAGGTATGTCTCGATCAGGAAGTCCGGGCAGAGAGCAGGCTGCTTGCTGGGGTCTGCACGCTTGCGGCCGAATCGGTTCTCCCACTCCGGTCCACTCCGGTATGTGACTGTGGCGATCTCTCTGGCAAGCTTCATGCCCGAGTGAGGCGGGATCGAGTCGTAATAGAATCCCCGGGCCCATTTCGGGTCCATCATGAGGACCTGCCGCTGGGTGTGTCGCATGGCAATGCTGTATGGGTGGCTCCGCGCACATCCACTGATGCTGACGATCTTGCCGATTCGCTCGGGGAAGAGCACACCGGCAGCAAGACTCTGCATGCCACCCATGCTGGATCCGACGGAGGCGTACAGCTTGTTGATACCGAGAAAGTCGAGGAGACGAAATTGTGCCCGCACCATATCGTCGATGGTGAGAATAGGGAAACGGGTAGCGTATCGCTTACCGTCAGAGGGATCGATCGATGAAGGGCCAGTACTGCCATAGCATCCTCCGATCACATTGGTACAAATAATAAAGTATTTATCAGTGTCAAGAGGCTTGCCGGGCCCGATAAACTTCTCCCACCAGCCGGGCTTGGGGTTGGCTTCGGTGCTGTGAGCGTGGCTGGAGGCGGACAGACCGGTGTGTAGCAGGATGGCGTTGCTCTTCTCGAGATTCAGCTGGCCCCATGTTTCGTAAGCAACATCGAATTCCGGAAGCACACCACCCCAGTCCAGCAGCAAGGGTTGTTCGCAGTGAAACTGTTCGTGGTGACCGGTGGTGTAGGAAGGTTCGGGGCCCGATTGGAGTGACCGCGCGGAGAGTTGAGCGGACTTTGCATCCTGGGCGTCAAGACAGGGGAACGACATGGCGGGATTCGAGGCCGTGGCCGATTGTGACTTTCGCGACGGGGCATGGTGCAGCGGCCGATGGTTTGCGGGATTGACCGTGGACGGAGGGATCGGGATCCGACGACTTCCCGACAGGGTCGCAAGGCTCTCGCGCTGATTGAGCCGCGCAGCAACTTTCCACGCTCGGGGAGCCGAACGAGCGATGCCTGAGGGGCCCATGGTGAGCCAGAAACAACGTAGCGTTGACGAGCGTGGTTAGGGAGTCCGGGCAGACAAGAAATCCGGGGGGGGAAAATTATGCTGCGGGTGAGATGACGTGATCGCATCCAGTCGGCTGTCACTGCCCGCCCCGGGGTCGCCTGCCAAGCCGGACCGGCACAACAGATGATCCCACTCGCTCGCAGCCAGTTTCTATACGCGTGGCTTTTTGGCATGGCCTCATACGGGCGGGAATGTTGGATACGGCATTGTGCTTCGGATTCTTGCTTCGAGGGTAAAGTGCCTTTACGGCCAGTTGCCCTCCCATGGCCGGCACCATTAGGCTAATGGAATATGACAACTTGACTCCATACTCTCCCCACCTGATGGCACCACAAAATACCCCTGCTGCACCAAGATCTCCTGCCATTCGGGTTGGCCAGTAGCCAGAATCAGCGATGGGTTCGTGTCGGTCGGGAACCATCTTTCTTTCCGCGTGTGGGCTTTGCTACCCCCTTCCAGTGCCGCTCGACTCGCACGAGTCTGTCGCGCCCGTTTCGTATTACTCTGCTCCTCGGATACTCCCCCAGTCAGCCGGTGCCGATATTGCGCGAGACGGACGTCGTAGGCCATGATCCCTCGAATGTACGGGCCCAGGTCTTCGGTAATAGGGCCCAGACCGTTCTCAAATGAAGGGGCCAGGCGTCCCGTTGGTGCAGGGAACACATTGTCAGCCCGCATCAGGGGCGCGAAAGCCGAGAGAAGACCTGTCTGGGCTGTGTTCGTAGCTTTCGACCTGGCCACACTGTCCAGCACTTGTGCGGCTCGCATGGTCTCGCTATCCTGTCCCCCAGCCGGTCGAAAGGTTCTCTCGAGTAGCACTTCAAATGTACAAGCGATCGCAGTCGGGGTCTGCGCATAGTTCGGCATAAGGGCGGTATCCAGCAACGTATAGCCTTCAGTGTAATTCATCCTCTGCTTCTCGGGGATTGGGGGGGCTGAAATATCCGTGATGTCCAAGTCCGGGTTAACTGAGCAAGGGCGGCAGAGAAGATCCAGGACGCCCCTCATATCCGTCCACTCGGACGCCTGTTGTAGCTGATCAAGTCGTTCCAGATTCGACATGGCCGGGTCTGGTTTCAATCGCAACCGTGAAGAGTCGGGCCTGGAGTCGGCCATACTCTCCGACTCTTGCATGCTGAGCTGCCACCAAGTAAGGCACTCCTGCTGAGATTCTATGGCGGCATCCAATTCGTCACACATCAACATGTCGCGACCAAACCAGCCCATGTACGGCTCGTACGTGTTCAGACTGAGCACTCTGAGCTGACCGCCAGTCTTGTCGACGTCTGACCCTTCCGGCCATCGATCGATTATCCAGTCAAGACCCGACTTTTTGCTACCAACTGCCATCTGACACCAAAAGCCAAGTTCCATGATGGTCCGCCGAAGGTCTTTTCCTGTGCACGCATAGAGGTCTTCAACAGCATTTCGTTTGAGCATGTGGCCTTCATTTGCAGCCAGGAGGAGGATGTAGTCGATCGCGAGATCTACCGGAGGTGCTCGATAGCGAAGGATGGCATGGAACCATATGTCCTGAACTGGAATGAGACTTTCATCGTTACAGGTGATGACGATTGGCCGTTTCGACTGATTGATTAGTGTCAGGACTCCGGACCAAAACTGCTTATCCTCTTCGAAGAGAACATCCGCTTCCTCTAGCAATATCAGCGATTGCTTTTGATGCCGGGGCCTTTTCGAATCCGTCTCTTGAGAGGCGCTCTTGGCATGGGTTCTGGTGTTGCGCGTTGACTCTTCAGCAGCGCGCGATTTGAAAAACCCCACTAGTTTGTTCTGCTTCTGATCGACCGGTTCATCATCCTGTAGATCAGCGGCTGGCACCTCGCCAGGGTTCGGGTTATGCACTAGATGATTGCGGGTCATGTCACCCACGCGGTCCACAATGTCTCGGGCGCTACGGCGGTTTCCAGGGTTGATCTCGAATACTTCGAAATCGAGCTCCTTCGCCACCGCATAAACTGAAGCCGTTTTCCCGCATCCCGAAGGACCGCTGAGAAGGATTACATTGGAAACACGGCTTTTTTCCGCCCCCGACTTCGAACTGAGCAGGAAATCCCCGGATCGAATCACGGTTCTCTTGGTGGTTACATCGCCCGCTAGTTCATCATCAGAGTCATCGACAGGGTCCAATGCAAGCGCTTCATCCTCGCTTGACACAATGAAGCCATCTAAATTCTCCTTCTTTCGTTTCTTCCGTTTCCTTTCTTCGCTGTTCTTCTTCACTTTGTCATCCTTCTTGGAAGATTTGCCCGTGTCAACTGTCGACACCATTAGATATTGCAGCCAGTCCCGCAGCATGTATGCCTCTTTCGTCGTTTGCAGGACTTGCTGGGCTGATTGAGGAGCATATTTCTGGGTCCAATTCAACGTGTCGAACTCGCCGCGGTCAAAAGCAGTCATAGAGTCGGGAAGCAACGAATGGAGCTTCGTCAGGGCTGGGTGGCAGGATCCTGCGAGCGACTTCTTGTCGTCTGAAGTTGCCCACAGCTGTCTGACCACAGCTGTCTGTATCACCTTCCCGCTGGCAGCATGTCTTGAAGGGATCCTTGGGCGATGCGGAGGTTCAGAAGAGTACTTCCGTATTAGCTGTGAGAGCACGCTTTCGTTATCACTGATGCTGACCGCCGCCATCTTCGCCTTTCTTCGATCCCAATCAACGGAAGAGCCCGCTTTATCACCCTGTACACTGGGACATTCCGTAATACCCCGAACATGAACGAGATCGCGCGGAGGCCAGAGTGGCTGAATGGGTTCTGGAAATTTGGAGCGACGCTGTATGAATGACGTGGAAGCTGTGGAAGATGGAGTTATAGTGCCTGTTGAGCATGTGCCACGGCTCAGGAGAGAGCGAGCTGTCGACTCCGTTCCTGCGGCGGCTTGCGAGGGTGGGGGTTTGGGCTCCTGGGATTGCGCGGCTGGCGTATCTAGCTTGCATGTGGCCTTCTTCATGAAGAATGGATGGGTAGGCTTCACTGGCTGCTGTCTGACTGTGGAAGGGGCTGGGGCTGGAGGCAGAGGGGTCTGGTTGGGGGAGCCATGCTTCTTCTGGCCATTGAGTATACCATCAATCAGTCGTCCAACACGAATCCTCCCATCACCTTGCTTTCCATATTTGATGATCACCAATTTGCTCTCCGAGCTGGCAGGCCTTTGAGCATCCGCTTTGTTGCGCTTGCCAGCTTTCTTCCTTGCGGATTTATCCTCGACTTTGTTTGTCACCGGGGATGATAACAGTTTCCCGTTAGGGTTCAACTTGATCACTTTCTGCCGAGGGGATCGCCTTTTAGTGGCCTGTTCCTGGGCGGCGCCCGGGGGCGCGATCGCCTGTCGATCGGGTTCTGGGGTAGTCAAAGGCGCAATCGACCCTTGGGCAGAAGGGGCGCCGGACTCGATACCGGCGTGAGGTTCGGGAGATCCGGAGGCGTTCCTGGGGGTGCTAGCAGGTACTTTCACCCCCGGAGTCGCTTCTCTGGCATGAGACCGCGTGTTCTTGGAGACCACATGATCCCCCACTGATCCCTGGCCAGGGGCCGCATCGAGAGGCCCATCCCTGTCTGTCTTCCGTCTCTTTCGGCGGGTGGAATTTGGGTCATGATCTAGCGTCGCAACCGACGGGGCGGACGGCTCGGGGGAAGAGGATAAGGCCGGGGCATGGCTGGTGGATGGCGGTTGATGGAGGAGATCCGAGCCTTGGGGAAAGTGATGGGTGACGGGGGGTTGGGCAATAGGACCTGTAGACACTGCGAGTTCGCGTCGAAAGAACGGATGAATGGCTCGCGGCTCTCCCTGTCCCATCGTCATACTAGATGTAGATCACAACGGCGCGTCCAGCGGATGAGACGGTGCTCATCGCCTGTGAGGGATTGAATGAGGCCACCCAGATGGTAGAGACATCGGCTGCGAGGAGGTGAGGCAGGTCGAGGATCGTGGGGATTGCCCGGGTCACACTGTGCAGAAAAGGGCACCGCATCTACGGAGTACTCCGTACCCAGTGAGATGTATAGAGCCCGGACGGGGGAGAGAATTGCCCGGCCCGAACTGGTGCCGACCCAGAAGAGGCAACCAACCAATCAATCCGAGCAAACAAACACGCCCGCCGCCCGCGCCACGCGAACAGGGATGCGGGAGCGCGTGTTGCACGCGTTTGGCCGGGACGAGGTCAGGGAGCGAGGCCTCATGAAATTACTCCGTACAAGACATGGAATTGCTCCAGGAACGCCTGCACTCCAAGGGCCCGGCGTCTGCTATGCGATTCGGGATATCACTAAAAAGACGCATTACAACTAATCCAAGAATTCCCAAATTTCCCACTCAAGATAGCTCGCTTCATCTCAACAGCTGTACAAGTATGGCCGGGCCGACATGGCCGCCCCATCGCCCACGGCGAACTCAGAGAGCGGCAGTGCTCCGCCGCTTGGTCAGCGCATCGATCACGCGCGTATAGAACTTCGAGGCTTGCTGGCGAACAAAGGTGATATCCACGGTCAGGTATTCGGGTAGAACATCCACCAGCTCCCGGTCGCGGTTCTCGTCCAAGAGCGGAATATATTGGAATTCGGCAGATTCAAAGTTGGCCGATGATACGTGAGGGACAACCAACTTGAAATGAAGGGTTCCGTTGCTACCGGTCTGGATACAATCGTACAGATTATCCGACGGTCGCTTCTTGACGTCACGGATGATCAAGCCGGTGAGATCGGTGTAGAGATCTTCCTTCAACTGCGCGAACTGGGCGGCATGGGCAGCTTCAGCGGTTACCGCAGCACTGGCCCGGTTCACACCACTCTTGATTGCACTTCCCGGCACCTTGGCGGCGGCATTCTCAAGGCTTGCAGCCGTGTTACGGGCCGCAGCAAGTTTGGTCTGTAGCGCCTTCACCTCAGTCTGCGCAGAGGCGAGCTGCCCCGTAGCCTCCGCAGCTTGCGACTTCAGTCTCGCCACTTCAGCATCCCGTTCCTTCAGCTGCCTTTGAAGCGATCGGCTTTGCTGGCCAAGCGCTTTCTGTGCCTCCAACTCGGCCTTCAAGGACGCGATCAGGTTATTGGAAGCATTTGTCATGGACTCGCATTGTTTTCGTAGCTTTTCCATGTTGGCGCTCGCCTCGACAATCCCGATTTCTTTCAGATTCCGATACCGATTCTCTAGTGTATCACATTTCTTCGTCAATTCCCCAATCCGACGGCGCAACTCGGGCTCGATGTTAGCCTTGTCATCAGCCGCACCTCCAGGCCTTGATTTGGAAGGGGAACTGTATACAGATTGTCGGCGTTTGGTGGGAGACCGCGACACCGACCGGGATTCTATCGGCTCGTCCTGCAACATGGTCTCGTCTACAACGTCTGGAGCAGCGCCGTCTTCTTCTGGCACACGGGTGTTTTCCTCCACTTCGGCATTCCGTCCGGGTCTTTTCAGCGGTTCTGGTCGCTCTTCGGGCTTGTCCGGGGATTTCCGTTGCCGGCTATTCGATGGCGTGTACTCAAATCCGCCATCGGCTTGAACTGAATTTCTTGCGCTGGCATTCTTTCGTCCACGCGTCGGTGGGGGTTTCGTAGACTTGGTGGGCCTTGCGGGCTTCGTAACACTCTGCGAACCATCTAGCTCACCGTTCGAAACCGGTGCGCTTTCGGCCCCCTGCTCGCCTGCTTCCTGTTGGGATTCCTCGACCTCGGCTTGCTCCTCGGCGACTTCTTGGGTTGCCTGGACCGAAGTTCGGCTGCCCTTGGGCCTGCCCCTTCGGCTACTCTTCTTTGTAGGCGCATCAGATGGCTGCGGGGCGGCAATGCTGGAATCGCGCGTCACCTGCGTTGGCGGCTTCATCTCAGCCGATTTGGATCGCGGCCGTCCCCTTTGCTTCTTCGTCGGGCGCTCTCTCCCGGAGTCATTCGCCTGCGTCATATCCTCATCGCCGGACCCGGCGGGACCAGCAAGGGCGGCAGCGGCCTTTCTTTTCGGCATCGTAAAGACTGGAAAATACTAGTTGTCCGGTTGGAAAATCCGGGGAAGGGGGGAAAAGTCTGCGGGTATGCCTCGCGTCATGTTGCTGGCCGCGGGCAGCGGTGGGCACGGCCCGACCGGTGCCGAACAAACAAACAAACAAACACGCCAAGCTCCGGTTGGTTTCGATGGCAGCCCCGGAGAGGTGGCCCCGCCGTATCGCGGATGGAGGAATGCCCAGAAGGTAGGTTGGAGTTGCTGAGGGGATTCGGCTCGTTGACCCTCTTTCACTGCTTCACTGCCTGCAGCGCCGCCGTCAGAGGCACATGGTTGGCATGCCGCCAGTGCCGGAGGAGCGTGGGCGGACCTGCAACCAAGATACATCTAGGTATAATATACACGTGTATACATCTCTATCAGATAGAAAACCACTTATACGTCTCAAAATCCTCCTTCACGGGCTCCCCCTCGGGGACCTGGTCGGCTGTGGCCGGCACCGCCCGGGCCTCAAAGTCCGCTGCCCAGGCCATGTCCCAGACCGCCGGGTCACTCAGGGTATGTTCGGGTTTGAGGGCACCGAACCGAAAGTCCAGCTGTTCGCCGGCATCCGACGGGAGCCGCATGAAATAGCGCACGCAGCGGGGAATTTCCTCGCGGACGTGGGAGATCATCACGAGGGCTTGGTCGTCGGTCAGACCGCGAAAGCGGGCGTCCGGAGGCGCAGGGAGGACTCGAATGACGCGCTTAAGGACGAACTCGCCATGTTCGATGAAATTGAGACATTTGTCGCGCACGGAGGCCGGCATGCCTGAAAAGGCTTCGTCGAGGATGACGATGTCGGGCCGGTGGACGAAGGCGCGGAGGAAGAGGACGAGGCGTTGTTGGGCGGTGCTCAGCTCGCCGAAGCGGACGGTGTCGGCGTATTCGACGCCGTGATCGGGGTTATAGAAGTCGGTGTCAGATTTGACGAGGGTCGGGAACAGGTCGCGTGGGGTGGTGACCTTGACGGGTTTCTGGGCGAGGGTGGCGGCTTCGGGGTCGAGTTCGGCGCGGAAGAAGCGTAGGATGGCGCTGACGTCGAGGTCGCGCTCGTGGTTGAGGGCAGGTTTGGCGAGGAAGGTTTCAGCGAAGGCGGACTCGATGGCCTGGCGGATGGTGAGCTGGCGGGGGAAGAAGGCGTGGATTTCGGGGGAGGAGTGGCCGAGACGCGACTGCAGCTCGAAGATGGACAGGCCGGGCTGGCCGGCTTCGGGGAGGCGGGAGCGGCCAAAGAGTCGGATGGGGAGGGCGTATGTCTGCGGGTGGTCCGACGTGATGAGCGACAGCAGCGTCGTCTTGCCCGACCCGTTGGCCCCCAGCACCGCCCAGCGCTGCCCGCGCCGCACCTTCCAGTGGAGGCCGTCTTTCGCCTCGCCCTTGACCGGCTGTGTCCAGTCTCCCAGCACGCATTTCTCGCCGTATTGCACGCGGACGCCTTCCATCTCGATGAGCGGCTCTCCGCCCCGGGCCGCGTAGGACGGTGGGACCACCGTGACTCGGCCTTTACCCTGCAGCGGCGCCAGGCGCATATCCCAGATGAGCTGGCGATCGAGATGGCCGGCGTCGATGAACGCCTTGGCCTGCGCATAGGTCTCGTGCACCCATGGGTCCTCCCTGGCGGAGGGCTTCTCGTAATCGCCGAATTTCTTCCAGACTTTGAACACCTTCTCCGCGTCCGCGCGGGGGGCTTGTAGCAGAACCCGGTTCGCGTTCCCCAGGACCATGATGTGCGTGATCCAGTCCGGAAGGGGGTCCTGGGGCCGGAGGGCGAGGACCAGTCGGGGGTCGGACTTGGCGGCCAGGCGCTGGAGGAGGCTGGAGAGGCTTCGGACGGTGGCGGGGTCGAGGCCCATGAAGGGATCATCGAGGAGGAGCAATTCGGGCTTGCGGAGGAGGGCCTTTGCAATCCGGGTGCGTCGGGTCTGACCATTGCTCAGGTTGGCAACCGGCATGTCGAGCAATTCCTCCAGCCGGAGCTCGGTGATGATCTGTGTCAGCAACTGCTCATCTTGGATCTTCCCATCTTGCTCCGATTCGAGCGGATTCAGAGACGTCTGGCCCCTGAGGTACTGGCGGACCGACCAGTCAGTTTCCTCGCGGAGACTCTCGTATCGCGCGCTCAGGTACGCCCCGCGGGTGCCTCCAATGGCGCCAGAGCCTTCCCCACTGAACCCAATGTATTGGATGGCGTTGCCAACGAACCGAAGCTGGGGATCTTTCTGGGCGATCTCGTCGGTCAGTAGGTATGGATAGCTGCGCGCGGTGGGCGGCGTGCAGATGTATTGCCCGCGGAGGACATCGAGCATCTGCGTCCTCCCCGCGGAGCCCACCACGGCCCAGGTCTGCGGGGTGGGGCTGGCGTCCCCCTTCGAGGTCGAGCGAGAGGGCAGGGTGAAGTTAAAGTCGGGGAACAGGGGAGGATTGTGGCCTTGGACGGCATCTTCGGGGGTGGGATAGTTCTCGTAGAAGGTGCCGTTCTGGATGCGAATTAGCGGCGGCGCGATGGATGAGACCGACCGAGCGGAGCGAAGGAGAGTCAACGGCTGCAGCGGCCGTGCTCTCCAGGCCAGCCGCAACATAGTCTCGATTGTGATGTCGTGAGACTCGAGAAGTCGAGAGGAACGGTCGGAAAATCCGGGGGGGAAATTTTCTGCGGGTGCGAGCCCGTGGGGCCGGGATCAGACTGGCTCCGGCCGCCCCAGTCGATACTAAATCGTACTCCGTCGTCGGAGGAGGAGGAGGAGGAGGAGGAGTAGTAGTAGTAGTAGTAGTAGTAGTAGTAGTAGTAGACTGATGGTAGTGAATCTACAGAGTAGATACGTCCAATCTACTACCTACGACCGATGTCGGAGTAAGGAGTCACGGGCGAACAGGAACAGAAAGACAAGGCCCGATTTACACGGCTTGGATACCACACGCTGTTTAGGGAAATCACAAGATCGACACCAGTACAGCTAGGGACTTGACAACCAAGCCATTGCGAAAAGAGGCCCTCAAGTTCCCGACCTCGGATTCACATCAGCGACACCAATCCCACCCCCCGAGGCCCTGCCGTCCGGGCCCCCACGAGCCTACCCGGCATAGCATACTATAGAAGCAGCGCTTCGGGGCACTTAGGAAGGATGGGGAGGAGGGGGGGGAGAGATGCACGATCGAGTTATCTACTAGCAATCATAAAACGCTCAATTCCCGACGCCCATAATCCTCCCCATGCATGCCATCCTTCATGTACTCGTCACTGTCCGTTCGCGCCACGATCGCCGGCCGGATCTTCGTGCCCACGAACCCGCGGCGGTCCCGGCCGGTGCGTCCCCGTCCCAACCAGTTGTGTTTCAGCTCTTTACTGAGGAGCTCGATTTGCTCCTGCGCTCGGTCGCCCGTCTGCACGCTGGCCAGTACGCTGACGCACTGCAGCATCCGTCCTACCGTCTCCGTGATGAGGTGCGACGTGTCAGTGTGCGATGCCCGGTGGATGATGCTCGGCCACTGCGTCGGCGACGAGAACGACTGGAAGATGAGCTGGTCCGGGTTGGACGTGTTCGACGCCGCCCGGCTGCGGTTGCAGCTCAGCGAGTCCGACGAGTAACTGTTCGCGGCCGCGTTGAGCAGTGTCGACGACTGCGAGCTGTAGCTGCCGAACCCACCGTCCAGCGACGCCGCCGTCGTCGGCCGTCCGCTGTTGCTGCTGCTCTTGGTCGTCACGCTCAGCGCCGCCGGGCCCAGCTTGATGCTGTCCAAACTCAGCCGCGAGAATGTCGCCTTGAGAACGTCGTACCGGTACAAGATCACCATGTCGCGGAACGCAATCAACACCAGGTTGCGCACCTCGAGCTCACATCCCGGATACTCGCCGTTGAATGCCGATGTCCAAAATTCACTCGCTTCTCGTCGATTCATCACGGACCCGCAGCCCTTGAACTCGAGATCCAGCGGCAAGAAGACCGCCTGGATGAACGGTAGGATCGTGCCGAATAACAGCATCCATACCTGCACCAGATGGGGGACCAGCTTCTCATCCGGAATACCGTTCAACGTATGGTTCAGAGATGCACATCCGGTTTCTAATAACTCCCGCAAGTCATCCACCACAGAGGTGGGCGTGCGCTTTTGGACACAGCGCTGGATGTGGATCAGCACCAGCTTGTTGAGATCCTCGATTGCAATGCGCACATCCTCCCCGTCGAAGATAACCATCAGCTTGGCCTTGAGAAAGTCCCATGCATCCTCCGGGGTCATGTTATTCAGCCCAAAGCCCTGGAGCGTCTCCCGGAGAGCCGCCTCCGCCAGAACTCCCGTGGAGCTCCCCAGCGATGACGGCCCTGGAAATCCCCCGGATGTTCCACCAGGCCCCGATGAGTTTGCCACCCATTCCAGCTGCTCGGACTCCAGCGCCTTCTCTTCCTTCTTCTTCTCCCGCAGTCCGTGTAGTAGGTCCAGACCGCTCACACTCTTTCCAAACGTAGTCGTCACCGCACCTGGCGAAGCAGGCGTGAAGGAGTATAGCGACTGAGGGGCGTTCGGATCCGAAGGCTTGGAGTTGCTCGACGCTGATGAAAGTGGTAAATTGTAGTGGTCATCCCGATCCTTTAGGTCCTTCAGCTTCAACTTCTGCCGCGAGAGGAAGTGATGCTTGTGCTTATCCTTATCTTTCTCTTTCTCCTTTTCACCTCCCACCGACTTATCCGCTGGAACCACCGTACTCGCCGACGCATTGGAAAGGTTATACAAAGATGAGTTATTGGACGGAAAGGTATCCGCCAAGCTTGTTGTAGAGGCACTGACGATACGCGACAACCCCCCGCCCGGGAACCCCATTTTGCTGGGGGATGGTAAGCCCCGATCCTTGCCGATGCCGTCCTTATCGCGACTAATCCCAATATGCTTTGGCTTTGAGAACAACTTCATCTTGGATTTCTCGCCCTTGTGTTTATGCTCCCGCTCCACTGGTATCTCCAACCCGGGCGGCTGCAGCGCCGGATTGCGGGGAAACACCACATTCGCCGCTGTCGTCGCGGCGTGGGTATGGCCCCCCGTCGACCCACTCTGATACGGTGTCCCGGATGCACTGCCGGAGGTTGGGGGCGCAAACAACGGTGCTGGCGGCGGTGGGGGAGGAGGGGAAGCGCTCCCGCCTCGTCTGGACCGGGAACCGTCCTCGGAAACACCCCGCACGGTCGGAGGCCGCTTGGGGGGATTCTGTGGAGCATTCTGCTGTTGCTGGAGCATGGCGGCTTGGGCAGCGATTCGAGAGGCGGAGATGGTGGCCTCGGAGGACGCCGTGGGGAGGGACGGCTCAAAGAAGCCCTGCGAGTGGTGACGAGAGCGTCTCTGCAGCTCTGACGGGCCACCGCGACCCGAAGGTTTCCGGCTCAGGATCTCATTATGAGGCATAAAGGAGACGGGGGATCGGACAGTAGAGGAGGAGGAGGAGGTGGTGGTGGTGGTGATGGTGGAGGGAGCGGCGGCGGTGGTGTTGGCGGTAATGGAGGAGGTGCGTGGCGGTCGGGGAGAGGAGGTCAGCGACACGGCACTGGAGTTGAACGCAGACTGCCGGGGCGAGATGGTGGTCACATTGGAGGTGATCGAGGAGGCATCACTGCCGGAGGAGGCAGGGCGGGTATAAGCGTCGTCGAAGGAGCGGCGAGGGGGCTGTGGCAGTAGTGGTGGAGGAGGAGGAGGAGGAGGAAGTGGGGAGCGAGACGAGCCTCGCTCGGGTGACACCGGCGAGCGCAGCATAGTGGACACGGGCAGACTCACGAGACGATACGGTCCATGATAAGAAAGGAGGTCCCCGGTACGTACTCCGTGCAATGAGGAGATACTCCGTACGGATTGAGGATCTCGAGCCGTCCCTTGGTTTGCGCCACGTGACTCGGGGGGCAGGCGCCGACTGCCGATATCTACAGGAGAAGAAGTGGTTGCGAAGGAAGAACGATCTCGAAATGATAAAAGAATCATGACTATTGATAACCCTCCCTCCACTCTCGGTTTTCAACAAGGCCCCGTCGGGACTCTCCTCCGAACAACCTGCCAATGCAGCCTCAACATGACTACGCATACGGTCTACGCCGAGGAACTGTCGAAGCAGCTCGGGTCAGCACATCGTCCGCAACATAGTCGACCAGCCCGACGTGATCCTCGCAGGCCACCGTCCCAAGGTCCTGGGCCTCACATGCAGGATCTGGGAGGAGCATACTACTAACAGGGTAACACAGCCCGCGGCTCTGGCCGACGTCGAAACTGAAAGGGGAGGTAATCAGAAGGGTCGGGCGGTTCGTGTACCGAGCATTCAGAGTCAAATGTCCGTAGCACGTGGCCCCGGTGCCTGCAAATTCTGTACTTACTACTCCGTACCCTGGCGGCTCTGGACCTGGCCGCCAAACCCATGCCATCTGCCACTCGATATAATTAAGTAAAGGCGCTGGTGGTGGTGTGGTATTTGTTGCGTGGCGCGTCCGCGGCGGATAAAGACTCGCGGGCACCCGGCCTTCGGCTCGCCGCGTCGTGCTCATCCCCGTGAGCCAAAAGCAGAAAGGGAAAATCGCTCGATTTTCGCAGGAATCCTGTACAGTAGTATACATGCTCTTTATGTCCAGCGAAAGAAAAATTCATGAAACGCTAATCGTCGGTCAGGCATCATCCGCGTTCTTCGCGCTCTCGGCCGCCTGGGCGGCAAACTTCTCCCGGGCCAGCTCGAGGCGGGACTTGGGCTTGACGCCGGTATCGAGGCCCTTGGCTTTAGCGGCCCACTCGCCCCGGCGGCGTTTGTAGAGATCCAGCGCCCAGTTCCGCCAGACGGCGCGGCCGACGAAGGAATCTCGCAGAGCCATTTCGTGCTGAGTGAGTTCCTGGGCCATGCGCTCTTTGACGAAGAAGAGGTCCTGGGTGGCGGGCCAGAGGGCGTCGACGACGCGGGATCCACTGCTGTCTAACGCAAGTCCTTCGAGGTGGCCGGTGAACCGAACGGCGAATTGACGGCGGAACTGAGGGGTGGAGGTGGGGAGCGTGAGGGCCTTTTGGATGACATGCGAGGTGGTCGGGTCTTTGGCGATCGTGACGAGCGACTCGGACGGCTGGGCCAGCAGGCTGGAATAGACCAAGCCGCTGAGAGACCCCGGAGCGGTGAGCATGGTCTGGACGAACAGTGAGTTGTGTAGTTTGGCGCCTTTCGGGTTGGCGTCGGGATCGGGTTCGCCAGGCCTCTGCTCTTGCTCTCCGGCTTCCTCTGGCGCACCGTCGAGCCCGAGCATCTGGTGCAGGCGCTTGGCAGGGTCGCTGTCGTAGGCCGATTCGAGGACGCGGGCGATGGGCGCAGTGTCGACGCCACGGACGATGCACCGCTCAATCAGGGTCTTGGGAACGATCACTCGGGACCGCTCCACGAGGTTGGGGATTTGGGGCACCAGGAGTTCCACCGCGTTCTGCAGGTCATCTTTTCCCAGTCTCTCCAAAACCCGGAGCACGACATATCCAGCGGTGATGTTGCGCGCAAGTGAGCGTAGTTGATCGCGCATGAAGTTCTTGTAGAGTCCCTTGAACAGCTTTCCTGGCATACAGCGCACGATGGTCTCTAACAAGCGAGACCCTACCGGATCGTAGAGCAGCCCCCGAACAAAGACGGTGCTCTCCGTTCCCTCTTCGAAATCATCGTCTGGGATCAATCGTCGGATGATCGATTTGGCGTCCTTGGCACTGGCCTTGCCGAAATGGGAGAGTTCCAAGTACACCAGCACCTGAAGAACTGGGTTTCCGACCGGATGGGTAGCAAGTGCCCGGAGATAGGTGTCATCGAGGACGGAAACCATATCCTGCATGACCTGCTTGAGAGCACCCTCGAACGACTCCGGTACGCTCCTTTTCTGCGCAACCGGATTCTCCTCCTGGGTATCGGTGCTGAGAATGCCGTGTCTCTCCTTCTTCCGACTAGCCACGATCGAATCACTCAAGGACAAATCCACCGGCTCTCCTGCCAAGACGAGGAGAAGAACCCGGATGGTGTGCGACGCAAACCGCTCCGTCAACAGGTATCCCCAGTTTCCTTCCAGCTCCTCGATGACCTTCATGAACATCTCTGCCAGCGACAAGTCAGGCTCCGGCTCGTCTCCGTCCTCCTCGGTGTTTTTCTTAGACTTCGATACTTTCTGCGTCACACCAGGCGCTGCATTAATGAACAAGGTTTCGCAGCAGTGACTCGCAAACCGATGCTGAACAAGGTGCAGGAAATGGCCGATGAATTTGTTGAAGAGTCGCCGGATCTGGCGCATATCCGACATCGAGATCAATTTCTCCATCAGGCGGGAACACGACTGACTACACGCAATCTTCAGTTCCTTCCCCTCGGCTTCCTTGTAGACACTGTCGACGAAGACTCTCCGCTCCTCGGCATCGCCAAACTGGTTTGTTTCCAACACCTCGTTCGCCCGGGAAAAGTATTCCTGCTCCTCGGGGTCGAGAAGACCATAAAAGGGCATATCGCCGACCGGCGCACCCTCCTGGGGCTGTTCATCGTCCAGGGGGATATAGTCGGCTCCCTCCACGAAGTCGTTAGACACGTTAGACTCGTCGGTCGAAGGCTTCAATCGCTTGGGCACATCGTCTTCGGGGGCATCGTCGCGCTTCCGCTTGCTGGCTTCTTTGCTGGCCTTGTCGGCGGCTCGGCGCCCTCTCTTGACCTTCTCGCGAGGCATGCTTGGAATGTCCGAAATCGGCTGCGCAGAGTCCAGGCCAGTAGGGGAAGGTGAGGGTTCCGATCCGGGGGTGAAAAAAAAAATTCTGCGTGTTGCTGCTGGCTGCGGGTGCGGCCCGAACGGCGCCGAAACGGAATAGGCAAGGCAACCAAGAATTAATGAACCAAACAAACCAGTGGGACACAGTGGTCGGGCCTAGAACATCTTAGCCAAGCTCCAAGCCCGGGACCGAGTAGGTAGTAGTACTCCGTACTCTGTAGTTGCGAGCTTAGTATGGCAGTCGCCAATATGTATGCTAACCGGCGCTGAAATTCCGCTCGTTGTTTAACCACCCGAGTAAGGTGTGGTCCGATCTGAAAGATCCCCGATATATATGCACCGAAACCCCGCACAAGAAACCGAACTACTGGACCGGCGAGGACTATGCTGTTGTAAAGGCCTGTTGGTATTATGTTGGTTACTAGATAGGCAGTTTCGGGGGAGGGTCCGTCTTGTGTTCTATATATATACTTGGTATTTTGTTTGGTGGCCGCAGACCCCTGCTCTTACGGGGATTTGGGGGCTCCAGTTCAGAATTACGGAGACATCGGCCGACAAAAGGGGCGGAAGAATACGGTAGAGGGAGGATCTGAACGAAGTGTCTACTATAGCAACGTTCATCCGGGTTGAATAGGGAAGCGATCTGCCTGTAGGAGGGGTTCCGAAGGGACACACCGAGAACAACTGGTTGAAGGGGATATACAAGCGCCGACAATCTTTTCATAGCTAGATAGTTCAATCTTCCGCGACTTGCTTCTTGAGGACCTGCTACACCTAGCAACAGGTTGCTCCGCCTTCTCTTACTGACTGCTTGAGTTCACTAGATTGTGAGACTTGCGCAGGTAGGAAAGCAGGGATCGTATCATGATGTCAACGTTGCTTCCTAGGGGTGAGATACCGGCCGGTGGTGCCAGCCGCTTAGTGGAAAGCGTTTTGCACGGAGCATGTAGTGGCTGAGCCCAGCGGATATATCCCCTGAGTCACACAGTTGAGACAGCAAGAACTAGGCGAAGAGCATAGTCACCCATCAGCAGGTTTCAAGTCCGGGTGTTGAATCGGATCCCTCAACAGGAACAGAATGCCAAGATCCGCATTCCTGATTGTGACGCGAGGCGGCGAGCGTCCGCTATCGGGCCTGCCACATCTGTGATCCTGCTCTAGGGGGTTCAATGGGATCAAGGGAGGATTTGAGATGGGGTCCCCAGCGTTGTAAGTCCTCAGAGCAGGGGGCTCCTGTTAGGGGTTTTGGGCGGTCGGTGCTGGTGAGAGTAGTATCATATGCACTTCTCCTGTCCCTGCACAGTTTGCTAACTGACCAATGACTCCAAGAGATCTCACCTAGCCACCCATTATCGATACCAGACATGCAAGGGTGAGGGAGCTATACAGCAGGACACTCCCATGCATCGCGCTTGATCTTCATCAGGGCGGATTGTTTATGCGGGAAGGTGACCTCGCCTTCTTTGTAGAAGCCCGACTCTTGGAGGTAGGTGATCAATTTCACGTTATCCACCCGGGGTTCCAACATCACCGTCTGGGTCCGCGAATCTGCCAGCCAGCAATAATGCACCAGTGCGCTCAACCAGAGCGGCACACGATGTGCCCCACGAAATTCCTGTTCCCCAATCAAGAGGTGAATCCCCCGGTCGTAGTTGTCGGCCCCGCCGATCAAGGGCCCCAATCGGTCTTCCTTCACCCAGTAGAGCTCGAAATAGCCAAAAGGCTTACCATCCCAGCAGCCAATCACTGGGAAACTGTGCTTACTGTTGAGGTTTGTGCGGAGGAACTTCTCCTGGTGTTCGATCGGACCGGCTTCGCCCCAACTGGCATTGACGCGGGGGTCGTTCATCCACTTGTGGAGAAGGTCCAGATCCGATGGTCCCGCAGACAGGGGCTGGTCGAGGCTGCTGGTCGAGAGATTTGGGGTGTGGCTCGGGGTGTGAGTCCCAGGGCCTGATGCCAGGGGTCTGCTGACGGATGGTAGATAAGGGACTCGGAAGGAGAGGTATTGCTGCACGCTGGGGATGTAGCGGATGTAAAAGACGTCGCCCTGGTGTGGGGGCTTGGGGCGTATGGGGTGACGGATGCCGTTGGTGAAGGTATATTGGGTCGGGGCTGGGGGAAAGTACGTGGGGAGATGGCTGGTAGAGGCAAAGGGCCCCTCGTTGGGGATGTAGTGGGCGACTTCCTGACCGGCGGTGTGGCTGAGGTTGAAGCTGTCACGCGAGGGCGAGGCCACGCGCTGGATGAAAGGAGAGCCAGACACGGCCTGGGGGATGGACTGTGGGCTGAGTGTGAAGACAAACAGACGGGGATCGATCTGCCAGAAGCTGCGGCGACTGATGAACATGTTCGCCCAGGCCTGTGGGTCGTAGGGCTCAGCACCCACCGAGGAGTCCTCGGAGGCGATGAGACCCATGCGCTCGAGCTTCTGGAGCAAAGTGCGGCCCTTGAAGAAGCCTTCCCGCTTAATGTATACACGCCAGTCGCCTTTGGGCTGCCCAGCCGCCGGGGTATTGGTGGAGGCATCAGTCTGCAGGCGGCTGTCGGGCTGGGGCTCGTGGAAGTACCACCACAGGGTGACCCACAGCATCATGGCAATCTGGCGGGTGGGCGAGCTGGCGGGCTTGTAGTCGCTGCTGGGAGGATCGACGATGTAGGAGATGTAGAGGAAGTCGTCGCGCAGGGTGGGTGCAGTGAATCGGGTGACACGGGCGCGGTGCTCATCATCGCGAGCTCGACCACGATCCTCATCGGGGCAGTCCATGTCAGCCTCCGGGCGGTTGGTCGAAAGGACAATGTTCCAGCCAGGAGGGACGATGGAATGACTTGGATTTACATCGTTGGACTTGAAGGTGAAACCACCGAAGACGGGGGAGACAGTGAAGGACTGCCCGTTAGGCAGGTGACACATGTGGTTGCGCATGTTGCCGGACAGGAGGAGCGAAAGGAAGACCTGGGAGAGAGGAGATGAGAAAGGATGGGAGAGGACGAGGGAGGAGGGGAGCGAAAAAGGGAAGCGTTTAGGGTGCAGCCTTGAAGGCCGACTGTGTGGGATGATGCGCTGTTGCCCCTCACCGATGACGATCGCGCGGCGCCAGCAGCGAGCTGCCTACACCGGCCTGGCCACTCCGAGATCAACCCCGTCCGAGATCAGACTGGGGGCTAGCCTGGTACATGTCTTCCTGGAGCGGTCAATGGGCCCAGATGGCAGCACAAGGAGGAACGAATGCGAGGACCAGCTGCAGGGAATGTAGTGGTGGGAAGGATCATAGAGATCAATGCCAGCAGCTTTCAACGGTCACCTTCTCCGGCGTGGGTGATTGGTCCCGATTCGTTGCAGAATGTCTCCGCCTTTGCACGCCTGGATGCCTTAATGCTTCGATATAATTCCTATGGGATATCCCCTAATCAGAGTCCCTCGTTATCACAATACCCGCCAAGAAGGCCGGGCGGGATCGCGCTCGGATCACACCAAAGAAGATGAAGAAGAAGAAGTGGGCTTGTCATTACTAATAAAATACCGTAAGTCAAATCACATGTGCTCTCATAGGTGTATCGATACACAGTATGAAGTCGCCTGTGAGTGACGGAGACCGATTCAACTGCAATGATCCACGAATGAAGTTTTTTCTGGCAAGCTCTATTGTAGAGCTAACATCTGGGCAGCGACAGGGGTTATTAAAAGTTTAAGGTTACAGCAATTATCCCTGAGGCTTCATCTTAAATCATCCCATACTTCAATCAAATTATAGCATGCTGTAACTTGCCAAGCCTGAGCCGTGGCTATTGATTGGTCCGCTTTTGGCACGTTTTGGGCCCGTTGATTGGCCAGATGTTGGCACATTTTGAGCCCTTTCATTGGTCAGCTTTTGGTACAGTTATCCCTGTTGACTACTAGTACTTGCGCATTCCAATAATCTCCTGCACTCTTCTTCATACACCTTTTTTCTATATCACTCAAGTAATTTTGCCAACTGTCATACTCTTTCTTCGATAACAAGGGCGGAATAAGAATCAGGTTTGACAGAATGGTAAATCCATTAGGGCGCGCAAGCGCGCCCCTTAAGGCCTTGTCTCCGGAGTGTTCCATCTGCGGAGTATTAAGCACCAACCTTTTTCACAATTCTAGGCCACATGGATCTCATTCTCAAGATTATAAAGCTGGCTATACTCCTTATATCTATTTCTATCCGGGGGTCTAATCACTAGAATCACTTTTATATTTCTAAAATGTGCGCGATGTTACGATATGTTTTCTGTTAGTCTGTTAGCACAACCACCGAAACTGAGAACTCCATATTCTAATAGTATCTTTACGATGAAATATAAACTTATCAGTGTAATCCTCAAATCGGTCCTCTAGAGCCTGCGGGTTACAGACTAGTTACTTAGTCTTTAATATCTCTGTGATGTATTTTTTCACCGTACTGTTGATGGAGACTATACATACGACTAGCTAAAAGCCCAGCGAAGAAATGTCTAAGAAAACTATAGCTATTTGTTCGAACCCAAGTCGCATATCAGTCTTGATTGAGCGTTCAGTTGGTTGCATTTATATAACTTTAGCATGGTTAACTCTCCTATCTTACATCAGTAGTATATAGTAGTTTAATTGGTATCATACGAGAAATATATCTCGAGAACGTTTACCCTTAGACCTTCATAACTTACTACCCACTTCTGACATCTCTCACTGGACATGGTCGTTTTACAATAATATGAAGAAATCATTACACCTATCATAATCTGGACTAGCTTGCTACTGTGATCTCCCACATTCAGGACACTAAATTATTCTAATAGAGTGCAAAGTCAAATCACAGTCAGTTCAGTCCTGCCATGAAGAAGGCTCATGGCGTGATCGAATCTGTGCTGCAAAGTCTTCGAGTTTTCTTACTATCCCTAGTCTGGGTATGCACGTTGTGGCGATGTACCCAAATTAGAAGGAGAAAAAGAATGCTGCACCCATGTGACTGTCCTGCCCGTCCCAACACACTGGATTAAAATTGTGTGGAACGGCGATCATAAGCGGAGAGAGTGTATAATTCTAGGTCCGTCTAAAAAAATGTACGAGACGCCGGATCCAGTGTATAGACAGAAACCATCTCAGCTACAGATAGGTCAGTGCCTACCGCCGGAAATCATCTTCAGTATATGCTATGACTCGGTGGCTGCACGCTAGCAGAGCCGGCAGCTGTACCAAGTTAACAGATGTGATAGTATATGAACATGCCCTGCTTAACAAAGCAGGCCGAAAAAAGGATATTTTTAGGATTAAAAGGAAGGGGTCTTCCGTTGTCCTGAAGATTAGTATTGAAATCACTGTTGAATGACCTGTCCAGAGGTCGGTACAGGCGGCATGATGCTTGAACGTAATGGTTCGCGGAGTGTACAGGGGTTCCTGATATTGACTCTACTCTTGTTCCGTGGCAGTAGGTATTGGGTTAACGGTCTGCATTATCGCTGGCAACTGTAATCCAGCTCGTTTCTTCGAAGGGAGGCAGAGAACACGAGAAGACGGGCGGAATTAGTGATTGAGAAGGCGAGACAGAGATAGGAGTCGCGAAGAGGTGAGTCGAACGAAGAGAAAATATCTAAGCAGCTCGTGCTTCGGGAGCTGCTTTTTCCACTTGCTCTTCCACTTGCTCTCCCACTTGCTCCTCCAATTCCTCCTCAGCGGAAAGATCGACGGCCGCATTCTCATCTTCGGTGCCATATGAGTCAACGTCTGCGTCGGCAAGCAGTTGTTTCTCCTCCTGCAGTTGCTTCTGCAGCGCAATCTGTCGTCGGAGAGAGGCATCCTTTCGGAGCTTCTTGTTGGCAGAGAATTCGGTCAATGCCCTAACCATCCGCTCCTCCACGAGCTGCTTGACATGGGAAGCCAACGTTCTATCCGTGAAAATTCCACCACACCGGTAACTGAGCCACAGATACAAGATGACCGACTTATGCAGGGTTTCCAATTCGTTGAGATATTCTTTGTTACCGGACACAGGCTCTTCGAGAATCTCGAGATTGAGTGCATCGATATCTAACAAGCGACCGTCAGAATGGTCGGCGACGCATTGGATGAAGGCAACGGCAGCGTCGCGCCCCGCGATGAGCCTGGTGTGCATGGGTGAGGCCATGAATGTGAGCTGGTCTGCCATCCGCAATCCGTCAACGGAATCAATGACCTCGGCATTCTCCAGCTGGTTCCGGGGATCACACAAGAAAAACAGGGGGTGAACCTGCGAGACCACCATCAACCGCTTGATCAGATATTCCAGTGGAATATTGTCCGGGAAGTATGCCGCAATCTTCTGGTAGACCGAGTCCGGAGGGATGATACCGGCCGACACGAGCGGAGGGGGTTCAGACTCCATTGCTTCGCGGATATAGGGAAGATCGATATCTTCCAAGGAAGTCACCCAGCCGATGTTTTCGTCACCCGAGCCATCGGCCTCCTGCTGCATGGCAGATCGATATCGTCCAGCCCGTCCCCCAATCTGCTTGACCTCGGGTACGCTGAGTCTCTGGAGCCCGCCCGGGACTCGCTTGATCACCGTTTCGAATATGACACGCTTGCAGCTCAAATTCAGACCCATTCCAATGGCGTCACTGGCAACGAGGAAGTCGTAGTCGTTGTCAGGGTCGTTGAACAGACGGGCTTGTTGGGTCCGGATCTCAGCCGGCAGACTGCCGTAAACGATGGCCGCTCGCTTGCCGGTGGTCTTTTCGATGTCGGCCTTCAACGCATGGATACCAACGCGAGAGAATGCCACCAGACAGTCTCCCTTCTGGAGATTCCTCAGATCACCCTTGAGACTTTGATTCTGAACCTTCAATGGGTTCAGACGTTCGTAGCGGTGGATCTCGAGTTTGTCGCCCGTCAGAGCAGCCAGCTCCTTGATCAAGGGTACCGCCCTCGCCTCACCGCAAAGATGAAGTTCCGTGGCCCGCGCCCCGAGCACCGCACGAGTCCAAGCCCACCCTCGATGAGGGTCCGCGATCATCTGGATCTCATCGATGACACCCACCTCGTACTGGTCTCCCAAGCTAACCATCTCGACGGTATTGCTCACAATTTTCGAGGGCTTCCCATCCTCCGGAAGCTTGACATCGTCCCCGGTGATGAGACTACAGGAGGTCCCATTCGCCTGGAACCGGTGGAAAACCTCCTGTGCCAGTAATCGCAACGGCCCAGCGTAGAAGCCACGATTGGACTTTTCCAACCGCTTCAGTGCATGGTATGTCTTGCCTGAATTTGTCGGTCCAACGTGCAAATGGATGGTTCGCTGCACCGCGCGTGCTTGGGGGTACCACTCTGCTGGCCGTCGCAAATCCGCCACTTTCTTCTGTTGTTCGAGATTCGGCGCCGCGTATTTGGTGGTGATATCCTCCGCGTACATGTGATACTCCAGTTCATTTGCGAGGCCCCGGAGTCCGTTCCGAAGGTAGGCCTTGAGCAGCGTATCCTTGACGTGGCGTAACGGACCCACGCCTTTCGCGCGCTCATCCATCTTGCAGGCATTCAGCATCGTCCGCTCGAACCGGGGCCAACTGGCCAATGCGGGATCATGCTGATCCGACAACGTCTGCTTGTAGATATCCAAGGCGTGAGAGACGACAGCGGTGAAATCTTTTGCTGCGAGCGTTTGCCGGGTGTTCCTTTTGGACGAGTACGGCGCGGGCGAGGACCGCTTGACCGGAGCACTGCCATCGGATTTATTCTCAGCTTTCCTGGTCGATTTCCTCTGCAGCACCGGAGATGTCGCAAAGGTCCGCCTCACGGGAGGCGACACCCACTGGAAGGTGCAAAAGAGGCAGTGACCACCTCTGCTGCGCCATGACTGCATTCCTCCAAAATGTGTCGGCGACCAACGTGACGTCGAGCGAGTCGAGCGATTGGCGTGGTGGTCGAACGTGCGAAGGCTTCTGCAAAAATGGGGAGGGTCGCTGGGAAGGGATTTGGACGGGGTGATGCCAGAGAAAACCAATCACCGCATCGTCCGGCGCAAGCGGACGCAAGGCGCAGGCGGCGTGGAGTTCAATGCAGCAGGTAAAGAAGTTGGCAATGAATTGGGATCCGTGAGGACTCCTAAGAGGGACCGGTGGGAAGGAAAATTCTGCGGCTGCACTCGCGTGTCCGTGAGGGCGTGAAGCTGGCAGTTGCTGGGTGTGGCTGCGGGCAACGGCCCGAGCGGCGCCGACGCGGAATTACGGAAGAGGCAAAGGCCGTCCGGGGCAGGATCGGGACCGGAACAAGCGAAATCCCGGCGGACGCTACAGGGTAGTTTGGAGTTGTTACAGGACAACCAGACTGACACGCTTTAAGAAAGACACTCGCTAGAAGAACACCATCAAAAGGAAATAAGAACAGATCAAGGGATTTGCAAGCCTCCGAAGTCGAACCGGACCAATACCGACCCCAAGTCTATCAAGGCATCTATCCACTATACAGATATACCCAAAATGATCAGCGCTGGGAGCGCTGCGACCGCAAGGTCGATTGACGACGAATAATATCGCCATTCATCCATGTCTGGCTCGCCCGATCTTTTGGATCCAGACTCGTCGAGGCCCCGTGTTCGGGCCGAGGCTGGGATGGCTGACGGTCCATGGACATCTGGCTGAGGCTGGAGGCGCGGCGACGCATGCGCCGCTCTGCATCTGCAATCTCGTTTTGGTTTAGAGACTCGGACGGCAGGAGAATAGCCCGGTCCAATGCATAGGGCAGGCCGCGATGCCGGCCACGGACTTGCATGGCAATGATGACCAGCTTGGAGAGAACCTGGAATTGGCTGGAGAACGACGCATTGACACCGGGGTACCCGAGCGAGAGGCCAACCGTGCCGTACGCGGAGACGACCTCGAACAGCACCGCCCAGATCTGGAATGAATACTCGTCCTGCTGCTCCAGGCGCTTGCCTTCGACGATGGCGATGATGAACAGTCCCAGGAATACGTACCACAGATCAAAACTCAGCTGCTTGCGCAAATGCGCTCCGATATAGCTGGGAGGCGTCTGGTTCTCGTCCGAGTCATCTTCCTCCGAGGCGTAGATCCCAAGACTCTTCTCCTCGTACACGTTGGTGCGCCGCAGGGAGATGGCGATGGGAAACACAGATATATACATCATGATCATGTAGGACACTTGGACAGCTGGATGGAGGTCTGAGACGGATACCACGGCGAAGCCAGCGGTTCGAGTGCACGCTGCCTGGAAGAGACCGTCAAGGACCCGGATGCCAGTGGACAGGGATGTGACCGTGGAATCATTCAAGTCCAGGATGATGAAAAAGATCAGATCAATGCCGTTCATGGCCACCAATATCGCAAAAAGCCACCACGTGGCATTCCTGGGAAACAGCAGCGTGAAGCACCGACGCGGGTGGTCCAGCAGAAAGCGCAGTTCCTCCCACAGCGGAGTTTCGGCGCGGGTGAGTTTGGACAAGACCCAGATGATGAGGCGCAGCATACAAGGAAACCCGGTATTACCGATGATGATCAGGAAGGTCATGAGGAGAAGAGGGAAGACCGCGGTCTGGAACGACGCCACCGAGTCCGGCGTGAGGGTGAAGCCGACATCGTTGAAGGCCGACTGAGCCATGAAGATGGCCCACCACGGGCGACCCTGTCCGATCTCGGTGACCACTTTGCCCCAGTGGGTTGTCATGATCCAGGGCACGAGGCAGATGATGCCCAGGATGTGGAAAAAGACATAGTATGAGATCAAGACCACCGCCAGCGTCTTCAAGGCTCGATATTCAATTCCGCCCAGCTCATCGCGTTGCTCCTCGGTCAAATCAACAAAGTTGGAGTTGCGGCCCACAGTGGCATTCCAGCTGAGGTATGGCTGGGTCGACCGGTCGCGTTCCTGGGTAAGAGACCGGAAGAGATTGTTCAACGTCGGTCGCCGCGTGGTGGAGCGGACCAGTGACGAGGGATCGCCGTCGCCCTTGGTCTCGCGGAAGGTGGGACGAGTATCTAAGCGGGGGAACGTGGAATTTCGAGTCCTCGTGTGGATCATGTCCGGCTCATTGATGGTAATATGCGGGCCATCCAGTCTCCGCGGTCGGTCCTCCTCGTCGTCGTCATCAGCATCATCCTTTCCCTTGCCATCCTCGTCCTCTCCACTGATGTCACATGGGCTTCGTTCGGGGTCGGAGGAACTGCTGGACATCTCGACCGGCGGTTTTGTCTCCTCCTCGTCCTCTTCCAAGACCTGTGGCACGCCGCCGTTGTCATACTCCCGAGGACTAGGAATCCGCAGGGCGCCCTTGTTCCTCCGCTGGTTCTCCAAGAACGCAATGTGGTGTTCCGGACTCAGCTGTGCTGGCATACGCATATTTTCCAAAGTTCTCCCTAGCCCAACTCCTAGTTTGCGATTGATGGCACTGCTCGGATCTTCGTTTGGAGCGTCTGGTGGCCCCCCAGCGGTGGGCGACGCAGGCGGCGAGTCTTCCTTGCTAGGTTTCCTCCTCGCCTGCTGCCGGTCGCCTGGCTGACCCAGGGTGTCACGCAACACGACAATGGACCGGCCAGCGATGCCAGCCTCTTCCCGGGCGGGGGACTGCCCATCCTTGTCTTCACTTATAGTCCGGAGGCGGGAGCGAGTATGACGGAGGGCGCGCGCATCGCTGGCGACATGTTGGAAGCGCTTTTCGAACCAGTAAAGACGCACGAACACGAGAACAGTATGGATGAAGATCGGGGTGGTCAGCATGGAGACCAGGTACAGGATGATCTGCTGGTAGGTATGCAGGGTATTGAGGTCCACGGTATTGAGGCCGCTCTGGGTGGCGGCGCCGGCCGCTTGGAAAAGAGCATCGATGTAGGCCAAATCGGTACCGGGGTAAATAATGATCGATGCAATGAAGGTGATGGCGATGATGTAGACATAGTGGATGAGGATGAAGTTCATGCGCAGGGTCTTCAGCCATGGAATGCGCGCCGTGAAGCGCGAGGTGACCGTACTCGCCCTCCGCAGGACGGTGGAAAACATCCTGCGGTTTCACCCGCACGGGATGAGGGACAGGGATTTCGGGGAGAAAACCGGATGGTCAGAGGAACAGAAGAATAGCGGGAATTTTTCCAAGAACGAAGGGGGGGGGGGGGAGCTGCCAATCCAGGATGGCGGCCTGCCGATCGGATGGTACGTAAGTGAAGGCAAGACCGGCCGCTGCAGGTCAGGGACCCACGATTGCAGCACTTGGGAGCGAGGGAGCGAGCACCAGCATGATTCGAGGATACTATAGTACAATGCGATGGCGGGCGGAGGAGGGGAGGCCAACGAGAGGGCCGAAGACGGCAGCGGGTGATGGGAACTCTGCGTTCAGTCTGTCCCGGCTCCGAAAAGCAACTCCCATTGTTCCTCGGGGCAAAAATGCAAATCGCGTGCAGTCGAGGGTGGTGAGGCTCCCGCCGTCACCTGGCTCCATCACGTGCGGCGGCAACGTCATGTGATCTGTTCGGCCGATGCCTCCCGTCCGGGAAACCTTATATCCGGGGAAGCCGGACGATTCCTTTGCCCGCAATTTGACGGGAGTCAATTGAGTAGTATTGAGAAAGAGCGGCAGCTTGGAGAAACCAGACAAGTAATGGAGTATGTCTATCTTCTCGTTCTCAATATTAGTGCCACTACTCCGTACTACCAGTCCTACTCTTTCCGCATCGGTCTAGATGGCAATCCCCCTCCAATTCGTAAGATCTCGTACGTAGCACCACGCGCCTTTGCGTGGGTAAGGTCACACACATGCACAAAGACCCCGGGAAATCGTGCACCACCCTATGAATCATATACAGCCGATACAACGCCCTACGGCAGTCCAGTAGCAGCCGGTCTTACAACTCCGATAATCTTTACTACCGCAACAATCCGGCAATACCGCAGGGCCTGGCAAAGAGGTTATCGGAGAAATACATCCAGACAGACTACTTGATAGACGCCGACGCAGACAACACATCCCTCCCGCCCGACCTCCCAGCAGGTCTGACTGGACGACGGTACCAGCTAGGGGATGGTGAATATTCAGGATTACATACTTGTCCACGACTGGGTGTGCCCGGCAGTATCACAGCCTCGGGGAACTTGTTACCCTACAAATGCTCGTTTGCTCGTGACCCTCCTGGAATGGGCACTCGGGATCCAAATAGTGTGGCCATGACATAGCGGAAGAGAGTCGGAGGTTTGGATAGGCTCTGCAAGCGGCGGCAGCGGTGGGATGGATATGGGGGCTGCGCAAACGTGTCCGGCGGGTAAACTGCGGGCATGGGGTTTGAGGGCACGGTGTGGGTGGGATTCGAGCGCGCGCAGCACCCAGATACGGGTGAACCAAGGAATGAGGGGAGGACATGAGGTTCGTGAGGGTCAAAACGAAGGGAGCTAACATTGCGGGTATCGTGCGGTAAATGTCACTCTATATCAGCGGCCGTAGCGCACCACTCCGTGGACTCCGGCCCACACTGCCCTCATCGCGGGATCGAGTCCGCGACTCCACCGTGGGAAGGGTGCCACTGTGTGACGCCCGCGAGGTGAGTCCGGGCGGGAGTGTGATGTGATGACTGACCACGCTGGCGGGCAGCTCCAGCGACGGGATGGAAGCTTCCAGCAGTGACGTTGGCTCGACCCGAGTCGACGTGGGCCGCGCGTGAGACTCACTGTAAAACTGGTCCAGTCGGACGGGGTCTCGGCAAAAGTCCACAAAACCGTTCAGGATGTGCTCCGGAGCGCGATAGAGGTTGGCTGAGTCGAGGGTTGGCTGACCCTGGAAGCGAGGGCTACCGACATCGTGCACGGGACGCGCCATGGGGGAGAGGCGCGGGGAGAGGCGATCGCCAGGATCATAGGTCCCCGCGCGCGTGCGGAACTGGTCGCGCTCCAGGCGCTCGTGTCGGGGAATATCGCGACTCGGGGTGGTTCGTGTGCTGACCAGACGATTGGCCAAGAACAGAAAGTCGCCTTCGTCGGTAATCTGCGCGAGGATGCTCCCCGACCGATGGATGTACTGAGGGTACCGGTAATCGGGAATGCCCCACGAATAGGACACTTCCACATCCGCAGGGAAGGCGGACCGCGCCTCGAAGTCTAGCACAAAGTCAAATTTGCGCAGCAGAGCCTTCTGGAAGTAATGGCGGTCGGGCGCCACGGGCTGTGTAAACGTGGCGGCCTGGAAGAGACTGGGAACTGGCCCCTTGGGAGGGGGCACCTTGAGCTGGACTCGGTACGGCTTGCGGAAAGGCTGCGTCTCGTCAATCGCGCAAGCCTCCGCAATGGGAACCTGCACGAGTTTGAGGCCAAACTTCTCGGCCGTGGAGGCCCACGAGAGTACCGCGTCCTCAATCAGTTTCGCCGTGGTGTTCATCCAGCTGAGTTCGATGTGGAAGCAGTTGTCCGGATTGTGCAACCGATCGTAGTGCAGGTCGATGACCTCGGGCCGATTCGATCGTTTGCGAGGGTCGACATCGTACTTCATCGTCTTGGACAACATAATGGCCGCCTTGTTCTTCAACTTCGACGGCGTGTGCGGGACCGGTTGTGGCGCGGCCTCATCCAGACTCTCCGATCGGGAATGGCCACTGATGGGCGAGTCTCGTGGGTTATCCCCCGCCGGAGTCGAGGCGATGGGCTTGTCTGGCCGGATCTGAGGGAACCAGCCACCCCGGGATTCCGGGCGCGAGGCGCGGAATTCGCTGGAGATCTGATAGAAGTAGTTACCATCCCGGAAATTGTGACGCTTCTCCACATGCTGGAAGAGGCCGTGCTTCATCAGTTCGTTTCCGAACTCCACCGCCTCTTCTCGACTGTCGATATCCCGGAAGTTGTGGAGAAGCCAGGTGGTCAGTTCGAAGCCAATGAAGCAGTTGTAATGCAATCGCCAATGCCATCGGCGGTCCATCATCCGCACGCCCTTGTCGCCCTGGATCAGTTGGGCCAAGGATGACAGCCCAATGCTGGACCGCTCCAGCAGTTCCGACTCGGGCAATAGCTGCGCCGGCGAGTTGTCCAGTCCGGGATCCGTGAGCAGGATTCGGTCCAACTCGGCCGCCACGACTTCGGATGAGTTCCGGGTTTGATACATGATGTTCAGGGGATTCTGCTCCCGCTTCTTGCTGGACGTGTCGAAGAGCTTCTCCTCGGGAGGCACGTACTTGTGCCGCTGCCAGATGTGCGTGAGTTGATTGATCCCAAGCAGATGGATCTCTTCTTCGTTGTCTTCATTAAAGGACTGCAGTTGGCGCCGAGCGTTGACTTGTAGATGCATCGGAATCAGCACATAGCGCGCCCGCCAGAATTGCAGCTGCTGGGCCGGGCTGAAGAGGTACTCGCGATGTCCCGCCACATAGTTATCTGCGTAGTTCCAGTTGTATTCCTCCATGGTCGAATCCAGTCGGATATGCTTGACTTCGTATTGCGGGCTGAGAATCGTTCGCATGGCGGGGGAGTACAAGGTGAAGTTGTTGATCTGGGGCGACGCCAGCACGGACGCGTTCCGATGGGTGTATCGGGTGACTTCGATCTCGGCCCCATCGATACATACGAGCCGATGGATTGTGTTTCCCTTGGACAGAAACACGGTGGCCCCGTCTCTCTCCAGGCTATGGGTATCGAACACGTTGGGCGCTTCCAGCGAATACTGCCCGGACACTTCGACGACATGCTTCCCAACCACGATCTGGAAGCCATGGGAAAGACGCAACGAGATCATCTCGCGAAGAAGCACGCCTCTGGTTCGGGGCGGCTCAATACCCTCGGCGTCGTCGTTCGGGAAGACCCGATAGGGCGTTTGGAAGTAGTCCGACGCGAGCTCGCTTGCCGTCGGAAATTCTTCCGTGGTCAAGGGCAGAATAGCGGGCGATTTCAAGCTCTTCCACTTGACCACGGCAACATGCGGAGGTCTCGGATAGGCATGTTGCCAACGCCCAAACCAGCTGGTGTCTCGCAAAACGTCTTTCGGGGTATTGCACGGGTTGATCGAGCGAACCCAGGGTGCCAAGGCCTTGCTCTGCGGGCTCTTGGAAGCCGCGTCCCGCGAGCTCCCATTCACGGTCAGGGTAACCCTAGGATTCGGCCGTTTCGTTCGGCTTTCAGGGCGAGCCTCGTCGGATATCGGGATCTCCGTGGTCGTGGTGGAAAAGGATTCCGTGATGGGCCGTTCCGCCTGCTCGGGATCCTGAGAGGGCTGCTTTGGGGGGACCTTGATCGAGATCGGTCGCGAGGGGGTGATGGTCGAGCCATGAGCTTGCTTCTGAGGTGTTGTTGGCGTCGACGACAGATCGATTACAGTCTTCGTGGACGCCGAGTCCGATATGCTGAGGGAATCCACGCTCCGAGAATCGGCAAGCATGCCGGCAATTTTCTTCGGGTTTGATGTCGACTGGCCTTTCGCGTGCTCGACATTGACTTCCGTGCTCGCCTGGGCCCGGGGCGGAGTAGCGCTGAGACCCCGAAGGGCGAAGCTTATCGTACGCGATATCCGCGGCATCCGGGTTGCCGAGGGCGCCTTTAGGGCAGGCTTTTTCGGCGATACCGTCCTGGTGGAAACGGGATTCTTGGGCACTGGCAGAGTCGCATCGATATTGCGAGGCGCCGAGAAAGTGGACTGGGCGCGTTCGCTAGAATTGCTCTCATTCTCCCTCAACCGAGTCACCGACCGGGCAGACAGTCGATCGTGAGCATTCGACACCTGGACCTCGGGCTCACTGGTTCGCTTCTGCTTGGGAGGCTTCCGGCGTTGACGCCGGTGAGGAAAAGGTTGGAACACCGCTTCGTCGTAATGGTCCATCCACGTGAGTGCGGAATTGGAAGACTTCCTTGACTTGGCCAAGATTGCGTCCTTGGAACTGGCTATGTTCTGGAGAAACGGCTCCGGCCGGAGACTGTCACTCAACTGGTGTCGGAACGAGGTGTTCCGTGTAAGAGGCATATTTGCTGGGCTCAAGCTTGCTGGACTCAGGCCCATCGCAGGATTCGATCTTCGAGTGACTCCCTGCCCCTCGAGTAGATAAGGGATGGAGATGTTCGACTGTTCGCTTTCCATCACACCCATCATCTGAATCTCATACATCCGCACACGCGGGACGAACACCTTTGATTGCTTGGTGACGGTAAAGGGAATCGGGGCATTAGGGTCCTTCTTCAGGATGCGTCGAGCCTCTCGGTACGTTTCGGGGTTCCAGTATGAGATGTCGAGCCAATGCGGAATGCCATAGTTCCACTCGCTCAAGCGTGAAGACCAGTGCCGTGCACTTATCCCCGGAAAAGAGCTATGCAGGGTCGATTTCGGCGAAAGGTGGGACCCCCTGCTTGCCAAGCTTGCAAATGACAGGCGCGCCTCCGGGGAATACCCCCCCGCTTGGATGTCGGCGCCATACGAAGGGCTTGGGGATTTCTGCACGGGCTCGCGGTATTTGAACAGGGGAACGGAATGAAGTGGCATGGGACTCAGGCAGACCAGGTCAATGGCAATGCCACGATTCGTAAGCGCTTCCGTGGTCGAGGCTAGAGACTCATATGACACCTCAAAGACCCCACTCCCTGGTGTGATGACAATAATGGAGGTACCCGTGTGCACCATGTCGCGATCAATATGATCGTATGCCAAGTGGGACGACGCGAGATGGATCGCCTCGAGAATGTTTCCGCGAAGAGCGGTACTGGGTCGTCCGGCAATGGTTGCAGACTGGGCTTTGGGGGCGACTTTGACCCCATCAATGGTCGGCGTTTTCACATCGTCCGTTGTCTTGAGGATCGAGACATCCCGCAAGAAGGTCCGGAAGTCCTTCTTCAACTCATCGAGGATGGTGGTCCAGTGGCCACTCGCCATATCATTGACCACTACGCGATAGAAGTCCCGCGTTGGAGCTCCGTTCGGCGTGAATTCGTTGGTCCACGAGTCGGTATTGAGACTCGACGATGGTCCAATGGCCGACGGATCATACTCCACGCGGGTGAACAACACGATGGTGACCAGGTGCCTGGCATCGGAACTAGCCCACCGTTTGAATAGCTCCGGTAGGAAGCCATTGATCACTCTGCTGAAGAGGATGTCCCCCGTCCCTTCCGAGTCGAAGTCCCACATCTCCCGCGACATCTGGATGAAGAGGACATATTTGGCGGATTCGCTTCGGAACACGGGAATGGTCTGCGGGGAAAAGAAACCGGAAAGGACCTTCTTGCCCCGAATGAAGATATTCTTGACCGTCGCTTTGATACTGCCCATGAAGACGATCTTCTGGCCCTTGTAGACAATCTTCTCCGACAACTCCGACATGACCAGCCGCCACATGTCGGAGCGGACCAGGTACTGATCGCGAAAGGAGATGTCCACATGGGACGCGGAGCATTGCGCCCGCTCCACGATCGAGATATGGACGGCGGAGCGATTCTTGAAGCCGAAGATGTTGGCCACGCTGCTCGTCACGGAGAGTTCGAGCTTGGAATGGCGGGACTTGATCTCCTGGGGTAGAGGCTTGACGACGAAGAGACATCGGCCCTGTAAGGGGGTCTTGAATTTGGACCTGGGATCGGCGGGCAGCAGCGAGGTCAAATCGACATGGCTGCCGCGCAGCGAGCGGGCGCCCAGCTCTGCCTTGGCCGAATGCGGAGCATCGCCGGCGAAGCGCGCGGGCAGGATCTCGATGATATCGCCGACCTGCACGCCGGTGTCACTGAAGGCGGCCTGATTGAACAGGATCTCCTCGCGGGAGAAGGTCTCGTCGTGGACCCACAGGGAGCACTGCCGGCGATCTAGGCCGGTTGACGCGAGTCGAGGTACCTTCTCATCGGGAGTCGAGGAGCGATCGCGATCACGCTCCCGAGGCGTCCCACGCGGGGGGAGCTCCAAGGTGCGCGAACTGGAGAGCGTGTCGATACTGGCGGCGCTCACCTGCCGGAGGTGCGAGCGCTTCATAGGCCCCCGCAAAGACATAGTGTACCGTCACCGTCACATAACCATTGTGCACGGGGTCCGAGGAAGTCCTGCTGGGCGAGACCGTCCATGGAGGATCGATAACAGTCATTTAGTACTGAGCATCAATTAACCTTCCCTGGAGTTGGTTGGGGGGTGCTCACGTGATGTTGCTGGCCGGCCGGCGCGGCCCGAACGGTGCCGAAACGAATCGAGAAGATGTGTGGTTGGAATGGAAGGGGGGTATTGCTGTCTTTCTGTCAGGGTCTTCTAGTCGTAAAACAATTTACTGGAAAGAGGGTATAGCGTGGAGGATAGTATATATTAGAGGCCTGTTGAGAAAAGTCGCAGACTAAAAATATAGTCGGAGTCTGGTAATGACATACTTTCATGACTCGACCAGATTGCCTGTGCGAAGAAAGGAAGTAAGGAATGTTTCCTAGAAGGGATACGTGGTTTCCTGTCAGTCTGACTTGGCTTGCAGGCAGGCATACGATTAAGAAACTACTGGCACGCGGGATCCGGCCCGTCGTTTGAAAGCGGACAGCGGTTTCATTCAGGATTCTTGGTTCGTACGGTCAGTAGCGTACAGACATAGGTATACACGACCCGGTGCTACCCCATGCGCCAAGAGGGTGACCACCAACTAACGGGGGAGGAGAGAGGAGCAAAAAGCCAGCAAGCCTCTACCTATCACTCTCACCGCCGTCGACACTGCTCTCTTCAGCGGCATCATGTGGAGCCCATTTACCCAGAAACCCCTCATCCCTAACCGGATCTCGGAGGGCCATATGATGGGACCGGGCCCATTCAAGGACCTTGGACTTTCGAATTAAGACGGTTGCGGCATCCTCGCCCAGTCCCGCCTCGCCAGACGCATCTCTCGTCTTGCGCCTTTTAGCCGGCGTAGCAGGCTCAACGACCCCCAGGCCTTTGAGAGCCGTGATGACATCCTCGGTCAACATACCAGTCGCCAATCCAATGTCCTGCACTGTCACGAGCTCGTGTGATGGCTTCCTCTTCGACTGCTTGGGGGATTTCTGCCTCAGCGGCACGGACCCAGGCACCTCGGCTTCCCCGGTCTTACCAACCCGCAACAGTAGATACCTGGCTATTCGCTCCTCCCAGAACCGGGTATAACTCCGACGGCCCAACTCACTTAGCGGACGCTCCGGCCCGCCGATTAGCCCGCTGTCGCGCTCCCAGGAACTGATCTTGTAACTCACGCCCATCAACAACTTTCCAAGCTGCTTCCGTTGGTATGGTGGGAAAACGAGGATGCAGGCGAGATTGTTGGCATCCCAGGAGAGTTTCTCTTTCGAGAAGAATCCTAGGACGTAATAGTTGTCGGAATCTTTGGGGTCGGTGAAGACGAGGAGGTAGTAGAGAAAGGACGCGACATCGAAGAAGACGGATTTATGGTCTAGGAAGAGCTTTGCGAACAGAGAGAGGTTCTGCGCGTATAGTTTGTGACATTCGCCGTCCAGCTCCCACACCGAATATCCGCCATGGTCGTAGACTTTGGTTCCCGGCGGCGTTGTTCGGTGGTGGCAGCGTCGCGCATGCTGCGCGTAGGCGAGGCTGTCGCACGAATAGCAGAAGCACCACCGACAGACGTACAACCGGTCTGTGTCCTTACTGACGAGATCTTCCGGATAGATGGATTGGAACCAGGTCGGGAAAAGGAGGTCGCCGAGTACGACGTGCTTGACGTTCCGGTCGGTGGGCGGTTCGGCGCACAACGCAGGGTCACTTGGAGCCATTGAGGAGGTGGACGACAGGAGGAGCGAATGGCATCAGTGCGCTGGTGGCGCCCCCCTGAATGATGTGTCGATGCTCGATGGAGATCTGATAGGGACGCGGTTCTGCGGAGATGCCATTGGGGAAGGGCGCATGATGCCTGCAGTTGTCGTGGAGTACTACGGACGGGCAAATCACGGGGGCGAGGATCCTGCGCGCTCGGTCACGTGATGCCACGGGCCGCGGGCATTGAAACAAACAAGTACAAGCACAGTTTCGGGCTACTCAGCACGGAGTGGACATCTACTCGGTACTCATCGTTTCCTATCCCGCTTCAAGGGGGAGAATCCCCCAAATCCACCAAACCCACGGGTTTGCCCACTTGGGGCGGCCTGCGTGTTGCGGCCCGTACTCAACCCGACTTTACGTCCTGGTTTGCGGACATCCTCCGGCTCCAGCTCTTCCTCCTCCTCATCTACGATCATCTTACTCTGGGCCCCGAGCTTGCGCCTCTTCGTCCGGGCCTGCGGGTGGCCGGAAACGAGAGCGCCAATTGACCCGATATCATCGTTATCAGAATCATCCGCTGCTGGCTTCATATTGCTGGCTTTTCTGGACGCTCCTGCCAACTTGGGTTTCTCCAAGCGTGGCTTTGCTTGAGTCGGGCGGTGGTGCTCTTGGGGCTCGGCTTGAGGCACCTTGTGTAATCTGTCCTCCAGGTAAGAAGTCTCAAGGGCGGAATCATCACCACTGAGATGGGTGACGTCGTCATTATCACCCTGTCCGCTGGTGCGATTCAGAAATGGCGTGATAGAAAAGGCCGATTTATCGCCAGGGAGCGCCGTCGGTTGCTTTTTCCCATCTTTGACACGGACGGCTCCTGGCGTCGCGATATCTAACTCGGGGTGAAATCGGCCCGAGAAATCCTTCAGAGGCACTTTTCTCGTTTGTTCAGCAGGTCCACTATTGGATTGCATGCTGATTTGAGCCTGACGTAGTTGATCCCTCGCCGTCTGCAACTTCCTATTTAAGACCTCGATCTCTTCCTCTAGAGCAGCTTTCTCCGACTGCCGCAGGCTGTTTCCTTGGTGGACGGACTTTTGCGCCTCGGCTGCGATGTGCTTGCGTTGCTCCTCAAGCTTGGAAGATAGAACTGATATCTGTTCTACCTGCTGGGCTTCTCGTGCTAATGTAGATTCGTGTGCCCGCTTTTCATTCTCCAATTCGACTTCGAGCGTGTTTATATGCCGGTCAAGCGTTTGTTTCTCTGCGACCAAGATCTCCGGGTCTTGCAATCGTAGTCTCTCAATTTCGGACTGCAGACTAGTCACCTCTTTGGATAGACGCAGCTTGTCGGCGATAAGGCTCCTGGATTCGACCGTTGCGTTACCCATCGATTCGAGTTCGCGTCGAAGGGCCTTGATTTCATGAGCTGTAGTGTGAGCTGAGCGTTGCAGGAGGTCGCGCTCTTGTATTGTCTCCTGCAACCAAGTACGGACATCCAGCTCGGCGGCTTTAGCGCGGACCAACTCCTGTTTGATTTGGTCCATTTGCGATTGCAGGTTTTCGTTCTCAACTTGCAGAAGCAGATATTCCACTTGCGTGATCCGGCGCCGTTCCACATCCAGAAGCTGAGCAGTCTTCGCTAGAGTTTTATTGTACTCACGCTCGAAGAACGCGGTTTTGAGGGCCATTTGGCAATCCTCGATAGTATACTCAGACCCCTGGCTAATAAGCTCCATGGCGACGGGCTGGCGTCCAATGTCAAAACCGGTGAGGGAAAGGGAAGATATAAGTAAAGCGATATTTGTGGTCCGATCTGGTGGTGAAATGGAGCCGCATAAGAGTATGTATAATCCAAAGGTGTTGGTGTGGGGAGTACGGACTGGTGATTAGGGGGGTGAAGATCCTGCGGGTGCGCTCACGTGATTCTACTGGCTGCCGTGCAATGAAACAAACAAACAAACAAACAAACAAACACGCCGGCGGCGGCGGGCCGCGCCAAAATGAAAGAAATGACGGAGCTCTGAAGCGGGGCGCCGTTGTTCCTAAAGTGGGGTACGGAGGTCGGTACAAGCGTCGACTCCCCACGTGTGGGATACGCGTTTCCCGAGGCCTCGGTGCTGGCATAGGCGTCAGGGAATGCCAGGCGTTGCGTCGCGCTGGCTCGCATGCTCGAAAGACCGCTTGCAGCCGCGACTTGGAAGGTGAGGAGGCAGAAGTATAGGGTGCTAAGAGGCAAGCACAATTAGCGATCCGGAAGAGCCGTGTTGGCTGGATGCAACTGAAGGTCAGACAGTAATTGTTTGGCTTATGTTGGGCATCGAAGTAGATGGAAGCAAAGCAACGAAAACACGCGGACAATATAATACATGTCGCGCGACAAAGGTCTCGTTTCCTGTTCATCTAATGAGAAGTTCTTTCTCACCGGAACCTCCCCAATCGACGCGGTTAAGATCAAAGTCAGCTTGGAGTAAACACTCTGGGAGTCCGAACTCATAATTAGGGTCAGTCCAGTGCCGGGCGAGTGCATCGGCGGTTGCTTTGTCGACCGCCTGGCGAGGTGAACGCGTCAACGACTCGTAGTAAGTCTGCGCTAGCTTCAACTGACCGGCTTGTCGGTACAGGAAGGCTAGAACCAACGCAGAGCGGTCATCCTGTGATCTCTTGCCCAACTCGAACCACTCCAAAGCTAAAGCATTATAATACGTATAGGAGGGCAGACCCAGGACAACGCTGGAGTAGATGGACGCAAGTCTGCCCTCCTGGAGCGGTCCTGCATCTATGGGTCCTTCCGTCGGCCGAACAATCTGCTTGTCTCCCCGACGAGGAAACCGTCCTCTGGCAGTGAGATAATAGAAGCTGCCCAATGCGTGAAAAGCTGCAGACAGACCACCGGTTGCGGCCTGATTCATATACCGTTCGTACGCCTCCAGATCACCCTTCCGAAGCATCATTGTCGCATAAACAGCAAGGGCCGCGGGCACTTGATAATCCACTCCGAGCAGACGACACAACTCTTCCTTGCTAAGGCCCCAATCAATACCCTGCTCCCTCGCCTTGTCCTGAAACTTCGTATATACCTGCCATAAATTAGGTAGACTGTGAAAGAAAACAGGCGTCTCGACACCTTCTACCCGTATTGACGGGTAGATAGTTGTCATAACACGGTCCATCAACGCCATCGCGTCCTTGTATTCCCCTCGTCTAAATAGAACATCCGAGTGAAGGAGCATAGCGCGAGGCTCGTGATCGTGCAGTGCCATTGTCTCGACTTGGTCAAGAAATTGAGTTCGCAGGGGGTACTGATCAGCGGGCTGTTGCCGCACGTACATGCCTGCGACAAGAAGGGTGGGTGTTGTGGCGCCCGCGAGAGCGCAGGCGCTGGTGAGCCAATGATAAAGGGCTTCGTTAGCCGGGTCGAACAGACAGGTGGAGATATTCCAGACTTTCTCGACATCTGCAGAGTCGCCGGTGTGAGCCGTATATTCTGCTTCAAGGAAGGCTGCTATATGATGGCCTCGCCTCGCTTTTGCGGGGGGGTGGATCGACTCACCTGTCGAAATGCTGCGAATTGCATGTGCCGATGGAGGCTCAGAATAGGCAGTCTGTAACAGGATCTTTGCGACTCTTTTATACACTTCGAGGCTTAGCTTCCCGCTCTCATAGCTCCCCTCGAAGCCGTAAGTCTCCTTCCAATCCTTGTAGTGGCGATCCACGGTCGTTTCCAGCCTTTGAAGGGCTTCTGAGAGATGACCACCGACAATGCCACTAAATATAAATTCCCTTGTGAAGATAGGCCGTCGCCTCTGGGAGAGAGTCTGTCGAGCGATGGGGGATCGTGCTGCATTCTTGGTGGAGGTGGTATGGAAATATTGGACTTCCCAGCACGCGGATCCGGGATGGCGGATGGGATTGGTCGATGGAGGGTAGATGCCCAGACGGGGGATTGGTTCCGGTCGGCAATGCATGCGACATTGCCGCAGGAGACGTGAAGATCGGCCGAGGGACATGGATGGGAAGGGGACTTGAAAGGAAGGGGTGCTGATGGGCAGTTGAGGCAGGTTTGGGATCGGGAGGCTGCCCGGGTCACATTATGCAGAAAAGATGTACGGAGTAGATCGAGAGGATGCCGACGAGGCTCCGGCCATCACATGTCTCCGTCACGTGCACGAAGGTCATGTGATACGATACGGTGGCCGACGACAAAGTCACGGAGGGCATCCTACCAGAGGAAACCAGCTCCAGGGGAGCCAGATAGGCGTACAAAATTGACTACGACCTCGTAGATGAACTTGGCAGTCCTTCCTTCCTTCCCCCTTCAAACTGCTTTCGTGAATAGCAGTGAGTTTCTTCGTTGATCTCATCCGGCGTCTCAGAGCTCGCGTGCTTGTGGGCTTATAAGAGCGCTGGCATCCACAAAGAGGCGAGCTAAGTCGGTAATTTGGAGGGTGAGGAGACAGAGGTTAATGAGAGAGAGAGAGACGAGACGGTTCAACGAATCCGGGCGCTAAGCTTTCTGCAGCCACCCGGACGATATAGGATCAGCGAGCACAAGGGAACGCTTATACTATATGCTACCAAGGGCTTTCCCTTGAGGGTTGTCGGGAATCCCTCTCTACTCAACATTTGCACCCCCGAGCACGGAGTTCATCTCCCAGATCGGCACGGAACTGCAACAGCATCTCGTAAGCCGCAGCCGTGAGTGGGCTTCCATTGGGAGGGAGCTTGTGCTACAACTTCCAGATTCAATTGTAGACATTTGTAGACATCATGCTGAGAAAGGATACCATGAATGACAGGAGTTGGACAGAACCAAAGGATAAACCAAGACCGTCAATCCGGCGAGATACGACAGACCGCGCCATTTCTTTCACTTTCTGCATTGTTTGCCTCACCTTAAACAGTGAGGGGCGGTGAGTTCGCAGTTGCTTGGTGAATCATATCGAATACTTCGATATTCTCAAGCACCCGCCCCCAAGGGAAAGATTTTTCCAACACGCAGAGAGGTAGTTCCTTGTCTGACGCCATCACTTTTCCTGGAAGATTCATCGGGCCAATTCGCTGCCGATTGGGGTGTCGACACTCGACAAGGTTGGACCAACCAAGAGTCCTAGATCATGTGGCACTGACTTTTCCCGAGTATCAACAATCCATTCACGCTTTATATAGACCCCGCCTGATATACCCCGGGTGCTGTATGGAACAACACTGCAGAGTATATTGACTTGGGCTATCGCTTCGTCATCCGCCGAACAGGGGATGATAGCAGGGCGAGGAATAAGTGCAGAAATTCATCAAGTCGCAATCCTTATGCTCTTTTCCTAGTTCGTTCCTGGCCTTATCATCGGACATTGTGATATGTGATCGAATATTGCATCAGCTAAGACGCTCGCCGTGATTCTATTGCTGTCATAGCCATGGTTTCGGCATAGACAAGAACTGAATACCCACTGGTTCACTCGCGTGGGTGGCTAATATTCGAAATGGCTTAGTAGGATGATGGTCGATGTGAAGCAGCCTCTTCGGCTGGAAGCGAGGATCCGAGGGAAACCTGGGGGCATGGCCGGACTCACGGTCAGCGAATGATATGTTTAGGAAGAGAAACACGAACCTCCTCGGCAGGAGCGGCGGAATCGAGCTGGCCAAGCTTCCGTTTCTCTCGTTCGGCTCGGTTCTTCCAAAGGCCTTCAAGGTCGACTTCAGCTCTTTTTTCCTCGGTGAATATCTGCACAACCACCCTAGTGCCCGGGGTGGTATGACCAAATCCTTCAAAGCTGTAATCCTGGTTTCCTTTGACAGGGGCTTCTTCAACCACGCCGGCATTAACACAAATCCAGCCCGTCGTGATTCCGTCGTCCTTCTCATCAAACATGGTGCCTGACCTACTCGCAAGCCTAGCCCGGCGAGCTTTCCTCCGAAGCTTGATTTTCAGCTCATTTCGACCGAGTAGCCCATCAGCGTAGGGAGACAGCTTGTATGTGCTTCTCAACCAACGACAGAGACGGTCTGCAGATACATTCAGGTGCTTGACGCTACGCGCAGTTCCGATGACCATGATGACGTTTGCGCCGAGCGCAGGCGGAGTCTCCAGCCCACGCAAGTCAAGCAGCCTCAAAGAATCCAACCCAATATCTTTAAACACATAGTCGAGGAGTACGGGAAGGATTGCCGGAGGATTCTCCGGCAGTTCAGGAATCTGATCTCGCGAAGATGTCTGCTGTGACTCGGCGACAGAGGTTTCTTCTTGCAGGTACCACGGGATGTGCGGCGCACTATTTGACGCAGGGATCTCCGTGGATGCTCCCTTTGCTTCGAGTGAGGCGGGTGGTACATCGGAGGACGAGGAGGAAGGCCGCTCAGACTGGAGGCAAGAAACCGAAGCGAAAGGTCGATTCACAAAATCAAATGTAGGCCGGGACGCCACGGAGTGAGGGACAACAGAAGGAACACGGAGTAACCCTCTTTGGCACCAAGGCCCTCTCAGCAATACCCTGTTCATGATGATCAATGTATGTTGCAAGCCCAATGGCACTGGACAAGAGCTTGATGCCTTCTTCCAGTGGCGACCCGAGCGGCGCGCGAGACTCGACAGAGAATCACGTGATCATACTGACCGCCGGGGAATTCGGAATATCAGGTGTAGAATACGAAGATCAAAGAAAATGATCATATGGCCCATTTAGTTGTGTTTGCCTCGTTATCGACATCTTCCTATTAACATTGTTTTTTTTCCCGGAGTGACCCCGCGATGTGGGCTACGGCGTTACGGCCTCCCATTCATGCTCTAACGAGGAAGCGTCTAGATAGCTGACATCGCCAGTAGCGGGCTCCGATAGGCTCCTAGAACACGCCCAGACAAGGGTCGATTCAATTTGCGGGAGTAAGAACTAGTATCTACAAGAGAAACACGTGTGTCTCTTTCAACTCTTCAACCTCGGAGAGTACCTCCTTTTCGTTGTCCTCCCCATTCCATCTCGAACTCCTCCCTCATGTGATTCTTCGCATCCAATGATCCATGCACCGTACCTCCTGATGCAGGGCCGAAACATTACCTGTTCCGGTTCCGAATGGCTAACCGGGCGTAGCCTTTCGTACGCCGGGCCGACGGGCCGGATGCTACCAAGGGAGGATACATGAATGGGATAGGTGGAAGCAGGATATCAGAAGCCCTTGGCAGTCTAGCTGTCCCTGCCGGACCGCCGCTATGTTAGGACTCATTCGCCAGAGACGTTCATAGAAAGCTTTCTCAAATCCCAGCCTTCCAGTTCAACCCAGTCCTTCTTCTCACCGAGCAGACAGACCGACCGCTGTGAGCCCTGGACCAAGAATGTCTCGGCAGCTTCGTTGACATCCTTGGCCGTGACATCGAGAACCTGTTCTCTCCAGCGCTGATCCATCTCATGAGTCACGCCACTCATAAAATATCTCGCGCCTTCCTCGTCGATGCTCATGGGGGCATCAAGGCCCTGGAAAATGCCCAGCTTCGCCTCGTTGAGCTCCCGTTCCGACCAAGCTCGGTCCCTAGCGAAGACCCCGCTATTCTGGAAAACCTTTAGGGTATTGATGGGGTTGGGATCCCGATAACTGGTGAAAGCAAACATCCCCTTGATTGGCCCATTCATGGCACTCGCACCATACGCGCCTCCCTTCTCGCGGATTTCCGGGTGGAGGTAGTTATGCGTAAGAAGCTGGGAGAGGACGCTGAGTGTCGCATTGGATGGGTTGGTAAATGGGACGGTTTGCATAGCCAATCCTGAGTAGTAGACTTTATAAGGCATATCATAGAATGCCTTGTGTGCACTCAGGCCGATAGCCGAACTGCTGGGTGTAGACGTTGGTGAGCGAATTTGGGGTAAGCCCGCAAGCCATTTTTGTAGAACCGACTCGTTTTGTTTGGCACTGCTTTGCTCGCAGACCATACGGACACGGAGACCCGAAGATTTGGAGGTGGCAAACGACTGAATTAGACGGAGCTTCTCAATCAACTCTGCAAGCCGCTCTGGTGACGTTTCCGCATCGCGCAGCAGGTTGGCTGTAGCTTGCAACTGAGCCAGCCCGGACTGCTGTTCTTGGACCCACAAGCTACGCGAGAGACCTGCTGCCGCGGCATTGAGGGCGTACCGATGGCCTGACCCGGCCACCGCATCCAAGGCGCCGTTCGTCGTCAGTCGCAGCAGTTCCTGAATCATAGCCGGTGCACCGGCGCTGGTGAAATCCGTCTCAGTGATCAGCGTAGTTAGGATTTCCAGCATCTCCGGAATATTTTGGTCCAAGGCGAACCCAGAGAATTGGAGGCCTTCGGCAAACTTCCCCAGCTGCGTTGGTGACGAAGTGTGGAATGAGGATGTGGAGATTCCGCCAGTCTTCAATTTGATGAGATCTTCCCACTGCTCCATTGACTTGTTTGCCGTGCCAAGGCGCATTATGCAGTCGTTGAAGAGTGGCATCAGTAGCCGGAGATCATCTGGAAGGTCTTCAAAGGCATTCAGCGCCTGGAAGTAGGTCAGACCGTTAGTAGGAGCCTCACGCCAGACGACATCTACGTCGTCGACTTTGGACTCCCGAACTGGCTTGCGCTCTTTCTCCCGAGAGATATCCGCAACCTGAAGGGAGGGCAGGCAACCCAAGTCCGCATTTTGAGCCTCCTCTTGAGTTTTGAGTAATTGAAGCTCTTCCTCTGTCAGCTTGGCAATGGCTTTCTCAAGGGAGCCATGCTGCTCAATGAGCAGGTTGAGCTTCTTCTCCTTCCGCACTAGTTCTTGCTCGTCTAGCTCCTTGTTGAAAGTGGGACTGCCAACCATTGTGAAAGTCATGCAGTTATCGTTCATGAGATACTTCTGCATCAGAGACTCTAGGTAGCCGCCCTTGTCGTACCTCCGTTTGAACTCATCAATGACCTCATTCCAAGCAAGCTCCTCCATGGGGTTGGAGCCATTGAACCACGAAGCGATGGTCTTCTCCATCACTCCGATTCCAAAGTTGGCGGTCTTGTGCCTCAGAGCGAGCTCCAACTGGTGGAGAAACCCTCGGACCTTTTCGTCACTAAATCCCGTCGAAAGACACCCCTCGAAAACTTTCTGAATGGCATCTTTAACCTTCGGCGCTTCCTCTTCGCTCACACCAGTAACACCAGCTGAGAAGACGGGTACACGACCTGACGAGTCAAGGCCCGTGTTAGGGGTGAATGAAGAGCCTAGGCCACTTTCGATCAGGGCTCGATACAAGGGTGACCCATAACCGTCCAGGAGCAGCGAGGACAGGATCCCGGCTGAAAAGGTCTCGACAACATCGGCAGTATCTCCCATGTACCAGGAGGTGGATGTTTTGTACTGCTTGTCCTCGCTGGCGAATGTATCGATTGGGCCTGAGACAGTCACGCTTCGAGGACCTTGAGTGAGGTCGACCGGCAGCTTGACGGCCGTATCAGCCTCGCCTTTTTGAAACCCGTCCAGCACGTTCCCGATTTGTCGAAGATGAGCGCTTAGCGGCATGTCACCATAAGTGAAGATCTTGGCATTGCTGGGGTGGTAATTGCGTTTGGAGAAGTCGACCAATTGCTTGTGAGTCAAATCGGTGATGTACTGAGGATCTCCTCCCGAATTGTTGAGTGCGGGAAAGATGCTCTCCTTGTATTTGATGTAGTATAGATAGTTGGCATCCGAAATCTGGCCTTTCATCTCATTGTATACGACGCCTTTGAAAAGGATATCCTCTGGCGTCTGGTCCGCCTGCGACTGCTCTTCACGGGCCCGAATGGCGTGAGGATCCTCCGGTCCCAGCCGCCATCCTTCCTGCCTGAAATCCTCTTCCTTCAGTAACGGGTGGAATGTGGCGTCGAGATAAACCGAGAGGAGATTTTGAAAGTCCTGCTGATTCGTCGTGGCGAAAGGATAGGTGGTGTGGTCGGCAGAGGTAAAGGCATTCATGAAATTCGAGAGGGACCGAGGCAGCATTTTGAAGAAGGGGTCGCGAATGGGAAATTTTTCACTTCCGCATAGGGTAGTATGCTCTAAGATATGAGGAACGCCGGTCGCATCTGGGGGATTCGTCTTGAACCCGATACCAAAGACATTGTTCTTGTCTTCCCTAGCCACATGGATGTAGTCCGCATCTGTCTTGTCATGCTTTAACCGGATTGCCGTGAGATGCAATTCTGGGACGTGCTTCTTTTCCTGGACGGTGAACCCATGGATCCCTTCTCCAATCTCCGGGAAGTTCTCAAGTCGGGTGACAGTCGAGGCAGCTCGTCTGATCTGGCTCCAGCGGAGCAGAGCGCTATCCGATCTCAGCAAGCGTCCGGGTTTCTGCAAAGCCGGGATTCGGCCTCGGCCTACCCCTAAAGACGACCGTAACATAGTGTTATTTCAAACCGGCGGACAAGCGCACGTCTTATATCACGCGCCGTACAGACGTCTGACGTGCTCTAGCAAGGCTGTTGCCGGCGGATGGGTGGTCCGAGGCAAAGGTCCCGAGCGGACCGGAATCGAGCGCAAAAGCTGTAATCGGCACCAAGTCGACCGCACACTAGGTGATATTGGCGAGTTGCAGTGGATGCCGGGTCGTGGGGGCACCAACAATGCCAGCAATCGTGCAGGGAGGATTCGAAAAGGAGGAATAGACAATTGACTGTATGATGATGAGTTGCTGGAGGGAGTCCGGGGTAGAAAGATTCGGCCGCGCCTGTTCACGTGATGCTGCCAACTCCCGGCAACGGCCCGGACAGCGCCAAGACGGAGACGGTCGGTCGCTATGGTACAAGCTTCAGGATAGAGAAAAGTCGGATTTTGGCTGCATTATAGAGTTTACCATGGCATCTACAAACATCAAGCCAGGGGATATACAGCCTTGGCAGCCACCCAGAAGTACCTACAGAGTATTCAGCGACCTTCTACGGGGCTGATATCAGCCAGGCTTGCGGCCGCCCGGAGAGGCGGCTGGAGTACTAGCGGCTTCGGATGGTTCGGAGGAGGATTCGGTCTCCGAGTCGAGTGCGCTAGTTAGTACCCTGGACCTGGGGCCTCTACGCGACCGCTTCGGGACCTCATTCTTTTCTCTTCTTCGAGTGGAGTCCCTCACTCTGCCTGGTATTGGCCGGTACTGATACTAGCATCGGCCTTGTGGTTTCCGTGGAGGTTACCACACGTGTATCGTCCAGGTACTCACTAATCGGGCCTGGAAGCGCTTGCATCGTGAGTCACGGAGCAGTGTACAGGCCAGGTGCGCTCATCGAGACACGTCAAGGGGGCAATCTTGGTCGCGGTATGGTTCTTTTGGGTTGCTGCTGGCTCGTTGGTACCTGCGATTCGGGCCTGGAGGAGGCAGAGAGAAGAGAGACGCAGAGGTCTTACATTAATGTACGAGGATAGTTATCTTCTTCTGCTCACCAGAGTTTCTCCTTCTTCGGCATATCTGCCATTGCAAATGGCATCCGAAGAAACATATCCATCAACAATGCTGCAGCAACACTAACGTTGAGACTGTCTACCCGGGCCGGATCAGACCCCACCCCCAGCTCCGTACTGATTCTGGCACCAGGAATGCTAACTATGGCATCCGCCTGTGACCGGATATGGGAACTCAATCCTGTGCCCTCGCTGCCCATCATTATGACACTTGGTGATTGAGCAAGAGGGCCCTGATTGGCAGGAGTGCTGTCACCCGTAGTACTCCGGCTTTGCCACAAGGAGGTCGGGTCAATGAGGGTGGAACCTGGACCGGGGGCATCGGCCGCATAAAACCGCCACCCGTTGGTTTTGGACCGCTGGATAAAGTCCACCTCATTTCTGACATGAAGAAGAGTCATGTTTTCGGCGGCTCCCGCGGAGGACTTGATGGTCACTGGCGATAGAGGCGCGGAGTTTCGACCCGCAAAAACTATAGCATCAACCCCGAGGTAATATGCGGAGCGGATAATGGCGCCAAGATTCCCCGGATCCAGAATGCCGTCAAGTAGTAGAACGACGGGATATCTGTTTCGAAGGGAGTGGTTGATTTGGATACGATCATTTGTACCATTCACCTGAGCTTCTTCCCGCGATTGTGCGCCTAATTCCAGGCGGAAGTGATCCTCTTCCGCTGACGGAACGGTCTTGAAACTTTTCACAGGGAGTTGAGGGAGGGGAGACACCTCAAGAACACAGCCGTTGTGGGGTCGTCCGGCACTCATCTTGTCTAGCAATCGATCCCAGCCTGCAAAAGCCATCTTTACTGTGACGTTCTTGGAAAGTGCTAGTTTCCGTAAGGTGATTTTCGAGGAGTTTAGCTCCTCGCCTGCAGCTTGATACAGGTATAGCTTGTACAGCCGGCGCCGGCCGCAGCGTAAGGCCGCCTCTACCGCTGCACTTCCATAGATAAATTCCGACGCAGGTGTGGTGTAAGGGACTGAGTCCGGAATACGAACATTTTCCTTCACTCGTTCGGGGACCTTCTCGGTGGTGCGATGGTAGGATTTCCGGTCCTTTGGGTGGCCATTGTCCTTTGTTCTGGGTATGTCTTTCGTTTTCGGCGTGTCATGTATTCTCGGGGAGTATCTGGTGCTTTCAAGCCTCTGGTGCTCGCGAGGGAGTGCTCGGAAGTTTCCTGTCCGGATGAACTCATCCTCGTCAAATTCGATCTCCGAGTTCCGCGGCCCGCGTGTCTCCTTGTATTCAGATCGCTGCGGCCTGGAGTCCCTGTCTCTCCCACGACGAACTTCCCGTTCATCACCAAATGTCTTGCGGGACCGAGGAGAGTCGTCTACCGCTTGGGACCTGCGGATGCCCCGACCAATGGCCGAGTTGAGGGAGGCATGCCTGACGGAGTGTAGACGAGCTGCCGGGGGGACCGAAGATCGAAGATATACTCGAAGGGGGGTGAGGGATGAGTGAAGAGACATGGCCAACTAAGACGTGAAGTTTCCACGACTTGACTCGGAAGCGAGAAGATCGCGATATCGGATGGGGCTGGAACACCCGGGGGAAAGCTCTGCGTGAGCGAGCCACGTGACGGAGCTAGCACTAGCTGCCGGCGCGGGCCTAGCCGGCCTGGCCTGGAGATTCAGGCAGACGCTCCACTCGGGGGTTCTCCTGCAGAAAGCGGGGTCGGATCGGAACACCCAATCATCCGACTCGCTACAGGTTCGTACTATTCGTAGTTTCAAAGGGAGCGTCTACATAGCATTCATCTACTATGACTTGACTGAACCACTAGACCAAATACAAAAGCATACATAGTACGGAGTACATATGACTGAATTGGATTGGATTGACTCGAATTAAATTAGCATAAGTTGGGTCTATATATTGACCCGGGAATTCCTGCGCAGGATCCAAATGCAGTGATCTGCTGTATTTGTTGTTTCGCCGAAACGAGCAGGAGGTGGAAAGTGGCGTCGGATAGCTTAATTCATCTGCCATATCCGTAATCCTCGGTTAGAAGGTAACGGATCAAATGGGCGCGCCCCTCGCTAGTAGTGGTGGTAGGGGCTCTTAGGCGTGGGCTCGCCCTGTGACGGATCAGATCTTCTAAATGCCGGACCGAAGCGTATGTGGGGTTTCTCGACCGCGATGCAATTTGTTGACGCTTGGATCCGGGGGTATAAGAAGTCGCTGGCACTTGTGATTTGCGTCCCTGCCTCAAGCGGAGGTAAGAGATGAGACGGGATGTGTCGAATCAGCGATTGAGGTGTGGAGGAGGTAGAGGTCGGCGTGCATATATATAGACATGTATATATATATACCCCACCGAGATATCTACACACCAGAAATTGACGACATCCGAAATCAGCCCATCAACCCGCCCAGAACCACGCGACCAACGCCCGCGATTTCATTCTTGGCCCGATGACGGCTGGCGTCTTCGAATTCGCGGATAATCCCCGCGACCATGATCTTGCGGATCTTCGCATCGGCCTTGGAAAACATCTCCCCCAACGCCACGCTACACACCGAGGGGGTGAAAACCAAGGATACGAGCCGCGTGTAACAATCAATGAGGACATCGCACAGCGTGACAAAGGTTTCGAAGTAGTCCGGCTCGAATGGCAACAATGGCGTTAGAAGGTACGAGTACTCCTCACCGGGCAGGAGCTCCGAGGCCTCTGTATGCGGAAACGAAATGGTCGCAGCCGTATTGGCCGAGTTGCCTGCCATCGCTTTCAGGTCTGAGGGGTCGCTGGATTGCATGGGCAAGCCGATTTCCGTAGCCGAACTGGCGCGGCGCGCCTTGGTGCCGGCGTGTGCGGCACGCTTGAACATTTGGGGTATACGGGCTCGGGCGAGGGTGGAGGAGGATGTGCCGTCGGGAGGATGAACTTGTTGGAAGGCCTCGAATTCAATTAGGAGAGTGTTGAGGGCCCGGAGGAATTCGACGGGCGTGGTGCTAACGTCGAGAATGGGGGGAAGGGAGAGACCCAGGAGGAGATAGTTGATGGCACGACGGGCGAGTTTGCGCGGTTCGAAATACGGGAGGCGACCGATATCGTTGCGGGAAAAGTGGACAGTATTAAACCAGTATATGCGGCCCTCATGGGCCTTGCGTAGGTAGCCGAGGGTTGAGATTCGCTTCGCAGCCATGTCATGGATGTGTTGGTAGATGGCTGCTGCGCTCTGGGGCCCTAGAGATCCACCACTCGCCAACGGGGGGGGAATGGACCCCACCCCTGGATCATGGCTAATGCTGGATTTGGTGTCCCTGCGCGACAGACTAGGGGCAAACGTAGAGGAGATCATGTTAGACATGGCTGCGTTGGAGAAGGGGTGCCTGCCCCTGTCATAGAAGTGGCTTGCCTTGGCTGGAAGTCGGGGGCTGTGGAGGAGAGGCGTGGGGGGGGGAAACTCGGCGGTTACCGGAGCCAGGGAGGGTCAGGTGATAGGGAGTCAGGTGATTTAAGCCAGGTCAGGTGATCATGTCACCTGATCCGGGGTCATGGATATATCTAGATCAGATAAGAGAGACACCATGTTGTATGATGGGGGAATCTACCAGCAACCACCAAAACCACGCCACCTTCATCTGGATGCTCAAAACCATCGTTGGATTACAACTGATTACCGGAAATTCCCATCTACGTCGCTTTGTCGGGTTTTCGACACGCTGTGCCCGCAAGGTTGGCCAACCGACTGATGAAAGTTTGTCACGCCCAGCCAACCTCCCCATATTAGAGTCAGTCAGCAACTCGAAGTACGCTCAAGAAGAGCTAATCCTAGTCACGAGGTACCGCTCTGCGGACACGGGGGAACGGAAGAGAATTGAGCAAGCGAGCCGAATTCAGCTTACGCACCAGGTGCCGGAGCACCATGATCAGGACCGATTGCCGGTTTGGCATTGCGTTCACGCAACCGTCGACCTTCCATGAGACCGCGAAGGCCGCGCTTCTGTAACCCGATGACGCTGCTGAGGTCGCCAGTCCAGATCTCGCGCTCGGGACGTAGTTCCGCATCGGTGTTACGGCGGTGATGGGACGGTCGGGTCGGATCGCCACCCATTTCGGTGTCGGAGTGGTCGAAGCTAGTGTCGGTGGAAGCGGAGGTGGAGGTACTGGCGTTGCTCATCGCGTCTTCGCGGTCGCGGTCGCGCTCTCGTTCTCGGTCAAGGCCGGCGGTGCTGCGCTGCCGGCGGCTGAAGATGTTGGTGTTGATGCGGAGGGGGATCCCGCGAGAGCCCATAACGCCGCTGGCACTGCTGGCGACGGAAAGAGCAGAGGTACCGTGTTCCGTATCAGACGAGTCGGAGGTAAGGTGACTTTGGGAGGTGGTGGTTCCGGTGCCGGACGAGGATTCGTGGCTGGCGTGCGCGCCGTTCAGTGCTTCCAGAGTGCCTCCGGGACCACTGGTGAAGCCAGTGCCTCGCCCACCGCCGGCGGCCATGGCGGCGGCATTGAACACGGCAGCGGCGTTTCTTCCATCCAGAACTTGATGGAGGCGTTCGACGGTGGCTTCCAGGAGGCCGTCGACCTGATATGGGCGAGCGAGTTGGAGAAGGGAGCAGAGAATCTGCGGAGTGCAGAGAGGAGAGCCCGCGGGTGGTAGGGAGGACGTATAGAAGTAATAGACGAGAACTTGGAGAGTGAGAAAGGTGTGGGGGAGATAAAGCACGCGGGGACGAGAGGTAGGGGAAAGGCTATGCGCTGAGGGTATCTCAAGGTTCGCTAACAAGGACTTGGAGGTGATTGAGTGATTGCTGACGAGAGTAGAGGTGTTGGAGTAGTTGCTATTCTGCCCGATGGACGGGGTGATAGTAATGCTCGAGTTGCGACTTGGGTACATGGCGACTGCTGGACGGAGCGCGGCCGTCTCGCCTATTCCGCCATCGCAGGACTCGCGCAGAAGCTGGATGAAGTAGGGACCCCATCTGCGCGTTAGAATGCGCGAGTTCACGGGGATCCGCTCTCCCCCAACGGCCTGGAGTTCCATATCGGCCATTTCAGGCAGAGACTGGGCGAGGTTTCCCAGTTCATCGGACGCGGAGGAAAACGGCCTTCCGCCAGAGGTCAATTTGGTCAGTTTGGCCTGCATGGACGCCGGAACTGAAGGTGCACTGTAAGAGATGTATCCCGAGGTGGGCGTGGTCCGGCATGCATTGTTGTAGAGCCCAAACGCCTCCAGCTCGACCATACAGACGTGGGAGAAGTTGATCCGACGGTGATTGTAGTCCTCGACGAGGCTGCGTTTTCGGTGACCCAGAATGACAAAAGTGTTTCTTCTTGACCAGAGTATACCACGGTTCCAGCTTCCATGACCGAAGACTGACCCGCCGGCATCGATCCTCCCCCAGGTGAGAGTGCGGAGGTCGAGGGCCCACAGCGCATATTCTTGCTTTGAGGACGTCAGATATGTCCCGCTCACGACGAAATGCCCGTTGATGACCCCTCCGTTGGGAAACCTCAAGCCAGGAGGCGACGCCTGGCTCTGCATGGGTTTCTCGATCAGGCGGCCATCCGGGAGGCGCACCTGAAGCTCCAGCTTCACATCCAGGAAATTGTAGTTGGAATATACCAGCATCGGACACCCCTCGACTTGCGATCCTTCAGCCGGTTCCTGTACGTCCTGACTGTCTGCGGCGGACCCAATGTCGGAAACATTCATGCCGACCAAGGGAGCAACCACGCTCCGATAGGCACCACAGCTTCGCCCCAGATGGCTCGTGCTGGTCCACTTCAGGCTGCGTAGGTTGAACACACTGATCTGTTCGATATAATGATTCGAGCTATCCTGTCCTCCTACCACCACCATTTCTGCGCCTCCGAACCCATCAATATCGACGCCGATCGAGCCCTGGTGCGGATTCGACGAAGCTGGGTTATGATGAATTGCGGACAGCGGCGCAGTAGCGGAGGTGAAATGGGCGCTTGAGGGCAGAATGGTTGCGCAGTGTGCATAACGTCCCTGGGGTGAGTCGATTGCGGGCACGCGGGTCCACGTCCGAGATGGGACATCGAATATATGAATATCAGACATGACCACAACCTCCGGCTGTGCCTCCTGTCCACCCGAGCCGTTAGTTGTGGGATCCTTCACCACATTCAGTGCAGGCGACATGCCGCCGTAGCACACCAGTTTGTGATCGCCCAGAGCGCAAACGCTGTGGAAATAGCGCGGGCGAGGGACATCGCCCGTGGCTTCGATTTTCGTCCAGTGACGCCGGATCAAGTCCAGCTCGTATATGTCCGACGTCAACTGTGGGCGACTTTTGGATAAGACACGACCGCCGAACACGTAAAGCTTATCACCTAGGATAGTCGTAGTGGCCCCGACCAACGGATGCGGCTCTCTTCCGGTTGTTCTGCGCACATTGCATACCAGACCCGACAGGTTGATGGGCCCTGAGTTCGAGGCCGGCGGTTGAAGTCCCGGTTGAGCCCCCGACGCAGAGGGATCCTCCCTCCCTGCGTCCAGATAACCCAAACTCGACTGGCTTCTGGACATCATTGTGGCGGGATAGGGATGCTCCCACTAGAACAGGCCACAGAAACCGAGTGCCGTCCTTCCACTTTGACGACAGAGCAGGTCCCCTCCAAGACCACGTATGTTTCCCTTCCTCAAAATCTTGACTCCTGGTATGGCGCGATTGAGACCTCGACTCGACAGGGGGTCATCACACTCGTAAAGCACGAACAGGCACGGTTGCGGACAGGAGCGAGAAGAGTGCCGTTGGATGATCCTCGAGGTCAACGTCGGGCCAGAGTGTGGGGAATCGAGGAACTTTCGTGATCGTGAGGGCCGCGGGGGTCAAACCATCTAAGAATGGGACAAATAGGTTGAGAAAGCCAGTGAGGGGTATAGGGAGTTCAATGAATAGTGTCCAGTATCTAGGGGGGGCTGTGTGAGATCTCCCCGGTCACATGACCTGCTTATATGATCCACTTTCAGCATGTGTCAAAGTCATGTGACTTGATATGCCTTGATTATTGATCGTTAATGACGATCTCCCGTTCAGCTACGAAAGAATCCCAAGAAGGCGGAACGGGAAGGGATTAGTGCTAGGAAGTGCTAGGATAAGCACCTACGGCCCCGTACCTGCGCTTCGTTCTCCTTGTCCTCCTTTAGACTTGTGTTGCGTTCTTATTGAACGATACTAGGTACTGTGCACTGCTTGGATATCTGGTCGCCTCCCAGGCTGGAAGGTCAGACCTCTTGCGCGTGAAGCCAAATGGGGTTCCCCTTTCCCTCCGTTGGTGGCCAGGATTGGGTCGTGATCACGAACCCCGTACGAAACCCGGCGCCGGATGTATTCCTGCGAGTGTGAATAGTACCGGATTAAGGCGTTTGGGTAGGTACTCTGGTTCTTGCCGTCTCTCAGGGCATATATAGTATGTATGTGTTGGTACGCGGTTCTCGTAGGCTTCTGACAGGAGGGGATAAGGAAATGAAAAGGGATCCCGGGTGCCTGGGATTCGGCTCAGTGAGAAAGTAGAGCCAAGCCTTATTCGATATACCAGGGCGCCGAAATCTATGACCAGTCCGGGACGGCTGAACCGACAACGATATGGGGTATCTGCAAATTCGCAAAACGCAGGCTGAAAAGAAAGAGAAAAAAAAAAGGAGCAAATATCCATCGGGAGAAGAGAAGATCGGCTGATCTGCAGAACAATGTTTGAAAGCTATTCATCCAAGCTGAATATCGGCCTTAGCTGAGCCCAGTCATGCCCCCAAGACTGGCACGAGGTGCACTTCGGCGTGGTTGACCCTGCTCACTGGGCGTTACCAATCGTACCCTCTTGGGTGACATGGTGCTAGTGGAGGCTCCACTCGGCCCAACACTTGTCGCAGTAGTCGTAGTTGTGGAAGCGCTCCCAGCCGACGCACCAACGCCTAGCATTCCACGAACCTTTTCGACAGCCCTACTCTCCCCCTTAGTCCACGTGTCTCGCTTGACAAAGCCTACGCCAGCTTTCCGGCCGGCCGAATCACGTCTTTTCGACTCCTCGAGCAGTACGGAGCGGTTGTGTTCGCGACGCGGGCCTGGACCACAATCGTGCATGCATCCTGGCGTGGCGCAACCACCCTCACTGACGGAGACATCGCTCAACCATGTGCTTATGCAAGCCAGATGGCCTCCGTGACCGCAACCTTGGCACCAGGTCCAGAGAGTGGATCCTTTGGGTCGAGGAGGCTGAGACGAGTCGGAGAAGACTGGAACCAGATGTCGCAATTCACACTGGGAAATGGGTTCTGTTTTCAGTGAGGAATGGGATGATGATAGTGCATGGGATGTGGCCTCGGAGTCCAGGCCCTGACATGAAGAAGCAGATGATTTCGATTGCTCGGCAACCCATTCGGGAGGCGGTTCCAGGCTCATGCAGATGGCACATGGCTCTTGAGGGGTGTTGCAACGATAACAACGACGGTTGTCAGTTTTGGGGTTTTCGTAAGGACGTTTGCATGTAAAACAGAACACGTTCATATATGTGTCGGCTTGCGCGTACTCGTAGACAGCTGGATAGGACGATACGCACAGCCGCCGAAGCTCAGCGGCTTCAAGGTACATTGACTGGCGCACCAACTGCTCATTATACGCCTTGAAGATGTATTCAGCCTCCTCATCGGGAAGGATCCTGCCACAATCTTGGAAAACAATGCGTAACTTCTGAAGCAGGTGCGCAGCGGATTGAATGTCGACATGAGTGCCACTATGGTAGTGTCTGATTGCTTCTTTGAAAAGCATCTCGACGCTCCATGGTTTGTTCGTCGTCACGTCCGGACTAACCGGTATGGACACGTTTAAAAGATCCTGACTTACCCCAGGTATAGCCGCGCTGAAGTGTACGGGGCCTCGTGTTGCTCCATCTTCCTGGCCGAAAGCATTCAGGGGACGGCTTTCCTTCAGAAGTAAAGGGGGACTGGAGGGCCGCTCGAGATGGATATGCTCCGCATCAGGAATGCTTTCCTCCAAGTTTTCGCTATCTTGGGCTCCTTTATCATTTACAGCAGTAACCCCACGGACAGCGTCCCCTTTAGCCCCAGTGTAGCTGCTACCAGGTGCAGCAGCAGCAACCTCTTGGCCAGGATCCCCACTCCCTGGGGTTTCATACAGCCTGGCCGCAGAAGAGAGCGATGCAGCCATTGATTTTGGTGGATGAGAGCTCTCCGTTGAGGCTGAGAACATTGGAAAGCTTTCTGATGATTCATGACGATGGAAACCCGGTGGCTTGATTGGCTCCATATGGGATTCGAGTGAGAGAACCTTCTTGGGAAAGATTCTATAGTCACGGATGGCGGCCTTTTTATCCTCCATCTTCTGGTCGTACTCATCTACTTCAGAACCTTCCTTGGAAGCGACAGTATGTGTCTTCAGAAGCCAATCCACTCTACCAGCAATGGCCCGGGGCGCAGACCTCTGATCGTCCCCTGCATCTGGGTGCACTGGGACACGTCCTGGTTCGGACGGCAGGCTTTCAGGTGGGATGGGAGCCTCTTCGCTGGCAGTAGATTGGCGATGCGTAAGTTGATGGATGAGTTGTGGATCGATGTCCGACATTGATGACCAATCATTGGAAGTCATGGTTCCCTGATTAGAGCTGAGGACCGATGGTGGAAGAGGCTTCATTTCCATATTATCGTTCAAAGATGTCATATGCGAAGTTGAGCTGTCCAGAGACCCAAGGGGGGAATCAGGCAATGGTTGCGCGAGGGGCGTTGTCATATTTGACACGCTTTCAGAATCTGCTAGCGGAAGCTTTAATGTTTCATTTTCCACTACACCCTTGAACAACTGAGCTTTAATCTTGTCATGCCTCCCGTCTTCGACTAGCCTCGGTTTCTCAGTGACGGGGCCTTCCTTGGACGGTTTCTTCTTCATCGTTCGAGATCCTTTGTCTAAGGACTGACGTTGCTCTCTTGCTCTGATTTCTAGCTCCTGGACAACGGCAAACTTGATAATGCGCCAGGTTTGTGCTAACTTGAGTAGAGAGGCGTCTTCGGAACACTGTGCATTGTGGTTGAGCGATTCGAGCAAGGATGACAATTTATCCACGTGAACAGTATCAACCCCTCTAAGCAAAGCAGAATAATGGGAGGCCAGATATTGGAAAGTATCTCGATCCATCGTAGCCCCTGGAATGCTCCCAACTGCTCCCAGCTGGCGTGCCTCAGGAGTTGTGATCTTGGACAGGACCTTCTCTAGTGGGAGGACAGGAACGAGATCTGTCACACCAGGCGGAGTACTGCCCAACGACTTAGACTGCCGAGCACTGGTGGACTTGCTATGCCGATGACGGATAGGAGCGAACGAGGGATCATCAAGTATATCCTCGGCAGGGCTCTGACTCAATACTTCACCACTACTATTCTCTTCCTGTTGAGGGCCGACAAATTCGGTAGTGCTGAGGCCTAGAGTACTACGCTGCGGACGTTTTTGGACAAAGGCTAGAACTTCACCACTAGGGCTCCAAGCCACCGAGCACGTCGGCCGTTGATTGATGATCTGGGGAGCGTATCGGACATCGGTCTGCGTGAAGGCTCCGGCTTCACCAACTGTCCACAGTAGGTCTTTTGAATGCCAGAGCAAGTCGGTAGCATGCGCGTCGTATCGATCAAATTCGCGGAAGGGTATATGTGGCCGTCGAAGGTCCCAGAGATGGACTCGCGGATCTTCCTTGTCGTAAGATGTCACAACCTGGGACGACTGCCAATCACCGGAGGCCTCCGGCTCCCTGGCCCAGGAAGGGGGGCGCCAGCGGACGTTAAGAACAGCCTGGGGAGTGCGAAATTGGAATGTCGGTTTCTGCCGGCGCTCGGCTGAGGAGGAGAAATCCCAGACCTTGACTTGTCTGTCCGTGCCACCGCTGACGATGTGCTTTCCATCAGGATGCCAGTCTACCGAGAAGCACGGTCGGTCATGGGCAGTAATCCGCATCAACGGAGCGTTGGATTTGCGACAGTCCCACAGCTGAATCGCACCGCTGTCCGTCGCTGTTGCAAACATAACCCCGTCGGTTGGAGACCATCTGATATCTCGGATGGCATCACTGTTGCCATGGAACAGGTCAAGGCTCCCGCACACCAAGACGCCACGTTCCGCAGAAGCTGTCCGCATGTCCCACATTCGGATGGAAGAATCCTGACTCCCTGACAGGAGCCATGACGCATGGTGCGGGTTGAAGGCTAGCCGATGAACTTGGCGGCTGTGTCCCTGGAAGCGGCAGCATTCCAAGCCGGTCCGGTGCAAGTCGTAGACTACAATGCGGCCATTGGCCACCGCGGTGGCAATGATCTGGTCGTATTCTCCATGTGACCACTTCACGTCTCTCACGGTCAGCTGGTCCTTATGCCGTGCGGAGAGCCCGCTGCCAACATGATGAGTGGATGAATAACTAATGATGGCATTGCGAAGGTTGAACTCCTCGGATGAATGATCAGGCGAAACGCGAATCGTCTTTAAGATCTCCTTGCCGCCAATGACTGCGTGTGTCCGCTGCGGCGAGATGTCTAGGGCAGCAATTGGGATCCCAGTCTTATGAGACACAGTCTGGGATGCACCAGGCAGTGACTTGGGCCTTGTTGAACGGGGACTGGCCGACAGATCCGCTCGACTTCCCGCCGTGTGCGGACTAGGCGGCCGAGACCCGGAGAAGAAGGGCTGGGCGAATCGGGCCAGAGCGCTGGCGGCGCGGTTGGAATATTTGTGACCCTGTTGCACGGGAGCTGGGGGAGGCGGGGGTGGTGGTGTTGGGGAGGAGCTGCTGCCTCGGGCGGGCAGTCGCGAGAAGTCGGACATGCTCGCCAGCCTGGAGTGGTCGGAGATCAGCCCGGTAAAGATCGGGACTCCAGCATGATTGACAAAAACGCCCGGAGCCCTGACAAGGAGGTAGAGAAGAGGGATAAGAGACTCCGGAACACACGGGCGGGCGATGGGGAGGATGAGGATGAGGATGAGGATGACGGCGGAACGCGCCGAGGTCACGACGGAGCGTTGAGTCACGTGACCCGGGACTACGGCCGGCCGGCAACGCTACACCGAGGGACAGCGGGCAATACATGCCCTAAGGCTCCCATGCTAATTATCTATCTACGGATTTGCGTTTCCTAGACTGGATGATTTGGGTAGAAAGATAACCAAGTTATATCCGAACCGGTCTGCTCTCTCCCCGGAGACGTGCCCGAATCGACGATTCGCAGGCGCGGAGCACGACGCAGAGGTAGAAGAATGGCACGGGTCCGATCACTTCCATTCGCCCACCCGCTGAAAGGGCTTGATCACCCGGGTCGCTTCCAAGACAACAATCGAGCGTGCCATATCAACCGCCGTAATCTTAGCTTCCACAACACTCAGGATGTCCAGATCGGGGGCGTCGGACATCTCCTCGGGGATCAGAACTTGGCAGCGGACTCCCAGGGATGTCATAACCGCCGTATATCCATGCCCGTACGGGGTTCCAGCCATGGAGGTACTGCTGCACGGGCGCTGGATCAGGCACTCGAATGTCTCCGGGAGGGCGCACTCGGAGAAGTAAAAGGCGCGGAACAGGAGCATACAGGCCCAGAACTGCTTCGACGCCACGTCACAGTCCCGTATGCGGTTGCGCTTCCACTGAGACCGCGAAAGATACTCGTCCACTTGTTCCCGGGAGAAGGGTAGAGCGAGCGCATCGGTCTGAGCGTCCAGGCGGCGGCCATGCTCGTGCTCGAAGCGAAGCGCAGCCTCGATTTGGTAGTGCGCGAGGACGTCTGTGTATCGCCGTAAGGGACTGGTTGATTTGACATAGGCATCGAGTCCAAGGGGGGCATGGTGAAGCGGGCTAGACGAAGAGATCCCCTTAGGGGCTGCCAAGTGCAGCCACGACTGCCCTCCGTATTCCGACAAGTTCTCGTTGGTCACCCGTGGGTATTCCGGGTGGTAGTACGTTCCGTCATATATGGTGGGGATGTTGCGCTCGGCCATCCACTTTGCAGAGACCCAACACGCCAGGTTCATTAGGGTCGAGATGAGGTTGCGCTTCGTGATATCAGGGACCTCATGAGGATCGGCCTGTTGTTGGGCCAGCTGGATAACAGGATCTCCAATCACGTAACGTCCATCTGGCACTTTCATGTTAGTGGGTGCCAGAGGCTTCGTCCCGACCGCCATGGAGACGGAGATATCGATCGGTAAGGGCCATTCCATGGCGCCGTTTCGGCGTCGGTGCTCCCGGAATGCCAACATCAACTGTCTCAGTGTATGGAAGTTGTCTTCGTCCTCGGAAGCCAGCTCCTCTTGCAAGCATTCACGCAAGTTCCTCTTCGGCAGTTGTCCTCCCACCTTCAAAGGTTCCAACGCCGTTCCGGTTTTGGGCTCGAAAAGGCTGCGCAGCTTGTCGTGCGTTATGTAAATCACATTCCTAACGATTCCGTTCGCGATCTTGGTATCCAGAATCTCGCCTTGCATATTCATCTTGGCGCTGAAGGTTAGTGTTGGACGACCGGAAGCCAAGCTGAAGTGTTCTTGTGTGAAACGGCTGGGCAGCATGGGGTATGTACGCTCGGGGGCGTACATCGTCTGGAGGCGCGAAGCAGCATATTTCATGATCGTGCCATCAGAATCAAGGAATGCCGTAGGGTTGGCGACATGCACATGGATCCAGAAGGTATCCTTCGATCCTGGTATGCGTTCGAGCGAGACACCGTCGTCGATTTCCTCGGCGGTCACATCGTCCACACAGTAGACCGGTAGATCGCCCCAGTCAGTCCGCACGTTCTGCATCTTGTCGAGAAGCTTCCCGGAGTCAAGTTTCTCGCACTCACGTTGAACTTCCACCCACGAGGCATCCGAGCTGGGCGAGATGCCGTGGCCCGGGAGGGCTAGACCTTGATCGAGCAGGCGCAGGTTCTCCCAGGGGTAGAAAACACCTAGTTCTTGAAGAAACAGAGTTGCCGTCAATGGATTTAATTCCACAGCACCATACATGCCTGTGCTACGCATGATATGCGAACCGGCCGAGCGCATGGTCCCGGATGTCATTCTGCGTGGTGGAAGGCACCATAGCTGAAGGTACTCGATGATGATACGATCGGTATCGGTGAACTTTTCCGTAAAGATTTCACGATAGGCCGCGTGCTTGCCATCCTGATCCGGGGCAAATCGCTGAGCACTTGGGCCGACGTAAGCCATCGTCGTCGGTGCACGAACGCTTCGGCTGAGCTTTATGAGTCGCTGAGCCTTTTGGATGAATTTCTGCAAAGGATGGTCTTTGAAGTTGGCGACCCCTTTGCCATGAACATTCCGGTAAAGATAGTCTTGGTGTTGGTGAGCCCAGGTAGTGACCTTTTGAAGGACCATGGCGATCCGTCTCGGTTTGACGAGGTAACTATTGGTAAAAAGCGAACTCCGGTCATTCTCGACAAAGAAAGAGTGGGCATGGGCGACACGATGCACAAGGAACAAAAACACATCATTCAGCTGATCCCTTGGGATATCAAGTGTCTTGCAGGTAAGCTCCTCCAACGTGTATTCCCGGTAATTCTCGTCGTCGGCCACTATATCATGGATACTGTCGAGTCGGGCTGCATTGGCGCGGTAGAGCTCTCGCACATCCCGATCGAAGCTGTATATCTTCTTGAGAAGATCAGCCCCGACGTTCCTCGGTACTCCACCTTCGATAACCGACTGGAATTCTCTCTTCATCTGGGCGGCTACGCCGGGGACGTGTGGGTGCAGAGGCGCGACCATCTCGGGAGGCACAAACCGCTTGACGACATAGTCGAGATCTTTTGCAAATGCTACCCGCCATTTCCCTCGGTCCGTATAAAACTGTTGCTGTTTATGGATGGACCGTATGTATATCGCAAATGTCAGAACACCGTCGACGCTGTATTACCCGCAACACAAATTAGCGGTGGCCATTGAGTTGAGCGGGAGCCGAGGCTCAGCTGCTTGCACTTACCCAGTCATTGCAACGAGATCTCCGGGCTCCAAGTACTGATGAAGACCCTCTCCTTCATCGGCGGCGTTCGTGAAATCGAAGGCATCATCTGCCGCTCGTAGAGCATCACTTCCGGCATCGTGAGCCTCACGGTTGTCGTTCAACATGTTCCCCACCCAAGGCGCCGACGCATCCAAGAGATTTGAGGTTCCGGGTCCTCGGACAGGATCCATGTCGTTGGATTGAGACCGCTGCCATTTTCGCAAATAAGTTCGTATGTCCTTGTGCTCATCGAACTCAAGCTTAAGACGGAGGTTGAGAACCTCAGTCGACGAGTTCAGGAGATCCTGATCGAGACACCTCGAGCCCACACTGAAGTGCCTTCGCGATACGAGTTGCGAGTAGTTGGAGAGATTGCTGCGGCGTGGGATCGGTGGCGCGCGAGAGGCGATTCCGCAAACAAATTTCGGCGTGAGCGCATGGTTCACCCCAGCCACTCGTCGCAGTACTCTCGTCTTCGGGAGTAACAAAGGCATCCTAGACCATCCATCATACATGCCCACAACCTTGAGGCAGACAATTTCGCCGGCAGGCTGGTGGAAGAGCGAGAGGGAGCATGTGAGGTGACGAGTGCAGATGAACAAAGTCACATGCTGCCGCTCAAGGAGAATCACGTGCCTGGAAGTTGGGCTCGATCAGGTGACTGTGGCGGCGATTCCTACCAGCACTGCAAGGCCATGTGTCAGCCCCAATACGAAGTATGTCATATCATACCGGGTGAACGCTGTAGCAAGTAAAACGCGCATCTCCAAGTACAGTTCCGTTCAAAGTCCGTACTGAGGTGCCCAGGCCGATCTCATGTAGGCGATGGTATCTGTAGACATAAAAGGCCCTCTTTCCCAGTGCCCTGGACTGGCTTCAGCTACGGGATATGATTCTATCGGCGACTATATGTATTCAGGAATAGCTTGCGCGTTTAAACCTCAACTCCTACATCCTCGAGGCTGGAGAGGAAACTACAGCTATCGTGTGGACTGAACGAAAGAGTGACGAGCCATTGCTTGGGAATAGTCGCTGTTGTTCCGCCAACAGTAATGTTTAAGTATCAATTATTCTTAAGCGCTCCAAGGACACTGGCTCGTTGGTCCTCGTAGCAGTGAGTAGGAGCCGGGCCGCCGATCAAGGCTCGGTTTAGATGGCTGGAACGTGACCTTAACAAATGTAGGAGCTTGCGTGGGCGAGAGGCTTTGAAGAACATGATGGTTCTCGCATTCGCAAATAACGCTATTACAGGTAGACGGTTGGTATGATCCAAAATCGTTTTTCTCAACAGGGTGGTTTGTTGGGTCATGTTTGACCTGCTAATGGTTGATTCAGGTGTTTCAAGTCGAAATCGTGGGTATTATTTAGAAAGGCGTTCCAGGAGGCGTGTCAAATTCTAAACAGTTGTATGGCCGCAGTGGGTGCATTCTGCCTGCGGCCAAGCCACCCCACTGTTAGAGAAATCAAGAAATTCGTTGGATTACCTGTAAACCCACCTTATCATCCGTTCGAAGATAATGAGATCGTACAATATTGTTGGAGGGTTTTAACGTTGCTTGAAGCCATGTTGTACCTAGTGGCCGTGCGTTGATGTCGCAGTATATGAATAGATTATATTTGCTTCGCTGGAGTTGCCCAGAGCTACGCGGGAGCTAGGATGAGATAATGGATCAGGTCTGGTGTCCGCTCAAAAACACGTGTTAGGATGAAATCGAAAGCATTGAGCCGGGCGACATCTCCACAACCCGGCTCGCCTCCGCGGCCAAGAGGACGTCTTTCTATGTGTGAGAGTCCGCGTGGATTCGGGTACTGAAGGTCGAGGGGTTGGACGGTACGCTGGGCTGTATCCTTGCTTCGACCGGGAAGATCCTTACGTGGCCAACATCACGCAGCGAGCTTCATGAATTGAATGAGAATGGACGGATCGACGCGGGCCGGAAGGCGAGGAAGCCCGATCTACACAGGAGGGATGGACTCCCGGCAGATCGGACACTGCAGCCGGAGTCGCATCCAGCTCTCGAGACAGGCACTATGGAAGATATGCCGGCATGGAGTGACCATATACGTCCGTCGGCTCAGGAGACTCGTGGCCCCGTCCGTGACGCTACTGCTGCCGGGCCCTCTGGCCGCCGCAAGGACGGGAACCTCAATCTCTTGCATGCAGATAGCACAGTCGAACACGGCCTTTTTCTTGTCCTTCGCCCGATGCTTGTCTTCGTCCCTGGCTTCGCTAGCGTATTCTCGCTCGTCAGCCCGCAAGGCCCCAATGGGGAGGACTCCGCCGGACTCCAGGTCGTCGTCCGATCCAGCGCTATCGCGTAACACGGGGTGGTAGTCGTAGGCAGGGGGTGCCCAGCCGCGCGGAATGAAGAACCGTGGCCCCAGAATATCCTGGCTCGCCAATATCCAGACCTGAATCCACACCCAGCCAGCCAGTGCCAGGGCGGTGGTAGAGTCGGGCCGAATAAAAAGCACATTTCCGCGAGCGGTTAAGAAATACAAGAACGGAAAGAGTCGAAGAAAACTTTGGCCGACCACGAAGTCCCAGCGCAGTGCTTTGCGACAGTTGCGCATAACATTGCGATATATCTGGGGTACCCAGAAGGATAGGTAAACGAACCCAAGGGTCCGGGCATACATGGCCCCCATTCGGTTCGGCCAAAGAAAGGACCATATAGATATAATGAGCAGGACAAACAAGATGAAGTAGAACCGTGCGTACATGGCTCCCACATCACCCCGAGTATCCCGCGCAGTCGGTGTAGTGCCCCGATTCGCGGGGGGCTCATCTTCTTCCGCGGGAGGATCCTGGTCGGGAGTCAGAATAATCGGTGTCGCGCCAGTGTCACCGACTCGAGCCGTGGTGGCGGGCAGTGGCAGATTGCCTGCGCGCGGAGTAGTCGAGGGGTTGGGCCGGCGGTCTTGCTCCCTTCGCTCTGGAGCCTGGACAGCCCAGATCTCCATCATGAATTTCATCCCGATGTAACTGACGGAAAGGAAGGCAAGGAAGGATGCCGTGGTCATGACGAGAAATGAGACAGCGGGATAGAGCTCCAGGAGCATGAAAACCAGCACAAACGAGTCCCCAAATGCCATGAGCGCGATCGTATAGAAACTGATCCGGCTTCTAGTAGACGGTGTGGACGCTTCTTTGATTTGGCGCAAGAGTAACGCTATCTGGGCCACGGAGAAGGCCGAAATCACAAAGATGATGCGGGCTGAGTACTTCCCAAATTCCTCGAGTTTCGGACCCGACAGATACAGCGCTTCGGTGGGAGGAAAGTCTGGTGCTCCCTTGGTCTCCAGAACATACCCACAATCGGGAGAGAATACCACCGCAGACATCACCAACAGTGGAGGAGACGGGATAGGCGCGCCCATAGGGTACCGCAGCTCCTGTTCCATTTGCTCGATAATCGCTTTGTCTGCGAGGTAGCCATGAATCGCGACCGGATGTTGTTGCAGATAGACGATGTGTTCACATTTTGGCGCGGGGAATTCCACCTGCTCAGTCCCGACCAGCGAAGACCAAGGAAACAAGGTGGGCGGCCGATTTTGTTTCTCCGAGATGGTGTCTGAGAGAGACTTGATGAGGAGCTGGTGGGTCAGATTGTAGGTGTCCGACGAGAGGGCGAGGTGTGGCAATGAGAATACACCCCCAAACTTCTCGCTGGTGGTGCTCAGGATGATGGCCCCGGTGTCTGGGAAATGAACTCCAAACAGCGAGAGGTACCACGTCGTTCCCCAGAAGTCGCCGCTCTCCACTGCCAAGGTTGCTCGAATTTCCCGGACATGACCGTGAGGCAACCGAAGTTCTTCTCCGCCCCCCTCTCGTAGATCGAGATAGAAGGTGCCACGGTCGCCCGTAACGTTATGGCTGAATTCGTGCGTGAAGTATTCGTTTTCGAGGACGATGGCGGTGGTATTCAGCGGGGGGCGTTCCTGGTCCTGCCGGCGGCGGACCCACTCCCCGCGCAGCTTTCCCGTTGCATTGCGATACACAGGGAGGAGTAACTGGGTCAGATTGAGGTCGGGGAACGCGCCGGGGACCGCAAGGGCCTTGGGAGGCTTCAAGCCCGCTTCGGCCATGGTGGACCGGAGTTGAAGCCGGGCTCTCTCCTGGACCTCGGGAAGAAGATCCCAGGCATAGCTATCGTTCTTCCTGACCCCCGAGAAGGGGAGCCATCTGTCGGCTGCCGGGTCAAAGTCTCCATACTTGGACTCATTCAGCATCCGAAGAGCATTCCGTTCCCTCGCCAGTTCCCGTTGGTGCTCCCGATCCTGAGACACCAAGGGCGAATGGGACTGCGAGCTCAGAAGAAGGTAGAAGACTACCAGGAAAAAAAAGAAAGAGCCGCGGTGATCCATCGATGCCGATGAGTCGCCGGCATCGGACTTTGGGGGGCAGGGAGGTTCTCCGAAGGTCCAAGCTATGCCGTGGTGCGCGACATGGCCAGTTTACATCGACCTAGACAGAACACGAGGGGGCGTGGTCGCGGAGGAGCGGCCGTTCGACTTCTTGGCGAAGCACGCAGGCTGTGCTTGTGGTCACTGGACTCAATGAAGCCACTTGCGACAACGAGATTGATCGGGGTGAACGATCGGTCCGAGGTGAAGGCTGCCTGCAAGGAGGTCAGCAAGGGTTTTCTCCGGGGGCGGGTTGACGATAGCAGGGGTTATCCCACGTTCGGACTCAACACGTTCAGATCTACCGCAGAGACGGTGGGGGGAAATGGGAATTGGAGTCTTGGACTTGAAGTTGGGGGAGGGGGGGGTGAAGACCCCCCGCGTGATCCGCGTGTTCCCGTGCGGGGTCACCTGACCCCCGCTCCGTCGGACGGATCTCTACTATCTCGATTCTAGAACCAGAGTAGAACCGAGTCGGACCGGCAAAGTAGTATCGACCGTCGTTCGATGACGATGCCTTGGCAATGACGTGGACAAATAACAGCCAGGCTAATCCTGTAACCTTATGGACACCCTACTATGTATTGGCACCTTCTCTACGGAGTGATATAGTCTACACAGCACACGGTGAAAGTGTCACCCTGACCAACATCACAGTGAGCGAGCCCCACTCGGCCAATAGAATATGAATTGAATTGATTCAAAGCAAAAATATAGCAACCGTCCATCGCACTCCGGGTACCGATCTTCCAGCCCCCTCTAACTCCAAAGTGGGCCAAGCGCTCGCTCAGACAATTTTATATACGCGCTTCGCGATATAGAACGAGGCGATAGCAAAGAGGACCAGCCCCGCCGTAATCGACCAAAACCATGACAGACTATCAATATCCTGGCCCGGGACTTTCACGTTCATCCCCCACATCCCGCAGATAATGTTCAACGGGAGGACAATCGTTCCCAGCACCGTCAGCTTCCCCAGCACATCGGCCGTCTGTTCCTGCCGCTCGTTCATGAGGATGTTGATCTGCGCCAGGTAGTTGGAATGCGCCCGCGACAGAAGGGTTTCATAGTAGGTCAGACTGCTGGTCATCGTCATGATATGGTCCTGAATATCACCCAGATAGAGGCCAATCTCAGACTTGGGCGCCACCTCCCACTGCTCGTTGCACCGTTTGGCAAACCCCTTGACCACGTCCGCCTTGTTGCTCAAGAGCCGGTACATCCCCATCACCTTCTTGCGGCACACCCCCACGCGCCGGAGCATCTCGCCAGGGGCTAGAGACGTTGTCACACTCTCGTTATCGCCTTCTTTGTTTGGCCCCATCCCGCGCTCGTCAGCATGCATCTGCATGATCTTCTCGTCGATCTCGTCGACCTCGTCCTCAATGGCCTGAATCAGAGGACCAAACACATCCGTGATGTCATCGATGAGCGCGTACGAGATCCAATCAGAGCTGAGGATCAAATAGTCCATCAGCTGGCGGATCCGTCGGCGCACATTGGCCGGATGCGGCGTCTGCGAGAAGTGGAAGGACAGGACGCCTTCCCGAAACACCACCACGTACATGTTCACGGGCTCGAGATAGTTTTCGCTGTTCGGATCTTGCTCAAAGGTACGGTAATTCACAAAGTAATAGTTCCGGAACAGCTCGACTTTCTCGCGTGCCTCTTGCATCATGATGTCCTCGGTCGTTAGGGCATGGATACCAAAGGCCTTGGCCAGGACACGCATCTCTGCGTCTGTTGGGGAGAGAACATCGAGCCAAAAGGTCGGTCGAGGCCCATACCGCTTGGGTTTCGGTTGACCCGGCTTTCGCGGGGGTGAGGCGTCCACCGGTGTGCGTGCTTCCGATACAGCCTCACTGATGATCGATGTCCGGGGCTGTCGTCTTTGGTTGTTGGAGAGACCCTGGTGGTTGTGATTATAGGCGGTGTGACCGACGCCGCCATGAAGGTTCCCATTCGGTGAGGTTACCCGGGCTTCATTGCCGCTGGCGTGATGACCATGGTTGTGGAAACCCGTTGTGTCCTCGCCCTGCTGGTGTACCGACTCCGTGTCATCTTCATCGGACGAGACCTCCAGCTCCGGAGGGTCCGGAATGAAAAGCTCGCGGAAGCTGCCACCAGGCTGGCAAAGCTCAGAGATCGTTTGGGCATGGATCGTACTTTGGAACTCTTCGTTGAAGTACGTAAATCGGTAGGGAGCTTCGTCCTCTTCACGTCGCCAGAGTCGGTACTGCGGGCGCAGGCGGCCCTCGACGAGCATGGGCTCGCTGATTTTCTTCGCGCGATAAGCCCCCGATCGCTCCTCTTTCTCCTGGCGACTCCAGTCTTCCAAGACGGATAGATCAGGCCATTCCCGGAGCCGTCGCCTCCGACGATAGCCTTCTTTGGCCGTTCTCTGTGCATCTTCTTCCGCCAATTCTGAAACCACCTCGGTGGGAAAGCACACATCCTCTTCAGCCGGGAAGGTGGTCCGACGACGGAGACGCTCCTGAGGCATAATCTGGGGCGAAGTCGGCGAAGATCCGCGCGACTGCGCCGGACGATTGCTGGCCCCATCTACATCGATCAACAGATCATGCGTGCGAGCCAGTTGTTCCATCCGATTGTCGATCGACTTGGCCAGCGAAAAGTCAAATTCAGCCCCCGTAACCACCGCATCATCATAGTTCATCTCGGGTCCCAGTTTGGGCGAGGTTGGCATGGACGGGGGGTTATTGATATCATAGTCGTGATCCGGCTCGGGAAACTTGGGGCTTGGGATCGCTCGGGGTGAGCACCGAGAAGAACTCGAACGGCTCGAGACAGGTCGTCGCTGGGGGAACGACAGAGGGCTCGACCTGAAATCCGATCCGTATCGCGGCAAGCTGGGAGAGTGGCCGGAGGGCGGTGGCATCAACGGGGTCCGATCATTCACTTCTTCTCCGTCGCTGTTCGCCTCGACTCTGGCCCCGGACGGAAGGGTTCGCGAGCCCGAGTCGATGGGACGAAAAGGCGTAGAGGAGGAGCCCGGACGGTAGGACTGCGCTAAGCGGCTGTCTCTCCGCGGCCTCATAGGCGGCTGATTGCGATGATCCAGCAAGGCTTCACTCTCCAGGCTAGTGCTACTGAGGCCCCTGCCGAGTTTGTAGAAGGGCAACGCCGCTTGCGGCTTGGTCTGGTCCTCTGCCATCATGCCGCTGTTCTCTGCATCGGGGATCGAGGCATGGGATGCGGCTGGATGAGGATCCTCGGCACCCCCCAGGAAGGATTGGCGGCGATGACGACGCTTCCGATGACGGGGTTTTTTCCGTTTGGCCGACTTGATTGTCCCCGATCGGCTGCCTGCACCATCGTCCTGCTTCCGATCCGAGCCAGGAGTCTCGTAGCCACGGGTGGTTCCCGACTGGGAGTCACCAGGTCGACTGTTATGGCGGGCGGGCTTGCTGGGGCTGGGAGCGGTCTGCTGCGGAGTAGACGGTGAAGGCTGCATGGTGATCGATCGATAGCCTTCGGGGGGGGGGGCCGGAAGCATGCACGATGATCGGACCGAAGTGTCGACCAGGAAGGCCCAGCGCGGCACCAACCCTTATCTCGGTGGGGATGACGCGAGGCCGCTCGGAAAATCCAGAATGCTTCAGCAAGGAGGCCCCTCGCTGGAATTCTGGACACACTCGACCGCAGCGATAAGGATGATGGTGGGGAAGGGGATAAGAGTAATCACGACGGCAAGGGGGTTCGGAAGATTGTCGTGGCAGGCAGCCTAGTAGGGCTCAGCGTTGGTCAGGGACAATTCATCGGGGCGCCGGGCGCAGGGCGATTGGAGATCGGCGAGCGAGGGACGAGGCGTGGTGGGACATCAGGCACTTCCAACGGCAAGGGTTGAGCTCCATCGACCGGAGAGCCGGGGACGAGGGAAGGTAAATAGGGCTGAGGAGTGAGTACTAGTGTGGGATGGGACGCAGGCCAACGACCAGGGAACTGGGAAGATCAGGAAATTGGGGGGGGGGGAACCAGCTTCTTCTGAACGGTGAAGGTGGGAGGGAGAGAGAGAGACTGGCGAAACCGGCCCCGTGCTGGTCCCGAACCCCCTTCGAACCCGATCACGTGAGAGGATCACGCGATGACATCATGTGCGCCTGGACTGTGTTGGGAGTACGGAGGATGGAGGACGGAGTACTCCGTCCGTACTCCGTCCACAGTACACAGTACACCAGTACACAGGACAAAAGTTCTACGATGCACGTGACATGGCTGCGACACGGCCATCGGGCATCGGGGGAGGAAGGTTTCGACGACAACGTTCGATGACGCGCTCAGTGACCATGGTCGGCGCCATGACGTCGAGGCAATGGGAGTTCCCGGGAGAGAGCCAGGGGAACCATGATGACTGCGAGATAAACTTCATACTAGTACATCCGCCGGACACAGTAGTGCATACGGACTAGAGTACGGAGTAGCTAGTAGGTAGATATAGGACGAGCACTTCGATTGCACTTCTTGGCCGTCCTCAGACAGCCTGGTTCTTTGGTCAAGTATCACGGCATCAAGTGCGGCGCTGGCGACCATTTCGGGGACTATCCAGGCTCCCACCCTTCCGCTTCCCCGTTCTCGTCACCAGATGGTCAATGACACAACCCTTCTCCCATCCGGCCGATGACTGCCCCGTGATGGCCCGGCATCTCGGACAAGTCTTACCGTGGCGGATGAAGAGCTGATGCAGGGAATATTTCAGATGATCCGGAATGCGGACCTCAAGATGACTGAACGCCGTGATCTCCGTCGCTTTGGCCGGGGGCACCCAGTTCAGCCATTTACAGATGCGAAAGATATGAGTATCCACGGCAAAGCAGGGCCGTTGCAGACAGAAGAGCAAGACACAGGCCGCCGTCTTGGGGCCGATTCCCGGATATTTGACCAGCGCCCCCATCGCATCCTCCGTCGCCAGGCTATGGAGATGGTTCAGGGAAAGGAAGTTCTGGTCGGCGCACGCGATCTCATACTGCTTGCCATCGTCGGACTTGCGAAGCAAATCGGGGGGTGCGTCCGGCGAGTGGCTGACCAGCAGATCCCGACGCGCCTGGTTCTCTTGGTAGACCATATCTAGTATAGCCTTGATCTTTCTGCTCTTGACGTCTGCTAAGCCGCCACGCTTGATGGCTTCAAAGACATTGTGGAGTGGCGCCTGACGGACGGCGTCCCAATTCACACTCCCTTTGCCGATCCCGCCCTCCAGGATACCGAATCTCTGCACCAGGCCATTGAAGGCCAGGGCCGAGTTGGTGCCGGTGGTGGCTCCACTCAGTAACGTGCGGATGAGAGCATCCAGGACGGAGGGCACCTCGCCGCAGCCGGTCACAGTCAGAGATGGCTCCGGGATGGTGGTGGGTGCCACGATCTCTCCATGCACAGTTGAAAGCAGCCGATTGACTTCTTCACACTCCTCTGGGGTGGGATGATTCCAGTCAGGGAATGGGGATGCTCCCGGGGTGAGGTTGTATTGGTTGGGCTTCTTGGACGTCGTTGCTTTCCTGGGGGACCCTGGTGTATATGTCCGAGCCTTGTCGACAGTGTCCTGCAGACGGTGGGCAAATTCCTCGATTTCCTCGTTCTTGATGGGCGCTTTCTTGTCGCCCTGCGACAATAGCGGGATGGCCGGGCCTAGATTGTGAGGAAGCTCGTCAACCTCGCTGGGGTTCACGGCTCTGGCCGTTGTTTTCCGCCTTTTGGAGGCAGGTCGGCTAGGGAGAGCGGGATTCGGGCCTGGCGATACCACAGGCGCTACTTGTCCAGCAGGGCTTGGGAACGTCTCCGCATCCGATGATGCCGTGGACGGCGGAGTCCCGCCAGGTTGCACTTGCGCGGCCAGCAATGCTGCCTCCCGCGCCGTGGCGGAACGCGTCATACGAACCATGGCGGATCCACGGATGCCATGCAATGGGGGACGAAAGAAGCGTAGCTGCAAATCAAGGAGCTGACTGAGAAGTTAGAGAAATCTGTCGCCCCAAGGAGTCGGCAGAATCAAGGAGTTCAAATGCTGTCCAGGTGAAGCCCCCCCCGAGAAGGAAGGATGGGAGTCAGGTGACATCATAGGTACCTCTCTAGGCGGGCCCCAAAATTGGGATGGATTACTCCGGTGGATTAAGAACTAAGAAGTATGTAGAATACATAAGAGAACACTCCATGTTCAGGGCCTTCCATCCCCGGATATCTATTTTCGTGGTGACTGGCTTCCTCCGTCTTCGGAAGTTTTCAGACAATTGTCTCAGAGTGCTCAAAATTCATCAGTGTCGTTAATATTTAGCAAATCCTGCTCCCCTCGCACCTGCATCCGTCTTCAATGACCCCCGGGGTTGACCCGCAAGGCGCCGAAACGGCCCGGAATAGGAACAAAACCACCAACCAACCAACCAGCCCCCGGTTCCCGCAGAATGTGACGCCGTCCGCCGAGGTGATCCATCAACTCTGCGATCTTGCTCGAAGGGCGAACTCCCGGGGTATGCAGGGTCGAACCGAGTCCCCCCTGGGTTGATGGAGGAAGGTGTCGAGCTCGCTGGCAGGAATCCGCACGCGGGCCCGGTTGAAGTGTGCGCCCGCGTGTAGAATGCCCCGCTGAGGCGGGCCGGCCGAATGGACAAATCGCAGGCGAGGAGGCAGAAGTAAGGGAATCGCTATGAGTTATGTACATAAATTGATTAGTCCCGAAGCGAGTCTTGGTAGACGCGTCGTCGAATATCTACTCGGTATCCTCCACCGGCCCGCAGGTGCAGAAGAGGTTCTGGTCTCCATAGGCATCGTCCACACGCGTCACCGATGGCCAGAACTTCTTCTCCAGCAGGTAGGGCAACGGGTAGGCTGCCGCCTCGCGAGAGTACGGCCGCGTCCACTCGCTCGCCAAAAGGTCACGCTGGGTGTGCGGTGCCAGCTTCAGCACGTTGCCCTCCCGGGGCTGAGCACCACTCTCCACGGCAGCGATCTCCTCCCGGATGGAAATGAGAGCATCGCAGAACCGGTCGAGCTCTGCCTTGTTCTCCGACTCGGTAGGCTCGATCATCAAGGTGTTGGCAACGGGCCACGACATGGTCGGGGCGTGGAAGCCGTAATCCTGGAGACGCTTGGCGATATCAATGGCCTCGATGCCGCAGGTGTCCTTGAACTTGCGTACATCGAGGATGAACTCGTGCGCGCAGCGGCCGTTCTCGTTCGTGTACAGGATAGGGTAATGGTCCTGGAGGCGCGCAAGGATATAGTTGGCGTTGAGCAACGTAATCTTCGTCGCGTGCGTGAGACCCTTGGAGCCCATCATGTTGATGTAGTTGAAGGTAATGGGTAGGATGCTGGCACTGCCCCAGGGGGCGGCGCTGATTGGGGGCGAGGACGATTCAGTACGCTTGGACTGAAGGTATTCGCTACCCGGGTGAGACGGGAGATAGGGCCTCAGGTGCTCAGCAACACCGATAGGGCCAACACCGGGGCCGCCACCACCGTGGGGGATACAGAAGGTCTTGTGCAAGTTCAGGTGGCACACATCGGCGCCAATCTCGCCAGGAGAGCACAGACCAATTTGCGCGTTCATGTTGGCGCCGTCCATGTAGACCTGACCGCCATGCTGGTGCACGATCTCACAGGCCTGCTTGATGCCAGGCTCATACACACCGAAGGTGCTGGGGTAGGTGATCATCACGGCAGCCAGCTCATCCTGGTGCTTCTCACACTTGGCCTTCAGGTCATCCAGATCCAGATTACCAGTCTTGGTGTCACACTTGATCGTAACAACGCGCATACCAGCCATGGCAGCACTGGCAGGGTTCGTTCCGTGGGCGGAGACGGGAATCAAGCAAATGTTGCGCTTGTCGCCTCCGTGGGCTTCCTGATACTTCTTGATGACACGCAGACCAGCGAATTCACCCTGCGCGCCGGAGTTGGGCTGCACAGTAACCTCGGCCATACCGGTGATATCCGCCAGCTGCTGCTCAAGATCGTCAATCATCTGGGTGTACCCCTTGGCCACATCGGCCGGCAGGAAGGGATGCATCTGGGAGAACTCAGGCCAGGAGACCGGAATCATCTCCGTGGTTGCGTTGAGCTTCATCGTGCAGGATCCAAGAGGAATCATCGAATGGGCCAGGGAAAGGTCCTTCGACTCCAGGTGACGGATGTAACGCAACATTTCCGTCTCCGAATGGTGAGTGTTGAACACAGGGTGGGTCAAGTAGGGGGATGTACGTTCCAGGCTGGGCGGGATGGGAGCAACACCAAGATTTTCTTCCAAGCCAACCTCGCTCTTGGAGGCGTGGGCTGCGAACACCTGCAAAATGGACTTCACCTCCTCACGACCGACGGTCTCATCCAAAGAGATACCAACCTTCGTATCATTCAGACGGCGGAGGAAGATGGACCGTTCACGGGCAGCAGCAACAATAGCGTCGGTATCTTGGCTGCTGGGCAACTCGACAACAACCGTATCGAAGAGGGCGCCACCATCCGCCGTGTTCGACTTAACCGGAGCGCTATAGCCCAATGCCGCGAGCTTAGCCTGCAGCGTGGTGGTCATTGACATGATACGCTGGGCGATGGCCTTCAATCCGGCAGGTCCGTGGTAGACCGCATACATGGCGCTCATGTTGGCGAGGAGCGCCTGCGCCGTGCAAATGTTGCTGGTGGCCTTCTCGCGGCGGATATGCTGCTCTCTGGTCTGAAGGGCCAGTCGTAGGGCACGATTGCCCAGGCGGTCCTTGGACACACCCACCACACGGCCGGGGACCTTGCGTTTGTACTTGTCCGCGCAGGCGAAGAACGCTGCGTGAGGACCCCCGTATCCCATCGGCACACCAAATCTCTGAGCGCTTCCAAACGCAATGTCAGCACCGAATTCGCCGGGGGCCTTAAGCAAAGTCAAAGCCAACAGGTCCGTCGCAACGCTGAAGGTGCCACCGTGGTTGTGAATCGTGTCACTCAAGGCCTGGAAGTCGTAAATGCCACCCTCGGTGTCTGGGTACTGCGCCAGCACACCAATGAGGTTGTCTCCCTGCTCCTTGACCAGCTTGAAGTCATCCGCCAGAATGTCTCCGACCACCAGGTTAATGCCAAAGCCCTCCGCGCGCGAGCGCATCACTGCAATGGTCTGAGGGTGGCAGAGATGAGATACCACGTAAGCCTTGCCGGCCTTCTTCTGCTTCGACATTGGCAGGGTGGCCAAGGACATGGTCATGGCTTCCGCGGCCGCGGTGCCTTCGTCCAGGACCGAGGCATTGGCGAAAGCCAGCCCCGTGAGATCGGCAGTTAGCGTCTGGAAGTTCAGGAGGGACTCCAGGCGACCCTGACTGATCTCTGGCTGGTAGGGGGTGTAGCTGGTGTACCACGCCGGGTTCTCTAGAATGTTGCGGAGAATGACCGGAGGCACAATGGTCGGGTAGTAGCCGGTTCCCAGGTAGACCTTGCCCGACACGTCGATTTGTTGGCGGTAGGTGTCGAGGAGCTTCAGCATATCTGTCTCTCCCAATCCACCGTGCACACTGCTGTGAGGAAGATTGGCGGTGGAATGCGGAGCGGCGACTTTGAGGTCCTTTTTGGAAAGAATGTCCGCCGGGAGCACCTGTTTGACGAACTCATCGAGTGAAGCTACTGGAGGATTCAGGGTGGCCAGCATCTCCTTTGCAGCATCTGGCGAGGGGCCAATGTGCCGTCTGGGGAAGGTATCGAGGGGTTGGAAGAGATCGGGGGGGTGAGGAACGCCATGATCGGCGACGGAGCTGGTGTAGACGGGTCGTCGCGAGGAGGGGGGGGGTTGTGTGGTCGAGTGAAGGGAGCGAAGGAAGGGAGGGGTAGTTCTGCGCATCGCCATGGGCGACGAAGAGGGCAACCGGGCGCGCAGGGCCAGCTGGCGGGGGCCCCGGAGGGCTGACCAGGATGCAGCCATGGCGACCATTGTGAGAGGGAGAGGGAGAGGGAGGGAGGAGGGAATGACCCGGCTGCGCGAGGCTTCAGTACATAGAAGATGGGATGAGCGAGCACTTAGGCGGAGGAGGAGAAGGAAGAGGAGAAGAGAGGGAGGATTTAGAAGACAGCAAAGATCGGACACGGGATACAGACGAAAGGAACGAGGCCAAGGGGGGGGAGGGTTTAGTAGATATCTAGTACGGAGTACTGGGAGGAGGAAGAACGACCGCGGGCAGCCATCCGATGGCGCGTCGGGAAACTGACTGCCCGGCCGATAAGACCGATAACGTCCCCTCCGGTCCAATCAGCACCGGCCCGGCAGCCCCGCAATCGGCGATAAGGTCTCGTTTCCCGCGGGAAATCTGGGGAACCGCAGGATAAATGACAGTACTCCGTACTCGGTACTCCGTAAATCAAGAACAGTGAGCCGTGCCAGTGAATGGGCGCTTGGACGGGCGGGAAGGAAGGGCAGATCCGGGATGAGAGCTCAACTCAAAAGCCTAGCGCTTCCATCTCTTCCGGACTGAGAAACTTCCCCTGGTAAAACTCCTGATTCCCGTCGCTGTCATAGTTGGGCTCCCAAAACCGATACTGGCCCATGGCGCAGCTATAGAAGAGTGCCCGGTGTTGAGGTTTTCGCGGACCAGTGATTTGCAGTCGACTCGGTGGGGGTTGAGTCCCCCGGCACCAACAAGGAGGGTTGGTCGGATGAATCCCGCGCAGGTCCGCAAAGTAGAAGAATTTATGACACGCCTTGCATCGCCAGTAGCGTCGACCAGCATTCCCGTTCGGGTTCCAGGCCTCGACCTCAAATAGCTTGGCGTACCGGTGACATCTCTGGCGATATTCTTCGCAATCGTCGGAGTGTTGATTTTCGTCGCCGTTCCTGTTCCTCGCTTCGTCGGCGCTCCTGGCGTCGGCGTTTCTTGCGTTGTCAGCGTTTCCAGTTGCTTTAGCGCTTCTGGGTCGCAGGGTCCGGGGCGTCGACGATGGCAGTCATACTAGTATCAATCTGGAAAGCAGACGAGTCGTGCAAGGGAGCAGTGTGAAAGGAAGAAGCGGGAGGATGAAGAGAGGGTGGGCGGGTGATGGTGCGGGGAAGACGCATCTAGTATCCAGATTGGTAGACTGATATCACACGGTATATATATTTCTTTGTTGAGGGGGGATCACCACGATGCCGCTAGGATAGGTATCATGTGACCCACTACCGGATGGGTCCGGACACGAGTGTACGATTTACTCCATACATGTAGATACTAGTAGTTGCACGCCCAGCGTGGCCATCCCTGCCAGTTGCATTGACACGTCTGGGTCGTAGGTGTCATGTTGTTCATGAGGAGAAGAGAGAGAGAGAGAGAGAGGGAGTGAGAGAGAGGGTGTATGTGTCTGATGGGAGAGAATCAGGTAGGAAGGAGAACCACCACCAAGGTACTTCATAGATACTTCATAGATAATTACCAGAGAGATAGTCAGGGGTGATGTTGATGTTGTTATATGATAGGTGACTATCATGTGGTCCACTATTTGGGCACCGGGTGGTTGGACAGGTAACCCGGACGGTGTCACAGCACTCCGTAGTACTCCACTGCATCGTACGGTGCCCTACTATTTGTTTTTCTTCCCTCAAAAGATACTATGGATTCCTAGTAGCAGAGCTGCCCTCCGCCACCACCTTCCATTGGCCCGACACATCAAACACTGACTCCCCCATCCAACACCCCAACGCCTCGACCCCCAACACCTCCCTCAAATATCGTCGTCCCAGCTCTTTCTGCCCGTTGGCTTGCCCGAGATAGAACAGCGCGTCCTCGGCCGGGTTGGCACGTGCGGCCTCAATCTGCTGCGGTAGTCGTAACATAAGCTCTAATAACCAGCCCCCAAACGCATTGTCCAACGCTACAGCCCACCCCGTAATTTCCGAATCATCCGCCGGGACCGACTCGGCACTGGCACGCAGGAGGAGCTGGAACAAGGTCGCATCGTGCCGGCCCACTCGGACGGCGGTCCGGAAATGTTCCGCGGGGACGGTGTACGGCACGCCGCCGGTGGGCTGCAGAGATTGGATCTCACTGCGGAAATGGTATTCGTCGATCTTGAGGAGGGTGGCTAGGGCTTCGGCGTTGTTCTGCACGAGGGCAGCGTGGATTCCGTTTTGCAGGTACTCGCGGGAGACAGCGACGGTGGGTTTGATGAGGTCCGGCCGGTTCCACCCGCTGGCTATGCGGAGGGTTTCCAGGTAGTGAACCTGATCGGGACAGAAGAGGCCGTGAAAGAGTTTGTCGGGGATGAGGAGAACGCCGAGGACGGGATAGGTGGTGGATTGATCCGTTTCGTGGTGGGTAACGGTTATTGACACGAGGGGGTTGATGGCAAGAGTAGAGGGATTTGTGTTGGCGTCGGTGCCTGTAAAAACGCGGGCGTCTCCCTTCTGGGCGAGAAATTGGGTCAAGGATTCCTCTTCGACCGCGGACATGGTCATCCCTGCGCCGAACCAGTGGCGTTGGAGGGTGAGGTTCATTAGATCAGGGAGCTGCGCCAGAAGCCGTTGAACGGTACACCATTTGCAGCGAAGGATGCTGTCCTGGAGATTTCGCCGCTCCGCATGGCTGATCGGAATGTATTCCACTGGTCGGAGAATCCTGGAGATTGCGGCCTCGGAGGCGCGGGTTGTACCGGCTGGCATGGCGGAGTCATCCCAGAACGCGAGCAGGATCAGGGCCCGGAATATCCGCTCGCTTGAGACTGCTGCGGCCAGGGAGGAGGAGCAGCGAGCAAAGTTCACGTTTTGTGAGTACAGAAAGATCTTTTCGATCAGCTCGACGGGAAGCGATTCCAGGATCGACTTCCGTGGCTGGGTCGGTTTGGCGATGAGTAGACGGGCTCGCTTGTGGCTTCTTGCCTGAGATGAGTTGAGCTTCGCCTGATGGGACAAGAAGGGTCGTCCACCCTTGGGTCCGCTGGGCGCGGGCGTGGACGTTGGCGTTGGCGCTCCATCATCGGGATGCTTTCTCCTGCGGCCGCGCACCCGGATGGGCGTGAGCATGTCCGGCGAGTCTATTGAATTGGACTGCTTGATCGAGTGTCGTGAGCCATGTCCGAGAGCCCGGCGAATTCAGAGCCAGCTGAAGTCCTGGACGGTACGGAGTACGGAGTACTAGAACTAAATCACCCATCAGAATTGATAGATCGTTCGACCCCCGCAGGCGAGAACCTGCACGCCCGCACGTGATTGATCACATAAGCAGAGGCATCGATCAATCACATGACTGGCATGGCTCTTTGGTAACCCCCTCAAAACCAGGACATCTTCCCCGCAATCTCGGACGAATGGCCGGTCGTCTCCGGTGCCACGCCAACTTCGCGTAACCTGGCTTTCAATCGCGCAGGACTAGTAACCACCGCGGGGTATTAGAGCCTCGCTGGTAGCAGACCGTTGTCTTTGGGCAGCATGTTCGCTCGCACCAGGGCTGCGAGTGCTCGCTTGGCCCCGCAGAGGATTACGGGGATGGCTGTGACCATCTCGAGGCGTGAAAGCTATAGAATAGAATGTAGGGGGAGCGGCGGGTAAACGGGACATCAAATCGAGGGATTTCCTGTTTGGATAGTTTGATTGCTCGCAAGTGCTGCGGGGGAGAGCTTATTCCTGATAAGCTCAAACTTAAAGAATTGCATAGCACTACCACTACTACTAGCACCTAGTACTTAGGATGGTCTTGCTTTGAGTTTGACTTCCGAGATCGAATCAGCAGCGGGCCCCACCCGGAGTACTCACGTACACTAACCAACGTTGGCAGGTAACCTCGTGGTACGGATTATCTCAATTGGTATCTTTGAATTTATCACAGGCATTATACAACCAACAAGGGATCACGGACCGGACCACGATGCCTGCATCTGTCATTACGTCTCGTTCTCCTATCACGTTCAATCCAACCGTGTCCGAATCTCGCCCAGGTACTCCAGAGCACGCCCGAACCGGATGGTAGCAACACAAGCCACGGACTACTTATTATGGGGCCGGAACGCCGGCCTATCACGCAGCGTACCCGGGGCTTCCCAGCACGAATATCGAACCCAAAACGCCGGAGAGATTGGGACACGTGCCCACATTAACATTATCATACAGCAGCATTACCCATCGGCGCGAGGGCTCATGAGAGGCGACTTGGGATGGGACCTCGACGGACTCCCCGCGCGGGACCGGCGGCCGTTGGTCGTTAGTCCCAATGCCAGGGGCGCCAAATGATCTCGACTTTCGGTCGCCACGACCAGGCCATGCCGGTCCATCGCGGTCACTCCGGACCCAGCGGTGATGCCGAGCCCGATAGTCCCCGACGAGGCATTGTCCATCGCATACTTGAAACTAGGTGTGTTGCCACCACTGCCCCAGCTTGACGCCCGCTTGGGGGCCGTGAACCTGGCAGCGTCGGCCTCGGAGGGGCGGCCCCCATCAAATGAACTGCGGCTGGACTCGATCACGCCAAGATCGAATTCCGGAGCCCCTTCCTCCAGGACGCGCTCATACGTAGGACTTCTCGGACCAAAGAACGGCAGCTTTCCGCCAAAGATCCTCCGCCTCTTCGGATGGTTCGGATGGGACGGACCTCCACGACCAAAACACTTCCTAACCTGATGGTAAACCTTCAGGCGACGGCCCCGCCCACAGAGACAGAAGGCTACCATGAGTACGATCAGCAAGAACAAGATGAAGCCCGGGACGCGGCGGGAGGAGCTCCCCTCGAGGAGTGCATCATGCCACGTTCCGCCATGGATGCCCTCGGGGCCGGGCAGCAACTCCACGCTGGGGTACTGGAAATCGCTGGGCACGCCAGCAACATTGCTGCCAAAGCCGACCGGAAGGGCCTCTTCCACCTCCAGAGGAACCTGGGACGAGGCATAGAGGACCATCTTCCCCAGCGTCCAACTGACTTCCGTCGAGTCGATCTTGTTCACCGCCTGAAAGGAGTCCAAGTAGCCTTTGCTCTGACCCTGGGAAAGCACTTCTTTGGTTCCGTTGTGACCCGAGCCTGCGATGTCCTCGATGCCTACCCGAGGAATCCCAATGCCGTCATGCAACACATTCATTATCCACGACGCCTTAAAACACACCTCGGCGGCCGCTTCCTGATCGAATTTCTTGCCCCATTGGTGGCGTTCGAGGCCGTCCTCCACCGTGGCCCAGTCCTGTGAACAAAAGGATTGCACGCGCTGTTGGTAGGTAGCAAAATCGTACGCTTTGTCCTTGTGACCCATCTCGAATGCTTCATGGGTTGTATGCCAGTATTCGCTGATGCCGACGAAATGGTTGACGTCAAAGTCGATGGCCGGCACATGCATTCCATGCAGGAGACAGGGTTGATCGGGACAGGGGGCATCCTTGTCTAGTAAGGGGTAGGTCTGTCGCAAGCATTCGTCAAACTTGCCGGTGCCGAGGAGAGACACCCCTTCGGACTCCTCCGTCGCCAGAAGCTTGCCGTCAGTTGTGGTGCGTAGTCCAACCGGCAGGCACGGATCCGGGAGCTCCTTGACGCTTGCCACGGCACTTGCAGCCTGCAGGGCCTCCACATAACGCCGTCGAGCTTCATGGACGCCAAACTCGAGCCAGGAGGTGACAAAGACTCTGTGTTCCTGTGTGGACCCATCGATATTGCGAAGGCGTAGGAGGGTCAGATCATTGGCATGCTTTTCGCTCTCGGTAGCATTGGGGGCGAATGCGATCTGCGCCGAGGCACCGCCCATGTCCAGAAAGCCGTAAGTATGGTGACCCTTGCCGTGGTCATGAGAGCCCGGTGAATCGAAGCTGCCCAGCAGATAGTTGGTTGCAATCCATCCGTACAAGCCCTCGGTGACGCCCGGGATGACTTGGATGTGGACGCCGCAATCCGGCAGCAGGAAATCGGAATTCGTGCCGACATAGGAGCAGATCTGCTCCAGCAAGACCTGGCGCTCCAGCTTGGGCAGTAGTCGCATCCCCGCAGTCGCGAGGAGAAAGATGGGGGTATCCTTGACGGCTTCCTCGGGGACAATCTTACGGGCATGCTCGAGAAGCCCGGCAAGATGCTGGGGCCCGATGTCGCCGGGCCTGTCGGCGAACGACGAGACGCCCGGGTGGATTTTCTTCGTCCAGTCCGACTTGGTCTTCACTGCCGGCAATGTTTGCAGATGCCCATTCCCAGCCTTTTCCCGAGCGACCGTGTTATTTAACCAGCGGTAGACATGGACGCGGGTCCCGGACGAACCCGCATCCAGAACGACCCCGTATCGCCATTTGCCCATGAGGATGTCGCGAAGAAGAAAAAAACGAAGGATTTAGATTGGGGTGGGCCAACCGATCAGCATGGCCACTTCAGCGGGAACAGCGAACGGGGGGGACGGAGGTGTGATGATAAGATGCGAAGCCAGCCAGTTGCCAGCCAGTTGCCAGCCGCCGGAAGGTTCGGTTTGGTGGGTGGCGGAAAATGGACGAGGCGTGGATGTCGGATGAAGAAAGGGGAGGACAGCAGTTGAAGCGAGAGTACGGAGCAAGACAAGTCGAGCGAGAGGGGAAGCAGCCACTGCAACGCAACGCAACGCAACGCAACGCAAGATAGATAACTAACAGGGCCGCGAGAGCCTGAACCGGCATGGCGGCAGGCAGGGCGGCAGGGCCGGGCGGGGATCGGAGCGGAACAACCAGGGATCCGGGGCAGAAATTCCTTACTCGTACGGAGTACACCGTACGGAGTACTCCGTCAGGGTAAAGTTACATCGTAGCCCAGTCTAGACCGACGGGATCACGTGCGCCCGGCGAAAATCATTCCATCGTTTCATCATCCCGGAATCCCGACGGAGGTCGCCCGTAGTACTCCGTCCTCCGTCCTCCGTCCTCCGTCCTCAGATCCATCTTTAGGTCCGGAGGTTGAGCCATCATGGCGTCGAAAATCGTCGTTCTGGGCGACGTCCACGGGGAGCTGCGGGATGTCTTCACCAAGCTCTCCAAGCTGCACGCCAAGCAGGATTTCTCCTTGGCCATCGTCGTTGGCGACCTCTTCGGCGACGGGGCGACGGAGCAGGAGCAGGAGCAGGTCAGCGCGCTGCTCCAAGGCCAGCTGGCGGTGCCGCTGCCCACGTATTTCACGCTGGGCCGCCGGCCGCTGCCTGCCCCCGTGGTCGAGGCCATTGAGGCCACCGACGAGGTCTGCCCCAACCTCTACTTCCTGGGTCGTCGGGGCACCCTCAAGACCGCCGAGGGCGTGCGCCTGGTGGCCCTGGGAGGCCAGCTCGAGTCCGCCGGCGGCGCGCCGTCCGACAAATACCAGCCCGCCTACACCGAATCCGATGCGCGAGCCCTCCACGGCGCCCACCAGGCCGACATCCTCATCACCCACCAGTGGCCCCGGGACATTCGCACCGGCTCGAACGCCCCCGTGCCCGACGATGCCACCCTCCCCGCCGAGGTGCAGTGCGTGGCCGACCTCTGCTCCACGCTCAAGCCGCGCTACCACCTCGCCTCCTCCGCCGCCGGCTTCTTCTGGGAGCGCGAGCCCTTCTTCCACCTCCCTACGGACGATCACCCCGACGCGAAACCGCTGACCCGCTTCATCAGCCTCGCCGCCTACAGCAAAACCGCCAAAACGAAATGGATGTACGCCTTCACCCTCGACCCCCAAGCCGCCCCCGCCCTGACCATCCCCGCCGGCGCAACCGCAACCCCCTTGGCCCCCGTCGCCAGCAAGCGCAGGCCCCTCCAGTCACAAAAGGACTCGTACCGCCGCTTCGCCGTCGACGAGGAAGACCATCAGCGGCCTCGCAAACGTCCCCGCGCGCCCCCGCCCGGTCCCGACCAATGCTTCTTCTGCCTGTCCAATCCCAACATCGCCACTCACCTCATCACCTCCATCGGCGACGAAAGCTACCTCACCACCGCCAAAGGCCCTCTCCCGACCTCCAAGACCTTCCCCACCCTGGACTTTCCCGGCCATATGCTCATCATCCCCTTCACCCATACCCCAACCCTCAACAGCATCACCGATGACTCGGCCCGCCAGACAACCTACGCCGAAATGCACCGCTACCGCACCTCCCTGCACGCCATGCTACAACAGCGCGCCAACAACGCCCTCGGCGCCGTTACCTGGGAGGTCAGCCGCGGCAACGGAATCCACGTCCACTGGCAATTCCTTCCCGTGCCGGCCTCGCTCATCAAACGTGGTCTCGTCGACGCCGGTTTCCGAGTCGAAGCCGAGAACCTCAAATACCCCAAATTCGAATCCGCATCCGCCTCCACCACCGACCCCAGCGCCGAGCCCGGCGATTTCTTCCGCGTGTGGATCTGGGATCCCCCGTCTCCGGCTTCCGCCTCGGGGGAGAACGACGGCAGGGATGGGGATGCCGGGTCCGAGAAAACGCTTCTGCTACCCCTGGGCCCCGACTTTCGATTCGATCTGCAGTTCGGCCGCCGGGTGATGGCGAAACTGATGGGGCTGGAGAAGCGCATTCATTGGAAAGATGACGTGCAGTCGCAGGAGGCCGAGGAGGCCGATGCCGTGGCATTCAAGGACGCGTTTAAGGAGTTTGATTTTACCTTGGAGGGGTAGGGATGCGCTGGGCAGATCGACATCCGAAAAGATCTATCACGGCAACTGCGCGCGGTCTGCACGGCGGGTAGGCCGCGAGGCTATGGGACTGCGCGATGGCCAGAGGGCTCATCCCGGAGGGAAAGGCACCATGTACGCGGAGGCAGAGGCACCCGAGGGCACACTGGGAGCTGAAGCCGCAGCCTGGAATTGGATAGCTTCATGACATGTATATAACGACCGTCGACTGGGGGAAGCCGGTCGGCGGTCACGTGAAAATCATTAGCCACCCGGACCCTCGGCCTGGCCCGCACGGCAACCGGATCGGGGTCAGCAACAGCAAAGGAAACAACAAACAAAAACACCCAACCAGCCAAGCCTCCAAATGCAGCCCATGAATCTCCGAGACTCCCCGCTAAAATCGCTAAATAAACTAGAAGTAATAAATCCGACGGAAAGAAACTACGGCGCACCCCGGGACTCTTCATTGCCCGCATCCTGCATATGGTGAGCTGGTGACCGAGCTCCTTCTGTCGCGTCGAGGTCCTGGCCCGGGGGCTCACGGGGCGAGCCATCGGCTTCCGGCGCAGGCGGAGATTCAATGCGATGCCCGCCAGGTTCCACGAGTGCGGCCGCCTCAGGATCATATCGCAATTCATAATCCCCATTGCCAAACCCTTCCCCATCGGCTACGCTCCATGGAGCGGCGGTGCGGGTCTGCGGTCGGATCACCCTCACGGGTAGATCATCGCGGCCGGACGGCAGGCGCTGGTGGGATCCCGTCGTTTCGGGAAGGCTAGGTGCGTGGAACTGTTGCGGCGACCAGGTCTGTTGGCCTCGGCGCCGAGCGGGAATGACAGTCACGGGCAAGGGAGAGTCGGACCCTTGCCGGCCAGACCCAGGCCTCAGTCTCCGATGGAAGCCAAAGAGAGACTCGGTCCTTGGATGCAGGCTGTGCTCGTCGTCACTATTATCCGGGGATAGGTGCTGCTGTTCAACCTGAGCAGCAGCGGGGTTCCCTTCTTCCTCGGCCTGTGCAGAAGCAACTTCCCTGGGTAAGGATGCGCGCCTCCGTTTGAAAGGATTGAATAGCGTTCGCCATCTTTTATCCACGTGGACGATCTGTGGAGATTGCTCCCTGGTCTGTTGTGCCGCCAGCGCATCATGGGCCATGTTGGGTTGCTGTTCGCCCAGAGCTGCCGACATCTCCTTGGCTGCTACCGCTTCATCCATGTCTTCATCTTCTTCCTCCATATGCGGCATCGCCACAGGCGGAGTTGGACTGGAAACCGGATGATAATGGACGTTGTACACCGTGCTGGCGGCGCTGGTTGTGTCGGCCCGGCTAACAGGCGTCACGGCTGCTGGGGGAGGAGTAGGCCGGGGAACCACTCTCCGGCGCCGAGCGTCAACGGGGATGGTGTGTTGTTGGTGTTCCAGAGCTGACTGCCAGTTACGGCCGACCCTGGTGCGCAACGGCCGATGAGCCAGACCCATCATGCCTCCCCATCCCGAGGAAGTACCCGCCCCTCCGCCGCGATCATTGCCATCGGGATTAAAGCGCGGCCAATCGACTTCCTCCGACGGAGTCACTTCCAGCATTTCGTCCCCATCGAAAATCTCCCGTCCGAGAATCCCATCCTTCCTTTCATCGCGCTCTAGTGCCTCAATGCGCTCCACCCATTCCCAAACGACGACACTTGCCGCAGCCGAGCCAACCCATCTCACATATGTACCCCATCCCGCAATCTTGGGCTTGGCGATATCGAGAACGAAGAACACGACCGGGATGAGGACCGCACATAACGATAGCAAGGCCACCAGGCAGATGTTCCTCATCTTCGGGTGGAAGAAGGCAAACCGGTGTTTCGAAAGCGAGTAGAAGATGACCCAGGCGGCGTACAGTAGGTTGAGAGCAAGTTCGAATAAATAGCTGAGAGCGGGGATCGCGTCTTCGTACAGGCGCGGATGGACGGTGTCGGTCTTCACAAGGAACTTGTCTAAGATACTAAAGGTGGTGTCGAAAACAATCAACGCAAACCCGGCCCACTTGATCATGATCTTCTCCTTGTGCCGAGGGAAAAGTCGGATGAGCGTCTGGATCTGGGCAAGCCAGAGGAAGGTGCTAGAAATGATCCTGACCACTCGGATCTCTAGACCGTCAATGACTTCGTCGGCTAGCGCTTCGGCGTCCGAGTAGCCATAGTAATATTGTTTCTCGGCCACTCGAAATGAGTCGACGGTGGCGATGGTGAGGGAGACGGCAACTAGCAAGGCCGCGACCTTTTGGAGCCACGGCCGTCCCCCGACCCCGACGACGGACGAGTTCCCGCTGTACGAACTGCTGATCATCCCGTGGCGCCCGAGGAAGTTCGCGCCCCCACCGGGGCCTCCGACGTAGAAGGTGCGGGGGGTGATGAGGAGGATGATGACAAGAAGGTAGCTGACAACGGTTGTACAGCCCATGGCGTACAAGGCGGGCGTCACGGAGGAGTAGAAGGGGTCGGTGAGATCGAGGGCGGCGACCGCATGGGCGGTGGCGGTTTGCGTACTGGTACAGACCGGATCGTAGATGGCATTTTCGGTGAGGGTGAGGGAGTAGGAGCGATTCAAATAGACATAGCCATCACTGGGCAAGAGGAACGGGGTGCAGCCCGATTCATAGGTGCGGGTGGTGGTGGTGGTTGGTTGAGCCCAGATCTGGCGAGGCGTCAAGTGGGCTGGAGCCGAGTCCCTCATGGTCGGAGAGCAGCCCGCGGCCGACCTTATCCTCAATCGCTGGCAGAGTGACCCGTCGCACGCGGCCCTTCAGACCATCATCATTCTGGCGAACCGTGTTGGGGGGAGAAAACGAAACGGGACGGGGGTGGGAGCGGCGGCGCGAAGGAGAGGGAAAGATCCGGGGTCGACGGTCGGAGTCGGGAAAAGGGGGGGGAGGGGGGAGGGTTAAGAATCGAGGTCGTGGTGGGAGGTCGAGATGGTGAGAGGTGAGGAGAGGACGGGAAGAGCAGTGACGGACGGAGGAATGAATGCAAGGTGGACTACAGTACTATAGCGGTGCCGACTTGCACTAAGCCTTCTCCTCAGGAGGGCGGAGGCGACTCAACTGGAAGTGAAGGAACGCGGCCGCTGGGGAGCCGGAGCCCCGACCGCGTCACGGGATCTACACCGTACGCACGTGATGATGCGCTTGGCGAGGCGGATTATTGTGGACCCGGTGCACTACTACGTACTGTGTACTCTTGTAGTGTGTGTGTACTGCGTACTCCGTACTGGGGAAACTGTCCATCTATCTATCGGTTGATCTGTCTAATTCCCACCCCCCTCCCCCCCACCTGTGCCATGTACTTCATTGCTACGGACGGCTCTTGCTAGTATCCTCGGTGGGCGGGCCGCGACCCTCACAAGGTATCCCGCACATGCAGGCCAGGTAGTATATAGATCCCTCAGCGAGGTACGCCGATCTCATACCCGAGCAATACCTCGGTGGTATTTCCTTCCCACCCTCGGTTGCCACTGGTCGACACCATGAAGCGACATGCTTGGTCAATATACAGCTGGGAAACGGTTCCGGTCCGATGTCCCGGGATAATCAGGAAGGGCACAGTGGAGTGCCGGGTGACTTGCTCATGTCGGAGGTCGTATAAGCGGAGGATGTCATGCGACGCGCAGACAATATGGCGGCCATTAGGCATCGCCTTAAGCGCCGTGACGGGTCCACTTCCCTGAGGGAACTTGAGGGTCCGCTGCGGATTCCGAAGGCCCTTGTGAAGACTGTACTCCTCCACGGTGCCGTTCCGACGCCCTGCATAGATGTAGTTGCCGTCCGGCGACCAGCAGGCGTTCATGCACCAAGGAGGGCAGTTCTGAGGCGTGATGCGAGCAACAGCTTCGGGCTCTCGTCTATCCCACACTCGGATCGTACCGTCGATGGATGCGGCCAGAAAAAGATTATCCGTGGCAGCATGTGATCCATTTTGCGCGGGAAGGGCGCTATCTTGAGTATATATTGACGGCTCTAACTCCTCGGCATGGGGCAGCCCATTCACCACGGGCTGAGAGGGGCCATGGGGCATCTCGCCCTGACCAGAGTCCGGCGGCTGAATCGCTGCATTGGTATCAGCAGCGGCACCGACGACAGCAGAAGCCTCTGCAACGCCGGTTTGGCTTGGCTCCGGCTCTCCAGGGGCGTCAGCGTCAGGTAAGACTCCGTTGGTAAGCGCTTTACCAAACTCATCATCCTCGTCGATGCCGAACGCATTGCCCGAATTCCCTGCATCATCGCCTCCGTTCCCGTTCTCGTCACCAAACAACGAGTCGGTTCCGCCGAAGAGTGAATCGGCGGGGGAGCCCGCCTGCGGGATCGAACCGGCGCCGTTTTCACCCTCGTTGGTCGGATCCATGAAACCGAAGCTGTCATTCCCAGGGGCTTGATAATTGGACGAATACGTTCCATTTGGCTGCTGAAACTCGGTGGTATCCCTGGGAATCGGTAGACTGGATTCCGGGCGTACCTCAATGGCCGATATTTGGCGGGCACTAGACCCAAATGTGCGTCGGGTCTGGCCCGTGTTGAGGTCCCAGTCGAACACTCGCTTGTCCCAGCTGCCGGAGAGCAATGACTTTTCATCCGAAGTCAGGCTCAGTACGGAGACTGCGGACGTATGCTGCTGTAGAAGAGCAATCTCTTTGCCCTCGTCGTGACGGACCGATTGTAGTCGAATGCTACCAGACTCCAAGCCCGACAATAACCAGAGACCCTCACTGTGGCTGGCCAAAGAGTATACCGGCGATAATGCGTTCCCATCCATGTTTTCCCAGTATGTCATCAGCACACCGGCCTTGATAACGCTGTCGACAAAAGGATGCCTTTGCGCCACTGTAAGCATCAACTTGCTGTTGATGGAGTCCACCCAATTGAACTTCCGGACGTATCCATCCGAGCCACCACTGAAAACCCATCTCATATCAGCCGTCGCGGTTACGGCATTGATCGAAGTACTGTGGGGGGCGGCCGTCGTTGGGACAATATCGAAGGTGGGCGCTGTCAGGCACTCCGCACGCACCCTCGGATGAAACGCAGCCAGCGGATCCGACACAGCATTTGTCGCAGTCGCCGTGGACATTTCGACGTCAGGGTTTGGTTGCGTTGCACCTCCAGCGCTTTCGGATACGTGACTGGCATTCGATTGGCTTTCTGCATCTTGGTCGGCGTCAGCGTCGGCATCGGGTTCGTTGTCGTGCTCCCCGTCATCTGCATTCCTAAGCGTATCGTCCATTTCGTTATCCGAGCTTCCGTCTGGGGAACCTGCAAGATCGCGATCATCGTCATCTTCTACGATCATCGAAGCCATTTTGTTCAGTAATAGACTTGGGCTTGTCGCTACTTCCAACAATGCCAAGAGTCCGCAACAAAGGAGTTCGGAAAGGAAACGGAGAAGGAAAGAGAAAGAAATAGAAGAAAGGAAGGGAGAGGGGAAAAGAAAAGGATTAATGTGTACCAGCTATACCAGCGACTGCGTGGTAGAGATGGAAGACGTGGGGTTACTGTCAAGGAACGGCGCCGCGATTTTAATGAGCGATGGGCAAACCCGCAGGCTGAGGGCGCATAGCTTGGTTTCTCACATGTTATTGCCCGAGACAGCAAGGGCATTCCGGTACGCACGGCGGCTCAGAACGGCAATTGGCCTACTAGTACGAAGGACGTAGTAGTAGTAGTTAATGGACGAGGGGAATGCAATGCGGAGAAGCGAGAATCAGCAGTCGCTCTTCCGATCACGTGGAGCAATCATGTGATCCTGCGGGGGGTCAAGTACTTCCGGTGACCAAGCCTGGCAACGAGCAATCCGTACCGGCCATGCACATCAATGATCTAGTTCAACGTCCTATCTGGTTGGGATGGAGCGTCGGGGCATTGGAGCTATCTATTGAATCCTTTGGCAAGCGCATACAAGAAGAATATGGATCAAATGGGGCAAAGATTATGGAATAGGCATTCCGGTAGCAAGTCAAGGTTCTTTCTGAAATAGTAATACGAGTCACGGGATAGCCGCAGCTCTCCTCTTCCAATGGGCCCTCAATCAAGATCAGGGAAAAGCTGCCAACGAACTAATTAGTTGCGTCAGCTAGAACTTACCATGTACAACCTAGGTAGCAATTGGTATTGAGTTAATGGGCCAGTGGAAATATGCTTAGCGGGCCGATTATGATATTGAAACTGGATGTGAGAGGTTCGTCAGGAGGCTGCAGACACTTGATGTATACGGAACTATCTGATCGTGCGGGGCCGCTCAGCCCACGACGACATTGCGAACTTTGGTCCCGTCTGTGACGGCTGACTCGTCACAAGGGGAGCTCTTTCGGCTGGGACCGATGATATCCAGGGTCATAGGTGTCGTTCTATTCGTTTCGTGGTGCTTGCTTACCTTGTGTTCCTAGTTGTGACTCCTACGTTGCCTTCCTGTTTTCATCAGAACACCACCATAATCGTGTGTTTATTTTTTGGAACGGCCAGTTCATACCCCCTCGACGGGTGGGTGGGCCGCCGGGCCAACAATATCCGCCCGTCGGGAGTTAGTCAAGATTATCAATCAATCAATCAAGCAGCCAGGTATGACCGTGACCTAAAGCCATCAGTAGGATGCTTCGGGCAATAGCGGTGGCCATTGCGTGCATAGAACGTGACCAGATCACGATGGCCGGTGTGACACCGTTATATATCGCCTTGTTCATTCTGGTGCAAACCCATTGGCGTATCTCTGCGAGCCCGATATTGGCGATTATGGTAGATTGATCCACGTCAGGTGGTTGCTGGTCGGTGTTCCGCCTCAGCTGTTCAAGCGGGAGAGGAATTGTAGACATCTAAGCTCGAGCAGTCTATTGTCGATGAAGAATCCGACACACGAGATACGGATACGGTTTTTGGAAATTGAAGTAAGGCCTGAGAAACCAACAACACTTCACTTGCCGTCAATCAGCAGAACCACTTGTGCCGAGCGGCTTGAAAATCCCGTAAACCGTGTTTAGTTTCGTTAACATCTCCTCCCATTCACCTTCTGCGGTGCTCAAAACCGTAACAGCCCCCCCAGCCCCAATTCGCCATTTCTGTTTGTCGTCGAGGTCGCGGGAAGAACTGAAGGCGGAGCGAATCAAAACCGAAAAGCTGCCGCCTCCTCCGAGATCCAGGAACCCCATGACGCCGGAGTACACCCCGCGCTTGCGGGCCTCAATAGATGAGAGATGCATGCAGGAGCGTTCCTTCGGGGCACCGGTCATGGAACCAGGTGGAAGGCATCTTTGTAGAGCCGTCAGTCCGTATGCCGACATGTCGGCCGAGCGAAGTTGAGGCATGTCTCGCGCAGCAAACCCGGGTCGGGCGGGATGAACCTCGCCTTTGACATGTGTGATCATGGAATAAACGCGTCCATTATCCTCGACCTCGAGAAGTTTCTCGACGTGAACGCCACGAGATCCACAAATACCGTAGAGATCATGCCGGATGAGATCGGCAATCATGAGGTTTTCGGCAACCTCCTTCCTTGAGCCGAGAATTTCTCTAGCTCTCTCAAGCGTCATGCCATCTGATTTCCTCACCGTGCCTTTCATGGGCTTCATCTCCAGTGTAGATTCGCGGTCCCAGTTGATGAAGCATTCAGGGCTGCTGCTCACGATTTTGACATCTCCAAGTTTTGCAAATGCACTGAATGCGGCAGGATTGTACCTTTGAAGGCGCTTGTATAGTATCCAAGGAAGGCGAACGCTGTCACGATCACTCTCAGGTGAGGGCAACGTTATTGTTGTTTCGCAGGTGAGACAGAGTTCGTACGACTCGCCAGCGTACAGTTCAGCGGTACAAGCCTCAAACTGTTTGTTGTAGCTTTGCTGGTCCGGGAATTGTACTACACCTCGACGGAGCACGGAATCCAGGAGCTTGACATCAGATATAAATTTGTCATCTGCCTCGTCCGGCATAGCGTGAGCTGACTTTTCTTGTAGAAGCCGGCATGTTTCATCGAGCCATCCGTCACGCAAGTTGTCGGCCTCCAGTGTGGACTGTACAGTGACACGTCCTGTCTCATGGTCGAGGATAACGCTCCGTTCGGTCCATAGTAAACTGGAATCTGCCGGATCGTCTGTTGAATTGCCACTAACGGACGAACGAAACCCTGAATGGCTGTGGTCGCCGTCCTTTGGACGAGCGAGGCAAGCAAGACCCATCTCGTAAGAAAAGTACCCCAAAAAGCCTGCCCAGAATGGGACATTTTCACTGCCTGACTCAACTTTTCTCATATCCATCAAGTACCGGAGGACATCCCAGAAGCGGCTCACGGGCAGGCACGTCTCAACCACCGTCTGCGGATTGTCGCAGCCGAACCTTTCCGTGATAAGCGTTTCACTCTGTGCAGAGTATTCCAACCTCCAGCTGGCAGGACCTGGCACAGATATGATGCTGTACCGACCATTGGATTTAAATAGCACAGCAGGCGAGCCGGGGCTATTTTGAGTCTCGTATATCGTTGCAGCATCCAGCGTCTTCGCATGAAAATGTCGGAAGGAAGAATATTTTGAAATAGACGCGGACCATTTCAACATAGTGTGGACGATTTCTGGTAAGGAGGTCATGTCGCTTGAGATTTGAGTGAAGCTACTGGTGAGAATCGGATAACTGCATCGTCCGTTCATTTTATTGTAACGGAGAGCCATCTCCCACCATTTCCTTAGAATCTCACTGCATGCTTCCCTGTTTGACTTGCAGGATTCCGGATGAAATTGGACACCCCAGAGGGGTCTTGACTTATGGCGCACGGCCATTGGAAGTCGGCTTGAGTCGCCGGGGCCGTGTTGTTCAACGGATAGCCATGCAAGAAGACTAAGCTCTTGCGCTGCGGGTCCGACGAAAGTGGGGTTACCGCGGTCATCTTGAATTGATTCTAGCTGGGCATACAACGAGTGGTATAGTGTGACCTCCAAATCTTGTATGCATTCGAAGATGTCTGCTTGGGATGTTTGAACTCGACGCACTTGACCATGGAACGGATGTGGTAGCCGGCGTATAGGAGCACCGTGATGAAGGCAAAGGCTCTGGAAGCCGAGACAGATTCCGAAGACCGGAAGAAGGTCTGTGGAGCTCAGATTCCAGATATCCTCCATGATACCAACATCAGCAAGTATCCGCGGATCCCCCGGTCCTGGCCCAAGGACGACGGCTTCGAAACATTGAAGAAATGCAGCCATGTTTCCATCCGGCCATATCGAGTCAATCTTCAAGACCGTTACCTTGACATCCAGGACCTCCTCCAGCATGGCGACAACGTTGTAGGAGAAAGAGTCATACGCATCGATATATAGGACATTCTTCGGCGCTGTCCCTCCGGGGCCATGTTGTCCACGCGGTGGTAGCCCGTTATCGCCCAGTAACGGCGCCATGTATGAAAGGTAAGGGACGGATGTCAGAACGAGGAGAAGGAAAAACCGGCGTGGCGGTGGAGGCGTTTGAGAACCTGTAAGGGGGGTCACCCAGTGACCGGGTCGGAGATATATAGATAAGAAAGAGTCAGTCCGTCAGGGGAGTTGCCGCCATGCCCGATAATTTCAAATAGAGTTCTCGGAGTTTTTCGCTGTCACGTGCATAGCCACACTCGCCGGCTAGTCATAATAGTAGCCCAGCCGGGTTATGAAGAATTGAACCCCGCGGGGAATGCGTATGCTGCTGCGCGATCCGACACTGGCCGGAAAGTTTGTGATTTGTACTAATACCATGATGAGCTGGCGACGCTGCCTTCGAAGTGCACTTGGCCACAGACGAGGTCGTGGGGATTGTGGGTGCCGGAAAGGACATGTCGTCCGCAACTCCGTACGGCACGTTAGCACTGCCCATACTGCATCAATGTTCGCTAGGATGGCCGCAGTAATCCAGTAGCCCTGCTGCGGATTGCGCTATACCGTGTCCATGTCTGGTGCAGCTTGACCACCGGCTTCAGTGTCAAGACGGCATTCTGGGAGACAACCCCAGCCTGCAGTCAGGTCGGAGCCGAAAGGAGATATCGTAGTATCTAGCCGATTTCTTCTCCCCAGCGTGCCATTTCCTTCCACTCGGGGGAGCATGGCGCATTCCGGCGGACGCCAGGACCGCTAAGGACCCTGACGACGGTGAGGATGAGTTAGTTCATCGCGGGAGAAGAGTACTTGTACCGGGTGAGTCCCCTGCCAACTCTATGTCACAGTCTTGGCAGCCGGGCTGCGCCTCGGCTCGTGGCTGCCCAGGGTGGCTAGGACTCCAGAAACGGCAAGGACCCACTTCCTCAGGGTTCAGGATGTTCCGAACCGCTCCGGCCAATGATGGCGGGCGGATTCCTAGGTTGGGATGCCGAAAGCGCCGATTCCCTCTTACTAGCGGAGCGCATCTTCCGGCGCGGTGCCCAGGAGACCTGCCGACGGCTTCCATTCTTCCATTGTTCCTCCCACTCCTCTTCAGCCCCCCTTTTCGTGGCTGTTCTTGCATGGCCCTGTACTGCCCAGAATTGATGTGTCCTTACGTCTAATGGAGCCGTCATTGTAACTATGCGCGTGTTCTGTTGATCCCAGTTACTGGACAGACCGCACGAGAGCTCCACGGTGGGCGAAAAAGGAAAAAAAGAAAAGCTAAGAACTAGGCTCGCCTCCTTTTCAATTCGATGAGTTAGCACTCGGTCCCTGGTATCCATTGATTGTTGAATCCTCAGAGACGTTCTACGAAGACCGCAAATCTCCAGCAGCCGAAACCCTGCTCAACCCGTAGTGAGGGGTCTCCCAACTGCGCACGACAGAAGGACCCTCCCTTGGATTTTTTGGATGAGCAACTGCTAAGCGTGCTCAATTAAAGCTTCCCGGCAATGGTACCTGCAATCAATGCGGGCTCAGGCCCTGAACGACCGAACTTGCACGGCTCGCGAAACACAGTTCCGACCATGTCGTCACGACCTTCGGAGCGCAATGAGCATCGGAAACCACAGGTGCCAAAGTCGTTGGCTGGGGGCAATGCGCAAGACCAATACATAAAGGGCCTGGAACGGGAATTCAAGTTCAAGCATCTGGGTGTACTTGGTGTGCTTGGGTGGATATTGTAAGCTTGCGCCTTAGCATACCCGCTTCTCTTGCTTCAAGGCCCATTCTTCTGACATGATCCATTCGATATATAGGTTCCTGCATATTGTCGGAATATTCTTCTTCACCAAGGGATTCTTGTTGACTCGAATGGTTTTGGAGAACAAGTCATCCTGCGAAGTACTTCCCTTCGGCGATGCATCGAGCGTTGGCAAGAAAGTCGACGGGTGTTGGCATCAGAAATCGTTTGACAAGGCCATTGTGATTATAATTGACGCCCTGCGCTATGATTTTGCAGTCCCCTTTGCCCCGACTGCGGAGACTGATGCGGCACAACTGTTCCATGATAATTTGCCTGTCTTGTATGAAACAGCCGTGAATTCTCCCGAAAATGCCTTTTTGCTTCCTTTCATTGCGGATCCACCCACCACTACATTGCAGCGGCTAAAGGGACTGACAACTGGGACGCTACCTACATTCATTGATGCTGGCTCCAACTTCGCCGGAACGGCAATTGATGAGGACAACCTGGTTGCTCAATTGCGCGCATCGGGCAAGAATCTAGTCCAGCTTGGAGACGATACCTGGCATGCACTTTTTCCTGACTACTTCGATCCTGAGCTGACCCGGCCGTTTGATTCATTCAATGTGTGGGACTTGCATACGGTTGATAACGGTGTGACCGGCAATTTGTTCCCACTGCTTCATCCTGAAAATTCCACGAAATGGGATGTTATTTTCGGTCACTACCTTGGTGTCGACCACGCTGGCCACCGATATGGACCAAACCACCAGGCTATGGCTGCGAAGCTGAAAGAGATGGATCGCATCATCCGCGATCTCATTGCAAGATTGGACGACAAGACGCTTCTGGTGGTAATGGGCGATCACGGTATGGACTCCAAGGGTGACCACGGCGGCGAATCCCATGACGAAGTGGAGGCCGCTCTGTGGATGTACTCGAAGAAAGGTATTTTCGGCCGTACGAGCCCCGAGACGGCCATGCCTCCCATGTTAGCTCGGGATCGCTTTGTCCCTCAGATCGACCTCGTGCCCACTCTGTCTCTTCTCCTAGGAATGCCCATCCCCTTCAATAATCTTGGCTCGCCAATCGAGGAGGCGTTCATTGGGCCAAATGGGAATGACTGGAAGAATCTTATGACGGTGAACCGTCTGACAGCCGCTCAAATCAAGAGATATCAGCACGAGTACGCAGCGACGCGAGGTGCAGACGATGACCTGGAATCCGAATCCATGGAACTTTGGCAGGCGGCAGAATGTAGCTGGCAAAAGCTCTCTAAGATTGGCCGATCCAGTCAGGCGAACTTGCGCTCTGTTTCTGAGTCATACAAGGAATACCAGCGTCATACTCTTCAGGTGTGCCGTGGGTTGTGGGCCAAGTTTGATGTGCCAAGCATGCTCCAGGGAGTTGCAGTACTGTTTGCTGGGATTGTCTTGTTGGTCTTCTACGCGCGAAGCGCCAACATGGGCCGGGCAGATCTTACAAGTCCGCTGCTTACTCTTGTTGGGGCAGGCTCTGCCGTGGGAGTCGCAGTTGGTGCCTCACTGTCGTTGGCAGGTATGGTGGAGATGGGAGTCGCTGCAGCGTCCACTTTGATGGCTGCTGTGGGAAGCATAATCGGCGCCTCGTGGTCCATTTTTGTCACTTCAGGTATCCTATCCGTGCCGTTGCCCAGGAGTCTGTGGGGCTGGCTGGCGGTTATCTTCACGGTGACCCAGTCCATCGGGTTCGCATCCAACTCCTACACCATTTGGGAGGACGAGATTCTCCTATTCTTCCTTTCCACCTTCGGTGTTCTTGCTGGCGTATCCTCGATGCGCCAAAAGTCAACCGCCGACCGTGTACTCGGCGTTTACCACTCCATCCTCTTTGTCATCCTTGGGAGGCTTGCATCCTTCTCCCGCCTGTGCCGCGAGGAGCAGATGCCTTTCTGCCGTTCTACCTATTACGCATCTGCCACGTCTTCAACTTCCGCCCCCTGGCAAATTGCCATACCGTTCCTCGTTGCGCTTATCCTTCCCACTGTTGTCCGGTCGTTTTACGCCGGGTCCAAGTCCTATGAAGGCGCCGCTACACTCTGGATTGGAATGGGTTTCCGATTGGGGCTATTCATAACCTCCGTCTTTTGGGTGCTCGAGGGCGCTGATGACGGTGAATGGCTGCCTTTGCGCAAGGAGACCTTGAAGTCGGTGAGGGTATTCTTGGCTCAGCTGGTGCTGGCTCTCGCTTTCGCTGCTGGCACAACGGCGTTCATCTATTCCAAGCCTTGCATCAGCATCAATGTCAGCCAAGGCAACGCGGAACCCGAGGGTAAAGGCAAATCCTCAGCTCCCGCACAGCCGGCAGGACGTACGACCGTCACGATTCTGGGATTTGGCAATGTGCATGGAACGCGGTACTTTCTCCTCGTCGTCAATTTCTGCCTAGGCATCATCCTCATGCAGAAGCCCATGGGCCAGGGTGCCATCGGATTGTTGCTCTGGCAAATCCTTTCTCTGCTGGAAATTCTGGATACGAATGCGCTGGTGCTTGGCAATTCCGCCATTGGACCGGTCGTCCTGGGCCTTCTCGGGTCATTCTACTACTTCAAAACTGGACATCAGGCCACCCTGAGTAGCATTCAATGGGAGACCGCCTTCATTCCTCTCTCCTCCGTCCAATATCCATGGTCACCGATCTTTGTGATCCTTAACAGCTTTGGCGCGCAAATCCTTACCGCCATCGCCGTCCCTCTTACAGTCCTCTGGAAACGACCCCTCCAGCTGAATGACCAATCTTCTTCAACGTCGAAATCGGGCAACCCTTCGATCAAACTCCTCACCGACGTTGTGCAAGCGGCGTGCACATACATCCTCTACTTCGCCACCATTAACTTGGCTACCACGATGTGGGCTGGTCATCTCCGCCGCCATCTCATGTTGTTTCGAATCTTCAGCCCCCGGTTCATGATGGGTGCCACTGTGTTGGGGGTCGTGGATGTCGTTCTGATAGTGTTCTCTGTGGCCGGGGTGCGGTGGAGTACCCTGAGCGTGGGTGATATTTTTGGGTGGTAGTGCCCTAGCTATCGTCGATAGTGGACCTTGGCCCCCGCCCACCGGGCCCTTTGCGCCAGACATTCCCAGCCGGGGACAGGGTTGTCCTCTGCCCGGAACTTGGACTTTGGAAAGGTCCATGTCATCCTGACTGATATGCCTTCATACCTTCATGGCTCGCATGGGAGAGAGGGTGCGCCGGGCCTGTTATGAACTCTTTTTTTTCCTCTCTCTTCTTCTTCTTCTTTTACCTTGCATATATATTCATACTTCGAGATAATACATATGGCGATATCTGAGCGTACTTCCCCGGACATGTGGAGTAGATTGATCATGCCAAAAACTTCCAGGAAGCACGTGCCTGGTGGCACCTCATCACACGAGCTCCCGCCTCCCTGGTGTGACACTGTGACACTGTGACACCATGACACCATGACACCATGTCGCTATGCGGTGTCACTACCCCACATCGTACCAAAGTCTCCGTCGACCCCTGAGCGGTGGCCGTCGATGCCAGTTGGCGGGAGCCTCTAGGCGCCGGGCCGGCGTATCTCCCCGCCGTCCGGGCGCAAAGCCGATTATCCAGCGATATGACTACTCCGTACTTAGTACGGGGGAAGGCACAGACACGCCGATAACGACTCGCTTACGGTCATTGGCCCACCGCGGGCTGCCATTACGTAAGGGCACAGCTCCGACTCCGGGATGAGTCAACGACCTGGAGCGACGCCCGCCCGATGAGCCATCGCGAACTAAACTTCCCAAGCTATCTTTTTTTCCTCCAAGTCTCGTCTTCATCCCTTCTACTCCTCAACTTCATCCTCCTTGAAACAGACCACGAACCCCTTCAATTCCATTCTCACCTTCACAATGGCCTCCGAAAAGCCCCGTGTCTGCCTGGCCTACTCCGGTAAGTGCCCCGTCGCCCTACCCCGCAAATTGCGTGGTTGATAAGAAGCTGTGTGCGCTAACTGACGATTTTTGATCCCAGGCGGTCTCGATACCAGCTGTATCCTGCGCTGGCTCATCGGTACACTAGACCCTGCCCCTTTGCGACCTCGCCCCGTCTCGGCTAACAATTGTGTCAGAGGAGGGCTACGATGTCGTCTGCTTCCTCGCCAACGTCGGCCAGGAGGAGGACTGGGCCGCCGTCGAGGCCAAGGCTCTCCAGATCGGTGCGAAGAAGATGATCATCGAGGACTTGCGCCGTGAATTCATCACCGAGCTCTGCTTCCCCGCCATCCGTAAGAACATCGATCCCGCCGGAGTGTCACGCTCCCTCCGCTGACCTGTATCGCAGAGTGCAATGCTATCTACGAGGGCCGCTACCTCCTGGGTGCGTTCTGATATGTTCTTCTGACGGTGGTGGAACAACCAATTGACTCCTCATAGGTACCAGCTTGGCTCGTCCCGTCATTGCCCGGGCTCAGATGCGCGCTGCCCAGAGGGAGAACTGCCAGTTCGTCAGTCACGGTGCCACTGGCAAGGGCAACGACCAGGTTCGTTTCGAACTGGCCTTCTACGCCATTCAGCCCTCCATCAAGGTCATTGCCCCCTGGCGTGACCCTAAGTTCTTCAAGCGCTTCGCTGGCCGCAACGACCTTCTGGACTACGCCGCTCAGACCGGCATCCCGGTCACTTCCACCAAGGTGAGTCATGCATCTTGCACCCGGCTTCGCAACGACACCGGCTAATGTTACATGTTTTAGGCCAAGCCCTGGTCCATGGGTTCGTCACGCTTCTCCAGGCATGATTTCTCGACACCGAATACTAATTGTCCGGTATAGATTCGAACTCTGCCCACTGCAGTTACGAGGCCGGTAAGTGAACCCATTGGCACTACTTCCCACAGCCCTCACTCACGAATAATCGAACAGGTGTCCTGGAGGACCCCAACCACACTCCCCCCTCTGACATGTGGACCATGACTGCCGACCCCATGACTGCCCCCAACGAGCCCACCGACCTCACCATCCACTTCGAGCAGGGTGTGCCCACTAAGTTGGTTACCCCCGAAAAGGAGTACACCGACCCCGTTGAGCTTTTCTACACCCTCAACAAGATCGGTTTCACCCACGGTGTTGGCCGTATTGACATTGTCGAGAACCGTTTCATTGGCCTGAAGAGCCGTGGCTGCTACGACTGTACTTATCCCTGCGCCTCCTCAATCAACCCCCTGCTAACGCACTCAAGCCCCCGCCATGACCATCCTCCGCGATGCCCACCTTGACCTCGAGGGTAAGCATTCCCATCGAGCCCACTCCTAGGCCACATTGCTAAGTGATATTCTAGGTCTCGTTTTGGACGGCCAGGTCCGCGCCCTGCGTGACCAGTTCGTCACCCACAACTGGTCCATCCAGCTGTACAACGGCTAGTACGTGCTCCCCTCTCCCATTTGTCGTGCCGAACCGCTCTGACCGGTCTACAGCTACTTCAGCCCCGAGCGTGAATTCATCGAGAACAGTCTGAAGTTCTCCCAGCGCGTAAGAGACCCACGACCCCTGAAACCCACTTGATCGCATCCTCTAACTCAAGCCCACATCCAGCGTGTGAACGGTGAGGTCCGCCTCCGCTGCTACAAGGGCCACGTCTACATTCTCGGTCGCTCCTCCAGCACGGAGAAGCTCTACTCCGAGCAGGAGGCCTCCATGGACTCCCTCGAGGACTTTGAGCCCACTGACACCACCGGCTTTGTTGCTATCCAGACTATCCGGTATGTTTCTCTCTCTCCTTTCTCCCTTGCCTATCTCGTGTTCGGGTTCCTTGTGAGTAGGCGCGTAAAGCTAACAGGTTCAATCCACCTCCAGTCTGAAGAAGTACGGTCTCCAGAAGGCGGAGGAGGGTGAGTCCCTCAGCCGTGCATGAATAATGAGCCTCATGGGATGATGGGTGTTTGCGGGAAACAAAAAGGTAATTAGACAAAACAAGCCAATAATACATGAACTTTCAATCGAAGCAACAATCCTTTGTAATCTGCGGGTTTGCCCACAACGAAGAAGCCGGCGATTAGCCTTTGGCTGTGTATGGCCTGTGCACCCTCGCTTACAGGTCGTTCGTTAGATCTGACATGCATGTTTATCGAAGGTAACACCGACGGATACTTGGCACATGGGGGAGAGTGCCTTCGGCCCGCAAGATGACATCAACTGCGCTGCGCCAACTAATTATAGTTCAGAGCATGGCATTCCTCGGGCCTCACTGTGCTTGTGGTTGATGGGGCGACGCGGCAGTCCGCTTGACGTCCTCCCCGACGGATCATGCCTCCGTATCTCGCTCCCGTCGGCTACAATGATGACGGTGCGCTACGGTGAATGACGCGGGGAGTGCTAGTTGGGGAGAACCTCACAGTGACGGCGGAGTGACCGTGCCATCCCCGAGGCCAGCGTGGGTGCTCCGGACTCAACAATGGTGGCGGACAATACGCGGAATGCCACCCAGCCAGGCTCTTACGCGGACCAGCATTCCTGGCAAGAGCGAAAGTTGCCCGGGGATACTTGAAACGGCCCCTTCATTCTTCTGAGCCACTGTGGACGACGAAGCGCCTGAGGTCAATTGTCATGAGCCACGCAAGGTCAGATGCAAAACTCTCGAGCTGTAACCCGGTCAGTTGGAATGCCCGCTATGCATGCCTGGAACTCCCATCGCGGCTGCTGCTTGACTATAAGAACCGTCCGATCATTTCCGTCCTCTTGGTCATCCATCGCTTTCTGTTTGAGCCCAGCCTCAAGATCTTCTTAATTTGCACGGCACCCTGCCAGGTACGCCGTCCTGTCCCTCGCTCTCACCCGTGCACTTGCTGACTGCCTTGCCTGGCGCTAGTCGTCTCGCTCCTCAGGTAGCCAACCGCCAGAGCATAGGGGATCGATCACTGAGCCAAGATGAAGGGTGTGCTCATCGCCTGCGGCCTGTTGGCCTCCTCGGTGTCTGGTCATATCCAGATGTCCAACCCGTATCCGATTCGCAGCCCGCTCGACCCGAATGGAGACGAGTCCAAGAAGGACTACTCCTACACGAACCCACTGTCGAGCAGTGGCAGCGACTTCCCTTGCAAAGGATACGCCAAGGATCCGTTTCGGTCGGTGGCTACGTATTCGCCTGGCGGAGAGTATGATCTGGAGCTGCAGGGCAGTGCGACGCATGATGGTGGCTCCTGCCAGATCTCGCTCTCGTATGACCAGGGCGAGAATTTCCAGGTCATTCATTCCATGCTGGGCGGCTGCCCCCTGACGGAGAGCTACAAGTTCACCATTCCCGCGGATGCTCCGAGCGGGGACGCCTTGTTGACCTGGACCTGGTTCAACAAAATCGGCAACCGCGAGATGTACATGAACTGTGCCCAGGTCACTATCGGCGGGGATGCTCACAGCGCCAAGCAAAAGCGTGATAGCTTCAGCAGCCTGCCCCCAATCTTCATTGCTAATGTCAATGGGCCGGGCCAATGCACGACCATCGAGGGCGACGACGTCAACTTCCCCCTGCCCGGTCCGTCGGTGGAGGGCAGCGTGAGCGGCACGGGCTACACCTGCACCGGCTCGGCTCCTTTCCTCGGGTCGGGCAGCTCCAGCTCAGGCAGCTCCAGCTCGAGCAGCTCGAGCTCGGGTAGTGCTCACTCGGCCGCAAGCAGCAGCAGCAGCAGCAGCTCCTCCACCGCTCACTCCGTGGCTTCGGCGACCTCCAAGAAAACCACCTCCACATCCAAGAGCGGCGCCACGGGGGCCACCCCGGCCTCCTCGTCGGCCAATGCGCCGGTTATGGTGGCATCCTCCTTTGGAGCCCAGTCCGCGCGCCTGATGAGCCTCCCGACGGCCGTATCGGCTGACGACGACAACGACCGCTTCACGCCGGGCAAACCCTGTGCCGACGGGGTCATTATCTGCGGTCCGCACGGCACGACCTGGTCCTTGTGCAGCAATGGGCGGCCCGTCCACATGGGTGCCGTGGCCGCGGGGACGTACTGTGAGCATGGTGAGATCCATGCTCTGTTCTAGGGTCCGCCAGGGCATTTCCTCGCCTGGCGCGAGCACCGTCGTCTGCAGAGGGTTTCCCTCACAGCCCTTGGAAATATGTCGAGGACCAGCTGGGTGTTTATGCTTGTGTCGTTGTTCTCCATGTATCTTGATTCCACCCTTGTGTCACCCCTGCTCTATCGCTTTTAATTGAATCATGACCTTATTTGATGATGATGATTATGATGATGGATGGTTGAGAATGGCCCATTCGTAGCGTTCCCAGTCCCCAAAGGACCGTAACAAATCCAGCTCGGGAGAGGTCGGGCAGGCTGGTAGCCTTGTACAGCAACGCTTGGTTTCATTAATTTCCAATTTTGATATCTAACCCGCCGTCTATATGCCACTGCCGCAGAAATGTTCAGATAAAAAGCGAATTAATGTCCCGAGATCCCAAAGCATAAGGCATGTCACATCACAGGAGAAATATATGCGTCGACTGACAGAAGATTAAATGACTTTTGTACTCGTGCCCCGTCACCCTCGGGCCTTTTACGCCGCAGCCACCACGGCGTCCAGAGCCTGCTCCAGAATCCGAAGGCCGGTCTTGAGTTGCTCCTCGGTGATAGTCAAGGGAGGAACAAAGCGGATGCAGCCCTCACCGGCCGTGATGATCAGCATTCCGCGCTCGCGGGCAGCCGCCACCAGATCGGAGGCCTTGGCGGTGAACTCCGGGGACAGCTGGACACCCAGGATTAACCCGCGGCCGCGGATCTCCGAGATGACGTTGGGGTACTTCTTCTGGAGGGCCTCGAATCCGGACACGAGCAAAGCCCCCTTGGTCTCGACTGACGCCTGTAGCTCCGGCGATGCCAGACGGGTGACGATGTGGTGAGCGGCACGGCACATCAAGGGGTTACCACCGTAAGTGGTTCCGTGGTCACCGGGCTTGATGTGTCTGGCGACGGCCTTCTCCGAGACAATGGTCGCGCCAATGGGCAGACCGTTACCCAGGGCCTTGGCAGAAGTCAGGATGTCGGGGTGGGCCGCCTCACCAGAGGCCGGCGCCAGTGACGGGTGGGCGTGGGCCCAGAGGGTGCCTGTCCGCGAGAGACCGCACTGGATCTCGTCGAAGATCAACACAGCGCCGACCTCGTCGCAGCGCCGGCGCAGAGCGGTCAGGAACTCCGGAGTGCCCACATTGATACCGCCCTCACCCTGGATGGGCTCGACGATCACACCACAGGTCTTCTCGGTGATGAGAGTGTCGAGCTGGGCCACGTCATTGTACTTGCCATACTTGAAGCCGGGCAGCATGGGAGCGAAGGGGGTCTGGTACTTCGGGTTCGGGGTCGCCGAGAGCGCGCCCATGGTGCGACCGTGGAAGGAGTTGTGGAAGGAGACAATCTCGTGCTTTGCGCCGGAGGGGTCGTGCGAACGACCGACCTTGCGAGCAAACTTGATCGCGGCCTCGTTGGCCTCGGTTCCGGAGTTGCAGATGAACACCTGGGATGCATCGCGCATAGCGCCGGACTTGTGGGTGACCTCAATCAAGAGCTTGCTCAGGGCACCCGTCCATGCGTTGTAGTAAAGGTTCGAGGCGTGGACGAGCACTTCAGCCTGCTCGGCAACGATCTGAGCGACCTCGGGATCACAGTGACCCAGAGAGTTGACCGCAATGCCGGCCGTCAGATCGAGGTATTTCCGGTTCTCCATATCCCACAGATAGCATCCTTGTCCCTTGACCATGACGGGCGCGGGCCGAACGTAGGTGGGCACCATGTAGGGAGTTTGGTCGTTCACAAAGGCCACCGAGGCGGAGTCCGCGGCGGGATCAGGATTTGGCACCGATGCTTTGGCCTGGGCGTTCACCTGGCGCGAGGCGGAGAGGAATCGCTGCTGAGCCAGGGTCTCAATGCCAGGGACGAGTCTCCTAGCGACGGGCAACCGCCGGGCAGCCAGATGTACGAACGCCATTCCGCTTGTGATAGACCGGGCGTGGAGAAGGGAAAGATGGGGGGGGCGGCGGAGGAGATGAACGGCGAGGTAGAAGGCGATCGGCGCCAGCGAAGGGACAAGATGATCACCAAGTTCAAGAGTCAAACGAAGTGGACGGTGGGAAGTTAAATAGAATTGGGAAAGTGAGGTGTAGGATGTGCTGGATCCGATGCGGCATCGGCGGTCCGTTATCAGGTGACTCACCTGCTCGCCATGTGACCGGGCCGGCCTCAGGATAGCCGGACCGTAGGTACGTAATTCGTACTATAGTACTAAGTAGTGTACTGTGTAGTACTCCGTTGTAGTACTACGACTCCCTCCGTCCTTCCTCTTCCTCCTCCTCCTCCTCCTCCTCCTCCTCCTCCTCCCATGCCCATATCGGCCATGAGTGCCACTCAATCCAGGACCTCCATGACCCTCCTTGGTACCTGAGAGATTTTCCCCGCCCTCGTTCATGCCCACCATATCCCCTCGTCCCCGCCCTTTCGACTTCAAATCCATCCGAGGCGCATCTGCGGTGCAGGCCCATCCCATCCCGTCCCGTCTCCGCCGTCCCGTTCCCGCGGCACGCATTTCCCTGCCCGTCCCTCCCCCATCACTCTTGAGTCTTGACTCTCTCTCTCTCTTGCTCGCTTTCTCTCGCTCTCTCGACCATCTTGACTCGGGTCGCCATCATGTCGTCGACCGACAATGGACTCCGATCCCCGCCACCTGTCCATAATATCCCCTTGAATGATCTCGAATATGGTCTCAATCGCCGCTCCCACGCCGCCAGTTGGTCGGATCTGGCTGACCCATCGGCTCTCGCCCCTCACGTCAAGCACCACATGGATCACGCCCTCGACCATCTCGACCGGTTCTTCACCCAGGTGGCCATCTTCATCACTCCGAGTTACCTGCAACATCATGTCGGCGGTCGGCCTCAGCCCCCAACAAAACCCCATGCTATCGCGGCGCTGGACGGCCTGCGCGGCTGGGCCTGCTTGCTCGTCTTCAACTTCCATTTCCTCTTCACATACACCTGGAAGGTCGCCGTCGGCTGGGGGTTCAACAATGAAAATTTTGGTCTCCTGCAGCTCCCCATCTTGCATATGCTGGTCTCCGGCCACATCATGGTGGCCATCTTCTTTGTCATTTCGGGCTACGTGCTCTCCTACAAGCCACTGAAGCTGATCCGCAGTCGCTCCTGGGAACAGACCTTCACCGTTCTGGCCTCGTCCACCTTCCGTCGCGCGCTCCGTCTCTACATCCCGTCGGTGGTCGGCATCCTTCTGGTCTTCGTCGCCGTGCGATTGGGCGTCTACAATTACTCTCAGAAAGTCCTTGTGGAGGGTCACACCATCTTGGGCACCAATGAACAGCATCCCCCGATCATGCGGTCTTTCCACAAACAGTACTGGGACTGGTATCTGACGATCGTCCATCTGATGGACCCCTTCAACTGGGGCCTCTACTACAACTACTACAATCCGCATCTGTGGACCATTCCGGTCGAGTTTCGCAGCTCCATTGTGCTGTTCCTCACCATCCTGGCCACCTCCCGCCTGACAACGACCGTGCGTCTCTCCCTTGTCAGCGGGCTCGTCTGGTTCTGCATGCGCTGGGGTCGCTGGGACATTGTCCTATTCCTCTTTGGCATGCTCATGGCGGAGGTGGACCTCATCAACGGCACCTGGGAGCGGCCTGCGGACGAGGGCGAGTTCTCGAAGCCCCGACCGGGCCCCCGACGCTTCCTCCCCAAGCAGCAAAATGCCCTTCGTCAGATGCTTCCTTTCCAACTTTCAACCCGCAATCTGTGGATCACCCTCTTCGTCCTAGGTCTCTACCTGGGCTCCGCCCCGAATACCGGCTACAAGTGGACTCCCTTCTACCGCTGGACCTGGGAGATCACGCCCAAGACCTACCCGGAACCGCACCGCTTCCCCCAGACCCTTGGGGCGGTCCTCATTGTCTTCAGCATCAACCACTCCAAGGAGATCCAGAAGCTCTTCACCACCCCAGTCTCCCAGTACCTCGGCAAGATCTCCTTTGCCTTTTATATCGTGCATGGCCCCATTCTCCACTCCTTGGGCTATTCTCTTATGCCCAATATCTGGGCCTTGGTCGGCAAGGAGACCAACTTTCAGTACTGCCTGGGTTTCTTCATCGGCTGGCTCATCTGCCTGCCTGTCTCGCTCTGGGCCGGTGACATCTTCTGGCGCGCGGTCGATATTCCCAGCGTCAAGTTTGCCCGCTGGCTTGAAGACAAGCTGATTGTGAAATCGACGAAACTGGAGGTCTCCGGTGCGAACCCACACCTGCACTGATTGACCGCCCTTCCCGCGGGTCGTCCGTTTGACTCGGTCGGGTTCCCGAAGCGCCCGTAGGCCGCAAATCGGGATCATAAGCACGCTGCCCCCTCCCCTCCACCCCAGAAAAGGCGGGGTGGAGTCGCATCGGCTGGCCACCTTATAAGTCACTGGGCTGGCATGCACCATGAGCCCGAGAATCATATCTCACCTCACGAACCCGTGCCCAGCAGGCATTTTGGCGCTACCGCGAAGACCCGTTGGCGGCAGATTGGATTGTACCTCGAACAGACCCCCTTCCCCCCAGATTTACCGCGGACGTGGTCGCGCGTTGTGACAGGGAGATGGATCTTCTTGTATATGTGACGACCCGGATTGAGTCAGACGACTTTCCATGGCCGACTAGCGGGCTGGAGGGGCCGTGGAAGTTATTCCAAGCACACGAGGGCCTGTGTGGAAGGAGATGTCATGTATGCTGTGAGGACGGTCTGGTGGCGGTGGTCGGTGATGCCCGTAGAGCCTCACACTGTATATAGTAGAGTACAGTAGAGCATAGTCGTCGAGCCGGCGTACATCAGGAATGCACCAGCAAGCAGGCGGCTGGCCCGTTTGCCTGAACCGGGGACACATGGAGTCTATGTATACGTAAGTACTATCTACATAACTAACTAATTAACTAGTAGTTAGTTATCCAGAAAGTTGGAGCTAATGCTGAGTCAGCATGGGCGATCATGTGGCAGGCGGCGGGAGGGCAGGCGGTGGGGCGGTGCAAAACGGGGCGCTATGACGCGGCATCACATGTCAGGCGACCGGATGAGGTTTCAGTGACGAGGAACAGGATTCACTTTCGCGTCCACGACTGAATGGTGAGACCCTTCATGATTCATGGATGGGATCCTCCTCTTCCTCCGCCCGATGGAACGAACGGCCGACCCCCGAATCTCCCATGCATGTGACGGCAAAAGGCGTTCGGCCGAAGGATTCATTCAGCAGTGACCTTACAACCTAGCGAGCAAACGTCAGTCCCTTCAGGCCCCGAAACCTGGTCGTCGCATCCCTACTCCTAGTGGATAAGAAGGGTGCAGTGGGACCTCGACATTATTCTTCCTAGTACTTATCACTCGTGGGTGCTGAGATACGGCGTGAGAGGGATCGCACGCGGCGTGACCGGCTCTTCGTTGGCCCGGGAGTTGGCTCTGGTTTTGCACGTGAAAGTCCACCCACGATCTCGACGCCCCGGAAAGGGATCTTCATCCTCCACTCTTATCCACCACCGCGAAAGTTGCCTGCTTCCCCCTCTCCCCCCAACCCCCACCGCTGAAGCCAATTTCGGGCTCAGGCCATTTTGCGTCCTTCCAGATCTGGCCGCTTGAGCAGCCATGAAACCCCGTCCAAACGACCGATCGCTCCCCGACGCCACGGCTCCCACCGTCTCTGCTCCTCATACTTCAGCGCCATTCTCCTCGTCAGCCGCGACTTTGCCCTCCCCTGCCCCCTCCTCGGCCCCTTCCACTGCCTATCCCCCTTTTCAGCATGTCCCTCCGCCCATGATGGACGTCGATCATGGTGCCGTGGCTGAAGATCGGTCTCGTCGAGCCACCAGTGTCCTGTCCATGGATGACATCGAAGCCGCCCAAGCCCTCGAGGGCCTCCGTACTGGTAAATTCTTTTTCCAGCCCCGTCCTCGTCAATCTGGTTGATCGCAGGCGGGCGTGCCAGCGCGCTCTATATAACTAATGATACCCTATCTAGAGTACGGGCAATCCCCTCGAACATCACAGACGACCTCGCTGAACCCCCCCGATTCTAAGCCGCAACCAGAGCCCCTCCTCTCCCTCCTTACCTCTACCCATCCCCTGATCTCGTCCGCCATCAACGGCTCGGTGTCGGCCTATACGAACTCCAAATCCTACTCCCCTCGCTTCAAGTCCAGCGCCGAATTCATCGAGCGCAACATCGGCTCGCCGGTCGCCAACACGGTTGGCACAGTGGGTCGGAAGACGGGCGTGGAAAGCGGGCTGCGGTGGGCTCTACAACGTCGAGCCTCCTCTTCCGCCCAGTCAAGTCGATCGAAACGTCGGAAAGTCAGTGGGGAGCAGCCTTCGACCGAGGTGGACGTGGAGAAGGGACCGGATGACACCATGGGTTCCCCGCGTATGGGCAGCCCTTCGGACCTGTCGCCGGCCGAGGGTCCTCCCCCGTACGACGATCAGAAATCTCCCAACTACGATGAGATCAGTCGAGATAGTCCATCCCGGCAGACTCCACCCACATGGCAGAGCCGATTGATGATCTCTACGTCGGGATTGGGCGTGGCCATGAGCGAAGAATCGCTCCGCAGCCTGCAGTATTGTCTGACGTGGTTGCGCTGGGCCAATGGACGGCTGGACAAGGCCATCGATGCGCTGAAGACCGCCCTCAAGGAATGGGATAGCTCGAGGCAGCAGAATGACGATGGGGCTGCCGGGCACGATGCCTCTAGCACCACCCTCCTTTCGCAGCGGATCCAGGCCGTCAAGGAGGATGTGCTGTCGACATTGAAGCGGGTGGTGGACATCGTCTCGAAGTACGCCGGGGGAGCGCTCCCGGAAAATGCGCGGAACTTGGTCCGCCGGCATCTTACCTCCCTGCCGCATCGGTTCCAGATTGCGTCGACCTCCCACCCGCCGCCGGATTCGCTGGCGGCTGCCTCAGACGCCACCGTGGGCGCCCACCGGATCCTCGTATTGGCCCAGGAGGGGCTGGATATGATGTCGCAGGTCAGCGGGGTAGTCAATGATACCCTCGTCAGCGCGGAACTGTGGTGCGAGAGACTGGGTCGGAAGCGCTCGGACGGCAAACATGGCGCGCAGGTGTCACCTCCCCGAGAGCACGACGAGCCATACCCGGCGGATGTGAAGCTGCCTATCCAGGCGTCTTCTCCCCGAGACGTCTCTATGACTGGCATGGAGAGCGCCTGAGTCGGTGGGGAGGTTGCTCCGCCGAATCACTGGGGCAAAGTTCGGCTGGGGCCGGACACTGCCAAGGAGCGTCTCCTGCGGGGATTGAATACTCATTGGCCACTCCCCTTCTTTGTTTGTTGGTTGCTGGGACTCCCTGCCATGGCGGGGCTGTGATTTTAGCTGCGGATGGACGGCGTTTGGTTACGGGATGATGATGCTGATGATGTTTGCCTATTTTACATGTTTGCTCGGTCTCTGTTGGTCCGGACTGGTTCGGGATCCCTTGCTTTTCTCGCTGGCCCCTGATGGAAAAGTGCATGAAATGAAAGCGTCATTCCCTCCTTGCTTCCTTTATCTGATGCTTCTCGCGACGGGACCCCCGACCCGGCGCCAGCCCGGCGTCAAAACGGGCTTGCCTGCGCGTGCCTACGCGTGCCTGCTCCTGCCTGCTCCTGCCTGCTCCCACTTGCCTTCATCACGCGAATCGCTTCTTAATCACCATGACCACCCCGACTCCTCCCAACTGCGGCGTTTGGGGATGCCCGCGGCCTGGCACGCGCCGCTGCACCGGCTGCAGCTCCCTCCCCGGGGCCACCATGGCGTATTGCTCCCCTCGATGCCAGAAGGCGCACTGGCCGACCCACAAGTCGTCCTGTCCGGGGGCCCGTCGGTACAATTGTTTCTTGATTCGCGCCACGCCCCGGGACCCGGCGAAAGAGCACCCTACGGACGGCGACTACATCGAACCCTTTCCCCTGGAGTCGTACGGTAACTGGGGCGAGGAGAAACGGGAGTTGCAGACGCGATTGGGCTGGACGCAGCTTTACGAGCCCGGCAAATTCTTCTCGCATCGCGACGTGGATCGGTGGCACTATCACATCTATGCGCAGGGGGAAGGCCCGCGAAATGGGCATTGTGGGCCGGTGTACGGGCCGGGCGATTGTCGGGGACGTGGCCGTGGTGCGCTTGTCGAATATGGAGGTGAACGACTACGCGGATGAGTTCTCCACGGTGGAGTTGCTGCGGACGACGGGATATTATCGCAACCGGGATGGCTTTGAAGAGAACGAGCAGCGAGAGCGCGGCCGAGTGAGCGGCCTGCTGGGCGTGGACCCGGACGTGCTGCCCACCGAGCGTGTTTTCACCGTCCCAGGGCCCTAGATTGAAGGATTTCCCAATGCCTGTACGGAGTAGTCGGGTAGTCTCCATCCAGAATCCACCTGTTATGTACACAGTACTCCGTATCTGTCGTAGATCAAGGTATGCACTACGGAGTACTCTGTAACTCACTCGCCGGCCCGCGGGCCCCACTCCCACCCAGCCTTCTTCTCTTTCTAACTTCAATCCCTCTCTCTCTCTCTCTCTCTCTCTCTCTCTCTCTCTCTCTCTCTCTCTTTTTCACTCGCCCCCACCACCATGTCGACCCCCGAGGCGCCGGTGGAATCGGCGCCCAAGCAGCGCGAGGACGCGGTGCTGCAGCCGCTGTCGCACCCGGCCACGCAGTTCTACACGCTGTCCTACCTCGTCTTCTTCTCCATCTTCGGGACTTTGGCCCGCCTGGGCCTGCAAGCGCTCACCGTCTACCCGGGCGCCCCCGTCGTCACCGGCGTCCTCTGGGCCAATGTCGGCGGCTCCCTCTTGATGGGCTTCTTGCTCGAAGACCAGAACTTGTTCCGCGAAGAATGGGGCCAGCCGGCCACTGCCCGCCCCCGCGACGACCCGGACGAGGCCCGCGAGCGAGCCAAGCAGCACACCACCGTCAAGAAGACCATTCCGCTCTACATCGGCCTCACCACCGGCTTCTGCGGCTGCTTCACCTCCTTCTCCTCCTTCATCCGCGACGTCTTCCTCGCCCTCACCAACGACCTGTCCACCCCTTCCCACGACCCCATCGCCTCGCGCAATGGCGGCTACAGTTTCATGGCCCTCGTCGCCGTCATCCTCACCACCGTCGCCCTGAGCCTGGCCGCCCTCATGTTCGGCACCCATCTCGCGCTCGCGCTCGACCCCATCACGCCCACCGTTCCCTTCCGCTTCACGCGCCGCTACCTCGATCCCCTCGTCGGCCTCCTCGGCTGGGGCTGCTGGCTCGGGGCCGTCTTCCTCGCCATCTGGCCGCCCGATCGCCACGATCCCGCCCCGGAAGTCTGGCGCGGCCGGGCCGTGTTCGCCATCGTCTTCGCGCCCCTGGGTTGTTTCCTTCGGTTCTACGTCTCGTTGGCGCTGAATGCACGCCTTCCAGCCTTTCCCCTGGGGACCTTCGCCGTCAATATCTTCGGGACCATCATCCTGGCCATGTGCTATGATCTGCAGCATGTCCCCGGGATTGGGACGGCGCTGGTGGCGGCAACGGCTGCCTCGTCGATCCTGACGAGCTGCCAGGTTCTGCAGGGCGTGATGGATGGGTTCTGTGGCTCGGCCACCACCATCAGTACCTGGGTCGCCGAATTGCATGGCCTGAGGAAGCGCCGGGATGCCTATCTGTATGGCGTCGTGAGTATCGCCGTGGCCCTGGCCTTCTTTGTCATTATTGCGGGGTCGTTGGGCTGGACGCGAGGCTTTGTCGACCCGGTTTGTGGGTGAAGAGGACGCGCTGATACGGTATAGACCCGCGGTTGCATTTTCATTAACTAGAACTCTGAATGTAGTATGTAGTATAAATATGGGTCGTAGAATGGCCGCCGAGCCTGTGGCTACTGCGACTCGATCGACTCGCTGCTTTTCCCGTCTCCTCATCTCCACCGCTGCCATCGATTCCGCTCGGGGATCTACGATCTACGGATGTGGTCTTCGGGGGCGTTGTGGCGCTGCTCCCAGCCTCGCGGTCGCACGCGGTCTCGCCTGGCGCGAGGGGAGATGGTTTGGAAGGCGAGTCCGGCCGGTGACCGCCAGACCAGCGTCAGCGCAGCCGTTTCATAGCTGCAGATACTCCGTCCTGTACGCTGTACCCCAGCAACAACGCTTGAGAGTTTGCAGTCGCTACCATCCTGCGAGCGCGGGGCTGGCTGGATGGCCCCAAAACATGTTGCTCCTCAAAAAGCAGTAAGACACGCCCATGCCCTTACTTCACATCCATGTCATCGCCCTCTCGCACCCCGGTCGCAGGTCCCTTGTCCCTCGGCGACGGCCCCTGCTGCTCCCCCGTCGGAAAACTCAGATACTTCCAGTCCTCAATCTCCTCGATAATGCACTTCAACCGGTCCCGGATGCTCTCGACCGCATAGGTCCCCAGGATCAGCCTCAGCGGCGGATACGAACAATGCCCAAGCTGCCAGACCAGATGCGCCGCCTTGACCGCACTGGCCGGCTGCTTATCTCCCAGCCACATCAGCATGCGCTTCGCATGCGCCGCCGGCGCCGTGGGCGTATTATACGGCTCACTGGGCGGCTTGACCAGGAAATGCCCGTACAGGGGCAAGGGCGACGCCAGGTTATGTTCGGGATTCAGAAAGGCCGAATCCGGCACGAGATCGCCGATGTCGTCGCGTCGCATGTGGCCCGGCTCCACCAACGTGGTTTTGATGTTGAAGCTGTCCACCTCGTACAACATACTCTCCATCAAGCCCTCCACTGCGTATTTGGACGCACAATACGGACCCAGCCCCGGCACGCCCAGCGCCCCCGAGGTCGAGCTGAAGATGAGGTATCGGCCGGACCGCCGCTCCCGGAAATGGGGCAGGGAGAGCTGGATCATGTTCAGGGTGCCGGTGAAATTGGTCTCGAACTGGTCCCGGATGTCGTATTCGTCTTGGTCTTCGCAGGCGCCGATGACTCCGTACCCGGAGCAATTGGCAATGATGTCGATGCGGCCGAAGCGTTCGATGGTGCGGTCGATGACGCGTTTGACGGTCTCGCGGGCGCGCACGTCACACAGGAGACCCAGGCAGTTCTCGTGGTCGGTCTCGAGCTTGCGCATGGCTTCGGGGCTGTTTTCGAAGGTGCGGCCGACGGCGGCGACGAGATCATCGCGCGACAAGGCGGTCTTGACCAGGGAGCGGCCCATGTGGCCGGTGGCGCCGAAGATGAGCCATACGAGAGGTTTGGGGGGGTTCTGGGGCCCCGGCGGGTCGGTGGTGGTGGGGAGCTGGAGCTTGGGCTCGCGGGCGGCGCTGGCGGAGGGGGAGACGGCGGACCCGGCGACCCTATGAGGGGAGGGGTAAAAGTCCATGTAGGGAGGGTGTTCGTCCCCGCGCCGCGCCTGGGTGCTGCACGTCGTGGAGGGTGGTGAGGGTGAGGTGGGAATGGGGAAGGGGGGAAGCTATCCACTTATCTATCCAGGCTGAGCAACTGTTGGCCGCGGCTCTGTCCGGGGCCGGTCACATGGCCAGGTGGCACGTGCGCCGACCGGGTTACACAAGGATGAACAATCATACGGTAGGTCATCTATCTACAGGGCAGGCGAGTATTTCATGCATCTCCGCTTATTATGGACCCAATGCTAGCTAGCCACCAAGATCGCCAGAATCCCAAAGTGACTTCGTTAGTGTTGGCGCGGACTCCGGCGCAAGCGCTTGGCCGGAGGTTCAGCATCCCGTTCGACGGCTCCAACCAGAGCCCAATTCTCGTCATCCTCGGGAGACTGCCCACGTTCCGTCGAGCGTCTGGGCTTCTTAGGCTCGCGTTTTGAGGGATGATACAAAGAAACGGTGAACAGCTCGAGCTTCGGGGAGGAATCCTGTTGGTCATCGTTGGCTGCCGATGTGTTCTCGGTCTTCCGGTCCAGGGATTGGTTGCTCGCCGCGTCCGTTTTCGCCGGCTTCTTGGATGAGCTATCGCTGGGCATGGAGAAGATGCGGGAGAAAAGGCTGGCCTGCCTGCCAGCTTCGATAGGTTCCTCCGCCGCCGCATCCGCCACACTGGGATTCTCATCTTCCTCTTCTGCGTCACTGAACTCCCACATCTCGTGGATCTCTTTTCTCACCAACGCAGTCCCCCACAGCGAGAGTAGAACCCCCGGTACCAGATACAAAAGCGCCGGCTGGGGATGGTCAAAGATCTGCATGACGACTAGAGTCGCAAGCATCCCCAGCACGTATCCAATGATGCTGGCGGTAAAGTAGGGTTTGGGAAACGATCGAGCGTCATGGTACGGAGGTTCCAGCTCCGGCTCGCTGGGTGTAACCGAGCGGGTCCAGAAGCGCTCGCCCCATCCGCCCGTCGCGGACTGATACACAGGTCTGACAACCTCCGAGCCGTGGCCCTCCGCTCGCGCCTTGTGCATGCCCTTCCGCTTGTAGTACAGGTAGAGGTCGAACCGGAGCGCCAAGCCCACCATCATACCGGGAATGATGATGTCGCCCAGTCCTAGCATGGCCAAGGAGATGGTATCGGGTGCTTCGCCGGGTCCCGCAGGACGCGGAAACAGGAGCTTGATCGGAACATCCAGGGTCTTTGCCACCGTCACCATCAACGGAGTGAAGTAGACAAAGTAGATGTCATAGAAAAACAAAGATCCCAGGATCAGTGACCCGGTTATGAAGGTCGACGGAGACATGAACTGCAGCGTGCCGTAGCAGAAACTGAAGCCCAGGAAGTTGGTCAGCCACCACGGCTTGGTGACGAAGGTGAAATAGCCGATGGCAGGTAAAGCCACAGCGACGCTGAGGAGGTCAAGCACGCTGAGCCAACATTCCACGTGGAGTACACGATGTACATGGACCCGAAGTCTCGCCCGCCAATATGCCACCTCACGGGCGGACCAAAGAGCTGCACGAGCGGTATGTAGCAGAGGAATCGCGCCCAAGACCCCGGGGAGGGGCGAATATCGGACTTCCCAAGACTCCTCGCTGGAACCCTCTGGCCGGGCCCCTTGAAAGACGCGTTCGGCCGGCTTCGGCTTCCAAATCCTGCCGGAACCGCTGTACTTTCGAGGAAAGACAAATGACCTCATGACCGCGAAGCCGTCTTTCAGAAAGGCTATGGCAAAGAGCATGCCCATCTGGGAGAAGTAGTAGCCGAGGATCTTGTTCAGAAGATCGGCACCCATGTACTTGATCACCAGATACAGCCCCCCCAGAGTAAGACCAGCAGTCAGTGGGAACATCAGCGCATCGCTTGGTGCCAGGCCCTCCATCTTCTGGGTATCGCCCAAGCTTTCGTCCTCATCCGTGTCCGACTCGTATCCATCTTCTTGCGATTTCTTCGGGGATTTGACGGCCGACGATGGCTTGGAGAGGGAGGCATGCGCGCCAATGTAGATGGGAAAGAGAGCCGAGACGAGCAGATGACCGTAGGTTGGCAGGAGAGGTTTAATAACGGTGAAATGGTAGATGGCCTGGCCCAGGACCTCGGCGAACGGACTCACCTCGTCCATGGTGGCGGCGGGGGGCCTTGCCGCGAGGACCGGCGAGCTGGAGTAGAAGGAAATCGAGGTTAAACAGAACGGGGTCGGGGTCAAACAAGCAATTAGTCCATGGCTTGGAAGGCGTTGAGTGTGGTTAAGAACCCCGGCAGCTCCGAAGCGTGCGATCAGCCAAAGATCATTTGAATGATTGTTGTTGATGTTGACGAACGGCCGTCGGGCCGGTGACGGGAGAGCACGTGATACATCTAGATCACGTGCAGGGTCTCTTTGCTTCTCCGGTCTGGCATTGCCAATTCTATTGACGCCCCGCTGCCAGCGAGAATCTGACAATGCAGTACAGAGTACAAAGGATGGAGTATCTATCTACATAGTACTACCACAGTATGCATAGTATGCACTATGCTCATAGCATAGGCAAAGTGAATGTAAGGGAGGGAATCTGGCCGAGTTCCCCCCGCATGTCTCTCATCCCGCTTATTGCTTAGATAGATAGTTCATGTGCCCGACAAAGTCTAGACCGGGAGGCCCCAACCAGGGGGAGAAGATGGGAGAGCTCGTCAGGCTATTCTACAGACTTGAGGGGTCATCGATGGTGCCATGTGTTGTTCAAGGGGGAGAGAACTTTAGACGGCCCCGTACTTGGGAGCCCAGCATGCCCTCCCTTTCGGATCGCAGTCGGCGGGTTTCACTAGATAGATGGGTGGCCTTACCACCAACTGCCGGACACAATGTCGGGCCTGGCTAGAGCTGGTTTGAGCCGAGGTCGGATTTTGATCAGAGGCGGAAGGTTTCGATTCTCTAAACCGGTTTTGTTCGCGTTCGTCTGCATTGCGGCGCGCAGACCTCCTGCCCTCCTGCCCTCCTGCCCTCACTGGGTCAATGGGTTGCAATCGCAGCTGCAGAGATGCCATGTACGCGTCTGCGGCATGCAGCCACCACTCGCCTTCGTTGGGCTGGATATCCCCAAGTCAGCAGGGCAACCCATCCCTCGCTGACTTGTTCGCACTTGTAGTCACACAGAGCAAGACACATACGCTCGCAGCAGCACTCACCGCAACGATCGATGCTCTGGCGGGGTCAGGCGTGTTGGAGGGTACAAATTCACCTACATCCTCGCCCTCGAGATTCGTCCAGCAAGCTTGCAGAACCTGTCCGATTGTCTCTCCCCCGAACAATCTTTCCCTCACGGTAGCCCAGCCCGGACTTCTTAACCTTGCTAGCCCAGCAACAACATGGCTCCTTTACAGAAAGTGATTGCGGTGTACGGAGCCACTGGTAAGTCGTGCCGGCATCTTCGTATAACTAGAGAGCCCATATAGAAGTGCTGACGTCGATCCCCAGGTGTCCAGGGAACGGCCATCGCCCTCTCGCTTCTCAAAAGCCAGCAAAACTTTGTCGTCCGGGCATTGACCCGGAATCCTCAGTCGGAAAAGGCCAAGGAACTAGCCCGTCTTGGTGCGGAGGTGGTCAAGGCCGATGGGTTCAACGACAATGGGATGAAGGATGCCCTTTCTGGCGCCTGGGGTTTTTGGCTCAACACTCATCATCATGATCCAGTAAGTAGACCACAGGATCGATGGTGCCTCCCACCCTGAGGGCTGCAGGCTAACTATCCATGCTCAGGCGGTAATGCAACCCAATGGCCCAACGGACGAGGATCTCGGCAACCGACTGGTCGAAATCGCGGCCGCGGCCGGCGTCAAGGTCTTCATTTACAGTACCTGCGAGTCGCCTGCTTTGTTCACCAAGGGCGTCGCGCCCGTGCCCGGCATGGATGGTATGTGCGCTCCTGCATGCCTTTTCTAACCCCATGGATATGGAGGTCTAACTTCGCCCACCACAGCCAAGCACCGGGTCGAGATGTATGCCAGAACCTTCAAGGAGTTCGACTCCGTCATCGGAGCCTTCCCGGGGTGGTATTTTGAGAACTACATCACCCCCGAGTACGCCCAGGCCTTTGGGGGATTCCCCATGTTTCCTGACAACGAGGGCTACCTGACCTGGCAGGCCCCCCTGGTGGGTGGTGAAGGCAAGGTCCAGACCGTCTCCATCAAGGACGATTTCGGGGAGATGGTGCACGGAATGTTCTTGAACCCACTGAAGTGGCAGAACCGAACTATTCAGTGCGTGAGTGACGCGTTCACGTATGATGACATGGTGAAGACGTTCGCCGAGGGCAAGTCTCCTATTGAACTTTGTACAAGGAGGGTAACCTGTAGTACTAACCGGCTTCGCAGTCACCGGCAAGAAAACGCGTCACGTACCTCTGGCCTCGGCAGAGGACCTCCCTGCCCATGGCAACAGCGTGATGATTGAGTTGCAGGATGTCTTCCGGTACACTCAAAACAACAATGGTTGGTTCTTTGGCAACCCCGACGATTTCGAGACTTGCCAATCTCTGAAGGATGAGGCGCGCCGGGATAAGGGCCTCGAGCCGGAGCCGGTTATCTCCATGACCAAGTACTTTATCAAGCACTATGGACCCAACTAGCTTGGTAAGACGAGAGTGCTCTGTTGTGATTAATGAGACATCGGATGGCTGCTCCACGACACTTTACTTTGTTGCTTCGAACGTAGCATTGCGGGTTAGGTATCGGACCATTGCTCCCTAGTAAAGCAAAATGAAGATTAGGCGTGTGTTCAAGGGAGAAATACTATAGTACTATGATGGCCCCGTCGTAGCAAACAAAGACTTCTATCTTGTGTGTGGCATACGTGGGCGGAAGCCTGAGGCAGCGGGTCAAACATCGCATCGGAATTGCCCCGCCAGCCCTCGGGCGGTGAGGGCGCAGTCAGGTGATTTTGCACTGTTTGCGCGATAACAGCGGTCTCCGAGGGCAAAACTTCCGCCGGTCATCGCGAGCGAAATCACAAGCCACGCTCTCGGCGACATTCGTTTCTCGGTCCTGCAGCGAGAGAATCGCGGATAACTGCAGTGTCTTGCCATTGGGCTTTTTAACTATCTTTCCCGGTCACCGACGACACTCCGAGACGCCTGCCTCGAGCTACGTCAATCGAAGTTATCCGTTCAACTCTTCCACCCCGCCATTGCCCGCGGGGCTCTTTCGTACAAAGAACATAAACAAAATGGTCCATTCGACACCCGTACCAAGCAGCGGCTTTCAAGCCTTGATTCTCTGTGGTCCTGGCGAAAGCTTGAACACAATTTCCTCTAACCCGGAAGAGAATCCGAAATGTTTAATTCCCATCGCAGTATGTGTTGGCGGATCTCCAAGCCAGCTTCAATCGCAAACAGTAACTAACATCGATTGATGCTCAGCTAAGGCCGATGGTCTACTACCCGCTGGATTGGTGCAAGCGTGCGGGAATAACTGGTGAGTGGTGGCAAGACATCTTTGACGGCCCATTGTGATCTGCGGGCTGAGCATAAGGTCTTCCGGTTTAGATATCGTCCTGATTACACCTCCCTCCGCTGTTACTCCCCTCAAGGCCGCTCTCCAACAAAATCCGTATCTTACGTCTCTCCATTCGCCCTCACCCACTGTGATCGCCCCGAAAGACCTCAAGATGACAACGGGAACGGCGGAGCTACTTCGCCTACCGGAGGTACAGGCGTGCATTCAGTCCAATTTCTTGCTCCTGAGTTGTGATCTCTTGTGTGACATTCCTGGTGAGCATTTGCTTGAGGCATGGTTGGCCTCCCAGAGTGAGCTGGGTCCCACCGCCCAAGGAGGCCTGTCCGTGTTCTATCCCGTCAAGGGCGTTCAAGACGAGATCAAGAAAGAGCCAACCGATTTTGTGGCCATCACTTCTCTCGAGCCAGATGAGGCCCCGGCTGTCTCACGTTATGAACTTTCCAAACTGGTTATGTCGATGCCGATGGATACCCTGAAAGAGCAGTTAGAGAATGAAAAGGGGCTTCTACTCCGCCATACCTTGGTTGAGAAGCATGCGTCGGTCAAATTGTTGACCAGCTACAGAGATGCACATTTGTACGTTCTCCCCAAGTGGGTCCGGTCACTTGCCCAGCACCAGGAGCGATTCGAATCCGTGAGCGAGGACTTGATTGGATACTGGGCCAAAGCAGAATGGCAGCGTGGGCTGAGTGCGAAGCTCGGGATCGATGAGATCCTGGGCGGTCGGGACGAGACTCAGGAAGAGCAAGGAAGCAACGACGGGGATTCATTGGAGGAAGAGGTTGATCTTCGTGGCATGACCACTACCCACGCCCAGGGCTCCGAGGCCCGGGGTACAAAGTCGTCGGTGGAAGTGCCGCCGATTCTCGCATACACAACCAAGCCGTCGAAGCAATTAATTCGCCGCGTTGACAGCTCCGCCCTGGTGTTGGCGATGTCACTGCGTCTGGCCAAACTTGAATCGATCGAAGAGGTTGGCCGTGCGGCTGCTTCGCCTTTCAGCCATGTCTCGAAGATTGCGACTCCGGAAGGGGTTGCGTCGAAATCTATTGTCACAAAAGGCGATTGCCTACTGGGATCCAACGTGACGGTAAACCCCCTACCCTTCTCTTGATGACACCGTGCAACTAATGTCTTGAAAGGTGGAGGAAAAGTGTGTCATCAAAGAGTCGTGCATCTCGGCCAACGCGAAAATCTGCAGCGGTGCTCGCTTGACGAGGTAGGCATTCTAGTCTCTAGATCCTAGAGCAGCCGAGATTCTAATCCGCACCAGGTGTTTGATTATGGACAATGCTGTCATCGGACCCAAGTGTGTCCTCACGGGATGTATCGGTAAGTTGTTTGCAATAGATTTGCCATTGAGCTCGTCAATTGACAATGTTTCAGTCGGTCGATACAGTCAGGTTGGGCGCGAGTCCATGCTAAAGGTGCGTGTGAATTATTCCCAAAAACTCGGATCGACTGCTGACCCAATTTTCTCCAGGACTGTGAGGTCCAGGATGGCGTGGTGGTGGAAGAAGAGACCGACGCCAAGAACGAACAGTTTATGAGCTTTGAGGGACTTGAGGAGGACGACGAGGACGGCATGGATGTAGGGGATGACCAGGACAGTTATGACGAGGCGGGTTTTTAGGTGAATACAGTAAGTAAAAATGAATCTCAACCTACATATCGTGCATAGGGTTCGGCAACACTTTGCGATTCCCTTCTTTCTTGGAAACACAGAGATGCTTGCTTCCCAACAAGCCTACAATATCAAAAAATGCCTAGTGTATAGAGAATGCCTGGCCCTACCCTTCCGCCAGGCTCGTCCTTTCCGCTTTGACATCGGATATATATTTTCTAATCCCTACTTGGTAGGGTGAAGTGACGTTGGCACATGGACATCATTAGCTGGTGCCTACCTCCCCCTACTACCCCTAAACTACATACTAGATAGTATGCAAGGTCCAAGTCCAGCCTATCGACTTGTTGCTCCATCTTGTTTCGAAAAAAACTTTTTTTTTTTTTTTGCACGGCTAGGACTGGCGGTTATTAAATCTTGACAACCCGGGCTGATGCCCGGCATGCTCTTGCTCTGCAGCAACTGCTCCAAATCCGATTCCGAATATCAATCAACAGCACGCGCTTTACTGTCAACTGGAGAGGAGGCTGAATACTACTCACCCGTAGGTGACAGCGCTAATGGCTCCGAGGCCATCACACTTCACCATTCGATGCGCAGGAAATTCAATCACAGTTCAAGTAGTTGATCGATTGGATAGTGGTCATTGAACCCCTCCTGCGCCGTGGCGCACTGGGCCGTCTTGAGCCTCACAAGCTCATCCATCTCACGCTGCTGTTCAGGATCCAAAAGCCGCATACGGGCATCAAGAGAGATGAAAGCTCCATGATACCGCTGGTCGATAAATGACCAATAAATTTCATCGAACATGGAGCTGTACCGTGCTGCTAGGCATACCCAGAATAGCCCGGTCTCCATAGAGAGCGCCATCCGTGGGGAGAGGCGCTGCGACTCGGAGAGAAGATGCTGTTCTATCAGTTTGTTTTCGCAGTCGCTTAGCACTTCCAGAAAGGTATGAAGTCGGGGAGTATAACGAATGAGAAACTCGTTCAGATCGCCCTCCCAGTCCTCTAGGCTTTGCAACAAAAGCCACCAAGGAGCTACCTGTATAAATTCAGCAGGCGCAGTATATGTAAACTCCCAGTCAATCACTCCCGAGACACGGAAGCCGCGGGTGGTATCAAGGTCGATCAGGATGTTGGAAGGACGGAAGTCATCGCAATATAGCCGGAACGGCCCCTGGGTATGCTCGGTGCCAAGCTTCTTCGTGATATTCAGAAATAAACAACGAGCGGTGAATTTCTTCCGGCAGTCCTCCTCACTGCTAACAGCATCGTGTTCCTGTAACCGAAGATGGGAGAGGTGCTGCCTAGCGAGTGCTTGAAAGTAGTCCGTGGCTGAGCTGAAGGTGTGCGAGGGAAACACTTCTTCGGGCAGATTTGCAGACACCATTAACTCATTCATGTTGAAGGTGAGAGGACGCCTAGTGATCGACAAGCCCCTTTCAGTCTCCTCCAGCGCGCCAATGGTGTCAAATTCATGCTTGGACAATTCGAGGATGAGCCCGGCCATCTCACGATAAGCCCGCTTCAGGCTCCGATCGCTTATTTGGGGGTTCAAGACTGGCCGTCCTTCGACAGAAGGATCTTTAAGCACCTGCGAGAGCGGCATGCCCTCGAGGAATGACATGACAATGTAGGGGCCTGCCCAACAGATCCCGGAACCGAACACCTCCGGAACCGGGATCGACGTGGTGTGCGAGAGGTATCTCATGGTTGCCACTTCGTTACGGACTTTTTCCCTGCGAAGGATGGCTCGGCCAAGGGCCGCGATACGAACAATAACATCTGACCCTTCGTCATATCTGACCCGATAGCAAATGTTGAAAGCGCCACTCTTCCACAGGCATGCAGACGTGGGTTTTCCTGGCCGATGCTTCTGCGCCAACTGCATGGATAAAATCTCGGGGGAGCGGCTCGACCAAAGCCTCAGCCAAACCGCTGCCTTTTGCTCCTGCTTGGCCACCACATGCTGGTCGAACTCCATGGTTGCAGTCGCGCAGGCGAGCGATGAAATCGATGCGGGGGGAAGTGTCAATTCTGGACGCTGTTTGCATCTCGGAGGTCTAGGGGGCAGGCTACCTGAAGGGGAAAAGGCCCGAGAATATGCCCCTCAGTCCAGATCACATGGTTCTTCTCTCCGGGGACTCGTCTCAGCTCTCAACATGCTGCAGGAGGCGGAGGAAATACACCAGTGAGCACTGGTTAGCTACGAAAAGGGCCCTCGGTCTAGACGACCTTTCGATCCTTAAGACTTGGCTCACGATCCTGCCGTTCTTTATCGCAAACAGGGAAAGTTGGAAAGGGCAGACGCCATGTTTGAGCGCGTGTTATCTGGTAAGTAAAAAGGCCTCTGGTCCCTCTTGTCCATCTGTGCTTAGCGTTCCATAGCGTCCAAGGCCTCCAACTATAGCCAAATGCCCCCTACAAGTCGAGACGGAGTTCGTCATGACGGCCGTTACTCTGCTGCTCGGTAATGATGTGATCCGTGATTTTCTCGGCCACCATGACTACACCAAGTCAATATCCGGCCTCGGGCTCGTCTCTAGGGGGTCAAAACTTACAGGCAGTAGCGAGAGGCAAAGCGGGAGGCAAGAAAGGGAAGACCGAAACATCCACAACCCTCACTGGAGCCCCCGAAGGCAAACAGGCAACCGGTCAGTCTAGCTCGCTCGATCCCGTAGCTCAGGGGCAGCGACTCACCATTGTCCAGCCCAATCACCTTGCCGGTGCTATCTACCACCGCGTTGGGATCGTCCTTCCTCCCCATCCGCAGAGTACAACCGGCGTGATGCATCGACCGGTACCCTGACCTCACGGCATCCTCCACCTCAGTCCAAGTGACAGCCTCGGTTCCTGGGGAGATCTCATCGCTGGCAAGGAGCTCGGTCAAGGCCGGATTCTCGAAGATCGTGCGCATGTACTTTACGGCACCGACAGCGATCTCCAGGTCCGTGTGACTCGTCAGCCATCCGGGCCGAACGAGGGCTTTGTCCGTCATTTGGGACGAGGTGAGGGTGACATTGCCGCGGGACACGACCGCCATGGGAACCGACGCGAGCGAGGCGTAGTTGCCGTCATTGGGCCAGCTTTGTCCCATTGGGTAGGTGACCATGATCACCTCAGGCCAGTCTTTGGGGAAGCTTCCCAGATCTATGGATGAACATGTGAGACTTCAAGGCTCATCGCCCGGGGGACTCCGAGTGCATACCTTCTCTGGCTTCCCTGGTAAAGTTGCGCAGCTCTTTGGGAATGTCATAACCCAGACCCACATCGGGGCCTGGGTTGAACAGCATGCCGGTTAAGTTGTTATTAAACAGGGCGATATTCTCCTGCCTGACTTCTTCATCCTGCAGGATGGACGTGGTGGGCACGTTCACCTTGTAGGTGACTGTCAAGACGATGTGGTCCTGCATGTGTTGCCCAACGCTGGGACTGTCAAGGATGGGAGTAATATCCCACTTCTTCAGTTCATCCGCCGGTCCGACTCCGGAGACCATCAGCAGCTGGGGGGAGAGAATAGCACCTCCCGCGAGGACCACCTCGTTCTTCGCCTCGATGGTAAAGTGCTCAGTCTGGTTCCGGGTGACCGCGACCCCTGTCGCGGTGGTACCATCGAAGAGGATCTTTTCTGCGAGGGTATCCGTGAAAATGTCGAGCTTTTTCTTGTGCGGCTTATCCTTCACGAAGGCGGTCCAGGTCGTGGCGCGGGTCCCGTCGGTGCTGTTGATGAGGTCCAAGACCCAGCTCGAGCCGAAGAGTTCGCCGGTGGCGAAGCTCAGGGCGTGAGGCACCCCCATCGCATCCAGGCCTTTACGGATCCACGTGCCGAAGGGGTGCGCCCACCGGGGATAGGAAAGCTCCAGGGGTCCGGTGCCCTGCAGGCTGGACGGATCGTACTCGGGCGTCGCGTTGGCCCAGCGGGAGGTGCTATTGGGGGGCGTGAAGAAGACCGACTTGTCGAAGTACTTCTCGGTGTTCTGGTACGTCCAGGACTGGTCGTCGACCTCGTCGGCCCATTTTTGGAGAGATCCGACGCTGGGGCGCAGGTAGCCAAAATAGGAGAAATCGTGGCTTCCCCCGACCTAAACAAATTGAAGATGGCTAGGTCAGCAAGAGCAAATCCCTGGATCGCTTGGGGACGGGGCGATATAAACGGACCATCTTCCCGCTGGTAAAGTTCAGGGTGCGTCCATTGGTTTCCTATCGAGCGTCAGGCAAGAGAAACCGAGGTAGGGTTCCGGGGGGGGGATCAGGCACACTTACCAAGGAAGGAGGCACTTCCCACCAGTGCTCGGTCAAGTCGTCGGGCGGATTGTCCCAGTTCTCGTCGTATGCGGGGACCGAACTCTTGTTGCCTGCCACTGTCTCATAGTAACCCCCGCGCTCGATGACGGCCACATTATAGAACTCCGCCAGACGGGCCGCCGCGATGAGGCCGGTGACGCCCCCGCCCACCACGACGTAGTCATAGGGCTCGGTTGGCTCCGAGGGGTTCTTCTGGGCGTCTGGCCCCAGATACTGTTGGAATTGGGGACGACGGTGGTAAACAAACGGAGAGCATAAGGCCGGGGTCAGCCACAGCGAGGAGGCAGCTAGCAGAGGGAGCAGTTGAGCCCGCATGGTTGTGAACGGGGTTTGGCGCGAGGATGGATCGATCTACTGTGCCCTACGAGGATGGGGGGACTGAGGTATCTGATCCCTCTTATATCTATACACTGATGCATCCCGAGGCTGCACGACTGCACGACTACACGACTGCACGATTGTACGACTTTACGACTCGATGACGCACCAGAGTCCAAGGATCAAGGCCATGGCGGCCATCACCTCTCCATCATCTAGATGGATCTATACTGCTTGCGTCGGGATGTCTGATCCGTACCGTGGAAACGGAGCAATGGAACTCGGCTTCCGCCAGTCCCGCCCGCGATGTCCTCCCCGGGCCAGCCCATGGGGAGCCATAAAACAGTGAAGTCGATACCCGTGGGTGGAGTAGCGTTGCAATGGCCGATGAGTATACTCCGTACGGAGTACACCATGATGCATCCATGATGCATCCATGATGCAGACAGTTTCAAATTTGGATTGAGTAACAAATGAAGCGGCCTCTTTTCCATCACAAAGGGCCGGTAGCTCAGGGGTAGAGCGTGGGACTGCAGATCTTAAGGTCACGCGTTCAAATCGCGTTCGGCCCTTTCCTTTTTTTTCCCCCCCTTTTTTTGCTTTTCCGCTTCGTTCAATGACTCTCATCACACTTTTTTTTCTTTTTGTGATTGGGAGAGGGGGAGCCTAGTAGTCCCGGTCCCTGCGTGGCATTCGTCTTCCTTTAATGTTATTTTTTCATCGATTTGGGTGGGATCTTGGTTTCGGTGGTCCTTCGCCCGGGTAGCGGTTCAATATATATCTGATTAGGGCTTCGCCGTCCACATGCCCGCTGTTCACCCAGTTCTTTCTGATCGCCTTCTGACGATGTGGTGTTACACCAAGAGTGATGAAGGGTTATACTATGTAATACAATGCTACTGCCACTGCCACTAGTAAGCATCCTAGCCTGCAGCCGGGCGTGCCGGCATGCAGCTCGGACGTGAAGGATCGAAGCGGCACCGTGAGATCAGCCTAGTAGGTAGCTGAGCGCCCGCGGGGTTTGGTGGAGCCGGGCTACATGCGATTGGAAGGCTGCTAGTGGCGACCAGAGCGCCAAGCAATGAGCATACGAAGTAGATAAGAGGCGGGGTTTGCGGGCAAGAGATGCGAACGCCACGTCATCTCACCCCGAGCTGAAGGGCTGATCAGTTCTACAGGATCGAGGGTCAGAGCTAGGTTCCATAACGTTTTATTGTCATTACTATTGGTGCGTGCTGCCATCCCCCGCTCAATGAGGCGCGGCTACCCCGGCCTCGTTCGCTTGGGAGCTGATCAACTTCTTGTAGGCATTGACGGTGCCATCGAACTTGTGCACGGTACCCTGGTCGCACACCCAGAGGCTTCGGCACACATTCTGGAGCATGGTGACGTCGTGGGAGACCATGACGACACCTCCTTCGAAGTTCTGGAGCGCCTCCGACAGCGCGTCCATACCCTCGATATCCAGGTGGTTGGACGGTTCGTCCAGCACCAGGATGTGCGGGTTCGTCAGCGACAAGCATGCAAAGGCCACACGAGACTTCTGACCTCCGGATAGAAGCTCCATCCGCTGTAGGCCCGTCATGCCGGTGATACCGAAGGCGCCCAGGTGTCGGCGGTACTCCTCATCCGTCTTGCCGGGGTAGGTCTTGGCCATGAAGCTCACCGCACTGGTCGTGAGATCCAGCGCATCCACATGGTGCTGGGCGAAGTAACCGATGCGCAACCGGGCGTGTTGCGACAGTAACCCGGACGTGGGCTGCAGCTGCCCGGTAAGCAACTTCAGGACGGTGGTCTTACCAGCACCGTTGGGCCCGACGATTCCAATACGCGAATCGAGCTGCACGTCCAGATCCACATTTCGGAGCAGGGGCCGGTCCTTGGTATAGCCGAAAGACACGTCGGTCATCTGAACAATGGGCGGGGAAAGCTTTTCCACATCGGGGAATTTGAAATGGACAACGTAATCACTCTCGGGGGCCTCCAGCACCGGCATTCTCTCCAGTTTCTTGATGCGGGACTGGGCCTCGGACGACTTGGCAGCGTTGTACCGGAATTTGTCAATGAATGCTTGGAGATGGGCCCGCTCGGCCATCTGTTTCTCGTATTCGCGCTTCGCGTTCTTCTTCCGTTCCTCCTTGGTGGCATAGAACGAGTCGAAGTTAGCACCCTTGTAGTAGTCCAGCCGTTCGGAGTGCTGATGCATGATATCGGTCGCCACCTCGTTCAAGAACGCTCGATCGTGAGAAACCACCAGGATGGTACTGGGATACGTCTGGAGGTAGTTGGAAAGGAAAGTAATGGACGGCACGTCCAACATGTTGGACGGTTCGTCCAGTAGGAGCAGATCGGGCTCGCAGAACAGGGCTCGGGCGAGAGCCAGTCTCATTCGCCAACCACCAGAGAAGGTCTTCGTAGCGAACTGCTGGCGCTCCGCCGAGAAACCCAGACCAGCCAAGATACTGGCTGCACGGGACTCTGCCTTATCCGACTCCATCTCGGCGAGCTTTGCGTGAATGTCATTCAACGTGATGTCCAGACCCTCGCGTTCATGATCCAGCCTGGCAGCATCCTTGGACGTGTCGGCCATGGAAGACCGTTCGGCTTCGATTTCCGCCAGCTGCTTGGTGATCTTGTCCAAATCAGCCAGGAGACGCTTCCGCCACACGTCCGCATCGAGGACGGCCTGAAGTGCCGGGGTGTCATCGCCCGTGATCTCCTGTTCGACGTGGAGAATGGAAATGTGGCTCGGAATGGCCACCTCTCGGCGACTGAGCGCACGCAGGAGGGTACTCTTTCCGATACCGTTCTGACCCACGAGACCGTAGCGACGGCCATACGCCAGGGAGAGCGAAGCGTCTGTCAAGATCCGATGGCCGCCAACCGAGATGTCGATGCTGTCCACCTTGATGTCCTTACTCTTGGACTGCGAGTCGGAGCCCAGTTGCAGAGGGTTGACCGCCATGAAGAACTCCTCGTACGACATGGTGCTGTCGGGCTGGTTGAGAAGGCGAGACGATTCGTACTGCACCGTCTTCATCTGCTTCTTCTCCTGCTTGGCACGAATCTTGCGCTCTGCCTTCTCGAGCTTCTTGCGGTCGACGCGAGACTCGACCTTTCTGGCATTGGCCGACTCCAGATCGACGTTGCCACCCGCCAGGCCCAGCGTGGAGGAGATATTCCTCTGAGAGCCGACGTTAATGGCCTGGTCGAGCTTTTTGGCGGCGAAGGGCATCTGGCGACGCTCCGCATCCACGCCATCGGACGCACTCAGCGAGGAGATGAATTTCTCGACCAGGTTGCGAATGGCCTTTTCATTCTCGGGGCTGAAGTCGCCCGAGGCGGAGACCAAGAGCTCAGTGACCAAATCGGCGGCTTCCGACAGCGGCGACGGCGCATTGGCATCTTCAACATAGGCCTTGGACGCATGGGCCAGGTAGCCTACGGAGTATTCGGAGATCACGCGGTCGAGACCGGGAATCTGCGCCTGGAGTTCCGTCTCCATCTTGACGGCTGACTGCGGGGACACCGTCGGAGGGGATGGAGGCAACGCCGGGCAGATACAGGGGAGCCTAGAAGAAGCCGCAAGAAGGTGGGAAACTTAGCGAGTACCCACCGTGACCGGAATAATTGTCGTCACGATGAACAGCGTAGAATCATAGAGATTCGATCGATCGACAGACAGGTCGAGACTCGAGACCGACGAGGTTGGTTTGCCCGCGTTGTGTCATTAGAGTTTTTCCGAGGCCCGGCCGGCCCCACGGACACGTGATGGTGGGGTTCCTGCCTACTTTGTATACTTTGTATCGACTACACAGGATTGTGTACCGAGTACATAGTCGGACCTATGATATCGACTTATAAATTCCGATAGCTTCGAGCGTTCTACGAGGTGCACCATCCCCCGGACGGAGACAATTTCTTACGATAGGGAGCCCAGACTGGTCTGCCGAGATGCGCATCAATCGGACTATGTGATGCCCCCACTCGTCGCAGCGCAGACGCCTGCGGGCCATTCCAACCAGGTGGAGTGCAAGGTCAAGACGGGTGGCCTCACCGAGTCCACCTGAGGGCTGCCTTTATATATACAGAAAAGTATCACACAAGGGGGCGAACGATATTCGTTATGGGTATATACATGTAGATGCTGGGGACTGCCATTTAATCAACAACTCCCGTGTCGTCGGCCCAGCTCGGCTGGATACTACGACACACGCCCTCGTAATCCCGAAACTTTTGCACATCCTCCGTCAGTCCAGGGGTGGTCCAAAACATGGTCCAGTTCGTATCCGACAGCTTCCATGTTCCCTGCGACCGCTCGAAGTACCACTTGTTGACCGGATTGTCCTTGCGGCTGCGCCAGCACACCCCGTTCGGGAAGCAAGAACGTACCATGGCATTGAACACAATGTCTGCTACGCCGCCGGCGCCTTGACTGCGCTTCAACACCGCAAACTTATCAAGATATGGAACCATGCGAGCTTGGCTCGCCTCGCTCCCATCATCCTTGACGCCGGGAGGGAGCTCCCAGGTCAAGATGGCGCCCCCCTCATACTCCCCCGCAATGATGAGCCCGGCCAAGCGGCCATTGACTCGATCCAGGTAGTCTTGCACGTCAAGCTTGCGGTTGAAGGAGTCTTCGATCAGGCGAACAAGTCGTGGCAGGTCGATAGAAGGATCGTCGAGCCCCAGTCGCGGCCGATTCTGGGCCGTCCAAGCTGAAACCCAGGGATTGGGGATGATGGTCAGCGGCATGCCTCGCTTGACAAATGTGGTATGGGAGCCAAGCGCAGCGACGGAATCCCGCCTGCCGTTGATGGCTGCGCGTCTGCTGAGCGGTAGAGAAGACGAGAGTAACGGCTTGTCGGTCAGTAAATTATGAATGAGAGGGTTCCTCTGTCTTCGGGTCCCGACAGCTGATACGTCGGCACTAGCACTTTCAGGACTCTGTGCTGAGCTTGCCACTTCGAGTGGGGAAGTGATGATACCAGACGATGCCGAGGGTAGCATCGCTAGTGCGGCTTGACTTAGTCGCAGGTTATCTAGATGACCCTCAACCACGCCTGTGTTCAACATTAGATCTGGCGAGTAGGGCTTCTGACTAGGGGGTACTGGGACGACTTCTGAGTCCGCGAACTTGGAGAACGGATTACTGTCAGCAATCGACGGGAGGTCTCTTTCGGGGAGATTGCTCCTCGCTGACGCGGCCGACTGCCACACCCGCAGTAATTCGTTTTCAATATCACTAAACTCCTGTTCCATATTGATAAAAACGTGGGATGTCTGAGGCCCACTGAAAGCAGGGATTCCCCCCAGAGGATCCAAGAGGATTACTCGATCTAATGATACTTCCTCCTGCAGGCTCGTGATGCGCTGAGCCGTCAGTAAGGGGTCTTCATCGGGATCGGGTACTGTTGCCAAGCCGGCAAGCTCCTTCGTCAGAGCCAAAATGGCATCGTTGGCAGAGACGGTCACCGCCCGAGGAATGTCTTCGGTATAGGCAATTGGGGCCACGACAACGATCTGGCCATCCCGCAACGGCCCGAGCAGAGCTTTCCGTGATAGGACTTTCGGCGTCACCGGATTCACCGATGATATAGACAAGACGGAGTCGATATGGGCCGATTTCGAATCAGGCTGGGCATCAACGGCTGTCGAGATACGATCGGCCTGCTCGGCAGCAATCCTGCGTAGCTCATTGGTATCGTCCGCTGTACCCGGGTCCACCATCACACAGCAAGCCATGCCCAGGCGGTTCAGCTGCGACAGGGTTTTGGCCACGCCATTGATTGTAGGGTCGTCGAGGAGCTGCGGAGTGGTAATCTTGACCAATGCGAGGTGCAGGCGCTCAGACACGTCTTGGGGGGGTGGCGGTGATGGGGTTGAATCATGCCTGAAGACAGGACTGTCGTAGACCGACCGGGAGGCGCCATAGAAGGACCTGGAGTTGACGCCTGGTGACGAGGGGGGAATCGGGGCTTCGGGTTGCTTGGCGGTCGGTTTGGGCTGTGGTTTCTCTTGGTGTTGAGCTTTCAGGCGGGCCAGATAGGATTTCGCCTCTCGCTTGGTAGACGCCGAATTCAGCAGGCTGAGGAAGAATTCCCGATCTAGGAGTTTCTCCTTGGCGCGGCGACCCAGCCGATCCTGGGATCTACTGCTGGAGGAGAAGTCGGCGCTGTGCTGGACTTGCCGACCGGAGACGGAGGAAAGAGCTCGACTCGGCGGGCCACCGCCTAAGGCGGCCCGGTTGGCCGTCCGCAACCCCGTCAAGGTCCTGGAGCTCATGAGTTCAGACCTGAAGCTGAGTCGGGGCATCCATGCCAGGAACAAAGCCGATCAAGGAATAAAGGGAGCGAGCCAGGCAAGAGAGAGAGGGAGAGAGAAACGCGCAAAGAAGCGAGAGAGGAAGAGGATGGATGGGCAGTCGGAGGAAAGCGAGGGAGCTAGGCCCGATGGGGAGCCGATAGCGGGGCATCGGCACGTGCCTTTGATGGTGACGATTCCCATCAGGTACGGTCGCATGCATCTGCAGACGGGAGAGGCGATGGATCCAAGGAGTTAGGTGTTACCTCGCTCATGAGTGCGTCTATGGAGCTTGTCAGCACGGAGGAAGTACGTACAAGGACGGAGGAGGATGGACGGAGGAAGAGGTTTATCGCAGTATCTAGATACATAGTATCATGTAGATACTAGTGTCACCGGTTACGTCAGGTGATTGGGCTCTGAGTCACATGGCTGGCGCTAGTCCATCCCCCATCGACCATCAACCAACGATCGAGCCGAGATCCCTCCGGAGTTAAAGTACTCCCCACCCCGTCGGGTTCACCATGCACGATCCCCTGTTCTAGGGAGCCCTGGGCTGATCGTGTACAATGAGCAAGCGTCCTCATCAAGGGTCCTTCTCCCGCCCCGACTCCCAGTCCCCCGACTTGGTGGATGACACCCCCCAAGGCCTCTCGCCGGGGCCCCCCGAGCTCGCTCCTCATCATGCTTCCGGCCCCAGCAAAAAGCCCCGGAACTTTATAGCCACCGTGGTTGGTACCTCTCCTCCGCCAGCACGTGGGCCATAGTAACAGTAACCACTCGACCTAGGCATGTGAGAATTGCAGGCTGAAAAAGACCAGATGCGATGAGTCGCGACCCAAGTGCGGCTTGTGCAAGTCGCTAAACCTGGATTGCGTCTACAATGAGCGCAAGACCTCCAAGTAAGGCAGCGGGCTCTTTGCACTCGACTATAATCCCTCCTACACCCAGTCGATCTGGCTAACCCCCCAAGCTAGGCGGGATCATTCTCTGGGCTTGATCATGAGTACGCTGCATCGACTGGAAACCAAGTTGGAGAGTGTTCCCACGGCATTCGCCAAGGAGATCCACTCTCTTCGGAGGCAGATGTCGCATGGTGTGGGCAGTCCAGATATGACCAGCTCACTCGCGCGTCATCATCGCAGCACCAGCACCTTGGGTCTGTTTGAGAACCCCACCCCGGAAGCAGTGCGGCTGAACGACCTGGAGCACGATGAGCAACATCCTCATCCCAATCCGGCCGAGTCCAACGGCCTGGTCTCAATTTCATTCAGCCAGCACGGTGTAATATCCTGGGTCGGCGCACAGGAGATCCTTCCGCCAAGGCTACTCGAAGCCCATGAGAAATTGGGCAAGAATTATGTGATTGACCTAGAGATGGAGAGACCCCATTTGCCCATGTATATTTGCCCCTTCCCCGCTCAGGCTGGGGAGAACTGGCTGGATGCTCTTCCATTGGCCATGGTAAAGGGACTCTCGGATGCTTTCTTCACCACCTTCAATCTGTTTACTCCGATCATTGACAAGAACTTCTACTACGCCTTCACCCTGGGGGCGGCGATCGAGAGCAACTTTGGCTACACGATCGAGAGTTGCGTGGTGTTAACTATCATGGCCCTGGGCTGTATCGCGGTCCATGCCTACCAGGAAGGCGATTATCCACTGCTCGGGACGCGGGGGGCCCGGTTCGAGCCGCCCGAGTGGATGGGAGTCGTCTATGAGAATCCCCCCGGGTTGCGCTTCTTCAACACCGCTCGGCAACGCATTGGGTTCCTCATGTGCGATAACAACCTTCAGAGCTGCCAATATTATCTTCTGTCATTGTATGGCTTCCCCAGCGGCAGCTCTCGCCTAGTTGCTGACCACGCGAAGTATTTACTATAGTCAGATTCTTCGCCCGATGGATTCGTGGGCCATGATCCACCGCGCTGCCACATGCTGTCTCTCCATGCTCACCAAGTAAGTCATTGCCCACCAACTGTCATGTTCGGGCCTCCGTGGCACTGACACCCAGACCCCTACCCTAGTCGTGATGTCCACTTCGATGAATGGGAAGGCGACATGAAATCCCGGGTGTATTGGAACTGCCTCATGAACGAAACCATCCTTGTCCAAGAACTACACGTCCCACCCAGTGGCCTCTCCCGACTTGAGGAATATGTCCCCATCCCCAAGTTCATCACCTTTGACAGCGTCGGCTTCGCGGCCTCCCGCTCGATGTCGCTAGAAGAGATAGATGATTCATTCTTTCAATATCATTTCCTCGCGCAGGTCGCCCATCGTATCATCTTGACCCGGATCCGCCATTCGCTGTACTTCCACTGTGAGTTCCCCCGCTCCCTTGCTGGCGCGCCTATGGCCGGACTGATCCATTCCCGCCCGGTCCAGCCGACTCGGGCACATTCCCTCACCCTGCCGTCAACGCCGAACTTCGCCACCAGTTGGAACAGTGGCGCATCAACCTCCCGGCCACTCTACAATTCTCCGACTCTCCGCCGGCTCTCCCGCCGGATTCCACCCCTTCCGCCGCCCCATCGCCAGCCTCCCATCTTCCCTTCACCTCCACCCGCCACGCATTGTCTCCGGCCATCGCCGTGTCCGAGGCCATGCTTCGCGGTCGGTACATGATCGCCAATTTCCACATCGGCCGCCCCTATCTGTATAAGGCCCTCCACATCCCCGACTCATTGACGGAGAACGACCTGGAGCAGATCCGCAGGGGTCTCCTCAACGCCGTAAACTGGCCGGTTGTTGGGGGCGTCTTTCAGCGGATGAAGAGTTGCATCCCGATAAAGTTCGCCTTTTGTTCCCAGTAAGCCCACGCGACCCGCCTCCCACCCACCGAGTATGCTTACGGATCCCTCTCCCAGGTTCTTTGGCCAGATTCTCCTCTTCTATTGTATATCTCACTCTCCCGATCGGCGATTGCACGAGACCCTGCCCACGGGCTGGGAACAATGGAACCAGGAAATGTTGCAGTTCCTCGAGGACTGTGCACAGTCCAGTCCGGCCGTGGCGAAAGATCTCGAGCTGTTGCGGTTATTGTAATGTAATGAATAGACGATGCTCCCCGACGGGATGGGGGCTATGCTTTCTCTGGACATGATATATGGGGACCATGAATACACATGACTATAGGACTACTCGTGAAGCCGAAACCGAGCGCTGGGTGTCTAGATACGAGGAACGGCCCGGAGCCCGATTCACTCCGCCCGCCCGGGACAGGAACCGTCTCGAACGGGCCGAAGTGACCGACTCTACGGCGTTGACACATAGCGTTTCTCGCATTGTTCATTTCCCTCACGACTCTCCGTTCCTTGGGAGGTGGAGCTAAAAGAAGTTGAGCCGGAATGACAAAGTCATTGAACGGAGAAGACAAGTAGCATGTATCATCCGCTGTACTGGCGGGATCGCGCATATCCGCGAGAGAATGAGGTCTTCCGGGTCCATTTCTTGTTTTCAGAAGAGGCAGAATTCAGGACAAAAGGATGCCTGATCTGGACTTGGCTCACAACAGTAGGACCATTCAATTCACTGTAGACGCATCGCATATCTGGGTCATAAGTTCCCATTGTTCAAGGGTCATGGATATCATAACAATCGTAGCGCCTTGCATGAATGGCAAAAGGCACAAATTTGCGGAAGGGACAGATTAGAGAGAAGAAGCAAGCAGCAAACAATCATGACGTTAGACAAAACACGGGTGGACCTTGATACTCCGGCCGAGGGTGGAACAGGGGCAACTCCAGATTCAAGATTAGCGGATTCGTGAGTCTACCAAGGCACAAGGGCTGCATCAAGAGGCCGTCTGCGGCAGAACGTATTCTTCCAGAGAGTGAGGATCATTCCGAAAATCCGGCGTCTGCATGAAGCCCCTGGCTGGGGACACGTCGCATTCAATGATGGGGTTCTTGTTGCCTGCATGAGGCTTTGAATCATGGTATGCGTGGGTCATAAAAGCCATCAGCGACTTCAGCGCTTCCACTTGCTCTAGTCTCGACGTGTCCCGAGTAATCCTAAGCAGTTCCGCAAATAGTGCGGGCATGTAATAGAGAATTACAGCTGGTTGGCCATCCAAGCCACTGATGTTTAGCTCATTGACAAGTTCTTCTCGCGTGGTGCGTGGAAGCCCGAAAAAGGCGTCATTGAATCGCTCAGCCATGTCCTCGTCTGCTACCCTACCCATTGCACACAGGCGAAGGAAGGCCCGATCAGTCGGGTTGTCTGTGGAGAGTTCTCTGAAGCCCTGCCTGGTTAGAATACCGCCGCGATTTTTCAAGACTTCATTGTAAGCTTCCTGGAGAGTAATCTGTTTTCTTATGACGCGCTGGAGGATATCGTAGGCCAATAGAAACGATTGACAGACCGGCTCAATCATGCGGATTGCACCACGGGCGTCGACATGAGCCCCTGCCCCTGCCACATCGAACATGATTTCAAGGTACTTCAAATTAAATGCCCTGCTATGCCCCTCCAGGTCCCGAAGGCCCTGCAGACTCCCCGGGACATTCTCACCTTGGGTTAATTGCGGGATATTAAGCTTTGCCCCAAGCTTCACCCCTCGCTTCACATCATCCTGCAAAGAGGGCGACAACAACTGCAAGGACGACCCGATGAGCTTCAATTCAATTGCTCGCTCGAGTACTGTGTCATGGTTCATTTCCTCGTCCCGTTCTTTCCCTTCTTTCTCCTTCACCTCCATTACCAGGCTCGGATCTTTGCCCACGTCCCCTAGGACCAGGGACACAATCAAGGCCAGGAGGTGTTCTGGTGTCTCTAGGATCTGTGTTGCCAGGACGCAAAATTCCTGAAAGGTATCGCGGGACAATTTGACAGGCTTGGGCTGATGGAGGATGAAGGTATCGTAGTCATCGGCCAGAAGCCATTTCAGGGCGAGGACATTAGTGATGGTTCGATTGACCTCGGAAAAGTCCTGATCGAAGAGGTATTGGGACGGCGTGAGGTCTGTGCGATCTGATTTCCCCGGCACGCCCACCCGGATCAAGGCACCCAGTGGAAGGGCGTCGCCGCCCTCGATGTTCTGTTTGACACGTTTCAGCCTGGTGATTTCCGGCTCAAACTGGCGATGCACGAGCTGGACGACCTGTTCACTGGAGAGCGATTTGAAGCGGTCCTGGCGGACGGTGGCTTCCAGGGAGGGATCCATGCAGGAGTTGGTGAGATTCTGGAGCCAGGAGACGATGCGCGCCACGAGGGGAAGATGGGACAACAGCTGCAGGAATCTGGTGGTGCGGGGAGGGCGGGCTTCCAGAGGTGGAGATGGCGGCATGGCCATGGGTGATGCGATGAGAGGCGATGGCCCTTAAATAGTAGCACTACACAGTAGTAGAGTACCCACCGCGGGGGAAGGCGGCAGGCGTCGCCGCTCTTATAGGGAAGAGGAAGTACTTAGTTACACCGTACAGTACTTAGTAGTACGGCTGAGCCGCCCGGCTGCACCGCCTCCTGAGGAGTCATCCAGCAATCAGAACGATCTCTACTCTCAGGTCATGGGGGTAAATTGAATGATAGTCACGATGTGATGGCTCATGCAGGACTGGGTATGACTGCCAGCATCAGCAGCAGCAGAGAGGATTACCCGAAGTGGGTAAAAATACTCCAGAAAATCCAATCCATCCAAATCCCGCTGGTGCGACCGCCCCTTACAGTACGGAGTATTCGGACGGAGTAGATATGCCGTACTGACTAGCGAGATAGCTAAGCCTTGGAGACCCGGTGGCTGAGATGCAGACAGCTACCCACCCAAACCCAAACCACGGAGGACCAGCCCCTTGTTGTACCTTCTTCCAGGCAGCCAACCCGTATCATCCTCCCCAAAATACATGATCGCATTTTGGTGTTTGGTTGGGGATTTTATTTTCTTTGTTTCTGCCTTTTGATCACATTTAATCTTTTGTTTTTTTTACTTTCCTTTTTCTTCCTATATCTCATTTTTTTCGTTTTCTCCTTTTCATTCCCAGGGATAATTGTGCGGGCACGGTAAATATACTACTATTAATCAAAGAAGGTAGACCCGATTATTAGATCCTGCCACGGTACTTAGTATGGACAGCCCCATCGATGGCGATCAACTGGGTCTCGGCCTCCAGTCCGCCTTCATACTGTCCTTTGGTTTAATATTAGATTATTATCTAGTTTCATTCCCTTCAATTATAAGACCAGCGTTCCGAAAATGACCTTCCGCGCTTTTCGTTCTCGAGCCAACTACATCAACACACCACTCCAAAAAATTATCAAAACCTTGATCTGGGTTCTCCTCATATGATGTCCACTGACGCTTGATGAATTGCTTCAGCTCCGCAAAGAACTCTTCGATGGGGTTGAGATCTGGTGAATATGGCGGCAGGTATATCAGCTTGACGCCTGAATCGGCACATAGCCGCTGAAGCTTTTCAGTGAGATGGAACGACGCATTGTCCATAATAAGAACAGATTTCGGTCCTGGCCATTTGTTACAATGCTGGAGGAGCTGCTCGATAAAGTCCTCGAAAACATCGGCATCAGTAGACCCTTTGAACACGCGCCTGAGAATGATCCCATCTTGGGCATATGCAGGTGGTATCTGGAAGCGTTGATCACGATGGAATTTGGCAACTTGAACCGGGGTTACACCCAAAGGCGACCAGCCTGTTCGCCGGAACCCAGCTCTCTTATCACAGCCTGATTCATCTACAAATACCAACTGATTTGATTGGAATGTTGCAAGATTATGAAGATAGAAGTCCCGCAAGTCGGCATTCTGTTCTTTGGCAATCTGTCGCGCTGCCTTTCTAGACCACCCGACCGACGCAAGTGCTCTGCTGATGCTCTGAATTGTCACATGTTTTCCGAATTCGTCCCAGATAAATACCGCCATTTCATCTTGATAGAGAGTTGGCTTCTCTATCAGATGTTCACATAGAGCTTCGAGCATAAGCGGGGTAATACTGCGTGGGCGACCTACACCATTGCGCGGTGCTCGGACGTTGCCGAATACTTGCAGGTTGGAGCGAATGTGCACGATTGACTGTTTGCTGCAGCCAGCGACGTAAGCCATCTGAGAAGTTGTCAGAGAGCCGCTCTGGATCATGTGATGAATTAGTTCTAGTTGTGCAGGTTTCAGGTTTGGAGCCATCGTGCATAATGCGACGTCTGTCACTGTCGTGCAGTAGGAAATGTTCAAGCAAACGCTCTACGTGGCTTGTGAATATTGAGAGGTTCAGAGCAATCAAGTTCCGATTCCGCCAATGATATACATCTTTTCACCGAAAATGCCCCACCGTTTGGATGTGGCAGTGCCGAATACCTTCTCCTGATATTGCTCGCAGCATCTAAGTATGCCTGGTCTCTTGCTTAATTTTAATACCCTCAAATCCCTTAATCTATATAAGTGAGTAGCAAACGGCCTAATGACTCTGTTCTAATATATGTAAAGTGTATTGGGACTACAAGGAATCGCTGAAATCATGATCTTTATGGTTACATACGCAATATTTGCTTTTTGGGTGCGGGGTAGCTGAGCATCGTGGCCAGGGGGCTTGCATATAAAGGCCTTCACTCCACTCTTAACTTACATGTCCTGTTATACCACACCGTTCTGAAATGCTTACTGATACAATGAACAACTCAACAACATCTTATGCCGGTTATAATGCTGGATTCCAACTGGGTCAAAATGTTGGTCAAATACACAACAATTACTATAACCAACTAGACGATTCAAAGGTTAGTGAGATATCCAGTGCCATTGGCTTAGTTGGCACTTGTGTTTTTAAACAGTGAAAGACTTAATCCTTTCTTAAATTATAGGCTACTGATCCTGAGCTTGACAAGAAGCGGATCCAAGAGGAGAAGGGTGGCCTTCTTCGAGACTCATACCGTTGGGTGCTCGACCATGATGACTTTAAAGACTGGAGATACACTGCAGGCAATCAGTTTCTCTGGATCAAAGGTGATCCCGGTAAAGGCAAGACAATGCTAATTTGTGGTATTATTGATGAGCTTTCCAAGAAAGCTACCCAAGACGATATCAATATTGCCTACTTCTTCTGCCAAGCCACCAATAATCGTATAAACAGTGCTACAGCAATTCTACAAGGACTTGTTATCATGATTGGGAAGAAACAGCCTCTGCTCCAGAAACATCTACCTGCGAAGTTCCTTGACAATGAGAATGGGTGGTTCGAATTACGCAACGTTTTTCAGAAGATACTCCAAGATCCGGCTATGAAGAAGACCTACCTAATAATTGATGCACTGGACGAGTGTGTTATTGATCAAAATAGAATTCTTGAATTTCTTGAAGAGGAATCATCAGGGCATCAACACGTGAAATGGATTGTCTCAAGTCGAAACTGGCCGAGCATCGAGAAATATCTCAACAACACAACAGGAATCAGACTTCAGCTTGAGCTGAATGAAGGCAATTTAACTGCTGCTGTTGACTACTTTATCAAGTATAAAGTAGAGGAATTATCAAAGAGAAACAGATACACCCTGGAAAAGAGAAAGATGGTTGAGAGTCACTTGTTACTAAATGCAAAAGGAACCTTCCTCTGGGTTGCTTTGGTTTGCCAGCAACTGAGAGATATTTCGGCCAGACATCTCCAGCAAGAGCTGAAGGACTTTCCTCCTGGGCTTGATCAATTATACCGTCGAATGTTTCGCAACATCGAGGACATGAAGTATGATGTTGAGCTCTGTCTGACATTGCTTGGAATCATCACAACTGTCGATCGTCCTATCACCGTGAATGAGTTATCATTATATCTCGAACCTCGGGATGAGATTGTTTACGATGATCTTCCAGAGATTATAAAGCTCTGTGGTTCCTTTATAACTCTTCAAGATTGTACAATCACCCTGGTCCATCAATCGGCACAAGACTTTCTTCTGAGAGAGACATCTCAAAAAATACATTCTGATGGATTGCAAGAGATACACTACTCTATTTTCTCTAAGTCTTTGCGAACTTTGCAAAAGATGCTGCGACGCAATATATACAAGGTCAACGACCCTACACTTTCAATCAGTCAAATTAAGCAGCCAGACCCAGATCCGCTAGCCGCAATGCGGTACGCATGTGTGTATTGGGTAAATCATCTCAATCACTACTTGGATAAGATAAAGACAGAGGAACGACAGGAAGGTTTTTCTTTGATTAATACATTCCTATGCCAAGACTTACTGCATTGGCTTGAAGCTCTTAGCCTGTCAGGAAGTATAGCAGAAGGAGCAAGATCAATGCTCAGGCTTGAAGAATTGTTAAAGGTATGTATCTATAGATATTAGCAAATTACTGTTCTAACAAGGTTCTAGAGAAGAACAAACAACTTACAGCTGATTGACAGAGTTCAGGATGCATACCGCTTCATCATAGATCATAAGACAATGATAGAGAATTACCCACTTCAAGTATACACTTCGGCAATATTCTTTAGCCCTCGGAGCAGTATTACGAGAACTCAATTTGAGTCTGAGGAACTGAAATGGATGAATGCTAAGTCAATGATAGGCGAGAGCTGGAGCGCCTGCCTGCAGACGCTCGAGGGCCACGGTAGCTTGGTCAACTCAGTGGTCTTCTCGCATGACTCTAAGTGGCTGGCGTCTGCTTCCCGTGATAAGACTGTCAAGCTATGGGACGCCGCCAGCGGCGCTTGCCTGCAGACGATCGAGGGCCACAGTAGCTCGGTCAACTCAGTGGTCTTCTCGCCTGACTCTAAGCGGCTGGCGTCTGCTTCCCATGATAAGACTGTCAAGCTGTGGGACGCCGCCAGCGGCGCCTGTCTGCAGATGCTCGAGGGCCACGGAGACTCGGTCAACTCAGTGGTCTTCTCGCCTGATTCTAAGCGGCTGGCGTCTACTTCTAACGATAAGACCGTCAAGCTGTGGGATGCCGCCAGCGGCGCCTACCTGCAGACGCTCGAGGGCCATGGTGACTGGGTCAACTCAGTGGTCTTCTCGCCTGACTCTAAGTGGTTGGTATCTGCTTCCAGCGATAAGACGATCAAGCTATGGGACGCCGCCAGCGGCGCCTGCCTACAGACGCTTGAGGGCCACGGTAGCTCGGTCAACTCAGTGGTCTTCTCGCATGACTCTAAGCGGCTGGCGTCTGCTTCCTGCGATAAGACTATCAAGCTATGGGACGCCGCCAGCGGCGCCTGCCTACAGACGCTCGAGGGCCACGGAGGCTGGGTCAACTCAGTGGTCTTCTCGCATGACTCTAAGCGGCTGGCGTCTACTTCCCACGATAGTACCATCAAGCTGTGGGACGCCGCCAGCGGCGCCTGCCTGCAGACGCTCGAGGGCCACGGTAGCTGGGTCAGCTCAGTGGTCTTCTCGCCTGACTCTAAGCGGCTGGCGTCTGCTTCCCACGATAGTACCGTCAAGCTGTGGGATACCGCCAGCGGCGCCTGCCTGCAGACGCTCGAGGGCCACAGAGACTCGGTCAACTCAGTGGTCTTCTCGCCTAACTCTAAGCAGCTAGCGTCTGCTTCTGACGACAAGACCATCAAGCTGTGGGATGCCGCCAGCGGCGCCTGCCTGCAGACGCTCAAGGGCCATGGTGACTCGGTCAACTCAGTGGTCTTCTCGCCTGACTCTAAGCGGCTGGTATCTGCTTCCAGCGATAAGACTATTAAGCTGTGGGATGCCAGCGGCGCCTGCCTGCAAATGCTCAAGGGCCACGGTGGCTGGGTCAACTCAGTGGTCTTCTCACATGATTCTAAGCGGCTAGCGTCTACTTCCCGCGATAGTACCATCAAGCTGTGGGACGCCGCCAGCGGCGCCTGCCTGCAGACGCTCGAGGGTCACGGTAGCTGGGTCAGCTCAGTGGTCTTCTCGCCTGACTCTAAGCGGCTGGCGTCTACTTCCCACGATAGTACCGTCAAGTTGTGGGACGCCGCCAGCGGCGCTTGCCTGCAGACGCTCGAGGGCCACGGTAGCTCGGTCAACTCAGTAGTCTTCTCGCATGACTCTAAGCGGCTGGCGTCTACTTCCGATGATAAGACTGTCAAGCTGTGGGATGCCGCCAGCGGCGCCTGTCTGCAGACTCTTGAGGGCCACGGAGACTCGGTCACAAAACATGATCTGGGTGTCTTTATCTTATATTACCTTGCAAACTCGCCATCTTCCCAAGCTAATCCCGAAAAACTGTATTCTCACGGATTTGGAATAAGTTCTGATCGAACCTGGATTACATGGAACTCAGTAAAGCTGTTGAAGTTGCCATCAATATTCAAGATATCAGCCTCTGCTGTAACATCTTCGACTATTTGTATTGGTTTTCACTTAGGGCAAGTCCTTATACTGAGCCGCGATAGTCACTAGGTTTATCTGCCTAGACATAGTAGTACATAGATATATGACATTTTATTAATCATGATTTTCTACTCTCTTCTACTTTCTAATCTCTTTACAAAAGGAGGGTCTGGGATTATTCAACTATTTATCTTGATAGTTTTTGCCACCTGCATGCTTTTAGATTCTATCAGCTTCCACGTGATTCTAATTCTTACCTTGTTATATGACTCATAATACATCTCGGTAGTTATTAGACACGTGTATTAAACGGGTAATACTCCTGAATAGATTAAATTGCGTAAAGCCAATACTCATACCAGGCCACAATTTATGTTGTCACGCTCAATAATCTACCCGCGCTAATATCTTGGTAGTGGGTCTGAGAAACTTTTATGTTGTGTCTATTGGTGAAGGCAATTTCGACCTCCTCTGTACTATCTATCTATTTCATAGGGCAACTTCCGTGCGTCGGGCTGCCCACTGCCCGGCTTGCTTGGGCACCACGGCCCGGAGGGTATCTTCTCCCTGACAAACAATCAAAGAACACCTTGCTCTAAAGTGGCCGTGCGACATTTTCCCCCAAAGCAAGGTTTGATAATTGCAGAACGAACAGATCATATGCTGGCGCCCAGGGAGATGGCTGTTGGGCTATCAGTGTGTGTGAGAGAGAGAAGATGAACACGCTGGCTCGGACCCGCCAGAGGAGGGAGGTCGAATATATTCCGTACTAAGGACGCCTGTCCTGAGCGAAGAGACTTCCGCCCTGTCCTCCAAAAACCCCAGTAATCCGATTTGGCTTTGACATGCCTTCACGCTTCAGAATTCAGATCCATCCATCTATCTAGTTGATGAAGAACATGCTTATAGGCCCTTGCCAGGTGGGTCCCACCCGAGATCCCCCACATGGATCAACTTATAGTACCGAGTCCTGCACCGATCGACAGACTACTACGGAGTACGACTATTCAGTATCCAGATGGTAGATACCTAGTAGTAGATATCTCTACTCTCTGGATCATATCTACCCATGTATTATACTACCTAGGTACCCCCAAATCTCTGGTAGTTAGCATTCCAAAACGAGAACGATGAGCTGCCCCAACTCTGTAGCACTATATACCTAATTAGTGAACAGGCTGACTATTGCGGGCACTCCGAAGGAGCATCACGTCCGGTCGGATCCGAAGGCTTGCTCCGAAGCCTACCCGTCAGTAAATTCAGCCCGTTTCGAACACTATATAGACAGTCCGGTAGACAGGTGAGCACTTAGAGTTACCAAGCCTTCTTGACCAACCCAGAAAGATATCAGGTAAACACACTTTCCCCTTGGGGCTTGCTGAAGGGGCTGGCTGACTCCTCCCCCGGGCATCTTTATCCAGCAACATGCGCACCTTCGTGATTGGCGGGACTGGGCGCTGCGGCAGGCTGGTCATTGACGAGCTGCTCGGGCGAGATAGGTGCTACACTATACAAGACTCACCGGGTCATGGATCAACTAACATTCGCAAGGGCACCAAGTCACCACCCTGACGCACACCGGACAGGCTCGGTGGTGCGCGAGCCGGCCTAGACATCGCCCAAGGTACACTGCCTGAGTCCCTGGCGGAGAATTTGACCCTCCCCTGTCCCTGCTGACAACTCTCTAGGCACTCCGACTGAGCTCGACGACGTCCGAGCCGCATTCGGGCCGACATGGCCGCCGTCGTGATCGTGACGCTGAACGCTCGCCGAGCGAGCGACAGTCCGTTTGCCACCCCGATCTCTCCGCCGCGACTGATGGCCAACTGCAATGCCAATGTGGTGGCAGCAATGAAGGATTCGGAGTGTGCAGAACCGTCATTCTGCAGGCGTTTGGAGTAGATGCCTCGCCTGTAAGGATAGATGCTATTCCATATATTCTCCATAGAGTACTGCCGGCGGTGTGAGCGGATGGGATCATCCATTCCTCCGCCCCGGAGGATTGATATTACGGGTGGTCATGATGAAATCGATAGCCGGAGCCGGTATCGCCCCGCCTGTCGATCGGGGTCCGGCCCCGGCATCGGCGGTGGCGCCGGCCAATCAAGGGGGAGGTAAAAGAAAAGAGTTGTGACTAACAAATGGGAAAGAAAATGACTCTTCGCCGACGACCTGCCTGACTCTCCTCCGCAATTCCCTCCAAGCTCCTGGCGCGATTATGGTGAGGCAGTTTGTATGGCAGCGGGCCACCGCCTCGCAGAGGGTAAGTCCGGCCGTTGCCTGCTCCAATGACCCCCTGAACCACCATGATGGATGGATAGACGGCTGACCTCCACTTCCCCGTGTCATTAGTTGGCTCCGAAATGCCTCTCCCCGCAACGACTATTTGCTCGCCGTGGTCTGGCCACCGAGGCCTCCCCGGTGTCCTCCCGTCTTCCTCCCTACCATAAGATCGTCCAGAACCTTGAAAATGTCCGCCGAGTCCTGGGCCAGTCCCGGAACCTGACCCTCGCGGAGAAGATCCTCTACGCCCACCTGGACAACCCGGAGGAGTCCCTCCTGACCGGCACCGATAATGGCCGGGACATTCGCGGCAAGGCCAACCTGAAGCTGAAGCCGGATCGCGTGGCAATGCAGGATGCTTCGGCCCAGATGGCCTTGTTGCAGTTCATGTCCTGCGGCCTGCCCTCCACGGCCGTGCCCGCCAGTATTCACTGTGACCACATGATTGTGGGTGAGCGCGGTGCCGACACCGATCTGCCCGCATCGATCAAGGGCAACAGCGAGGTGTTTGACTTCTTGGAGAGTGCTGCCAAGCGCTATGGCATTGAGTTCTGGCCCCCCGGTGCCGGTATCATCCACCAGAGCGTGCTGGAGAACTACGCTGCTCCGGGTCTGATGATGTTGGGAACCGACAGTCACACCCCCAATGCGGGTGGTCTTGGTGCCATCGCCATCGGTGTCGGTGGTGCCGATGCCGTCGATGCCTTGGTTGACGCCCCCTGGGAGCTCAAGGCGCCTCGCATTCTAGGTGTGCGTCTGGAGGGCAAGCTCAACGGTTGGGCTGCTCCCAAGGATATCATTCTTCACCTGGCTGGCAAGCTCACCGTTCGCGGTGGAACCGGGTTCATCATCGAGTATCATGGACCGGGTCTGGAGACCCTGAGTTGCACTGGTATGGCCACCATTTGCAACATGGGTGCCGAGGTTGGCGCAACGACTTCCGTGTTCCCCTTCTCCCCCAGCATGGTTCCCTACCTCCAAGCGACTCACCGGGCTGAAGTCGCCCGCGCCGCTTCGGAGATCGCCGCTTCCGGCCCCAAGAACCTCCTCCGGGCTGACGGAGGTGCCGAGTACGACCAGCTGATCACCATTGACCTGTCGACGCTGGAGCCGCACATCAACGGCCCCTTCACCCCCGACCTCTCGGTTCCTCTGTCCTCTTTCGCTGACACCGTCCGCGAGAAGGGCTGGCCGGAAACCCTCGGCGCGGGCTTGATTGGTAGCTGCACGAACAGTTCCTACGAGGACATGACCCGTGCGGAGAACCTCGTCAAGCAGGCCTCGGCCGCCGGACTTGAGCCCAAGTCCGACTTCTTCATCACTCCTGGCAGTGAGCAGATCCGGGCCACCCTGGACCGTGATCAGACTCTGTCGACCTTCTCCCAGGCGGGCGGCACTGTGCTGGCCAACGCGTGCGGTCCCTGCATTGGCCAGTGGAAGCGCACCGATGGCGTCCCCAAGGGCGAGGACAACGCTATCCTTACATCCTACAACCGCAACTTCCCCGGTCGTAACGACGGCAACCGCAGAACCATGAACTTCCTGGCCTCTCCGGAGCTGGTCACCGCGATGGTCTACTCGGGCAGCACCACCTTCAACCCCATGACCGACAGCCTGAAGACTCCCAGCGGCGAGGAGTTCCGGTTCCAGCCGCCTACGGGGTTCGCTCTCCCCAGTGATGGCTTTGCGGATGGCAACCCATCCTTCCAGCCCACCGCCGCTGTGCCCGATGCGTCTTGTGACGTGATTGTCTCCCCCACCTCGGATCGTCTGGCCCTGCTGGAGCCGTTTGCACCCTTCCCCAAGGGCGAGCTTTCCGGCCTCAAGGTGCTGTACAAGGTCCGTGGCCAGTGCACGACCGATACGATCTCGGCGGCTGGTCCGTGGTTGAAGTACAAGGGTCACCTGCCCAACATCTCCGCCAACACCCTGATCGGTGCGGTCAATGCGGCCACGGGCGAGACTAACGTGGCCTATGACGAGGCCGGTAAGCAGTACTCCATTCCGGAGTTGGCGGCCCAGTGGAAGGCCGACGGAAAGGAGTGGCTGGTGGTGGCCGAGGAGAACTACGGCGAGGGTAGCGCGCGTGAGCACGCTGCCCTGCAGCCCCGGTACCTGGGTGGCCGGATCATCGTGGCCAAGAGCTTCGCTCGTATCCACGAGACGAACCTGAAGAAGCAGGGTGTGGTGCCCTTGACATTCGCGAACCCGGCGGACTATGACCGGATCGACGCGTGCGATCAGGTCGCCACGGAGGGTCTGTATGAGGTGCTGCAGGCCGGCGGACAGGGCTCGATCCAGCTGCAGGTGACCAAGCGCAGCGGTGAGACCTTTGTCATTCCGGTGAAGCACACCCTCAGTCCGGACCAGTGTGCCTTTGTGCTGGCCGGTAGTGCGTTGAACTTGCTGGCCCAGCGGGCGAACAAGAAAAGTGCGTGATTGAATTCAGCGACGTGTACTTATATATCCATCCGTTATTCATGTTCTTTCACTTTCGAGCGTTATATTAGTAGACCGATTGGTGGTTAGACAGGAGGCAATCAGAGGACAACTGTCTGGATTTGATCTTTTCTTTCGCGTATCTTCTCCTACATGTGCTCTGATTTACAGGTTGAGACTAATTACAGGGGCCATTGTTTATTATACTGACATAGGCTGACTACTGCAATTTCAGTCGACTTGGCAAGTCAATGAACTGCCCAGGCCTTGAACACCGGGTTGCCAACTTGTGAAACGCATATTCCAGCATCAAGTCGGCTCTAGTCGGATTTTTGGTCATTCGTGGATGTCTCCCTGCTCAGGATCTTCGATCGATCAAAGGAGTGACACCTCTCTTTATTCATATCCTTTATATACCACACAATGAGGGGGAAATCACCCCAGTGGAACAATCACTCGTCTATCTTCCGTCATAAACCTGATCCTGGGCCAGGGAGAACTGTCCCTTCTCCAGCTCCGTCGCATCCACATGCTCGGGTTTGATATGACGAGCAGTCAAGGCGAACCGCAGTCTCTTTTCCGGTACGACTGAATGCTAACGGGAAGCCGAGGATCAGAGAGGGGATCTTATGCCGCGCTTATCAGTGGCCATACCTCATAGTACTTCTGCAAATTCTCGCCATGCATCACGACCAGGTCTCCATGGTTGAGCTCCATTCTGATACACGGCGATGCTTCTCCGCCTCTTCCTGTCTTCAAGAGCCCCGCGTGGAGATCGTCATACATGCTTTGGCTTATACTGCCATCCGTGAGCCGACTCTTAAGAGCCTGTCGGCGGTGATGGTTTTCGCACCCCTCAAGCACCGGGTCTTCGGACAGGGGCTTTTTCGCTTTGCTGTAGCCATGGTAGTACTTGTGCTTCATGCGGATGAGCATCGTGGACTTCGCCCCCAGTGAAAGCGTGGCGATTGTGGGACCGAGCGATGACTCCCCATCATCATGATACTGTCACGGAGCACATTAGTGATTACAGACTTGAAGCAGGTGACACAGCATACCCCAATCTTCATATCCTCCAAATAACCCAGGACGAGTAATTCGTTGGGTGGGAGAAAGCAGTCACCGGCATCAGTTACAGCTTGCTTGGTTGCCCACGTTAACCGACCCAATGCCCGCAGAATTTCATCGCAGGATTCGTTGAATCCCTTAGATGCTACAGAGACGACGTATTTATAGGGCATTCCCTATTGAAGTCAGTACCGAGCCGGGAGATGGCCTTGGCCGAAGGGGACGCACATAGTTGACGGCGAAATGGGCAGTCAGTGTTCCAGCAACTATGCCATTAGCATTGACATCTGACGAGCCAGCCTCATAACATCCACTAACCTACGCTCTGCTGTAAAGGGTAGCGCCTCAACCCAAGATCGGCGCCCTGCAATTGTTCGAAGAGATCATCCGGCCCATTAGGGCGGGTGTTGATCGCGCGGTTGGAAACCAGATGGGTGATGTTGCCCACCCCGGGGATCCTATAAGTCAGCTTTCGATATGGGTGCAGAGTCCGGTCATCGATCTCTGGCACCATGAATTTCGGATCAAACCCAAGAGCCCGTTTGATTGGACTGATCTCCAAGTCATCAATAACCGACCGAAGCGAGATGGGTCGCATGCCCAACATCTTCTCGAAGGTGCATCGATGTGAGCCACCTGCTGACAAGCCGACGTCTGCGCACCTCCAGCCCCTCCAAAACCTTCGTGAGATGCACCGAGCGCATCGGGGACATACGATGCCTTTCCAAGCAATGCGCTTGGTCAGCATATCGCCATCGGCTTCTGCCAGGGTCGAAAGCAAGTCCGGTACGAGGGTATAGTGAGGCTGTATCGTCAGGTCGGGAGGAAGGCGGGCGCCCAGGAAATCCGGATGGAAGCTAAGGTTCGACGGAGAAGAGGATGTGCCGATGGTCCAGAACCGTCGGCATGATGGCCGAAGGCACATCCAGCCCTCATTATATATCTGAGGGCTTATTTGGCAGCAGGCTACACAACGGGCCTGTGCTGGCTGGAGGTCAAAGTTCCGTTCCTCGAGCGAGGGGGGAGACTTGGTCGCCCACCAACTTCTGCTAGACAAGTCCAACTTCTCGAACCGGACTTTGGCGCCTGTCTTCTTACCAATTTTCTCGTACCAAAGATGGGTGACCCGGAAGTACGCCATCACGTTGTACCGATGCGGGGGCTTCCTGCCCAGGAGGGTGTTGCGATCGCCTGGCTTATCAGTCAGTGACCGACATGATACAATGGATCTAGCGATACCAGCCTATTATGATCCCCACAGGGATCTTCAGATTCATGCTATTCGCGATGCTACTCATAGCGGAACTGTCATTGTCTTGATCCCTGAGCAGGACCAGGTTCCCATCGGCATCCTTGGTGCAGCCCCCGCCCCTGTCCCCGTTAGCCATCTAGACAAGATGCACGGCCGTGGTTATCAACATACACTCTCGTGATGACAATTTCCTCGTCCACATAGGAGCGAATCCCGCAGTCCGCGTCAATCAGGAACCCCAAACACAAGTTCCCGTTATGATACACCCCTCCCTGCACCGCTCGAAACCAAGGAAGCGCATCACATAGTTCCGGTCGACACTATGATCGAGGTTATTCTTGACGCGACCAGGATCATCTCGGAGATAGGTGGAATTGCCAACCTCTGCCCAAGCGGGGGGATGGCCTGTCATTGGTGCGGGACTGGCCCCCCGACCTCCACGCTCTACACCTGCAGTACGTCTTCGAGACTCCGCCGCATTGATGGATACTCTGGAGCGCGTAATGCGCCCCGACTTGACGGGCCCGCCTGGGCTTCTTTCTGTCGCCCTGGCGGGCTTTCTGGGACTCATGATGGAAAATCGACTGGGACCGAGTGATCGTCTAGAAGCCTAATAGGGGCTAAAGGAGGGACAAGATAAGAACAAGAAAGGATACTGGCTAAGAATGAATGGGGTGCATAGCATGGAATTGCGCTGTAATTATCTTCTGGTGATACTTTGATGGTCATCGTTTGATGGACATCTGCTGACCAGAGGATTTCGCAGACATGGCGTCATCGGCCGCAGTTATACAAACGGAAAGTACTACCTCTCAGATGACTGAGGACTGGCGTGCGAGAGACATGCGTCTTGTCTCGGACCACATCCGCGGCTTCCTTCAAAGGTGAGACAACAGCAGAATGTATATTCTGTGCATTACGTGATGACACATAGCATGAAGAGCTCCTCGCACCGGTCTATCCAAATCACACTACCGGAGGCCACTGGATCCATAAAGATATATATATATATATATACAAAACGACAAACCCCGACCCGACAGGTTTAACTCCCTACAAAATCTCCGTAGTCACCGTCACTCTGGAGCTATAGGTCGAGTAGGAGCTGGTCATGGTGGAGATGGGACAATTGACCAGCACCTTGATACTGGTATCATAACCGGCCAGGGCATCGGCATTGCAACCGAGGACGGGCCCGGTCTCGATCGCACACGACAGCGTGAAATCCTTATCACAGGCGAGGGTGCCGCCGTCGCCATCGCTCGGGGCCGCGGAGTTGGAATAGACGCAGGCGGAGTACTTGGACGAATGGACGGTGAGGACCGAGAAGAAGGACACATACTTGGGGATCTCGGACCAGGTGGTGGGGGTGGGCGAGGCAACGCCGTAGTTGTACGCCCACCCGGCGGTGCAGACGTCCGCCGTGGTGGAGGTTTGGACAAAGTTGAGGTCGTAATCACGGAGCTCCTCGTTGCGGAGCTCGAGACGCTTCTCGGCCGCGATCACGGCTGCCCCGGCTAAGACCGAGTAGCTGGTGGTTGCGACCTTGGTGATGGTTGAGACGACGATGACTTCCGTGACGGTGCTGGCGGGCGTCGGGGTAGGCGTCACGGTCTCGGTGGAGATCGAGGTACTCGTACCGTCCCCGGCGGAACTCGTCCCGCCGGTGGCGGTCCCGGTAGCCGTGCCTGTCGCCGTTGCCGTCGTGGTTGGGATGTCGATGCCGGTGATGGTCGTGAACTCGGAGTAGATGGCACCGGCGGCCGACCATTCGGATTCCGACAGAGCCGATCCAGCTTCGGTGTAGTCCGACCAGGAGTCGGGCGTGCCGGTGAAGAGCGGCGCGGGGGTCCATGTGAAGCTGTTGGCGGTGCCGGTCGTGTCACAGCCGATGACGTCTCGGCAGGTGGAGGTGCAGCTCTCGGATGGGGAGGCCGTGATGCAGGCCGTGCTGCAGGAGCTGTAGGTGGCGGTTTCACACTCGGAGGACGACGAGCTGCTGAAGTCATCCGGATCGCCGTTCGGGTTATTGGGCTCGTCGTTGGGCGCTGCGGCCGGTTAGCATTCTCGACCGAAGCACACGGACAGGGGGGGGAATGGCATCGGAGAACGAACAGCTGGATCCACCACAGCCGATCCAGCATGGATGGCACACATTAAAGACCAGGCCCAGCAGGCCCTCATGGCACTTATGCCCGCAGAGTTTCGAGTTCAGACACGTCGGGCTCGGCGCACCATGGTGATGGGTGATATGGTGATGATTGTGGTGATCGTCGTCGCTCCCACCCCCGGTTGTCTGGGACCCGGTATCGCTGGAGGAAGAGGTGGTGGTCGAGGCCGGCAGGGTGGTCACCCAGGTGGCGCCGTCACTGACCCAGGTGATGACATCCGAGCTGGTAGTCGCGGCCGTCACCGTGGGGACGGTGTTGCCCGGCCAGGGGGGCGGATAGAAGGGGTAGACGGAGGGGGGATAGGTGGTGCCATTCCACACGAAGGAGGGATAGGTGACGTTGAAGGCCGGGGCGATGACACTGGGCGACGGGGTAATGACGGTCGAGGTGGTGCCGGAGCCGATGGCGACGTTCCACTGGCTGACGGTTGAGGTGGTCACGGTGGGGATGACGACGGTCAAGGTGGTGGTGCTGGTAACATACTCGGTGGTCGTGGTGGTATTGCCATTGTAGACGTACCAGGTCGGCACCGGCTCGCCGATGACGACGGGCGTGACGAGGGTGGGATAGACAAAGGTGGTGTTGGACGGCAGCACAATGGGCGGCAGGATGTACTCGCATGGCTCCCAGCACGACACGTTCACTGGGCTGCTCTCGTTCCAGATGGATGGATCGACATAGACGGTGCCCGAGGAGTTGCTGGTGGTGCCGATGTCCTCGCCCCCCTCGGCCAGCGCCAGCCACGCAGCGATCTCGCTGGTGTAGCCATCTTGCGTCGTCGAGTTGAAGTACAGCGCCTCCAGCCCTCCCTCGGGGGACACGACTTGCACGCCGCCCTTGGTGAAGAGGTTGTACAGCCAGAGCCCGTCGGCATAGTTGGTGTCCACCAGGGCCAGCTGGCATGTCGCGTCGTCCACACAGCTTTCATCGTAGTCCCTGAACCACGAGTAGAAGCCGGCCGAGTATATGAAGACATCCGTCGAGTTGAGCACGCGCAGAGCCCAGGCGCCCCGGCAGAGGTCATCGGAACAGTCCGAGAAGGTGGGATCGCCCGCGAACAGGCCGATGGTGTAGGGGCTCAGCGCGTTAGGGCTGGGCTGGTAGTAGGGGGTCTCGGTCTGCATGTGACCCAGGTAGATGGTCGAGGCGTTGAGCAGCTCGTACTGATACAGCTGCGAGTGCTCACTGGCCGTGCCATACAGCCAGCTGGGCCCCTGCGATTCGATCAGGATGCCCCGACCGCCATACACGGAGACATCCGTCTCGACATTGAGCGGCACTCCGGCGTCGCTCTCTGACGCCGCCGAGTTCAACGGACTGTCCAGATCGTGGTCGGCCACCCAGGCCCACACGTTCTCCAGATAGGCGGAGGCGGAGCTGGTGATATGCAGCATCAGCGACGCCGCCATGCAGTCCGTGTTGACCCCCGATCCGGCCGGGCATTCATCCAGCCCTAGGTTCGTGCCATTGGCGCCCCCAACGCGGAAATGACTATCCCACATGGCCGCTAGCATCCCCATCAGCCGATCATTCTGACCCCTTCACCATGCTTGAGGGTCGGGAGGACACTTACCACTGCCTTGGGTGCTCTCGTGGACATTCCACTCCATCAGCACCGCACCGGCCGTCGGGCCCTGAACCGTAAACAGCATGTCGGCAATCTCAATAGTGCCCTCGTCACCTGTCTCGCCCACCTGCACCACCACCTTGGGGTTCGTCTGGTCTTGGAACGCGGAGCCTGTCCCCATGATCTGGCTCCAGGCCGAGCCAATGATGCGGCTGCCCACGGGGATCTTGATGGTGTCCTCGACCAGGTAGATACCGGCGGGGAAGAAGATGACCGATCCCACGTTGTCAGCCAGAAGGGTGTTGATCGCCGATGCTTGGTCGCCGCTCATGTCATTCGACACCCCGTTCTCCGTCGCTACGATCGGGGTTTCGTCCGCGTACTGCGGCTTCGCCTGCCGGAAGTAGGCGCCCGAGCTATCGAGCAGCGACTCCGGCTTATCCGGGGCGGGGTCCATGAATCCAGTCATGATGCCACTGGTCCCGTCTGGCAAGTACTCGTAGCCGTTGGCCCACGAGTTGTAGTACAAGGATCCAGACGAGCCCTCCAGGATGGTATCGCCGCCGGAGACGAGCACTACCGAGGTGGAGTCTTCGACCAGCAGGTTGTCCAGGATTATATTCGGCTGCTCATCGTTCTCCTTGGCCACCGTGATGGCATAAGGGACGCCGTTGAAGTGGGAGTCGACGACGGCGATCGAGCCGGTGCCTTGATCATCAACGCCCGAGAATTCCGTGGCGTCGATAGCGATGTAGCATGAGAGCACGTAGATGTTCTTCCACGTGAAGCCCCAGTTCCAGATGGATTTGATGGCGGTCAAACAGGACGTGAACTGCAGGTTGATCGCGGTGAACTGTTGGCTGCCTGCGAGGAAGCCGATATTGCTGGGACGACGTTAGCAGAGGACCCGGCGGCATTGGAGACCGACTTACCCTCCCGTAAAGGTCAGATCCGAGACCATGCCTCCGCTGCCGTTCTCCATGAAGATGCCGACAGCGGTGGCCGACTGATCGCCGCTCGAGACTGACATCTGGAAGTCGCAATTGGTGATGCTCGTGGCCTGGCCAACCTGCCAATGGATGCCGGCCGGGACGTAGGTCTGGTTGTTATCGGTATTTGTCCAGTTCATGCTGGTCATGTCGAAGACGAAGTTGCGGATCTGGCGATAGAAATTGCTTTGGTTGATGTACCATTCCGAGCCGTTGCCCCCGGGGATGTAGAAGTCTGTGTCGAAGAGGGCAATGCCGGTGAAGTTCTCGGAGCCCCGGATGGTGGGCTTGTCGGTGGGATTGCCCACGAACTGGGTGTAGTAGTACTGGATAATGGGGGTGCTGATCAGATAGGTGCCCGGGGGAAAGTAGACGACGGCCCCGAGGATGGAGGTCGAGCCGCAGTCCTTGCCACAGCGCAGGCTGGTCAGATCATTCAGCCCATATGTGGCAGCTGCGCGATTGATCGCCGCCGTGTCATCGGTGACCCCGTCGCCTACCGCGCCAAAGTCCTTGACATTTCGGAAGAGCTGATAGTTCGATGGGGCGAGAGGCATCTATGCGGGGACGATCAGCATCTTCGGACGGCGATGCGGGGGCTCGTCACTCACCACGCCAGCACTCCCCATGCTCGATAGCCAGTAATCGTCCGTGTTATCGCTGGCCTCCATCGTGCCGTGGGTCGTGGCATTCAGCGGACCCAGTACGGGGCCCGTCTGCCGGCCGTGGTCGGGGGCCGTGCCATAGAAGTTGTTGACATTATCTTTCATATACGGGGGCGGGGGCTAGGCATCGTGTCAGCTGGGGCCTGGCTGGTCTCCAGGACACACTACCTGAGGTTTTCCGGGGGGCAAGGCTGGCCGGGCGCCGGACCGCGTCCCGTTCGTTAAGACAGTCGAAGAAAAGAGGTTGAACGAACTGATATCCCGAGGGACCACTTGATGGGCCTGATGAAGATGGGCATGCTGCAGGCCATGACGGCCATGGGATGCATGGGCCGCAATGGGGCTAACAGCCTGTACGCTGAGCCACAGCAGGCCTAGCTTCTCGAGCAACCGCATCGTGGTCGTTATTGGCCTGCCTTCTGCGTTGTCTGCTTCCGTAAAAGAGTGAGCAAAGCGCCGATAGATAAATGGGATCTGAGGCTCGCCTCGAGGTACACCTTGTCCGAGTCAGGGGCTTATCAGCCGCCTCCAGGATTCCTCGTACCTGCAGGAGATCCGCTTGAAACCCAAGGATGCTCCTGCATGCTAGCTTCTTCCTGCAGAAATGGGCCTGCGCTAGCATGGCCCGGGGCGCGATCCATCGCGGTGCACGAGCTGACCTGATCCCAACGAAGGATTCTAAACGAATGTCTCTCGGGGTAAGCGGAAATAGGAGGCCCGGTGCAGAAAAGGCCTCCATTCCCGAGCCTGCTGCGTCCGCTCCTCAAATCCGACAGCTCCTCTGAACACCGTGATCCCATCATGCGGTTGCTTGGACAGCTTCTTTCCCCTGCACTGGTCCTGGTCGGCCATGGCGCCCTCACGCTGGCCGCCACTGCGCTGCCGATGGCCAAGCTGTTCGACATCGTCACTGACAGCAACCTCAACGGAAACTGCGCGGCGTACAGCACGGCCACACTGGACCAGCTGGCGACTGATGCGCTGAAAATGGCCGAGGCTGGCAGTAAAGCGTGCGATTCCTATGTTGCCTCCGATCCGGCCATGGTCCGGCTCTTCGATGCCTTTTTCCAGGGAACCGATGCCACCGCGGTGGCAGGGATGAAACGTGAGTCGCCTGGGCGGGTTGCAGAGATGGTATCCAATAGCTAATGATGAGAGGACAGTCTGGTACGACTACATCAGCAACTGGCTGCAGAATGGGGGCCCCTTGTCGGGACGGACCAAGCAGCCACTGCTCTTTTGTGGCGACCACAGCATCCGGCAGACAATGAGCAGCGCGTTGCGGGATGACGATGGCAACACCCACCAAAACGCCCAGAAGACAGGGGACACGTTGATTATCCAGGATTCCTACATGAAGGACTGGTGGAAGCAAATTGCGACGGCGCAGCAGGTCCGGTTGACGGCGGTCTACCCCTACTGGGATCCGCAGCAGCTGGTGTACTTCTTCGACCAGAAGAAGGGGTCGAGCGTGACGGATTATCAGTGCGCCGAGGACAGCCTGGGCTATACGATCACGCAGGGCCGGGGCAGCGTGACGCTGTGCCAGAGCTCCTTCTCCTCCGGGGGCAACCTGGGCAGCGTCGCCCCGAGCCCTATCCCCGCCGCCGACTTCGTCAACGGCAATCCCCCCTCCAACAAGGCCGCGCAGCCCATCGACGACATCATGCCTGCTGGTGCCACCCTCTTTCACGAGTTGCTTCATCTCTTCTCCGAGAGCAAGTTTGTCCCTGATGTGGGCGAGGAGTATAACGCCTGGCGCATCATGGGCAAGGTGGTGCGCGATGACAACACCTACTTTACCGGTGACAATGCCGTTGATAACGCCGAGTCCTACACCTTTGTGGCGTGCGTATCCCTCATCGTGTTTGTCGTCTTCTGTACCGATGCTAATGGCCTTCCCAGGGGCGCCGCTTACTATACCCAGAATATGCCGTCGAGTGGCAAGGTGGTGGAGTACTATACCGGATATTGTTCGACCCAGTAGACGACGGGCTAGGGGTGGATCCTCGTATTGGATATTATGTTGATAGTGAATAGATGGAGCAAGGAGATTCACTCTGACTCAGCTTATCCGCTAAGGCTGGCTGCGGGATCGAGCGTCATCTGTCTTCGGGTAGATAGGGAGTAGAATTGGGTTTATCTCCTTTCAACGTTGCGCCTGGTCATTCAAGTCAACCACCATGTCCTCTCTTCTGCAGCTCCCGAATGAGATCCTCGCCGACGTTCTCCGGCACTGCCCCGATTTCTCGACCCTCTGGAGTCTCATCCATGCCTCCTCGCGGCTGTCGGCTGTCTTTGATGCCCGCGCGGGAGAAATTGTCAACGCCATTCTGCTGGCGAGCGTACCCCCTCCGACCCGCGACCTCATCCAGGCCGTGGTGACCATCCGCCTCGGGTCTTTCGAGTTCCAGTCGTATTACCAATTTCTGCGCCATCCTCTCGCTGTCTGTCAGGGCTTGGACCCCACCGTACCCCCGCCTTTGCTCCGAAAGCTGGTGGGCCTAGCGCATCGGGTTCATGCTCTGGCGCACCTATGTCTCAACCGATGCTTGCGCCGATGCGAGTCAGTCTTGTGCCCGGGGGCATCGTCCCCGTCGTGGACAGAAGAGCAGCGGGCCATCCTGGGGTTTTGGCACGTACAGTTCTTCTACGAGCTCAAGACGGGCGCATGTAAAGCACGGTTGAACTGGCCGGCCAGCGACCTCGCCTCTCTGCGCACTAGCACCCCCAGCACGTTTCGATTTCGAAAGCCGGTGCAATGTGAGCAAGCGTGGACGGCCATCGAGCTGATCAACGAGCTCTCGGGGCAACACCCGGCGACTCCGGCGTGGACCTGCCCGCCCCATCGATTCCAGCTACCGCAGCCCCCTCGCGCAAGCGAATTTGGCTGGGACTGTCCCCCAGCTCCGTCCCCTCAGGCGTTGGCGCCAAACCGGCGGCCTCGCGAGCGAGCCTCGGACCGGGCGCCCATGCCCCCTCCCTTGCCCGGGCCCGGTCCGCGTGCCTCGACACGGGCGCCGGCGACACCCAGTGATGCGATGCCTGCTCCTCGCCCTCCGGTGATGAGGGGGTTCGGGACTTGGCCAGAATGGAGGGATCTCGAGCGGGGCTCCGTCGGATGGGAGCTGTTTCGGACAATGGCGTCGAATCCTGAGGCGGGGTCCCTGGCGGGGCTTCGCTTCGACCCTTATCGCAAATTCGGGCTTCTGCTCTGGGAAGAGCAACGGATGGTGGATTGGGGGCTGTGGCCTCAGGAGGCTCGCCTGGAATCTGCGGGAGATTGTTACCAGCGATGGCGCGAGCTGCTAGGCGAGGAGGAAATTGCACGGCACTCGGGGCGGGCGTATCCGACAACCAGCCGAGCGAGCCGGCGAGGCTGAAAGATAGCTAAGCCCAGATGCAAGTTAAAGGGCAGTTCCTCACCATGTGGCGCATGCATATTCAAGGGATTCAAGCCAGGGGTATGAGTTGATCCGGGAGGGCGACCACAGACCCTCGAAATTGTCGATGGAAAGCTTGATGGGGGCCATCCGAGCGAGCCGGATCCCTGAGAGGGTCTCGGATGGGATGATGATAGGGGCACTAGGGGTCCTTATCTCGGGGATCCCTGGCCAGTGTGGGCTAGTGAGACATGGAAATGGAAGCTTAATTTCCCCTCCCATCCTTCGCGCGTGTGTTTCTGCAGGAGGGAATGCACTAGCATCCACCTGGACATCATCCGATGCGCAGGATCCCAGGAATATTCACGGCCATGCGTCTCATTCAGGCAATCCCCTCCGAGGGGGAGCCACGGCTGATCTCGTGTCCGAGGCTGCAAACCGGGTCGGTACAAAGGATCACACTGGATAGTATTCCATGAATGACTGGTGGTGTGAACCTGATCACAAAGCGACTTGTAAGTGAATTGTTGACGGCGTGCCTCTGAAGGCAGCCAGGAATTCAGACAGACCTTGGGTCACAAGAGAAACCAAGTCACTAGACATGATTAACTCTTTAATGCTATATCACCATCGTCGAGCGCTGAGGGCGTAAGTGGCCCGGACCTACCTTGATGTGCAGCCCCCATGCTCCAAGTGGCCGTTCTAGCGAAGAGTGCCTCCATCGCTGGGTTAGTGAAAGAGCCGACCGGAGGAGCCGGTTCCATGGTTAGTAAGACATTGATGAAAACATTGTAAAGTGTATAAAGTCTATTATATTTTCTGTCATCAGAGCATTATTGAACGAGGACCCTCTCGGAGACTATTGCCCAAAAACCGCCTTCTGTTCCGGGACCAGCGTGATCATCTTCCCGGTTTCCACGGCCGAGCGTAGGTTGTTCAACACCAACAGCTCCATCTCGCGTTGCGTTTCATATGTCATGGTGCCAATGTGTGGTAACAGCATCACCCGGGGGTTGTCTACCAGCGCGGGCTCGATCGCGGGCTCGGTTTCGTAAACGTCCAGACCGGCCGACAAAACCTAATGGCATTAGCCCTGGTTCGCTGGCTGGGAGAGAACCACTTACCTTGCCCGACTCCAGTGCGGCGACCAGCGCCTTCTCGTCGATCAACGCCCCGCGAGCCGTGTTGACGATCACCACCCCGTCCTTCATCTTTTCGAACTCCTTCGCCCCGATGATATGGCGGGTAGACTCGTTCAGGGCCAGATTCAGACTCAAGACGTCTGCGTTGGCGAGCAGCTCGTCGAACGAGACGTATTCGGCGCCAGCCTCGAGCTCAGCGGAGAGGCGAGAGCGGTTGTGGTATTGGATCTTCATGCCGAATGCGCGTGCGCGGTGGGCCATTTCCTGCCGCCAGTGTCAGTGGTTATTCAACTCGATTGGCGTCCGTGGTCCTTACGCGACCAATTCCCCCCATACCAAGAATGCCGAGCACCTTCCCCTGAGGATCCCGACCGAGAGTGGAGTTTCCAAGCCATTGTCCTGTGCCACCGTTACTTGGGCTGCGGTCAGAGCTGGGAGGGGAGACACTTACCGGCGCGGAGGGAAGAGAGCGGGACGTACGCCTGTCGCAAAGCGCCAATCATCAGAAAGATGGCCACATCGGCGGTGGCATTGTTGACGGCGACGGGGGTGCTGGAGACGGCGATACCTGGAAGGGTTAACTCAGACTGCTATGATGCGAGTGTCAGTCATCCGTACCCTTCTCCGTGCATGCCGCGATATCGATGTTATCATAGCCTGCGCCGTTGTGACAGATGTACTTGAGAGATGGCGGCAGGACGGCGAGCAACTCGGCATCGAATGGACCAGTGAACTGGCAGAGAAATGAATCAGCCCGGCGCGATGACATTGGCTGGAGACCTTCGCGGCTTACCTTGGTGGAGGCATTAGAGCGATAGAGGGCGACGACATCATCGTACTGGCCGTCGCGACAATTGCGGAGGAAATCTTCGCGGTTTCCGGAGGGGAATTCCTAGCAAGCGACCGTTCCCGATCAGATGAGGGTGCCATGGCGATGCCGAGACAGGCGAGGGGGGGAGGAGACTTACCTTCAAGGTCAGGATGGCGGAGAGATCGGACCATTCCTTGGTGGAATGGGCGATGGACCCGATCAGCAAGGCGGCGGGCATGATGTGATGTCAGAGGGCGGCGGGGTGAGTGAAAATGAAGCAGAAGAGATGCAAGAGAGGAGAAAGAATGCAGAAGAAGATGAGATGGCAGGAGATGCTCCGACGAGGCATTATATATCAATAGCCGAGGGGTCCACCATCCTGGCGTGGGGGGTTTTAGATATGACGTTTATCTACCTAGGCCCCGGCCACTAGTTAGCTGGTAGTAGTCCATCGTGGCTAGTACTGGGTGGCTCTTCATTCTATGGATAGCCATAAAATTGACCCTCCGGATTGATGAGAGTCATTGTGCGAGAGCGAGGGAGCGGATGAAGAAAAGAGAGGAAGGGAGTGAGAGAGCGAGCGAGGGAAGCAAGAGAAGCAACATAGAGGGGTGCCTGAGGCCCGAGGCTTGAGAACGGTCGGCTATTGACGCCGACCCCACCAGACACCAATAGCCGACGCGGAGAAAGGCCGGCTATTGCGCTTTTCCCCCCACGTCGCTTGTATATCTATTCTTCGATTCGTGACTCTTTCCACTCGTCTTCACTCTCTCCAGCCCATCTCTCACTTATCCCCCCCCCTTCCTTTTCTCGTCTTCCTTCATCATGACCATCACAACCTCAGCAGCCACCACCCAAGCCCTCGTCCTGCACGGCGCCAAAGACCTCCGTGTGGTAAGTTGCCCCGCTGCTTCCCCGCACGACCGGCCATCGCGATTCACCATTGCTAACTTCGTCCTTCCACCCCCCAGGAATCCCGGCCTCTTTCCCCTCCAACCGGCAACGAAGTCCAAGTCGGCGTTCGTGCCACCGGTATTTGTGGCTCCGACCTCCATTACTACACCCACGGCCGCAATGGCGACTTTGTCGTCCGGGAACCCATGTGCCTGGGCCACGAATCCGCCGGCATCGTCACCGCGGTCGGACCCGAGGTCACCACCCACGCCGTGGGCGATCGCGTCGCTCTGGAAGTCGGCTTTGCCTGTCGCCAATGCGCCCTCTGCCAGCAGGGCCGCTACAACATCTGCCCCCAGATGAAGTTCCGCAGCAGCGCCAAGCTGTTCCCCCACCTGGACGGAACCCTCATGGAGCTCACCAACCACCCTGCCGACTTGTGCCACAAGCTCCCCGAGTCCGTCTCCTACGCTGGAGGCGCCCTGATTGAGCCCCTGGCCGTCTGTCTCCACGCGATTCGGCGCTCCCGGCCCCCAACCCAGGAGGAGGTGAGTCTGGCGCAGTCGCTGGGCGAACCCACCTCGGCCTTGATCTTCGGGGCGGGTGCCATTGGCCTGCTCCTGGCGTCCGCCCTGGCCACATCCCAGAACTTCTCCTCCATCGTGGTGGCCGACATCGATGCCTCCCGACTGGCCATTGCCGACTCGCTGGGTCTGGGCCTGAAGACGACCCTGATCCCCAAGGCCGATCCGGCCAACCCGCCGCCATCCCGCGAGGCCCCGCACGCAGAACAGACGGCATGGGCGCTGCAGAACGCGCAGCGCGTAGCAGCAACCCTGAAGGAGTCGGCCGGTCTGACATCGGGCTTTGCGCGGGTCTATGACTGCACGGGGGTGCCGGCCTGCGTGCAGGCGGGCATCTATGCAGCGGGAGCAGGAGCCGTGTTGGTACAGATCGGAATGGGCAACCCCATTCAGACGCTGCCGGTCGGGGCGGCGGCGCTACGGGAGGTGGACATCATCGGGGTGTTCCGCTACGACGGCTATGCGTATCCAGCGGCGATTGCCTTGATGGCCAGCGGGAAGCTGGAGCGAGTGGAGCAGTTGGTGGTGACGCACCGGGTGCCGCTGGCAGAGGGCGCGCGGGCCTTTTCTCTGGCAGGCCAGGGAGTCGACGAGGCCGGGCAGCCAGTGGTCAAGGTGGTGATTGAGAGCTGAGATCCCAGCCCTGACCCGGATGACGAGAACTTATGATGTTACGGAGTGTATAGTAGACAGCACACAATGCTCAATGAAACGATTGATTCCATTCCAATCCCACCCGCCCGTATATAGATATGGTACCCCTGTCGTATTTCTCACTACGTTGTACTTTGCACGGTCTCTGCAACCCCTCCCTCTCCCAACACCCGCACAACAGCCTCCCACATCCGGCGCCGATTCGCCACCTCCCTCCGCGTCTCCTTCGGCCGGCTCTTCTCGAGCAAGAGCCTCAGTGTACAGGAGCACCTCGGACGGCTTATATATCCTCTGTGGTTGTAGAAACCATGTCACGGGGTGGTGGTCATTATAGAACAGGGGAGATGGAATATAACACTTGCTCCTGATATCCTCCGCCACACAAAGAGACATCCCCTTGGAAACCCGGTCATCACCAGTAGTACGTTCGAACAGCTCTCACAGATGGATGGTCGATATGCTACACCCGAGCCATCTTTAATACCCGTCTACCAGGTGTAGGTGGTTAATGATGCGTCGGCCTTATTGAAGGCGTTATACGGCGAAAGCAGGACCAACAACTCAGTTCGAACCGGCTTGCGTGGATGTGATCCCGCTTGTTGAGCTACTGGGTGACTGCAACGACATAGGGCGATCACTGGACGGAGCAAGAACGAGACGGGGACTATCCGGATATTGTCTCGGAAATCTCCTGGGCTGCTACCTATCCTTCGGGAGGTACCGGCGGCATGTCTCAATGGTCATGGTGCGGGGAATGCCTTCGTTGTCTATTATGATGGAAGAAACGGAGGATAGCGAGACTAGGGCCCAGTTAGGCCCCAATCTTGTCTCTTCGGAGGCGAACCTAGTGACGGCCTAACAAAATTTACAGAGCGGGGAGAGACTTCCCAACTACGGGGTACCAGCTCGGTCATTTCATGTGCATTGATCGCTATGGAGCCATCAGCTCGCGCTAGATCCATCGTAGATTCGATCCATCTCATGTACATCGATCCCCCGTCGTCTTCTACTGGACGGCACTCTGGTTGCGGTAAAAGTCGCAGGCGTGCGGATGTTGCAGGCAGTACTTGGGGACCAGGGCCGTGGCCTGCACCCCGTTGGCCACCAGGTACTCGCGGAAGTTGAGGATGCGCTGCGTCATCAGCGTCGTGCGCTTGTGGCCCTGCTCGTCGCGATTGCCGGACCAGACCAGCTCGGCCAGCGCGGCGGCGCGCGGCCAGAAGTGACTCGAGACGGTCACGTCGTCCACCTGTTCCGACCATAATGGCGCGGCCGCCCCCACGATGTGCTGGGCCTGAGCCTCGGTCAGGTTCTGGGTGAAGTCGTAGTCGTAGATGCGCTGCCACGTCTTGTAGGGCGCGCACCACGAGCCCCCGGCACCACCGTAGTTGAAGTTGGGGGTGCTGGGGTCTGGGTTGCTCATGACATCGTAACGGGGGTCGTTGGTGACGAAGCCGCCGCCGATGCCACAGTCCAGGTACATGAAGTCGGCCGAGGAGACGATCACGTCGTAGCCCTGAGCGGTCAGCTTGTCGATGTACTCCAGGCCGTTGTTCCAGTTCTGCATGACGATGTTCTTGGGGACATCGTGCGCGTGCTCCGTCGACAGGACGATGTCCTCCCACATGACCAGGCGGCGCGAGGTGCTGTAGTTCTGGAAGATGGGGACGGCATGGTCCACCCAGTACTGGGCCAGGTCGTTGTAGGTGCGCGCGGGATCCTCGGCGAACCACTCGGTGACGTAGCGGCTGAAGTTGAAGCAGTTGGGCTGGATCTCGTCGGCGCCGACGTGGAACCAGTGGTCGGGGAAGATGTCGGACAGCTCGTTGTAGACGTCGCGCACGACAGTGTAGGTGCCGTTGTAGATGATGTCCATCTGGCCGGGCGGCGGCTCGACCGCGGTATGCAGGGCCCAGTCATCGTTGGACCACCACGAGTCGACGCAGGTCACCATGTCCGGGTCGACCTGCTTCCATCCGGCGGCGGAATGGCTGGGCATGTCGATCTCGGGGATGACGCGGATGCCGCGCGCGCGGGCATACGCCACGACGTTGCGCAGGTCGGCGTGCGAGAAGACCTCGCGCGACGAGTAGGCGTCACGGACCATCTCCGGGTAGGCGTCGATCTGCACCGGCCACGACTGGGTATCGTCCAGGTGCCAGTGCAGGACATTCAGCTTGGAGAGGGCCATGGCGTCTAGCTGCTCGTAGATCTTGGGCACGGAGATGAAGTTCCGACCGGTGTCGATCATGATGCCCCGGTAAGGGTACAGCGGTGCATCCTGGATCTTGACCGGCTGCTCGAGGATCAGACCCCCCTGGCCGTCGGAGATGATCAACTGCTGGAGCGTGGTGAAGGCATGGAGCGCCCCCCACACGGTGGGAGCCTGGATGATGACCGTGTTGGAGTCATCAGTCACCTCCAAAGTGTAGGACTCGTCGACGCCATGCTGCAGGTCCGCCGTGACATCGCTCACCGACACATCCACAAACTGGAGCGAGGGCAAGGCCCGCTTGGCCCGCCGGGCGACGCCGGACGAGGCGGCGGCCGTGGCCGTGGGGAAGGGCTGGAAGGAAGGAAACGGGGCTTCTGTCGCGGCGGGCACCCACTGCAGCGCCACAATGGTCTTCCAGGCGCGATCCCACGCATTGGCAAGGAGAAAATCCGGGGTATCCTGCGCGGTGCGGAGGGTGACGAAGCCGGCCAGATTCTTAGACCCGGAAGACGCCCAGGAGATATTGCGGGGGGCCGGCAAGGGGTTGACCTGGACGGCGGTGACCCGGGCCACGATCAGCGTGAGGCACACGGGCCAGAGGTGCGAGAGGAGCATGGTGGAATCCGGGTCCGAATCCCGTGAGGAGGAGAAGGATAAGGAGGGGGAGAAGGAAAAAGGTGGAGGAAGATAGAAGAGTCAAGGTGGATGGGATGGCGAGACGGCAGGAATTAAGAGTTGGGCGTGAAATTGGGGATAGGGATGAGGCCAGGCAGGGGCAGGGATGGGCGGTGGCTGGGCCAAAGGAAGGGGGGGCGGGGAATGCATGGGGGAATGTCCCTAGTATGCAGTTAGCTCATTGAATCTGACAGCGAAGAAAGAATATTACCTGTCACTTCCAAGTAATCTATTTTTGTTTACTCTGTAGATCAGTCGGGCATTATCGAACCACTCCGGAGGAGATACGATGGATCGACGGAGGTACCAACAGTCCACCACTATAGATAGATACTAGTGGCCGGGAGCGATAAGCATCGCATCTCCCCCCGAGGTTTAGGGCTTCCACCACCTCCGATGTACCACTTACTACTCCGTATATGTAGTCCCCCTTTCATTCCCCAAGTTGATCCACTGGTCTAACCGAGACAAAGGTTTGGACATGTTTCATCTTCCCGAAGTTGGGGAAACAGCCTGCCGTCGTGGTACTCGACATGAGAACGGTGGACAGACGGACAATCCTTCCCAGGTAGAATGGGATGTTGGATTTCTTGAGACCGATAGCGAAATCTCCCTGAAACATAGGATCCTGGAGGTCGTGTAACCATAAGACGGGTCCAGGGGCTTCCACTTTACAAGTATTGCTGACTAGGGAGGAATCGTCTTTAATAGTGGTTCCCGATAGCATTCCTCCGTTATATAGTATATCCCTTCAATCTACGGAGTATACAGTACTACCCTCGATGGCCTTGGTATACCTCGAGGGCGGGCTAAAGAAAGCGCCGGGTGCGGGGAAATGGCTTTGCCGGCCCTGGCCCGAACCCAACCGCCACGAAGGGGTCCAGCACTGCAATCTCCACTAGGCTGGATATCTAGAAACAATCTAGAAGGCCAGAAGACGAGAAGTCTACATGGCTAGAGAGGACAGACGTTCATGGGGGTCCGTGGCAATCGTTGCATGGTCCGAGGGGTCCGCCCCGGGATTAGGGCACGGAGCGGCCGACTCGTCGATCGACCGTGAGGATACAAAATCCATGCTCGAGACCTGCTACAAATCTACGAGTGCAGAGGATAGGACCTACTCACAGATACTACTCCATCTACGGAATCTAGACTTCTCCATCAATGGGTCTACTGTCTACTCCGGACTATGTAGCACGACAGGGAAGGACGATCGGGCCCCCGGGAAGAGGGGCTCGGCCCCACCGATCAGTCGGTTATCGGCGGGGGTCCCGATGACTCTTTCTCTCTCTCTCTCTCTCTCTCTCTCTCCCCCTCTCTCTCTCCCCCCCCCTCTCTCGTGTCTCTTCTTATCTCCCTCCCCCCTTGAACAACCTCCTGTCTCTCCCATTCGACCCCCCTTCTTGCCCCCATACAGTAACCCCCTACACTACACCCACCATGACGGCCCAGGAGCTCAGCCAAGAGCAGCTGGACAAGATATATGCCTTTGCCGTGGATCTGGGTCGCAAGGCCGGACAGCTCCTGCTGGAGAGTATCGAGAAGCGCATCGGCGACGGCGAGCATCAACTGTTCGAGGAGAAGGACAGCGCCGTCGACATCGTCACCCAGACCGATGAAGGTACGCTTCCGATCCCCTCCGCTGCGGCCTTTGTACGCCACTGATGCACGCCATCCCCCCCGCAGATGTCGAAGCGTTCATCAAGTCCGCCATCCAGAACGAATATCCCACCCACAAGTATGCCTCTGGGCCCCGGCAACGGCTCCCCTCCCATCACTCGCTGACCCCTTTGACCTCAGGTTCTTGGGCGAAGAATCCTACGCCAAAGGGCAGTCGCGCGACTACCTGATCGATGAGCACCCGACGTGGTGCATTGACCCCTTGGACGGTAACAGCCACGGCTCCCTTCATGACCCCATAAAGAAACCCACACTAACCCCCCGCCGTCTAGGAACGGTCAACTTCACCCATATCTTCCCCATGTTCTGCGTCTCCATCGGCTTCATCGTCAACCACCGCCCCGTGATCGGCGTCATCTATGCCCCCTTCCAAGATCAGCTCTTCTCGTCCTGTGTCAACCGGGGCGCCTGGTTGAACGAGAAGCGCCGGCTCCCCCTCATCCGCAACCCCTCCATCCCTCCCATGCCCGCCAATGCGCCGGGCAAGTGCATCCTGTCCTGTGAGTGGGGCAAGGACCGCCGGGACATCCCCGACGGCAACATGTACCGCAAGATCGAGAGTTTTGTCAACCTGGCGGCCGAGGTGGGCAGTCGCGGAGGCAAGGGCGGCATGGTGCACGGGGTGCGGAGTCTGGGGAGCGCCACGCTGGATCTGGCGTATACGGCCATGGGGTCGTTCGATATCTGGTGGGAGGGCGGTTGCTGGGAGTGGTGAGTTCGCGTGCTTTCGGGCGCCCTCAATCCGTTGGCTGACCAGAGGACAGGGATGTTGCGGCAGGAATTGCCATCCTGTTGGAGGCGGGCGGTCTGGTGACCACCGCCAATCCCCCCGACGATCCCGAGACCGCCCCCATCGAAGACGTGCGGCTGGGCAGTCGGCTCTACCTCGCTATCAGGCACGTTCACCCCCCCCCCCCCCCCCCCGTCCTTGGTGTTTCGCATAATGAGACATGGCTAACAGGAGCAGACCGGCCGGCCCGTCTGCGACCGAGACCGGCCGTCAATCGCAGGAGCGCACGGTGCGCGAGGTCTGGAAGCGGGTGCGACAGCTGGAATATACTCGACCGGGAGCATGAGCATCCATTCATACATAATTCATTCTACATATCTTGATAGAGCGAACGATGGCACTATATACAACAGCCCAGACCACGCATGTCACTCCGAGACACACGTCATGCCACCCCTCGGGCTCTCTCTATAAACCTTTTTTCTTTTGGTTGGTAACACAAGCAATGCTCCGGGTATGCTAGAGTCTATACAGGAATCATGAAAACATGTCGTCAGAGAAGGAACGAAGGGAAAGAACGAGCAAATCACAGGGTGGACTTCTGGCGGTCCGCCAGGTTCTTGGCCACGACCTCCTTCACCATGTCGAGCAGGCCGGGCACGGCCACCACATCGGTGCCCGTCCAGAGGCGAGCCTGCTCCAGCCCCTGCCAGAGCAGGGCCTCGGAGCCGACAATGACCTTCCAGCCCGCGGCCGAGGCCAACTCGGCGATCTCGGTCCAAATGACGGGGTGGTAGCACATCTCCAGGATGACGCCCTTGGGCTTCTGGTCATCGGCCGTGCCCAGCAGGGCCTGCAGGACCTGGCGCGCCCGGATCTCCTCCTCCGTCTTAGGGGGGTAGTTGGGGATACCCGACACAATGGCGGCGGGGGTCTCGAGGGTCTGGGCCACGGCGGGATCGGTGACAGGGATGAGGGGAGCCTTGTCGGCGCTGGGGTTGCGCTGGTTATCCTCGTCGAGGATGGCCTGGACCTCGGCGCTGTCCCGGTTGACAATGTAGATCTTGCTGGCACCCAGCCACTTGCGCATAACGTAGATAGCGGAGCGCGCGGTGCCACCGCCACCGACCACGAGAGCGGGCTTGCCGTGGAAGTCAGCCGGGTTGGGGCTGTTCTGGACCAGGGCCTCCCGGATACCGATGCAGTCGGTGTTGGTACCGACGTAGGCGCGGGAGCCGTCGGGGTTGGGGCGGATGAAGATGGTGTTGCAGGCGCCGGCCTGGCGGGCGTCCTCGGTGAGGTCGTCGAGATGCGGCATGATAGCGACCTTCCAGGGCATGGTCACGGACGAGCCGACGAACTTGGGGTTGGCGCGGATGGAGGCCAGGAACTTGTCGATGGGCGGGGAGCGAGTGTAGGGCGGGGGATAGGTGGCGGAGGTGCCGCAGACGCTGGACAGGGGGATCTGGATCCAATTGCGACCCAGGTGGGCGTAGATGGCCGCATGGAGGGGCGGCGACAGCGAATTCAGCAGCGGGTGGCCGTACAGGTAGGCGACGCCATCGCGGTCGGCGGGGATGGTGATGGGTTCTTCGGGTTGCTCGGAGGTCATGGTGGGCGAGCGTGAACTGGGACGAAGAAGGGCAACTGAATTGAATTGAAAAGAAAAAGTTGGAAACCACAATCACTGCTGGGGGAAAAGGAGGGACGGACGGAGGGGTGCCAGGGAATGTTTTAAGGCGGCGCGGCCTGGCGATGGCGGAGAAACGTTTGGTTCTGGCTGGGTGGGTGGGGGAGGGAGGGAGAACGCTTTTCCCGCCCCGCCGCCCGCGCCCTCGGGTCTCGGCCGGCCAAGTGCTTTCCCCAGCCACCTGCCTACGACTCTACGAAGACTACTCCGTATTATGCTCCTCCTGACGACTCCCCCGGGGGGTCTACCGTTGCAAAAATCCGGAGGACTGCGGATCGGGCCCGTCGGCAGTCCGTGCACCTCCACAGTTCCTCGGCAACTACTGGATACGAGCTAGATATGTAGACCATCGTGGATCAAGAACAGACATCTGATTGCAAGGGTAGAAACGGGGTATTATTCAGGAATGGAGAGGGTGTCACCGGGCGCTGTACGGCTCGGCCATCCACCCGGACAGTTTAGTTCAAGCAAAAGACAAATGTGGCTTTTCGCCCCTGCACGTGCGTCAGGTACGCATCCAGCTCATGGTCCTCGTCGATGACGAACGGGATCTCATGGCCTTTCTCGTCGCGGTCTAGCCCTTCGATCTTCGTCACCACGGCGTCTGGGTACTTCGCGCCGACGATCTGCTGCAATTCCGCCACCGACCGTGCTGTCAGCTTGTCCACCCACGTCTTCGAGTCCCCGTGCAGCGGGCTCTGGGGGTGGATGCGCAGATACACGGGCACGTGCAGCATCGATGGTCCGAGCATCGGATCCACATATCCGAAGCCGTTGGTCGCGTCGTGCTGGGCGGCCGTGGCAAAGGAGGGGTCATTGGCCGCCTGCAGCAGAGAGGGATCGATCTGCATGTCACTGAGATCACTGGTGGCACTGGCCAGCGCCTGCGAGGCCAGGGTGCTAATCCCGTTGGTGATGCCGCTGCCATACGTGCTGCTGACTGGGGGACTTTCCGCGTCGGAATGGGGGGCCTGCGAGTGAGGGACGGACGGCTTGCGCGAGGGGTCCCTCTTGGTCTGGTCATCTCGCAGTCGCTTCATGACATCGCGGCACAGAACCTCGAGCGCTTTGACTTTCGCCGTGTGCTCCGGGTCCGCCGCGCCAGGGGCGAGGATCTGGCGAAGCAGCTCCGAGTTTTGAATCCACTGGTCCTTCAGTTCCTTCCAATGCTCATCGCCCGCTTCCAACTTGCTGGTAAAGTGATCCGCCTTGAGGGTGTTGTAGAATGCGTTGCGTATCTGCCGGCTTTCCTCTGGGTTGATGCCGAGGACATTCTTGGCCTCGGCGATGGTCATGCGCCGCTCCAAGGTCCTCATCCTCTTCGTCACATCCGTGCACAACACGTCCAGCGCCAGGGTCTTCGCATCCAGCTGATTCGGGTCATGCCAGAACACCTGCTGGAGGTGCCGCGATCCCTCGATCAGCTTGTTCTTGGCGTCCTGCCACCGCTCCGGCCCCGCAACGGTTTTCTTGATGAAGCCGGCTTCTTCACAGATCCGTTGAAACTGATCCCGCACTTGGCGATACATCACATTGTCGAGACCGAGGTACTTCTTGCTTTCATCGATGGTCGTCTCCGAGGGGAAGCGCGGAGGGCCCGGAGGATCAGCGGGCAGCCCAGCCCACCCGCGAGTCCGGCGGCGACGTTTCCGACTGGCCCAACGCTCTTCACTTTCTGCCTTTAGTCGCTCCAGTCGCTCTTTGCGCTTGGCAAGGACTTCGGGGGGCAGCACAGGAGAGGCCGATGTAGTCGCGGTGGTCGCGGCGGTGGTGGCCGGGAGGGTTTCGGTCTCGTCAAAGGGGGTTTCAGTCTTGTAGACTTCCTGCTGTAGCGCGAGAAGCCCCTCATCTTCCGGTATTTGGACGGGGGCTTGGAGTCGCGATTGTGACTTCATGCCGTTGGGGACACGAAGTAACCAGCGGTTCTTGGCACGCACGCGCATCAGCTCCCTCTCCTTGATCTCGAATCCCTCCTCATTCAGGATCCGCAGCATGTCTCGCTGGCTGGTATTCTTCTCCCAAAGCTGCTTCACCCGAGCCACCAGCTCGACATTCTTATGCGCTGGGTTCTGTTTCGACGGAAAGCCCCATCGTTTGAATTGGGTTTGGAACGCGCGTTTACTGTAGGCCATTGCGCAAAAGGTTAGCAGGAGACATGCATGATTGGGGCAGAGGCATGAGAGATCAGCGCAGGGTAAATGCTGTGCGCATGAAGGGTAGGGGGTAAGGGGGCCACCGACCTGGGGGCGAACTGGTAGACATTCTTCATGTACTCCATGATCTCCTCCAGGGCCTTCTTGTCCTTGATGTACATCTGATAGCAGATCTCCCGCTTGCCATCCCAGTCGTAGACCATGATGGGGGACGGGCTGGGCGACACTCCCCCCGACGCGGAGGTAGTGCCTGAGGGCGCGGAACCCAGCCAAGCTGGCGGGGGGTGGTGACGACCCGACGAGGGAGTCCGGGGGGTGGAAGGCAAAAGGCGAGGTGGGTGGAGCTCTGGGGGATCGAGGCTGGATAGATCGCCTGGCAGAACACTGGTTGTCGCTGCTGTGCCCCGTAGTCGAGCCAGGGAGTCGCCGTGTCGTCTGGCCCGCCGTAGTCGCTTTGCCCGCTGAGGGGAGCCACCCGGTCATCTTGCGCAGATTTATCGGATCACGTGACATACACCATCACATGACTATGGCACGTGAACGATAGGGCATACAGGCATCTACTGGCACATAGTAGTAAAAGGACGATCAAGTGGGTAACGATGTCGGAACCCGCCGACCGCGCAGCGTCTTCGTTGTCATAAATCAACCGGTCTATCTAGTGCGCTTCATCGCCCGCGATATGAATCTGGCTCGTGTGATAACCATGCAAAACCTCCCCAACCGCAACGCCCGCAGCAAATGCAACCCAAGCATAGGTAACCATAACCGAGAAGACCCCAGCAGAGAAAGGCCCCCGCTAGGAGCTTGAACAGAAAGTTTAACCATGCAAGATGACGAACAAAAAGAAAAATCAGGCAAAATCCAGATCATCGTCTGGTTGTGTCACGTACTGATACTTCGCCAGGATCTGATCGTGGTGGACATCGTGTGCTTGGGAATGCACCAGCCCCAGCGCTTCTTGATGCAGGGCCGCGGACGGATCGGGGTCGGTGGGATCGTCAACCATCATATGGTAATCGTGAGCTGGATGATGTCGGACGTCATTATCAAAGTTGGCCGCGTGCAAGCTGTGCGCAGCATGGGCATATGCATCAGTCATCGCGTCATGTGGATGAAACCGGGGAAGCTGTTGATGCAGTTCCATGATTTGTGGATCCAGGGGCAACCCAGTGTAATCGGTGATCGAGTCTACTGGCCCTTGCACCACCGAGTGGGCGGTCACAAACGGGTTTGGGTTATGGTGCGCATCCATGGCCGCGTGGTCCATCAGCGAATGCGCCCCCATGGGGTCGCCAGGGCCCAGGTCGGCATCGTCCTCGGCGAGATCGGCCTCCTGCCCCAATTCATCCTCTTCATCCTCGGGCGTGTCCTCGTGCATGACACCATTGATGATGGGGGGCTTGAGGGTCTCTTTACACTGAGGGCAGTCCCGGATCACTCGACTGACCGTCTCCTTGATCCGCACCCAATGGTACTTGACGGCAATGGCGGCTGTCGTCTTGTTGATGCCCGCGTGCTGCTGCATGTGCATCTGCCGGGCAATATCATACTGCTGCTGCGGGTCCGATACGACCTCCTTGTCTTTCAGCATCAACTTCTCGCCGTCCCCCTCTTTACCTCCGACCAGCTTGTAGTGGGTGGCTGCGCTCCGAAGCCGACTCTTCTCGGCCCGATCCGCTCCTCTAGGATATTTGGAGTGCTTGAGATAATACCGGATCTTGTCGAACCGATCCTGCGTGACGGAATCTTCCCCTTCGGGGCCTAGATCTCGACCGTAGATGATGGCATCTACGTACTGTCCCGGGTTGGAGATGAGTCTACCCCCTCCCGGCACCCTGCCGATCCGCTTGAAGCCCAGAGCATCCCACAGACGGCAGGACGCCACGTTACTCTCATAGACCAGGTTAAAGACAGCATATGTGTACCCCTGTTGGATGTCAGACCCTGCGACATTTGCGACGGGGAACCGCAACCCTCGAATCCAGGAAGGAGAGGCCAAGAAGGGAGTTATCTGTTCGGCCTACTGGCATCGCGTATACTGACCATCTTGGGAGCCCACTCGAGATATCCCTCCCCCATCAGTCGACCTACACCCTTGTTGCGAGCAGCATCGGTGACCAGGAACATGCCGTTACAGACATGACTACTACGACCGGGATAGTTGGGTCGGATATTGAAGCTGCCCAGGCAGATCTTGGACCAGTTGGCCCGGCCCCTGCCCAGGGCCTGGAGCTCGTGCACGCTCTTGATATCCCCCAGGAGCATGATGGCACCGAAATTGGAAAACCAATACGACCCGAATTGCTCCAGTGGAATGGGATCAATCATGGCATAGGTGTCACCGCCCTCGATCTCCTTGTTCAATTGATCGGACAGGTAGGCCAACAGGGATCGCGGTACCGCATCCGCTGAGGTGAAGGGAACCAATGTCGCGACCGTGACGCGATCCCTGAGCGTGACCTGGCGCGGCACAATGTCGGGAGGCAACTCCTTACTAGTGGGAATCACGGTGGTCATTAAATCCCCATGGACGGCAGGCATGATGACGCCGTGGGCCGGATGCGCCGGTCACGAGACTGCGTGTCCGTGTTAGTTGCACGCATGGTCCATGGGGAATCCCTCGGCATGAGCAGATATGCTCAGCATATTTCGAGAGAACATGACAGGCTTACTCTAGTGCCTTTCAGCCTAGAGGTACTTTGACGGGGGTGGGAAGGGAAAGGGGAGGGGGAAAACAAGGGAACCGTGGTGGGATACCCAAACGGGTAAAAACGGGGCAGCACGCCGAGGCAGAGGGGGGATGGCCGGAACAAGGGAACCGGGGGGAGAGAATAAGACTGACAGCTTGGGGGGTTGGTTTTCTTAGTGTTTTTTGATTGCTCCAGTGCTGGTCGAGAGCACTTCGAGGACCGCCGAGTATTCTCGAGTCCGGAATGATGTGAACGCAGACGAGAAATCGTCGTCCCGCTGTCTAGGCTGACTCAGCAGCCCGGGTGTTCCTTCTATCGCATCATCCTTGTTCCGGCGGTGTTTAGATTCTGCCGGCCGTAATAGGCGGCGAGAGACTGCGCCGTGGGGTCACGCCATCGGGACATTAGTAATCCCCCCCCAATGCCCCTCCTGCTTCCTCCTCCGCGTCCCGCCGCAATCGAAGATCTTCATCCCAAGATCTTGCGACCTCTTCAGATCTCTCCCACCCTTTCAATTCTACCCTTCTCTCCAGGGTCTCGATCCTCACAGTGCGGCGGGTGTCATCCGGAACCGTGCGCATATTCTCCCTCACAATGGCCGACTCCGTCTACTCAAATTACCCTCCCCACCTGAACCCCGCACAGAAGGAGTTCCTCGTCCGGACCATCAAGGATTGGACCGTCCAACATGGACTGATGATCCGTCCCGCTTCGACGTTCATCTCGAAGGAGTCGGACCCTCAAGGCGTGGTGGCCACCAGCGCGCCTGTCACCCTGTTCCCCAGCCCTTTCCCCAAGTCTTGCTTCGAAGAGGCGCAGGCCCTCCAGACGGTCTACAACCGGCTCTACGCGGCCATCACCTGTGATGAACAATGGATTGGGGACATCATGGAAGAGTAAGGAGGCACCTCCGATTTGTCATCTTGCTCAGAGCTCCATGGAGAGAAATCTGTTGCGCCCCGCTGCAGTTCTTTCGGTTGTCGGCCTCCACATGAAGGTGCTAAATCTTTCTTGATTGTAGTCTCATCGACGTGGACGACTTCATCTCACACCTGTGGAAAGTTCACCTCGCAGTGAAGGAGGAAGGATATGCTCAATCACTCTCCCTTGGCCTCTACCGTTCAGACTACATGCCCCACGTCCCGTCGGCCTCGACTCCCCCGTCCTTGAAGCAGGTCGAGTTTAACACCATTTCCTCCTCCTTTGGCGGGCTGTCTTGCCTTGTCGCCTCCCTTCACACCGAGCTTCTCAACTCGCCACCAGGCCACCCCATTGCGTATCCGTCGCACCCGTTGCTCGATTCGAACCAGCCCCCCGAGAACACTTCGGTGGAGACCCTGTCCGCAGGCTTAGCTGCAGCACACACAGCCTATGGGGCATCGAAGTCATCCCCCGCCCTTCCTACCTGCATCCTCTTTGTCGTCCAGGAAAACGAAAGAAACGTGTTCGATCAATTGGCTCTCTCGAGACAGCTAACAAAGGTTCACAAGGTGCCTGTCTTCCGCCTGCTCAGCTCCGAGGTCTTCGATCACACGCACATTCCGGTCTCGAATCCTTCCCGGCCCCTTATATACCGCCCCCCTCACGCCGACGGCGTGGAATTCGAGGTCACGACGGTATACCTCCGCTGCTTCTATACCCCGACAGACTACAAATCCGAACGGGACTGGGAGGCTCGCACGCACCTGGAGCGCTCCGCGGCCATCAAATGCCCCACCGTTTTAAACCAGCTTGCGGGATGTAAAGTGGTGCAGCAGGTGCTCGCGGAAGACAACGGCCCGGATCATCTTGCCAAGTTCCTTGCTGGGACGGACCCAACCACGATCGCGAGACTACGGGCGACCTTCGCCCCACAACATGACCTTTCGTCGAGTGGTCGTGGTCGGGAGCTTGCCCTGAATCCCGCGACCGCCGCGAATCATGTTCTCAAGCCCCAGCGTGAAGGTGGCGGCAACAACATCTACAAGGAGGCCATTCCCGAGTTCCTGCGATCCCTCCCAGAGACCGAATGGAAGCGGTGGATCCTGATGGAGCTGATCCAGCCACCGGCCGAGGCCCAGAACGTGGCTTTGCGACCGGACGGCGAGGTGCTTAGTGGCCATGTCATCGGAGAACTGGGCATCTATGGAACGATCCTCTGGGACCAAGCGGGAGGCAAGGTCTTGCACAACGAACAGGGCGGCTGGCTCATGCGGACCAAGGCCAAGGACGTGAATGAGGGCGGCGTCGCCACTGGATTTTCCAGCTTAGACAGTGTGGTTCTCTACTAGGATCTTGTATGGTGCATGCATATATCGTCCGGTTAGAGCACGTTTATAGATTATAGAAAAATATCGAATCACTTCCCACAGTCCAAGCAGTGAAATGTGCGTATCCAGCACGAATGGAGGACCTGCAATAGAATAAATACCAAACGGCTAGACCCGGCTTCCGCTCATCGGATCATCATACCCTTCTGGTCCTCCAACATCTGTCAACAGAAACAGTAAGATACAACAATGGCAGTTCCAGCACCAGTGGAGTACGGAGAACCCTTTTTTACAATTGTTATCTCGATAACAAGTCTGCAGTTGCACCTGTATAGTACCACATATCAGGGCCTCCCCGAAGGGCAATACTCCAGCCTCTCCTAGTATGTATTCCCAACCGACGACTCTCAGTCATCCACTAGATAAATGGCAACTTCGTTGTGATGTTATTTATACGACTTCCTCCTTGACTTCTTCAGCCCGGATCCAATGACCACTTTTCCCACCCTTTTTCTCCAACAATTGAACCCCACCAATCACCATCCCCTTATCCACCGCCTTCAACATATCATACACGGTCAACGCCGCCCCCATGGTCGCTGTCATGGCTTCCATTTCGACGCCGGTACGGCCCAGACAGCTCACTGTAGCGAGGACGCGCATGGCCCCGTGTTTTCCCGTCGTTGATTGCCCGGGGGCAGAGGATGAGGATGAGGATGGCGGGTCAATCAGGGTCACGTCGACCTCCACCCCCGTCAGGCCGATACCCGGGTGACAGAGGGGGATGAGATCGGGGGTCTTTTTAGCGGCCATGATGCCGGCGATGCGAGCCACGCTGAAGACGTCGCCTTTCTTGGTCCGGCCTTTTCGGAGAAGGGCCCATGGACGGGGGTTGGAGAATTGGACGAGACAGGTTGCGGTGGCGAGGCGGTTGGTGATGGCCTTTTCGTCGATTTTGGTCATGTGCACGTTCTGCGAGGCATTGAGGTGGGGAAGGTCAGGGTCGGAGGCGGTGGAGAGGGAGACGGGTTTTGTGTTGTTGTTCTCGTTGCTATGTTGCTCGGTGGAGTTGGGGGCTGGTGGACTGCTTGGACGCAAACTATGATAATGACTGGCTTGCATGGATGTCGGACCGTGGCCAGCGAACAAGTGGGTGGGAAGTCCAAGCCAGGGACGTTGGCTGGAGTTCAGTGTAGTTTGATTGGAACGATGCGTCGCTCTTAGCGAGCTCTGCAATACTGGATTATCTAAATCGCGTCTATCAGCATGGCTCACTGAAAATCATAACATAGCATCCAATTCTAGAAATGATACATAGAAGTGGCAGAAAGCCATCCTGATGGTGTCTCGAGGACAACCATCGGGTACATGCCAAAGTCATTAATCGTAGCCAATCGCCTGTTATGATGGGGAAATGCCAAAACCGTAACGGGGCTGCGCTTACCCACCAATAAGTATCATGGGCCGGTTTTTCATGTCCTTGAGCTCTCCCATGCCCGCATGCTTCGCTTTCTTCCTTTTGACTGCCATTCCAATGATGTCCAGGAGTTCCTGCTCTCGTTCGTGGACTTGGCCTCCTTCCCCACGGGACAGGCCCGCTGCTTCAAGCTCTTTCATGGTGGCCTCACTGATCGGTTCTCCGTTGTTCTCCTTCCGGAGGATGTCTCGCAGGGACACCTCGGCGTTGCCAAACAAGCATACCTTGAGATTGCCATCACATGTGATTCGCAGACGGTTGCAGGTGCCACAGAAGTTATGCGTCATGCTGGTGATAAACCCGATTTGGCCCTGGAAGCCTGGTACTTGGTAGGTCTTGCTAGTGTTGTTCTTGTGGTCGGGGACTTTCTGAAGCTCCGGGTACTTTTCCCGGATAGCAGCCAGCATTTCCTGATAAGAGACCATCTTCCCTTGGCTCCATTTGTTACCGTCGAACGGCATATATTCGATGAAGCGCACCTCGATGGGGTTGTCGCGCCCCAGCTCAATGAAGGGGACGATCTCCCGGTCATTGATCCCCCGCATCACCACGCAGTTGATTTTCAGCTTAATCCCAGCCCCCGCCTTGTTCAATTCCAAGATCCGGTCGATGCTTCGCATCACAGCATCGAAACCCTTCCGTCTCGTCATGATTTGAAACTGGAAGGGATCCAACGTGTCCAGACTCAGGTTGATCCCGGTCAGGCCCGCATCAACCATGGCGTCCAGTTTGCGGTGCAGCGAAATCCCGTTGGTGGTCAGACACAACTCGCGCAGACCGTCGCGCCGCAGCTCCCCGATGGACTGCATCAAGGGCACGATATCTTTGCGAACCGTTGGCTCCCCACCGGTCAGACGGATCTTGGTGACGCCCTGCGACACGAACAGCGACGATAGATAGACGATCTCCGGAGACGTGAGGAGACGGGCCGGTGGGGATAGTTGGATGCCTTCCTCGGGCATGCAATAGAGACACCGGAGGTTACAGCGTTCAGTGACGCTGATGCGGAGGTAGTCATGCTGGCGGTTGAATGTATCGGTCAGGAAATCGGAGAAGGGCTTGGCCGACTTGAGGGCGGACCACCGTGGAGGTAGGGGCTTGTAGGACGACGGAGACTCTGGGTCGGGGAGGAAGGTGGCCGTGGCTATTGAGTTGGTGTTGTGCTTGCGTGTGTGCACCGTGAGCAGCTGGCCGGTCGCGGCAGTGCGGGGAGAGCGCAGGGATGAGAGCAGGGGCGCGATTCCCCGCCGGCGCAACAGGAGTTCAGTCATGGCGAACAGCGAGACTGAGGAGGAGCATGGGCGGGGGCATTCCCACGTCGAGGGGCGGCATGAAGATGAGAGGAATCACAGAATGAATCTTGATGGAGGGGTGATGGTATATAGATAGATGGATGGTGGCGGTTGGTAGCTTTGATTACTACTCGCGACATGGTGGAGAGGTTTCTTATCAACGCGGTCACGGGGATTCGCTGGGATTCGCTGAGATTACTTGTCGGGGGTGGCCGATGCCCGGCCCAGTCACCTGATAAAACACGCCAGGGACCCTGACTGGACGTCTACTATCGACAGTTTCGGTAAGTCCCCTCTCTCAACCAGACAGAACAAGTACCACCCAAGTACAGGGTACGGCCTTCTGCAATGAATCCCTAGCAGTTCACTGACTCCGTCCTCTCGCAGCCTGGAGCCTATGGACTGCACCGCTTGGATGTCCTGCGACCCTGTGTCGCGTACAGTAAGGGATCGCTGACTCGAAAACCACCTACTATGGTACGGTGCGTAAGATCGTGAGCTATATCAGTGCATATCAGTGCAGCTTCGAGTTCTGCCAGTCCCTTAACATCACCAGCTGGCTGCTCTTTGCCCGTAGCCGCGGAATATCCTCATATTATCTATGATTCTACGGAGTAGAAGAAAGCGGTATGTAGTATCTATTGGTAACACAGTAGCCACGAGTGGACCAATTGATCCCGCTAACGGTCTTTTCGCACCACCAAGGGTGAAGCTCCCACGGGACCACTCGATTGGCTGTCGCACTGGCTCCGCGGACATCCTGCTGCTCGTGTTGCCCACTGCCAACACAGAGATTGTCATGCAGCACGGGAAAAGCGGGACAACGCAAAACGAGGGCCCAAGAAGCACGAGGCAACCCTCTGTGGGAGCACCAAGAGGGCGGACACCATGTAAACGCTTGTCGTCGTTCCACTAAGTCAATGATAGTTGCTGGATCCTACGGGGCCGAGGAGATATATCTACTCCGGACCTGGGAGTTGTTGGGGCATGCCAGGCGAAAAGAGGCAAACGCGCGCAGCACGTGACGGCGTTAGTTGCCGAGCTCTCAACAAGGGGGCGCGAAGGCTGGGCCGCCGGATGAACGGCCCCCTGCCACCCTGACAGCGGCTTACCGGATGCATCGCCATCCTGGTCAGACGAGCAATCTATGTAGTCGGATGTAGTATCTACGACGGGCCTGGATGCCAATCTGCCAATCTGCCAATCTAGGGGCAGATCATGCGAGAAGAATCATGACCGACGGCGCCTTCGGGTCTCCGGTGAATCCATCACGTGGGGGGGGAGTTTGCACCGTTTGCAGGGCTGGGGTGGCATTGCCGAAGACAAATCCCCCCAGGATTGCCGGCGGGGAGAAAGAAAGGGAGAGCAGCGTCCTCGTCAGCACAGAAGACAGAGATAGAATCCCCAGATTCCCACAGCCCGTTCAACAATCCCATCCCCAAAGTTCCTCAGTAGCAGCAATCATGGCGACCACCACTGGCACAGGTACGTGAAGCACTCCCTCAACAGCCGCACCCTTCTTGGCGTGTCTGGATAGATTCGCAAAGCGGCGGCGGCCCACAGATTTTCCCTTCTTCCCACCTCAACCCTCTGCCACCGTGAACTGTGAACCGCATCAGATCTCTGCCTCACTGTTCCTGTACCACCTGTGATATCTTCACTTGGTTCTTCACAGGCTTAGCACTGGAAGATAAATCGTGATCGTTGCACTTGCCCGGTTGATTCCCGGTTCGCTTTGTGTCAGGGGCACGTTGACTCATTCCCCGTGTGGTTGCATTTTCCATTCTCCCACCAGGGCAGACTTTTCCCCCTCTTGCTTTCTCATTTCATACCCCCTTCCACACCATCATGAATTCCACAAGGCTTTTTTCGCACCTGCGATATTTGTTCCCCAGGTCGGGGATGCAGCACGGCCCTCGAGCCAGCGCTCCTCTTGCCTCCATCCGCCTCCCCCTTGCCCATCCAGCGACCGGCTCACTTCGACAAACCGCCCGCTTTTCGACCACCAAGCCACCGGCGTGTGCTAATCTTGCCTCTTCCTCTTCAGACCGATTCACCTCCGCCCTGCACCAGAACAAGGACTGGGCAGCGCAACTTGCCAAGGAGGATCCTTCCCTCTTTCCCACGCTCGCCAACGGCCAGCACCCCGAGATCCTCTGGATCGGCTGCTCCGATTCTCGATGCCCCGAAACCACCCTGCTTGGCCTCAAGCCGGGTGACGTATTCGTCCACCGCAACATCGCCAACATCATCCACGCAGGCGACCTCAGCTCCTCGGCCGTCATTGAGTATGCCGTCCGCTACCTGCGAGTCAAGCACGTAGTCCTCTCTGGTCATACCAGCTGCGGAGGCGTTGCCGCTGCCTTGGGTAACAAGCAGCTGGGCATCCTAGACCCCTGGCTGCTGCCCCTGCGTCAGCTCCGGTCGCAAAACCTGGCTCTGCTGAACTCGCTGTCGCCCGAGCAGGCCAACCTTAAGCTGGTCGAGTTGAACGTCCTGGAGGGCGTCAAGTTGTTGAAGGAGAAGAATGTAGTGTTGGAGGCTATTCAGGAGCGTGGGCTGCAGGTCCATGGGTTGATTTATGATGTGGGTAGTGGTGTGCTTCGGGAGCTGGACACCAACGAGTCGGAGGAGGCCATCAAGGCGCGTCTCACATCGTTCAAGACCGACAACTAGGCGTGCACCTCGTTAATCTTGTCGTCCTGTGTCCTTTTTTTTTTTCAGCGAACAGCGAATGTTGATGTGTTTTCATTCTTCCATCTGGTCCACTGTAGACGTGTGCGTAATGAGCTGGCTCATGGTGAGCAGCGTGTCCCGTCAGTCCTGGGAAAGCTTTGTCAAGTAAAGCTGTCCTGAAAGACCCATCGTCTCATGATGGCATGTAGAAGAAACAAACAAAACCCATAGGAACGAGGACGATTGAAGAAGAGTGGGGAGGACTCGAGGGGGGAGAGAGGGAGGGAGGGAGGGAGAAGGAAGAAGTCAGCGAAGGAGGGAAGAAGCAGGAGCAGGGGGAAAAACCCTGATACATCAGGCTGTGAACCATGACGGCGTCTGGAAGAGAAGAGACGGGGGGGGGGGGGGGTCGGGCTGTTCCACGATCTGGTCTCCGCATCTCCTGCCTCGTTCACCTCCTGCCGTGCTGGGAAATCCGAGGACCTCAGTGGATCCGGACTGTCCCGATCGGGTATAGTCCCGGCCGAAGCGGTTTTGCTTCGGGTTGGCCTTTTCCTCGTACCCTGCAGATTAACTATTTTCTTGAGCGATTTTTACTGCGAGGGGGGCTTTTTCGAGCCCTTTGCATGGTCAGAGTACTTGAATTGCAGGTAATAAGGGTTTCTGTTAAGCGAATTAGTGTCCGGTTGAGTCGTGGAAACGGGCCAGACGTGAAATGCTGGGATTGTGCGCTGTGCCTCAGGCTTCGGTGTTTGCGGCTTTGCGTACCCGCTTTCTCGCCTTGGCGGCAAACCGCCTACGGCACCGCATCTACTCCATACTTGGGCAGCCATCCAACGCAGCAGATGGTAGATAGTCCGTACTCCGTATCACCTACGATGAAATGGATGTCAAAGGACGACGGGATATAATGTTTAGAATTCGAGTTCTTCAACTTCCATCCCGCAGTCCACGCACTTCTTGACCCCGATCCCCGTCTTCGGGTCTTCAATCGACCGTCCCCACTGGTGGACATGCCTCCCACCATTCCCCAGGTCATCCCCGAAATTGCCTCCCGCGGCCCCTTGGCGATTCCGCCGGTATGCGTCGACCCGCGTACGCTTCTTGAGATCTTCCAGTTTGCCCTTGAATTTGGCCTCCCGCCTACGCTTCTTCTCGGTCTCTCGTCGCTCGAACTCGGCATCCAAGGCTTCAGGTGAACCCCATTTCTTCGCGGAAAAAGCATATTCCTCCACCTGGTAGCGCAGGTACAGCATCATGTTATTCCACGTCGACTTATGCGGATTCGGACGTTCAAGATGGGGGAGAAGCTCCTCATCCTGGAGTTCAGCTGCGGTCCGGATCAGCAACATTCAGTGACAAATCCCACAAGGTACGCGATACTCACGATTCGTCAAAAGATAATCCTCCCTCGCCTCCGTCTTGGTAAGAAGACTATATTTCTCCGGAAACTTGTCCTTGCACGCATGGCAGATACAGCACCGAAGCGACTCCTCCCACTTCCAATCAATCTCCAGACTACCACACTCACGGCACTTCTTTTGCCGCGTTCGATCATCCAATACACTCAGCCCGGGTTCAAACGGTCCCGCACGCTCCCGATGAAGAGTCTTCAGCAACTGCTGTCGTTCCCATTCCTTCTGCGTCATCTGCGGCGGCTTCTGCTCAGCCTTCTCATCCCTCACATGCAGTGCCTTGTTATCCCGATCATCTTCCTCCGTCAAGAACCCGCCCTTCGTGTCGGTAATCTTGGAGAAGTCGTACTCGACATATTTCGTAAAATTCCGCGCCGGCCGGATGGCATCGAGCGGGCGACTAGTTGTAGCGGCCGCATCGCGGACAGTCGTGGGGGTTTCAGAGGCCGTCATGGAGGAGTAGGTTCGCTTGACTCCGGTTGTAGATTTCCCTTCTGTCGCGCGGGCCTGTTCTGCCTGTCGTTGCTCTCGTAGAGCTATGGCCTTCATGCGGTTGACTTCCTAAACAAGTCAAATCCAATATCAGCTCCCTGACCCGGACATCCTGAACCACTAGATAGACGTACAATTCGCCGCAACTGCTCCGGCGTCAGCGGAGCACGGGGCGCACTACCCCCCGTCTGAGGAGGTGGACTTGACTGTCTCTCTGTCGCCATATTTGTAACGGCCCGAGAGAGAGGAGTGAAAGACCGGAGAGGGCCGGAGGCGTGCTCAGCACGCTGGTATCTAGGCAGGCAGCAAGAGGCAATAGGCAGATACTCCGTCGAGGCTAGCGTTATCGGCCGGGGACGATCTTCGGCGCACTTATCGCCCCCGACGACTGACCACGTGATCTGGCTTCACGTGTGACGGTAAGAGGTCCATTCAGCCTTCATGGCAGTCTCCATGCTTGCTTACTTCCTGGTTTTTTTGTCAGGTGAAAATTACGAACTACGAAGGTGACTGATGGTCTAGCCGGAGATAGTCTCAAGAAGCTACAGGTGAACCCCTTCAGTCTACGCACTGACTCATGTATAACTCTGTTCGAGTCCGATCGATCTCCACGTACGGAGTAGTGTGTACAGGTATAAGAGTGATTTCAGATGGGAAGGATGTTCCCGTCATTCATTCCGATGACGCTAATATATACATAGGATTATATTATGACAGACAGAGATTATATCCAGAGAGGGAGTAAATGTTCATGCACAGCGGGGTCATAACACCGCTTCGTAAATGCGTTCAGGGTTTGGAAAGCTGCTCTTTCCGGAAGAAGAGGAGGAAGCCAGCACTAAAAAAGCACGTATTAGAATCTATTTCAAGAGGCACCACCGTCAAGGAGGTGGAAGACTTACCAGATCAACAGCTGACAGATGAGGGCGGCCCAGAACCACCCGTTGGCAACCGAGCTCCCGCCGAAAGTAGGGTCTGGGGAGACCGGCCCCGGGCCAATGTTATTGGGGGCAAAAGCCCGGGCGCAAATGGTGGCAATGGAACCAAGGACCTGCGAACAGATCAGGGTGAAGAGCATGTGCATGCGAGTCAGGGTCTGCAGCAGGATGATACCGAAGCCGAGACCCTGGATCGAATCCAACACGCCCAGCCAGAGCCAGAGACTCCGCGAGGCCAGGGCCCCGCCGACATAGCCGCCGGACACCCAGGGCAGGAAGTAGCCGATGCCGGAGACACCCCACCAGATCTGGGCCCAGCGAGGGGCCCCGAGGCCGCACGCGAACACCGGGAGGAACCAGCTGTGGGACTTGAAATAGCGGCTGACGATGAACAAGAAGCCGGCCCAGACGAAGCCGTAGAAGATGATGCACAGGATGACGACCTGCCATCCCTTGGCGTGGTTGGAAGTCCACAAGACTAGAGAAGGTACGTGGGTTAGCATGGATCGATACGCCGTTGGGACGCCGCGTCCGGCAGAGTCCACTTACAGCTCCAATTGCGACCGTACGGCGCACTGAGGAAGAAATTCTGGAGGATGACGGCGACAAAGTTCCACAGGACGATCTTGCGGCGGAATACGGACTGGTAAAAGGAGGCGACCTTGCCCGGGGTTTGGCGGTAGTAGTTGGGAAGTCCGAAGAGCAAAAGCAACCCGACGGCCCAGAGGAAGACCGCAATCGGGTAACAGATGGCACTAGGATGTCTCAGTGAGCGAAGTCGAAGGATCCGACGGTCTGGGGAATACTCACGTCATCTTCCAGGTGTTGGCGATGTTGCTCGTCGTGGTCAACAGGCCATCGCTGGACGCTTTGCTCAGCGTCGACCCCCAATACCACAGCGCGATAATATAAGCCGACTGGATGCCCTGAATGAGGCAGGCCCGGAAGATCCAGGTTTCCACCGGGGCACCACCCTCATCACCAAAGTTCAAGGCGAAGAAGATGGACCCGCTCGACGAAGCGGCGGCGTAGAAGCCACTGCCGACGTTCTGGATCCACCCCCGGGTGAACGAGTCGCCCTCCCAATGGGCCGAGCCGATGAAAATAAAGGCAATACCGTAGAGGAACCAGGGGGCGGAGAGGCACACGACTGACTTGAAGTACCGGAACACCAGCCACCAGAGGATGGAGGTAATCAGGTAGGTGGTGGCAATGCCATACAGCTTCTCGGCCGTCTCACCAACCTCGCCCGTGAGCAAGGTGATCTGATACGAGTTGGCAGCAATGATCTGCCCCAGGGCGAGGAACAACGAGTAAACCGGCCAGTCTCCGATCCGAAGCTGCATCCATTTCTTCAGGCCCGTGGGAGGGACATAGTCCTTGCCCAGGAGGAATTCGTCGTCCTCGGTGTCGCGGGATTCACTGTTGTCGTCGCCACTCACGTGCGAGCCGGCATCATCGTAGTACGAGCCCACGGGCGATGCGCCGTGCTTGTCCCGGAAGATGGACGAGGCCGGGGACTTGAGGCGACCGAGTCTCGCGTCGCGGAACTTGTCGAACCATTCCTTTTCACTCTTGATCAGATATTCTTCAATGCAGAGCTGCGACTCGGAGTTGGCCCCGTTCAGGCCCACCAGCCGCTTGTCGAAAGCCTTGTAGTACTCGCCGGTCGAATCGGTAAAGAAGGGGTCCACCTTTTGCAGCTTAAAGTCCGTCTTGGTCCCGACGACCGAATCCAGGGAGAGAACGGACGCGCTACTGAGCCGGCTACCCGCCTCGAGCAGCCGGGGCGGCGGCAGGAGACTCTGGGAGGGCGTGGGGATGGGACCGGGACTGGCGGGGGGCTGGTTGAATCGGGGATGCATCGAGTCTTGACTGTAACGGTTGGCACCGGGACTCGTCGGCAGGCCACCTCCCTGTTGCTGAACGGCCTGCAGGCGGCGGCCTTCCTCGACCTGGGCCGCGGTCAGAGTGTACTCGTCGTCTGCATCGGGATGCTCGGCGATGTCATCATCGCGGTCTTCCTCGACATCGGTCATGCCTCCAGCGGTGTCCTCGTGCTCGGGGATGCTGTCACGTTGGCGGCCACGACGGCCCCGGCGGTCTTGATGACCGGGACCCGAGCGAACACCCAGGGACAGTTGCCGGTGCAGACCCGATTTCGGCTTTTCGGTGCCACTGGGGCTGACGTCTCGGCTGTAGTTGGTCTTGGGGTCGGCGACGTATTCACTCAAGCGGTTCAGGTTAGAATAGCTGCTGTCCCGAGAATGCGCCATCGGAGTTTGGATGCCGGGCGGCATCAAGGGACTGGCGGGCTGACTCAAGATGCCCCCGGGCGTCGTCGTGCCCGATGGGGTGAAGGGGCGACCGTGGGACTTGACCAATTCCTTGTTATGCACCTGGATGGCCGTGGTTTGCAGGATTTCCAAATCTTCGACCCACTGGGCCACGGGGAAACGTTGTTTGGCCGAGCGGGCGCGCATCATAGCACGGGTTTCCGTTTTCGAACTCAGCGCCGCATCAATAGCCAGCTTGAATTGAACCAGCAAATGGGAGGTGGCGGTGGATTCGACATTGTACCACCAACCAGGCATCTGACCCAGACCACCGACACGCGCACCGATACCCAGAGCTCCCTTACGACCAAACTCGACGGCAACCAGACCAAAGGGCTCATCACGCGAGGGAATCAGCGCGAATTCGGCACCCGAGAAGATATAGGGAGGCAAGGCCGTGAACTCGGGGCGGGAAAACACGCGGCCGGGATAGACCTTCATCATGTGGTCGAGCTTGAGGGCGGCGAATTTCCCGTAGAGATCGATGACGGGGCCGACACAGATCAACTGCACATTGGGGCGCGCCTCGAGGACCGCGGGCATGACATCGGCAATCAGATCCACACCCTTCTGCATAGACCAACGACCAACAAAGACCAGCAGATCGGCATCGGGGTTCTGCTCGAGACCGGCCCATTCCTGGGCCTGGCGCTTGAGGTCACCACGGCCGGCCTCGTAGTCCTGATCCACATGGATGTCGTTGCTCATGGCGGCGGCCTGTTCCTTGCTCCATTCACCCACATCGGAGGGATCCGGGTTGGGCAGATTGCCCACCTTGCGGAGACCCCAGAAAATGGGATAACGCGCGTAGGAGCGCTTACCGTACTTCTTGGACACACCGACGGCACCGAAACCCTGCTGGTGCACCCGCAGATAACTGGCACCCGCGTGAAGCAAGTTGAACACCTCACCGAATTGCACATAATGCCGGACGTGTTCGATATCGAGGTTGAACACGGAGCACACTTCCTCCTTTTCCTTCTGGGTCCGCATCGGCCACAGACCCTGGAATTCGGCGTTATGCAGGGACAGACAGGCGGGGACGGTCTCGGGGAGCAGGTACAGTGGGGCCAGGGAACCGTGATAATCGTTGATATGGTAGAGGTCGATGGGGAACCGCTTGCAGGCCTCCGCAATACACTGATTCCAGGCGGAGTAGTAGATGGCACTGTTGAGATCGTCCATGCGGGCCGGGTAGGGTTCGGACTTGGACTGCTGACGGAACACAGGGGCATCGAGCAAGACGTAGGTGATGTTGTTCAAGACATGGTACTGGACCTGCACCTCATAGGAGTTGCCCAGAATGGTCACATTCATGGGCTCGGCCGGTTTGTCCACGGGGTAATCGACGCCGCCCACGCAGGGGACCACCCAGATCAGGTCTTGGTGGCCCAGAGTCTTACCCATGAGTTGCGCCATGACACCAAGACCACCGATCTTGATCTTGATGGCCCAATCCTCGATGTCGTATTCCATGGTGGCGATCAGGACCATGCGGCGCTTGCCGCTGGCCGCCCCGCCGATGGCCGTGGTGGCCTGCAGGAATCCGGACTTGTTGGCCAGGCGCATCAGCGGGTTCGAGTTTTCATCATCCCCTTTGCGGGACCGCTTGAACTTGCGGCGCAACGCCAACGGGATCATCTGGTGTTTCTCGCTGACACCGACCTGGTTGAACTTGACCTTGTAGAAAGACTTCATGAACGCCCACACGCCCAAGGCGCCCGTGACGACCGGCACGATCCAGAAGAGCACAAACATGGCGATCTGGGTATTCTGGTGGCCGACCGGGAAGAGCTGGAATCGCATGGTCCCATCGTCGATGAAGATATTCCAGGAGATGTAGGGCGAAGGCGGGTGCTCCGTGATATTGATGAGCGTCGCGGACAGAGAGGAAGGCGGCATGCGGTCGAGAACGGAATCGTTGTCAGCGTCACCCAGCACCCAACTTTGGTCGGGCTTGCCGTCCGGATTCATACCCCAGATGTTCAACTGGGCTTGGGCCGGCCATTCGGCGGTGAAGTGGTACTTCCAGATGCCGTCCACGCTGTCCTGTCGGACGACGTTGTCGAGACCGGCGTCGTAGCCGTACTGGTTGTAGGGCCCGTTGAAGAAGACGTGGGGGAAACGACGCGGGACCTGTTCATCCCAGCCCGAGTCGCCCTCCTGCACGTAATCACTGCTGCCGGTCCACCGGCTCCAGTACTCCACGCGGACGTGGTTGCCTTTCCAGGCCTGTTTCTTGGTGCCCGACCATTCGAGCTTCTCAATGGTGTCGTTACCACCCTGGTAGGGCATCCAGTCCGAGAAGGTGGTACCCCAGTTGGTCGAGTACCGATATTTGTCGGCACCGGCGGCGTGGTGTTGGATGAACAGGGTGCCGTTGGATTCCTCGTGGAGCAGACTGCTGGAGTAATTGGCGGTGGTGAAGATCATGGGGTTATCGATCTGGCCAATCCGGAAGAGGAGATGGTCGACCGCGTTCGTGGTCTCGTTTCCACTGGCGGTGCTGACGTTGTTGACCGTGATGCGATGCACGCCGTTATAAACGCCCGTCAGGTTCGCCGTCCACATCCACGCACTGGGGATCTGTCCCGTCAACGTGGTGTTGGTGGCGGTGATGTTCTTGCAGCTGACCGTGGTCGAATCCACCGAGGGGGCCTTGCCGATCTCGGTCGAGGAGTTGATGGAGATGGACTGGGTCACGGAGTCGCAATCCATTGCCTCGGAGAAATACAGTTCGATGTTCACGTTCTCATCCGCGTTCGGGGCCACGGTCGACCGGAGGGGGTAATCATGGCCGGGCGTGAACTTGGTGAGCATCGGGCCCGCCTTGACGAAGCTCGCGATCGGCACGTAGGCACGAAACTCATAGGCGTCCAGGGTCATGTTGGCCAAACAGCCGTTGTACTCGGTGGATCCATTCAGGCCCAGCTTGACGGGACTAGCAATCAGTTCCTGCTCGTCGTACGGGTGGAACAGGTTTTTGACCCGGGTGCCCGAGGGAAACGCCGAGATGAGGGCCGTGTCATTGTCCTGGCAATCGAATTTGAAGTCGATGGTGCGGTTGGTGTTGTGGTAGACCAGCCAGATGGGCTGGTTGTTGGCATCGGAGCCCAGATCCTGCACATCCGCATTGACGTCGCGCAGGATGGACCACAGGCCCGTCTCCGTGGCGGTGCCGTTGGAACCGGGATAATACACCTCCTCCGTCATGTTGGAGAGCTTCTGAATGGTATAACCATCGTTGAGCACGGGGAACTGCTCGCGCATCTGGTACATGTGCTTGATGATGTTGCGCACCGGATGCGACGGGTCCCGGTGGTCGTAGGCCACCGTGGGGTCATGGCATCCATTCCGGCCCGCCTCGATGGGCCAGTTGTAGTACTGCGAGGAATCCAGGGAGAAGCAGCCATGATCCCGCCAGGCCGTGGCGGGCGACATGGCCTGTCGACCGTAAATGTAGTTCGCGGCCGTGGCATCGAGGATGTAAAAGGCCTGTTCCTCACCCCAGAGGAGGAGGGGAACGCCGGGGAGCAGCAGGGTAGTGATATACTGCCCCAGCAACTGTCTCTCCACGCCCTTCTCCACCGTCGGCCAGCGGAAGACATCCTGGTTGGTGGCCCCGTACATGTGGCGGGGGTCAAACTTGCCCGTGTTGGGATTGATCAGATCGTTCGACTGCAGCATGAGGTTCCAGGCATCCACCCAGTCGACCGGGACATCGTAACCCGCCGCCAGATTACCGTCCATCCCCAGGAAACGGGTCAGGGCGCGGTAAATGGAGTAGTGGAAGGCCGCGCCGTCAATGGCCTCATGGCCGGCCTCGCGCAGGAAATACTGGGCATCCGAGGTGTTGGTAAGCTTCATGGCCGCCTCGGCCGTGTCCGGGTACTGGTTTGGCTGCCGGCCGCGGCCCAAATAGATGGAACCGAAGGTGTTACCACCCGTGATTTCACCGGCGATGAAGAAATTCTCCTTGCCCACGGCGCGGGCACACTCGCGGTACGCGCTGGACATGTCGCCGAGCGCGTCCACAGTCGCCTGCGTGGCCTTGTCGTACCGGAAGCCGTCGATATCGAGCGACTCGATGATCATGCAGGAGTGACGGATCAAGCGCTCTCGCACCGAGGGGTACCATTCGCGCAGTCGATCCTGCACGGAGGCGAACTTGGCCAACTGACGTTCCCAATCCGGGAACACACCGAAGGCCTCGATATCACCATACTGGTCGAAGTCACTGTCGTAACACCCGACGAGCTCTTCGGTGACCGTCGCTTGGACGGGATAGCCGTTCTCAAACCAGAAAGTGGGATAGTCGCATGTGGCGTTGTACGTATTGCCAATGTCAAAGTCCACATAGCGGCGGTCCGTCTTCCACTGCGTCTGATGTTCCTTGACCGAGAAAGGGGTGGTGGTGTTCAGATAGCCGTCGAAACCAATCAAGTCCCCCATTCTGCGATGGACCGTTAGCGAGGGTTCCCGGGAGAAAAGGGGGCAGCGGAAGACTCACGTTGCGATGGTGTTGTCGAAAATGACATACATGCCGCGCTTGTGGATTTCCGTGATGGCATCGCGCCAGGTTTGCAAGTTACCGTAGTGTTGGTCCAGCAAGGTCGTATCCAGCGCCGAATAACCGTCAAACCCCCAGGGCTGGTTCATCAGCACCGTACCGGCGAGATACAGGGCCTAGACATCGTCAGCAAAAGATCTCGCGCGGTGTGCAAGCTCGGGAAACCGACCTTGATCCCCATGCCCTGCAAATAGTCCAAGGTATCCACCAAGCCAGCCACATCGCCACCATGACGCATCTGGTTGGAGGAGAGGTCGTGTTCGAACAAGGTCCCGTTGATGTTATCATTGGTCGGGTCGCCGTTGACGAAGCGGTCGAGAAAGAGGGTGTAGACGGGGAACCGCCAGTTGTCCGGGGAGGGGAAATAGTCCCCGGTGTGATTGGGCCATGTTCCTGTGTATTCGGCGGGGTTGGTGGCCGCCTGGTTCTGGTTGAAGTTGTAGTCGACGAGGGCCTCGTCGTAGGGCCAGGCTGCTGCTGTTGTTGCAAACCAGGCGAGCAGCGTGCCGGAAAATGCCCACTTCATGCTGGAAAGCGAAGGTCGGGGGGCGACCCGGGAGGACTACCGGCCGGCAAACCAGGAAGACGACACTCGTGTCAAACCCGTGGTGATGATACAATGGGATGGAAGCAAGAAGTTGGAAGACAATCCAATTAAATCAGATGGAAAGCCGCGTCCGTCTGACCGAGGTCGTGTGCGTTCAGTGTTGGTGGTGGTGAGGGATCGCCGGAGAGATGGACCGATAACGAGTGATAGGTAGTGATGAGATAACGAGAGGCACCGCACCGCATTCAACGAGTGTGAAGTCTATAGGGCCAAACACAACAACAAAAACACAAACACACGCATGAGGGGGGGGGGGAGAGGGGGGGGGGGAAGGGAGAGGAGTGAGGAGGAGTGAGGAGGGAGTGAGAGTGAGAGCGAGCGAGAGAAAGAGTGAGAGAGTGAGAATCAGCGGGACAAAGAAAGGATGAAAGTGAAAAGGCTAATCACTAGCAACGCAGCTGAGGCTCACCATGCGCGAGCCTAACGGACAGCAGTGATAAAGTGGATCGGGGGGGCAGGAGAGACGAGACGTCTCTGCTAATAATAACCTGGCGCTGACTGGAGGGCCCCGACCAGCTCAAGGCTAAAGTATCAGATACACCGGAGATACTGGATACTGGATACTGGATAGATACTGGATATCGCCTATCGTGCCCCCTTGGTGAGATATAGAGGGAGTTAGTGACTGCGCCGGTGTCCTTTTAGTCCCTCCACCGTCCGGGTTTGTGGGGGGAGGTGCCTTTTTGGTGAGGGGACCGCCAGCAGGGCTCCCCGAGTCCCCAGATGAATAATACTAAGAATACCAATAATGATAAATAAAATAAAAAAAAAAGTGTAATAATCAGTGGAATACGTAGTGACGGTGGTGGCCAACGGATAGCTTCGCAGGAAGGCCAAAAAAAAAAGCCATGCTCGTATATCCGGGAACCGTTAGGTTTCCTCTCGGACCGGGTGGAGCCCAAAGGGGTGGGATGTCTTGAACTCGATACCGAGCACATCACTTTGGTAACACCCCTCCCGGAGTGTGCTCATCACGCCAGATCAAAGTAGCATTGTTGAGAGAAGGACAAACTGAGAAACAGGGAAACCGGGCAACCTTCATTTCGAAACTTGAAAGGGGTAGCATCCACGCCCCCGAAGGCCTGGTTCAGTCAGTGGTTGTAACCTGACCTGACCTGACTTGATTGATACCAAACGTACCTCCATGATACCGTGGCTTGTAGCCAATCTCGGTAACGAAAAGTTTATTGGCCCATCCAAGACCTCTAGTGCATGATATGTCTTACTGGCATTCGGACCTACGTTCAATTGCTGCGTTTTGCACCGGAAGATACGGCGCATGCAGACTCTGATAAGGGCGGGCCCTCCCGATTGGTGCTGCCGGATGCTGGTGGGGGCTGAGGCCAGACTACCGCCTGACTAAGGCCCGTAGTACCGTCATGTATAGTGCGGTATACGCAATACCACAGTCATACCACGTCCTCTTTCCATACTAACTGGGGAGTGGTGGCTAGGGGGGGAGTTCAACACCGCAGAAAATGCGGGATGCATGCCGCAGGTGGTTGTGGTGGTGGTAATGGTGGTGGATGGTTGGTTTCCAGATCCATTGGGTCAGATTGGGATTCCCGGGTCAGCCCAACTTCCCGTTGCACAGTTGCAAAAATTCCACGATTCCAGAACGCTGTCACTGACCGAGTGGGGGCCCCTGCACCCCGGCCCAGGCCCAATCGGGCCTACGCTGGGCTATTTTGGCACGCCGGGAAGGGTCCGTCCGGTCAACTGCTGCTGCTGCTCTTTGCTTCACAGGGCTTCCCTCGGACTTTGCCCCTCGCAGCACACCTTGCCACTTACTTGAACATTGGCCTGGGAGACGAGAAGTCAGCAGAAGAGAGAATATCAGCTGCAGGAGACCGTCTCTTCTCTCATTTCGCATGGCTTACTTTGCATTGCTCATTTCTCAGTGCTCATCAGCCACCACACCACGGTGGGATCAATCACGCCGCCCCAAACCTGCTGGCTGGCCGTCGGACCCAAGCCTGGGTCGTGTGTCAGAGCTGGTGGGCGTTTGTGCCAATCCGCGCCCGTTATCTCTAGGCGAGGGTGGGTCCGCAGCAAAGGATTACGGGATCGCAGCCTATTCGGGGCCGATGGGGTCCTTGGGGGAACCCTTGGCAGTGGCACTAGACCCCGAAGGGTCTGATCGGATAAAAGAAGGCCCAGCCGACTGCCAATAGAACCATGCATGTCTTACCCTGCCCATTTCCCATCCCTCGCTGTCCAATAATCACCATTAAATTGATTCTTATCCGCCCGGGCAAAATACACGATCCCGAGGACCTGACCTCTCCCAGGCCAATCGTCCCTCACGTCCCCCAAAACCACCGAGGAGTATGGTTCTCGTACCATACATACGTTCGGAGGGACTGCGAAACTTGCAGGACCGCCCTTACCAGTTTCTCAATTTCCAGGCCAAGCCCGCTGCCAAGCCCACCGGGCTGTGTAAGGTATTATTCTTAGCTCAGCAGAAAAATTCACTGATTACATGCTCCCATCAGAGCCATCAGTGGGGAGAGGGTCTCACCTATTCTTATGATTCTGCTTATGACAGTACTCTGTAATTAATAGAATAATTAATCCTGAGAATCAGGGGCATGCATAGCAGGATGATGTGATAATAGTATCCCCGCCAGCCTATCCCTGCCAGTGCTTATCAGTCGTTCGTGCCGCACTGATAACCTCCAATCCAATTTCTCTGCCAAGCCCTCGTCCTTTCCATTGGTTCCTGATCGATAGATAGGGAAGATGGAGAAATACTACTAGCTGGTCGATAGTGCTGCCCTCCTCGTTCGCTCGGGGTCGACCCTGCGATCAGCGCCCTAAAACTGAGCCGAACCACTGTTCCCTGACTGTCTCACATTATCTAATCTTCTAATTACTAGTCCCTCACAATATTGGCAGACCCAGTCCAACCAACGTCCTAGTGCTCCGTAGTGCTCTGGAGTCTGCCCTAAGGTAGGAACATGTCTCACAAACCCCCCCATTCAGCCCATCCGGCCCATCGGAATGCCCGGTTGTCTCTCCTTCCCGCTCTTTGTTCCTGGTGGCAGCCTTAGCATGGCTGCAATCCGCCTGACACCGTGGCAATGGAGCTGGGGGGCGCCACTCAATGTGCCTCGACAGGGGATCGTGCTAACGCCGACGTGACAGCTGCAGGGGAGCCCGAGGGTCCACGGCCAATGAGGAGACCAGGCTGGCAAACATTGATCCGAGGGGCTGCATGGCCTGGGAGGGAACGTGATGGGATGGGTGGTTTTTCAGGGACCGGGGGAGGAAAGATCGATGGTTCTCGGGTATTGGGCGGGACCTTGGCTTGGGGTTCCGGAAAATCAGACCAAGCCTTCACGATGATGATGGTGGTGGTGAGGATGAAAATGAGGGTACTCCCACATGGCAGAGGCACTCACGCATGGCTGCATTCTGCTGCAGATCTCATTTGCCTGTCACACCGGCATCGGCCTGCTAATTGCTAAGTCCTAAAGCTCACTAACCGCAATGCCGAGGGCATTCAAGACATGAGATGAGGGCCCCGGAGTTAGGGCTCTCCTTACAGCCTGAGTTGCTCCACCGGCTGTTCCCCAGAACTCTCTCTTTCTCTCTCTCTCTCTCTCTCTCCTTCTCCTTTCCTCTTCTTCCCTACTGTCCATCCTTTCCAATCCTTTTCTTCATCCCAATGCCTCACTCACTGACCTGATCTGACTTCGCGTTCGGGCTTTTCTTGCCATCCGTCCTTCGTTTGGGTTTCACCATCGCCATTCTTTTGCCCTTGTGCGTAGTTTCTACCGTCGCTCTTTCACCGGTTCAGGCCCTACCCGCATCATTCCTTTTGCGCGGAGGCCTTGAATTTCCCCCCAGCAATCCACCCACGACGAATTGTCGCTAATTCCCAGATCCACCCCCAATTCCCCTTCCCCATCGCCATGCATTCCAGGTCTGTCCTTCGGACCCTCGCGGTGGCCGGGTTGTTAGGGTCGTCGCTGGCGGCCACCACCGAGGAATGGAAGTTGCGGACCATCTATCAAACCATGACCGATCGGTTCGCGCGCACCGATGGATCCACCACAGCCCCCTGCAACACCACCGAGGGCTTGTACTGCGGTGGCACCTGGAAGGGCATGATCGACAAATTGGATTACATCCAGGGGATGGGCTTTGATGCCGTGATGATCTCGCCGGTCATCGAAAACATCGACGGCCGCGTGTCGTACGGGGAAGCCTACCACGGCTACTGGCCCTTGGATCTGTACTCCCTCAACTCGCATTTCGGCACGCATCAGGATCTGCTGGATCTGAGCGATGCCCTGCATGACCGCGGCATGTATCTCATGATGGACACGGTCCTCAACAACATGGCCTACGTGACCAATGGCTCGAACCCAGCCACGTCGATTGACTATTCCGTGCTCACACCGTTCAACAGCTCGTCGTACTATCACTCCTACTGTAAGATTTCGGACTGGAACAACTTCACCAACGCCCAGCTGTGCCAGACCGGCGACAACATCGTGGCGCTGCCTGATCTCTTCACCGAGCACAGTGACGTCCAGGAGACCCTGGAGAACTGGGCCAAGGACATCATGTCCACCTACTCGATCGACGGCCTTCGCATTGATGCGGCCAAGCATGTGACGCCCAGTTTTCTGAAGAATTTCGAGAATGCCGTGGGCAGCTTCATGACCGGTGAGGTGATGCAGCAGGAAGTCTCGACCATCTGCGAGTACCAGAACAACTACATTGGCAGTCTCCCCAACTATCCGATCTACTATGCGTTGCTGCAGGCCTTTACCCTGGGCAACACGACGGCCTTGGCCACCCAGGTGCAGGCTATGAAGAACGCGTGCCGCGATGTGACGGCCCTGGCGTCGTTCTCGGAAAACCACGATGTCGCGCGCTTTGCCGGCCTGACCAAGGACCTGGCGGTACGAACCGCCCCTTGCTTGACCCCCCCCGACCCCTCGCTAACCCTCCCACACAGCTTGCGAAGAACGTGCTCACGTTCACCCTCTTGTTTGATGGCGTGCCCATCATCTACCAGGGTCAGGAGCAGCATCTCGATGGCGGCTACTCGCCCGTCAACCGCGAGGCCATCTGGCTGACCGAATACAACACGGACGCCGACCTCTACAAGCTGATCACCAAGCTGAACCTCATCCGGAAGCACGCCGCCCGGCTGGACCCACACTACGTGGACGTCCAGACGACCACGGTGTTCGAGGGAGGCAGCGAACTGGGCTTCCGCAAGGGCGTCGATGGCCGACAGGTGATCATGCTGTTGTCGTCGCAGGGCGCGAACGGCGGGTCCTACAACCTGTCGATGCCGGTGAGTTTCACGGGCGGCACGGTGGCGACGGAGGTTCTCAACTGCGTCAACTACACGGTCAACGACCTGAGTGAACTGGTGGTCCCAATGGACAAGGGCGAGCCGCGGGTGTTCTTCCCGGCGGATCTGATGCCGGGCAGTGGGCTGTGTGGCTTCCCCGTGTCGAACGTCTCATACGCGACCCTGAAGACCAAGGCGGCCAGCAAGGCTGCGGCCGTGGCGGCGTCCGGAGGCATCCCGACGACGGGGAATGTGGCCTCTAGCGCCTTGTTCTCCCTGGGCGTGGCCGCAATGGCGAGCCTGGTGCTGGGAGGGTTGTAAATACCACGGGAGTTGTATCTATCTGGGGGGAGCAAATGGATGATTCTTCTACTGTATATTATTGTACTCTTTGTTACTGTCTTGATTTCATATGATACCCGATCGTACTAGTCTCTACGTTTGTTGTTGTGCCTGTGTGGCGCTGTCTCTCCTGCTGGGGTTGGGGCCGGACCCGCAGCAATATATATAGTAGGATATCACGGTAGTTGCCCGGTCAGAACTATGACAAATTAAATACAATAGCGCATGCAGAGCGAGTATCTCATATCATCTGGACATGTAGATTTTGCAGAGCGCTCTTTCTCTCTCAACCTTGTTTTCTTTTCTGGTTTGATTTTCGCCTGATGCATCGGAGTCGGCCTCCCGAGAAACGAGGGTGTCGGCGGAGCTCCGAGGCTACCGTTGGGCTAAAAAAAGCTCCCATTGGCGGGCCCACCGGGGTTCCGAACGCCTCCTGAGGCGGATGGAACCGTCATGATTCTGACATAGTACACAGCACTATCAGAACTGCTTCGATTGACTTGGATTTAGCACCCTCCGCTGGCAGTCAGCTGATGCTTCGGCTGGAATATCCGCTGTACTCCGTCTAGTTCGCTCAATCGGGCCAGCTACACCGCGGGAAGCTATCCCCGCCACCATGTTTTCCTTCTTGACCTGCCACCGTCGCCGAAGCAAGGGACAGCCGCAGCTCTCCTGGAAGCAAATTGAGGGTGAGCTACCCCCGAGCGCCCCCCCCCCCCCCGGGGATTGGAATTAATGCATGGAGTCTCCCAACAGACGCCGCCCATGACCTCGAGTCGCGGCCCTCCTGGACCGCCCCCGACAATACCCTGTTGATGCAGGCATTTGAATGGCACGTCCCGGACGACAAAGCCCATTGGCGTCGGCTGCAGCATGCCCTCCCGGGGTTACAGGCCATTGGCGTCGACCATATCTGGATCCCGCCCGGATGTAAAGCCATGAATCCGTCCGGAAACGGCTATGACATCTATGACTTGTATGACCTCGGCGAGTTCGATCAGAAAGGCGCGCGCACTACCAAATGGGGTACCCGTCAGGAGCTGGAGGAGCTCGTGGCCCATGCGCAGGCCCTGGGGGTTGGGGTCTACTGGGATGCGGTCCTTAATCACAAGGCGGGTGCGGATTACCCGGAGCGGTTTAAAGCGGTGAAAGTCGATCCGAAACGTATGGTTTTCTGTGTGTCCCTGGTGAATCCTGAACGGTCGATTGTTGATTGAAGCGTCTCCTGCAGGACGAGATGTCGAGATCTCCGACCCCGTCGAGGTCCACGGCTGGGTGGGGTTTAATTTCGAGGGTCGAGGCGATCAGTACAGTTCGCTGAAGTATCACTGGCAGCATTTCAGTGGTGTGGACTGGGATGATACGCGGCAGGAAAACGCCATCTACAAGATTTGCGGTCCGAATAAGGGCTGGGCCTCGGATGTCGGCCAGGATAATGGCAACTACGACTATCTGATGTTCGCTGACCTGGATTACTCGCACCCTGAGGTCCGCGAGGATGTCTTGCGATGGGGAACGTGGTTGCAGTCGGTCGTGCCGCTGAAGGGGATGCGTCTGGATGCAGCGAAGCACTTCTCAACGGGCTTCCAGAAGGAGTTTATCGACCATATGCGCCAGACGGCCGAGGGCAAGTTCTTTGTGATTGGGGAGTACTGGTCATCGGACGTGCGGACGTTGGTCCGGTACCTCGAGGAGATGGAGTATCGCGTGTCGGCCGTGGATGTGCCGCTCGTGGAGAACTTTTCGCGCATGTCCAAGGCGCGAGGGGCGGATTTGCGCCAGGTGTTCCAGGGGACGTTGGTGCAGAGCAAGCCTGATTATGCGTTGGTAAAGTAGCGCCCCGATGGAGGTACTCCGTGCTGACACGATGCAGACATTCGTTGCGAATCATGATACGGTCAGTCATTCTCGCGTTGAAGTCTTCATGCCAGATCCCAGACTAACTCTCGCAGCAACCCGGACAAATGCTCGAGGTAAATCACTCTCGCGATCCGCCCCGAAAAACATACTCAGTCTATGGTAGAATGTGGTCGAACCGTCCTTCAAACCGCTGGCGTATGCCCTCATCTTGCTCCGCCAAGGCGGCACCCCGTGTGTGTTTTACGGTGACCTGTACGGCATCAACCACGGCGCGCACCCGATGACGCCCGCCTGCGAGGGCAAGCTCCCGATCCTGATGCAAGCGCGCAAATTATATGCATACGGCGAACAACAAGACTATTTCGACCAGCCCAACTGCGTGGGTACGTACCATACCCTCTCCACATCCCCCCAAAGACTAATTGGACGATAAATGATAATGGCAAACAGGCTTCGTCCGCTACGGCAACGCAACCCACCCCTCCGGCCTAGCCTGCGTGCTGAGCACCGGAGGCCCCGCCCAGAAACGCATGTACGTCGGACGGCGACACGCGGGCGAGCAATGGACGGATCTCCTCCGCCGGCAGCCCGGGGCGGACGATCCGCCAGGGGCCACCACGGTGACCATCGACGCGGCGGGCTATGGGGTGTTTCCAGTGCCGGGCCAGGTGAGCGTTTGGGTCAACGGGACGGCACCTGGCCGAGACCAGATGCACCAAGTACCATTGTAAGTTCGGCCATTTGTCCGGGGGAGCTTCTTCCAGAGTTTCTATTGCCTTCCCTTCCACATCCACATCCACATCCACATGGCCATCCCTAAACAGGAACGAGGAAGAGCTAACAGCAATGGACCCAGTGACGTCAACATCTACCGGAAATAACACCCCTACTCCCTACTGAACACAGTAATCAGTCGATAGTCTACGGAGTATCCTAAGACATGACCCTATCGAATATATAGATAGTGTATACTAGTTAAACCTACCACCCACCAGCATCCCGATGAATCATCACCGACTAAGGACCATTAAAATTACTCCAAGACACACCACACCAATCAAATTCCCAGCCCACCCAAAGTCACCCGCTCGGATCGAGCAATCCCGTGTACTGTGCAGGGATCAAGTTGGGTTAGTGTAGGTGGTTCGGCACCACCCGACCGGCCCTCTTCTTACGAGAGTCCTGCAATGTATTTTGCGAAATTAAATACCAAAGTAACTTACGTACAGTATGTATGTATGTATGTATCCTGTACAAAGTACTTACGGATCATCGGGTCTCTGGCTGATTCTGGTTGATGGGCATATGTGGATCCAGTCAGGGTCTTCGCCCCATCCCCATCTCCATCCTCCCAAGTTCAGGTTTCGAGTTCGAGTCCAAGGAACTAGGAAGGGGGGTTCTGCTTATCTTAGTCATACACAGTACACAGGTAGTTAGGTAGGTCTTGGATACCCCTTACTTGATTCTCCTTCCTGGATTAATTATTGGGATTTACTGAGATATAAAGATACTATCTACTCCGTATTTGTCTGGGCATGAAATATGCTGTGCTATGATACTGTATAAACTGAGATCGATGCGATCTGCTCCTTACTAAGTACGACCCACCACGATCATCGCCACGGGCGCTGCTGGTGGTGTGGTGGCGGCTGCCGGCGGATGTGTTCGCCAAGAGTGCTGGCTAGCTACCCTACCTGGCTGGACTGATAAGGCTACAGTGGAGGTCTCGAAAAAATACTCCGTACATAGTACATAGTATATAGTACTCAAATCGGATTAATACGAGCGGGTAGCTAGCTAGCTATGGTATAATACAGACGCAACCACGGTATGAGGGATCAGATTAGGAAAAAGCCTCCGGTCGGAAACCTTAACTCATCCAATGGATGGACGATTACAGGTTGATGGCCAACAGACCCATCAACAAGCCGGCAGCAGCGGAGAGGGGTGCGGTCAGGGAAGTGGCAGCACCGGTGGACAGCGGCGCGGTGGTGGAAGTGCCGTTGGCGGAAGTACCGGCGGAGGTACTGGCGGTGGCGGACGCCCGAGCGGAGGACCCTGTGGTCGAGAGCGTGTTAGCCGCCGAGGAAGAGGAAGTCAGGCCGGTGGTCGAGGAGCCGATGGAGGAAGATGAAGTGGTGGCGGCGGTGCCAGTGGAGGAGGAAGAAGAAGTACCAGTAGTAGAGATAGTAGTGGCGGTGGTGGTGCCGGAGGAGGAGGAAGCAGAAGAGGTAGAGGAAGAGGACGAAGAAGAGGTGGTGGCAGAGCTGGAACCCTCGACGTTGAACTGCTGGGATTGCGCCAGGATGCCGCTGTTCTGGGTGGAGGTGGACAGCAGGTTGATCTGGTAGCCCTTGCTATGAGACGGTTAGTCCATCATCTATGGAATCTTGATAGGCATCGAACGGACCCATCGCTAACACCCGACAGGCCCGACACGGTGTAGGAACCCGACGAGGTGTCCACGTCGGAAGCAATCTTCTGCTCGACCGTGGGGTAGACGGCGTTGTTGACCAGGTAAAGATCGAAGGTCGAGGGATCGGTCCTGAGTCAGTCAGTAAGCGGCGATCGGATGGAGGTCAGTTGGGAGGGAACATACGAGACCGAATCCCACTTCACAGTGAAAGACTTGGACAGGTCGACATCCTCACCCTTGGTGGGCGAAGTGACCTCGAGGGCTGCCACCGGTTAGTTCGATCGGATCAGAGAAAAGAACCCAGGGGAAGACAAACCGCCGACGAAGGCAGCCAGAGGCAGAAGAGACACGGCGTACGAGAAACGCATGATGAATGATGAAGCGAGGGAATAAGTAGCGAACCGCGCGAACTAAGGAACGAGAGTGATGGGAATCAAGTGAAGGAGTCGAACCCGGAGGAAGCGCGCGGGTTTAAATAGCAGGTGGTAGGGTTGATGTCTCACACTTTTTTCCACTTCCCAGTTAATGGGTCAGAGGCCGCCGCCGCCACGAAAATTCTGGGGTTCGACGGTGTTCGCGCTGTTACTATTCTTGTCCCACGACGGGATTTCATGACTGCTGTCGAATGGTTTACACTGGAAATCCTATATATAGCCTGAGTCAAACCAAAAACCCGACGGGCGCGATGGAGAGGTTTCTGATGACAGGAGACCGCGGCGATGCCCGGATTGGGCCCGTTTCAGTTGGGAGGAGTCGGGGCGGGGTGACAGCGCATCAGTCGCCTCTCGGTTGGCTGATACTGATACCCTAGATACCAGGAGGGACTACTCCGTAGATAGGACCAGTAGGACTAGCATGATAGGCTGATAGCAGTCTGCTTTGGTCGTGCCAGCACCGCCACTAGGGCCGCCTTGGCAGGGCCGACAAAGAAAAACCGCCAACTGATCAGAAATGAGGAGCAATGACGAGAGTCCGTCCAAACTCAAATCTCGTCCTGCGAAGAGTCCCATCTACTGAGTACTCCCTGATGCAAGGGACTCAGCAGGGGAGTGGTGCCTGTCTCGGGTCGGAAATCGGCTCGTATTACTGCATCACTTCCGGGTTCCGAACCGATACTGGAACGCGTGAGATTTGGCGGGCAGTGGCCAACTGGCACGGCAGGCACCAGGCTGGTCTGTATCACTTCCCCTCTTCAATAAACTCTGCAAGATGCACCACCGTTGTGCAGAAGCCGTCCGACTTGCAATCTGGATGATGTGGATCGTACCAGGCATCAAGGATTGATCGATCGTAGCAGGATTTCTTCCACTATCGCTTCGCACCGAACTGGCTGATGGTGACATGTCACATCGCATCAATCGGTCGGAGTGGAGAGCCGTGTTCCTCGCACCTGTCAACCCCGTGCGTGCGATAGATCATGATGACCTCTTTTCTTTGAGATTTAGCATTGTAGTACCTATTCGGTGGGCATCGCTGCATTTGCATGTGCGAGACCTTGTACCTGCGGTAAGCCCATCCACTTCTTAGGGTTGAGTACGTTGTGATGAATCAACTGCACCCTGCGTGACAGAAGAAAGGATCGACCGCTCCAATGACACTGAACCTTGCAGCGGAGGGAACGAAGAGATCGGTAACGAGACCGAGTCGACCACTGACCTCGTCATGCGCCCTCGTCGGATCGGGCTGGTGAATGACAAATACGAGGACTTTCCGCGTCTGCAAATTTAGATGATCGGTATTGATACCCAGGATGGATTTCACGAGGCGGTCTTGATACGTGGGCACGATCCATGGCTCCCTTTCAGATACACTTGTACGTAAATATTGCAGCGAAAATGATTTGTCCACTCTGATCATTCTAGGGCTGGGTCAAAGTGGCTCTGCAGGAACTCTGCCACACACTGATCGCAACAAGTGTGGCATAGGGATAAGCTTGACACAATGATGTACGCTACATGCAGCGTCATAAGGTCGATCGGTAGACAAATGGGTTGCTCGCAAATTGGGATTCGCGGGTGTCCTTGATTCTTTTATATAAGAGAGAACCCCTGCTTACTGGGGAGAGTTTAGCGGGCATCCATTAGATGCAATCTATGCATCCTCATCTCGCTGCAGCAACCGATCATCCTCGAAGGATTCTATCAAGGGCTCCCCCAGCTTTGTTGATGTTCATGTGCGCACAAGTAGGTAAAAGATCGCTGACATGGGTTAGTCCATTCCTTGCAGGCTCCCATCAAACCGCCTCTCGATCTGCACTTCTGCAGCCAGGGATATTGCCATCGGTAGGGCTTCTGGCGCATTCTCGAGATACGCCTCGACAAGCCACCGATGACTCTCCCAAATCAATTCTCCAGCATGCGGCTCTAGACTAAGGCGCCATCAAGGAAGAAAACCCTATATTGGAGGATCCGTCCGTTCTCGTCCAGGATCTGGGAGAGGATCAGTTCGTGGCTTGTTGGAGGCCCGCCAAGCGCGATACGAGACGCAAGGAGGTGAAGAATGCCATGCAAACGAGGTTGAAATTAAGAGCGATGACTGGCCCTGGAGGGTACCTGAGTAAAAAGGCCCCTAATTAACAGTTGCAGCCAACCTGGGGTTCCATCTGAGATGGATCATGCAGTTTCCACCATGGGTTGTCGGTGATGATGTATAGACCTCATCGCAAGTCCATCCCCTTGGCCATTCACGAAAGGATACCTGCATGCTAGGCAGGTGTTATGCACAGTGATGAAGTAGAGAAGTAAAACAAAGAAAACAAAGACAAGAACAGAGGATTCGACCGAGAAATCAATTCATGTAAACAGAGGTTAAGCATCACTCGCCGCACTCTGGATCTCCCCACGCTATTCACCAGATTCCACATGGTCTTGAGTAGCCCGCTTGCACGCCTTCTAACAACCAACTTTTGACCACCAACTCATCCTGATGGAAACAGCTCATATGCAAATATGATCAGGCAATGTTCCGTAGCACTGACTCAGACTATACCTGTCGCCAAGGACGCCCAGGGGGGAGGGAATTTCCGCCCAGGCGAGGATTAGCTGCAACCATCTCCCACGTCATGGACGGGGTTTCTCCATGGGCAAGCCAGCCATAGTGGGGAAGCCCCTCCACTGGACTCCGGTGCGAGCCGTCCGGGCTGGGGCAGTTCCAGGATTCTGTTTCACCACTGGATTGGTGATGGATCGCGGACGAGTACCTAGGAGTCGTGGTGTCGGAGACGGGCGCGGTCGGGCAGGTCGGTATGTCCGATCTCGGCAGGGCAGAATCAGGGCACGAGGCAGCCCGAGACGGTCTCAGCGGCGTGCATTGCTGTCTTGCCCTCCAGAATGAGGCAGAACGATGAGGATCATGCTGGTTAGAATGCAGACGTGGATGCATGCACGGCCAGTGATGACACTCCCGAGGAGGCCTCGAGGCCGACCTAGGGCTGGAGAAGGGAAAACCCCAATTGTGGCACAATACACTCCCAGACAAGCATGTCTTTGTTCGCCGGGCCAGAAAGCGAAGAAAGACATGCTTGTCTGGGAGTGTATTGAGAAGGAGAGGAGACGATGTTTCCGGAGGCCTTGCCAGTGGCAGCCCGCGGACGAACATTCCTCATCTCCAAGCCCAGCATCGGCGGCGTTCGTCTATCTCTCGACCGCATTCCTCTGCATTCCATTGTTGAACGAGTTCGGTCAACAGCCGCTCGTGGCAGGCGGAGGAGCCGCCAAATCCACCATAACAATAACAATCTTCATCATAACAATGGCGAGCAAATATATAAGACCCGGCTCGACCGGGTCCAGGTCAAAGAGTCTGTATCTATCGACCATCGACCACCCCGATCGCCTACTTTCGCCCACCATCCGCCTCTCTCGACATCTCGGCTGCTTCCTTCACCATGAAGTGGTCTCACCCCAATGGGCTGGCCTTGCCCATCCTCTCCACGCTCTTCCAATGGGCCTCGTGCCGCGTGGTCGACTTCCGACTCGACCTGACATGGGAAGATAGTAACGTCGCCGGCATCTCGCGCAAGGCCATCTTCACCAATGGACAAGTGCCTGGACCGGCCCTCCGGGTGCTCCAGGGCGACCAGGTGCGAGTGATGGTCAACAACTCGATGCCCTTTGCCACCACCATCCACTGGCACGGTAAGTGACGGCCTGCCTGGGTCTCTCTTTCATCCGGCCTGCCGGCTAACCCACGGCTCTAGGCATCGCCCAGTATGGCACGCCCTGGTCCGACGGCGTCCCGGGTCTCAACCAAGCCATGATCGAGCCTGGGGAGGAGTTTGGCTACGAGTGGACGGCGACGGATTACGGCTCCTACGCCTATCACGCCCACACCCGGGCGCAGATGGACGACGGTCTCTATGGTGCCATCTATGTGGAACCCAGTGCCGACGTGGAGCGCCCGTTTAGTCTCATCAGCAGCCTCCCGGAGGATCAAGATGCCATGCTGCAGGCGGAGAAGAACACGCATCCCATCATGCTCTCCGACTGGCGGTCCTTCACCTCGGAGGAGACCTTGCAGATCGAAGAGGACTCGGGGGTGCAGGCCTACTGTGCCAGCTCCATCCTCATCAATGGCAAGGGCGCGGTGATCTGTCCCCCGCAGGACCATATCAACGATCTGACCCGTTCGGGCGAGCAGAATGCCCTGGGCAATAACACCATGTCGGACATGGGGTGAGACCATTTATAACCCGTCTTGTTGTGCTGTGTCGCAATGGCTAATCGTGTCCCAGTTGCATGCCTCCCCTGCCGGCCCGCCTGGGCTTCTTCCCATTCAATATCACGAAAATCCCCACGGGCTTCTATCAGGGCTGCGTACCCACCCAAGGGGAACAGGAAGTGCTGTCCGTCGACCCGGCCTCCGGCTATGTCAGCTATGACTTGATCAGCATGACCGGCACCTCCAACCTCGTCTTCTCCATCGACCAGCATCCCATGTACATCTACGCCGTCGACGGGCAATACGTCGAGCCCCTGATGGTCGATGCCATCAACGTGTACGCGGGCGCACGCTTCTCCGTCCTCGTGAAGCTCAACCAAACGGTGGGCCAATACACGGTGCGCGCCGCCAACAAGTTTGCCAACCAGATCATCAACGGCACCGCCATCATGTCCTACACCGGCGCCGATCCCACCATCACCAACACCTCGTCCCCGTATATCAACGAGCTCGGCACGGCCGCCGATCGCGACCGCTCCGTCATCATCCTGGACGAGGCGAAGATCGTTCCCTTCGCGGCGGATCCCCCGGCGCCAGTGCCCGACCAGACCCAAATCCTCAACGTGAACCTCTATAATGCCTCCTACCGTTGGGTCCTGGGCGAGGCCAGCTACCCCATGTCCAACGAAGACCTCAGTCCCGTCATCTTCAACTACAGCTCCATCCCCGCGCAATATACCATCACCACCAAGAACAACACCTGGGTGGACCTCATCTTCAACATGACCACCATCGGCCAGCCCCAACACCCCATCCACAAGCACTCCAACAAGTTCTACGTGCTCGGGTGGGGCGACAGCGCCTGGAACTACTCCTCCGTGGCCGAAGCCATGGAGTACATCCCGGACAGTTTCAACCTACAGAATCCCCAACGGCGCGACACCTTCCAGACGCCGCCCTCCACTCCGAACAAGAGCTGGTTGGCCCTGCGCTACCATGTGGTGAACCCAGGGCCCTTCTTCATCCACTGCCATCTGTCCATGCACGAGATGGGCGGCTTGGCCCTGGCCATCCTGGACGGCGTGGATGCCTGGCCCACCGTGCCGGACCGATACCAGTTGCCGGTGGTGGCGGATGATCCTACCACGCATCAACTGATCAGTCATCCCAAGTTTGATTAATCGCCCTAGTCTTAGTGATTGCCCTTCCTATTTCACCCCCCCCTCCCTTCTATTGCATCCGCCGATGAGGCGCAGGCGTCAGCGGCTGTCATTCTGCATCTTCGGCATCCGGTGTTATCTCATTGTTTGCATCTTCTTTGATAAAAAGATTTTCATTCCTGGCGTTGGATATGGACTGTTTTTTTTATTACACGTGGGTTGTTGCTTTCATGGCGTTACTTCAGACTCTGCATCTATCATGGCATTTAATCATCAATCTATTACATCCTTTCCAAGAGAACAATACCCTCTCAAACCAGCATATCTAACAAGGAACCCCAGTAAGCGTACAGCAGAGATAACTACCTAGTACTATGAGAATAAGTCCATAGTAGTGACAACGTGGCATTCCCCCTTACACCACCACCCAAAAAAAAAAAAGAAGGTAATCAAAACAAACAAATAAACAAACCCCCCCCCCCCCATCCCTGTGGAGTCCGCCACTTGTCATCCGATGTCAAACCTAAACCCAATAACTTAATCCTACTATGCATACATACCAGACTAGACAGACTAGATCCGCTGCACACATACCGGATCCATTCCGTGAGAGATGAATTTTATCAGGAATCAGAATATCATAACATCTACCTTGATTATGCTCGTTGTCGTATAGGTAGCATGTATATGTAAAGGTAGAATGTAGATAGATAGGTGGGCATTCCAGAGAGATGAGTTTGGGGTGTGTGGGAGACTACTATCTATGTCTAATTTGATGGTGGGGGTATTGAATGTGAGGGACTTACTTGGATGGGGTGGGCGGGTGTATACGACCTATGTATGCTAGTATGGTATCGTGGTAGCGATGGATGGAAGAGCAGAGTCAGGGGATCGGTAAGATAGTGGCTGCCTGGTATCGACAGGGAGTAGACGCGTTGCTTTCCTCGGTGATGATGGCTGTCGGGTATGGCTGTGGGTGAAAACAAGTACTCGTAGCGTCAGATTATCGGATTAGATACAGAGGTTGGTGATTTCACCCGGCTAAACACTAGGCATAATCATAATATACAATTTGTGCACGACTCCGTCGATGGGTATTGGTCATCACCACGCCACCGTCGAACTCAGCCCATCCAACTCCCGCTGGTAGTTCCGATGCTGCGCAATCTGGTAGAAGAACAATCCCACAAAATCCTTGGCGTCCGTGAGGATCTGCACCCCCGCCTGGAAGCTCTCCGGCTTCTGGACGCCCCCCGCCGTGACCACGCCGTACCACTCCACCGGCTGCGACTGGGAGGCCGTCGCGACGTGCACATCCAGCACACTGCCCAATGCCTCCTTGATCAGCTCGGCGGCTTCGCCCGTGCCGGCCAGCGGCTTCAGGTGGCCAAAGGTTTCCGCGATCCAGTACCGGATCTGTCCATTCTGTCGCAGCGTCTGCACGTGCGGTCCGCCCGGGATGAAGGTCGCATCGAACATGGTCGACCGCTGGCCGTCGTACTGGTGGTCCGCAATGATGCCCTGGGACGTCTCCTTGGATTCGCCATCCGCGTAGATGGGCGACCGCTTGGTGCCAATGACGAAGGGCAAGGCCCCGGCCGCCGTCACGGCCGTCTGCACCCCCTTGAACGCCACGGGGTCGTATCCATCGCCGATCACAATGGCAATGCGCCGACTGGCGATGGTCGGAGACTTGGGGGGGAACTCCGTCTGCGACAGGTGAATGGCTTGTCGGCCGTGGTTGGCCATGAGGGCCTTCTCCGGAATCGGCGCGCCCACGGCTTCGGCCACCTTCTGCGCCAGCTCGAGGTCGATTTCCGCCAACCGCTTGCCGGCCAAGCGCTCGTAGACAATGGGGTCATCGCAGTGGTCCAGTTCGAAACTAAAGGCCTTGATCATGTGCAGCTTCTCGTGCTCCGACATGGAGTTGAAGAAGAGTTGGGCCTGAGAGTGGTGCTCGCGGAACTTGGGGCCCAGCGCGCGTCGCTTCCGACCGGTGACCGGCGCCGGGTAGGACTCGAAGCCGCCGCCTTGGGGCGCAGGATCATCGGGCTTGGCCGCCTCGAACCGGTTGGGCCAGTAGTTGACACTGCCCTTGGTGATCCGGTGGCGCATGGCCCCGTCGCGGTTGTGGTTCAGCACGGGACAGACCGGTCGGTTGATGGGGAGCTCCTCCCAGTTGATTCCCAGACGGCTAATCTGAGTGTCGAAGTAGGAAAAGTTCCGTCCCTGCAGCAGCGGGTCGTCGGAGAAGTCAATCCCGGGTACGATGTGCGAGGTACAAAAGGCGACTTGCTCCGTTTGCGGGAAGAACTCATCCACGTTGCGGTTGAGCTCCAGCACACCGATGGTCCGGGGGGGAACCAGATCCTCCGGCCAGATCTTGGTGGCGTCGAGGATGTCAAAGTCAAAGTCATCCTGCTTCTCCTCCGGGATGGTCTGGATCGACAGGTCCCATTTCGGGAACGCACCATTGTCAATGGCCTCCATCAGGTCCTTGCGGTGGAAGTCCGGGTCCTGACCCGCGAGCTTCAAGGCTTCGTCCCAGACGAAGGAATGCACACCCAGATGGGGCGTCCAGATAAACTTGACAAAGTGGCGCTTGCCCTCCTTGTTAATCAACGAGAAAGTGTTGACACCAAACCCTTGCATCATCCGGTAGGACCGGGGAATGGCGCGGTCCGACATGGCCCACATGAACATATGGGTGGCTTCAGGGTGTAGGTAGCAGAAATCCCAAAAGTTGTTGTGGGCTGTCTGGGCTTGAGGAACTTCATTGTGAGGCTCGGGCTTCACCGCGTGGACTGCACCAGGTTAGCCAGGTCGGTGGCACGGAGGCAACGAGACATACCGAAATCAGGGAACTTCATGGAATCCTGGATAAAGAAGACGGGGATATTGTTGCCAACAATGTCCCAGTTACCCTCGTCGGTGTAGAACTTGGTCGCGAATCCACGGACATCGCGCACCGTATCGGCACTCCCCTTACTGCCCTGCACGGTGGAAAAGCGGACAAAGACGGGGGTATTCCGCGAGGTATCTGTTAGAACCCCCGCATAGGTGACATCTTCACAGCTCTCGAGCAGTTTAAAGTTCCCGAATGCGCCGGTTCCCCGCGCGTGGACGACACGCTCGGGGATCCGCTCATGGTCGAATCGGTGGATCTAACGGTTATCAATCATCTGCGTCTCCTCTACTTCATGACAGATACCATACCTTCTCTCGGGCGATCTGATCCTCCAGCAGGGAAGGTCCGGTGTGACGGTCGTCAACCGACCGCAGCCATTGGTCGGCATTGCTGATGGGGACACCGTGGTCGGTGGTCTGGCGCTGGTTGGTGGTGACATCCACCATGTCGCGCTCGAGGTCAACACTCTTCTTGTTCTTCGAGGCAGCACTTTTGACCGCCTCGTGGGCTTTTTCGAGCCCCTCTGCAACAACAGTGGCCATGGTGAGAGTGCCGGGAGGTTGAAGATAGGACTATCGGGATGGAAGGAATTGGAGGGCAAAAGGAGACTGAATGTAAAGCGACCGGGGAGGAGACGGCTTGCATATAAGCTGATATACCTCGGGGTCTCATGGGTAATGGCGAGCATCTGGTTGGCTGGTGAATGGCACGTAACCATGACGTCGGGAATGGGACGTCACCGTGACCGACGATCCCCTCTCAGAATCCAGCCGATATAGACCCTCGGGGAGAATGGCACAAAAGCAGGATCACTAAAACACACTGGAACCTGATTGCCGGCGTGAACCGGTTGCTCCCAGCACGTTCAATGGCGGCTGGAGGAGAAGATGTTCATGGCGGTTGGCGGATTCCCAGCTCAGCCCTAGGATAAGGTTAGATAAGACCGTGACACAGTTTCCGCTGCTGCTACTATATACTACTATGTGCTGCACGGGTGGACCCTGACCCGGCCCCTGACCCCGGCACTTGTAGATAGCTGTATGTTAAAATGGTCCATCCTATGTCAGACCTTCTTCGGGAATCTTCCCGATAATGAGCAGTTAAGCGCCTCTATGCATCGAAGCGCGTCTGCAGCTTGTCAAAACACCCCTTTCCAACCAAGTTGAGATCGCAATGGGAATGTTAACAGGTGCCGATACGTTCCTTCTCCCAGACATGTTCTGGCACTGCCGGTCGCAGGCAATGATTAAACCGGTGCTCACGTTGTTGCCGCTGATTTTGCATTCTCCCGCTAGTGATTATCGAGCATAGGGCTAACCGACCCTCCGAAGCCCGAAGCCAACGGCGTCGCACTTAGATTATTTATGAATGACTTAGTGCTCAACTAAGCCCCAGACGCTAACTAACGTCCAAATATGATTCAGGAGACGGAAACGTCCGCCAGTAGCGTCATGCGTAGGTCAACCCATAAAACATAAAATATAAATACGTGGCGTGGTTCTCCTTCCCAGGCCGACTGACCGATGGCACGGACTCCTTTCAACCCAGCCTCGACACGCAACCGGTCAGGAAAATGCGGCAGACTCTCCAACAGCTTGATCTAGACGGTCGGCAGGGCCACGATGCCATCTTCGAGGCTTCCTATCTGGAGGATATCCCCACCGCTTTGGCCGAATGGGGAGCATCTCGCATCCTTCTGGTCGTGAGCACGACCCTCGACACGACGACATCCCTAATTAAAGACTTGGAGGCTCGCCTGTCGCATTGCTCGCTACAGAAGAAAACGGGCGTGGGCAGCCACTCCCCATACCGGGATATCATCGACATTGCACACACCGTCCAGAATCATGACATCCAGGCCGTCGTCTCCATCGGATCAGGATCGTATTCCGACGCGTGCAAGATCGCTGTCATGCTCAGTGCCACGCTACCCGCTGGCTTCGGGGAGGACGATATGGAGGCCCTGATCGATCAGGCCCACGGCCTCGCTGGCCCCGACGGGATCCACGCACCCACCACCAAGCTGATCTGCGTGCCAACCAGTCTCAGTGCCGGTGAGTGGAACATGTTTGCCAGTGCCACGAATTCCCACGGGAAAAAGCAGCACTTCGTACACCGCGAGGGATCGCCCTCATTGATCTTGATGGATCCCCGAGTCGCCAGTACCATGCCATCTCACCTGTGGCTGGCCTCAGGGGTACGTGCTGTGGATCACTTTGTGGAGACGCTGTGCAATCCCCAGTGCCACGAGGAAGCAGCCGCACATGTCAAGAAAGGACTCCCGGTCTTGCTCCGGGGCCTGAAGGATTACCATATGGGCCGGGAAGAGCATAACGAGGAAGAATTGCTGAAAGGAATCTCCGAGTGCCAGCGAGGCTCCCGAGATGCCCTCATCCCGTTCATCAAATGGAAGATCACCATGGGGCCGAGCCATGCGATCGGCCATCAACTTGTGAGTGAAGGGTTGACCATCACCGTTTTGGCGACGAGGGATTGTGTTGACCACCGTTTCTTTACCAACAGGGAAGTGTCGCTGGTGTGCAGCATGGTAAGTGAAGCCCGTCATCTTCAAGTGGTATGATTGAGAGATCCGCTGACCACTCTACGTCTAGGCGTGACGGTAATTTCTCCCCCGACAACCCAGCCTCAGCAATTACTGTGGTCATACCCAGACTAACCGACCTTGTAGAGCTGTATCATCCTACCGGCCACGCTGCGAGTCACCCAGCCTCGGACCCAAGCTGCCCAGGATGTGATTCTTGGCATCTTCAACGAGGTGCTCGGATTCCAGGAAACAACAGCCGCTGACGCCATGCTACGATTTGTCCAGCTATTGGGTCTGCCATCGCGACTGTCCGAGGTTAACGTGACCAGTGACGAACAGTTGCACAAGATCGCTGACATGGCTATGACTGACGTCTTGGCCAAGCACACGGGCCTTATTCCAGACAAAGATGGTGTTCTTCGGATTCTTGAACTGGCACGGTGAGGTAGTATTCTTTGGCCGGTCCCTGCATTGTAGCGACGGTATTGACCAGAAGGATTGAGTCTTTCTTCCACATTGTGACCTCGTTCCGTTCATGAGTTGGCTCCTGCTCGTTTATTTATTTCCTGGCCGTGGCTCCTCGTTTTCCTCCGGGTTATCCTTGACGAGTGTTGCTGTTGAGACACTGGCCATTCAATAGGAATCATAAATTGTCCGAAATGTAGAATCCGTGTAACTATCTGACCGTCTGACGGTGTCAGTGGACGCGCGTCAAGAAAGAGCTCAAGGAAAGGAAGAGTGTTCCGCACTGACGTCATGGGTCGCTGAGCCCGACCCCCCCGCTAGATAGATATAACAAGCCTCGAGCTGGAGGAGCAGATGGGATCTGCACAGAGACACCAACTTTCTGCTACCCGCTTTTCCTTCAGTCACAGTAGTGCCTCTAGGTACGTATCCAGTAGCCAGACCAACAAAGCGGGGATCGTTACTGAGCCGTCCGCTGTCCGCCAGTTGTCTCCATTGAAACCAACTGTTATCCGTTCATCACCGAGAAACAGCCGAAAATGCCCTCTTCTCAAGACTCGGGAGTGACTGGCGCCGCCAAATTCGTCACTTCGACTCTGGGCAACACGGTCGGTGGGGTCTCTCGCACCGTCGGCGGGGTGACGGGGGCCGCCGGGCGAGGCGTCGGCGACACCATTACGGGGGCGACGGGAAGTGCAGGCAAGCCCGTCGGGGATGCGCTGGGCAGCGTGGGGACCGGAGTGGAGGACGGAGCTCGGAGGATTGCACGGGGAATCGAGGATGCGGGCCAGTGGAAATGAACGAGGAGTGAACAAGGAGGAGTTGATTGTTGTTGACGACATTGGATTATGGATACTGTTCGGTCGGCAGGCGGTGTACCACGTGCTGCGTTCTTGTCTTCTGTCGTGTAATGCCTTCTTACTTATGCTTTAATGGACTTTGAATGCACATATCATACTTCCTACCAGAGTAAACTTGATTACAGAGTAAGAGTATCTCAGGAGGCAGGCATTGTCCCAATGCAGGTGTTGCATCCAAGGCCGCAGCCTTTGAGACATACTATGCAGCATGCATAAATCTTACACAAAGGAAGAAAATGCCACTTAATGTGTTTGGCTGGGGGGTGTCTGGAATCCAGGGAATCCGGAGCGCCCTTTCATGCCTTTCCTCTTCTGCAGGTGCGGAGTACTAGAAATATATTATGCTAGTAATATCTCAACCACGCACATTGGCCTGAGGACACCCCATGCCTGATCAATGGCGATATGCCACTTTACGACTTTTAAAATGGATCCGGACATTGAGACTACCCTGGCTGTACCGTTACAGCCACCTTGATGCCACCTAGATGGTCCCAAAGGATGCGGAGGCGGAGCGCAGTCACGTGCTGTTGTGTACATAAAAGTGACCTGCCTGTAAGGCGCGGTCGAGGTGCTTAATTATTGAACATAGTCCGATGCAAAGTCGGTCCACGGCCCAGATAGTTCGTAAGAGGTAAGATGAAGGGCCCCACCGTCTGCTTCCGATTGATAAGCAACCCACTGGCCCGTAGTTAACTATCTATCTAGTCAGCACGACGTCAGCCACCCTCTCAGCCCGAGTCAACCGCAGTTCACCTTCGGCAGGTGCTATGAATAGTGAAAGAGAAATGGGACGGAGGATCTACTCCGTACCGGAACAAAACAGAGGAGAGAGCGCTTAGCTAAGCTGAAGAGGAGGAGAAAAAGCGGCTGAGTCAGGCCCGGACCAGATGGAGGGCTGTGAGTGGTCCGAGGGATCCGCGGGCGGGTTGCCTCGAAGCGGAATCCGCGAATGGAAGCGCATCGCCGCCAGTAAGCCGGCCGCTCCCGGCACAGGCGGACTGCGAAAGCTCGCCTCCCATCCAGCCTTGCCAGCCATTCTGCATCTCTCATTCTCTTCCCCTCCGCATTCCGCCTCCTGGCAAACTCGCGGCTGTGGTCTGACTGCCCCTCCGACGTCCGCGTCCAACTGGCCCGCCCTTGATCGTTTCGACCCTTTCAGAGGCTAGTTTGCTTGTCTTCTGCCCTCGTCGAATTCTCCCTCTCTCCGATCGCCGCGATCACGCCCGTCATATACACTTCCTTCACTCCCTCCCCGTTCGCCGGATTCGGATAACAACTTCATCGGAGCGGACGAGTACTCCCGAGATCTCGATTGCTCACCCATATCAACCCTTTCGTTCAGCATCAATCGATCGTGCGGCCGGCTTCACTGCCCCGAAGGCCTGCGTGGCCGCCTCGCGCAGGGTCCCTCCGTCCCAGCCGGTCCGATGGTTGCCATCTATTGCTGAGGATACTCGGGGAATACATTGCTCATGGATACCATTCACGGAAAAGGGGAGGAGGACCTGAGTCGTGCCTCAGACGAGGTTCCCCCGATCCCCTCTCAGGATGCGAAGTCGACGAAGCGCGCGCGATGGGCGACGAAGCGGATGACCGCCGCCGGTGGCCTCCGGAAGAGAGTGTCCATCTTGGAACGCGGCCACCGGCGAGGCGCCCAAGACTCCCAGACTAATGCTGCAGCAGGGGCGCCAGAGGGCGAGAACACGGAATCTTCATCGCGGAAAGTCTACTTCAATCTTCCCATACCTGATAGCGAGCGGGACGAGGAAGGCAATCTCAAAGCCGTCTACCCCCGCAATAAGATTCGCACCTCCATCTACACGCCGTTGACATTCGTCCCGAAGAACCTCTGGTTGCAGTTCCACAATATCGCAAACCTTTACTTCCTGTTCGTCATCATCCTGCAGTGCTTTTCGATCTTCGGAGATGCCGACCCGGGCCTGAGTGCCGTCCCACTGATCATTATCGTCGCCGTCACTGCAATCAAGGATGCCATTGAGGATTGGAGGCGAACAGTCTCCGATAACGAACTCAACAACTCCCCAGTCTACCGTCTTACCGAATGGCATAATGTCAACGTCACTGCCGACAATGTGTCTACCTGGCGAAAGTTCAAAAAGGCCTGTACGCGTGCCACCATCTACACGTACCGTGGCATGAAGAAACTCTGGCAGCGCAAGCCCGCCGACAAAGACGTAGCGGGAGACGTCGAGATGGCGGATTCCCGGCCGTCAGTCGAACCATCCTCCCCGATCGAGATGACAACCGTGTCACCGAACCTTGATGCCCGTGCTTCTGGAGATTGGCCAGATCCTACCGATGGCCATCTGCAATCTGAGCGCGGCGGCAACCCCTCCTGGGCGCGAGCGAAGGGCAGCATCCTTAATCCGACCACGTCCGCCTCAGGGAAGGCTCGTTTCAAACGCCAGCACTGGAAAGATGTCAACGTCGGGGACTTTGTGCGGCTGTACAATGGCGATCAGATCCCAGCTGACATGGTCATCCTGTCAACGTCTGATCCGGACGGCGCCTGCTATGTGGAAACCAAGAATCTGGACGGCGAGACAAATCTAAAGGTCCGCCATGCCCTCAATTGCGGCCGGGCAGTGAGAAACGCCCGGGACTGTGAGAGAGCGGAGTTTACGATCGAGAGCCCTCCTCCTCATGCGAATCTGTACTCGTTCAGTGGTGCCATTTACTGGGACCAACAGGACGATTCTCAGGCACCGCCCCAAGAACGAGTGGAGCCCGTCACCATCAACAACATTCTTCTCCGTGGCTGTAGCCTTCAGAATACGGAATGGGCATTGGGTGTGGTCTTATTCACGGGCTCGGAATCCAAGATTATGCTGAACCAGGGCATTACCCCGACCAAGCGACCGCAAATGGCGCGCAACATGAATTGGAACGTTCTTTACAACTTTGCCATCCTCTTCATCATGTGTTTGATTTCGGGTTTCATTAATGGCTTCGCCTGGGGGCTCAAGGATGCTTCTCTGGCTTTCTTTGAATACGGTTCTTATGGTGGGTCGCCCGCCGTAGAAGGTGTCGTTGCCTTTTGGGTGGGTGTGGTCCTGTTTCAGAACTTGGTCCCCATTGCCCTGTACATCTCCTTGGAAATCGTGCGATGGATCCAAGCGCTCTTCATCTTCTTCGACCAGTACATGTACTATGAGCGGTTGGAGATGTCTTGCGTCCCCAAGGCTTGGAACATCTCAGATGACATTGGGCAAATCGAGTACATTTTCTCGGACAAGACGGGCACACTGACGCAAAATGTGATGGAGTTCAAGAAATGCACCGTCAACGGGGTCGCTTATGGTGAGGCCTACACGGAAGCCCAACTGGGAATGCAGAGACGGCAGGGCTTAGTGAATGTGGAGGAGGAAGCTGCCAGGGCCCGCCAACACATTAGCGACAGCCGGGTGGAAATGTTGAAGCAATTGCGTCAGCTACATGATAACCCGTACCTCATTGATGACAACCTTACTTTTGTTTCGCCTCAATACGCCGCAGATCTTGGCGGTGCATCAGGCGATGCTCAGAGGCAGGCGACGGAAAGCTTCATGACCGCGCTGGCCTTGTGTCATACGGTGGTCTCGGAACGTACCCCAGGCGACCCTCCGCAGATTGAGTTCAAGGCCCAGTCCCCCGATGAGGCCGCTCTGGTGGCTACTGCTCGAGACTGTGGATTCACGGCGTTGGGTCGCTCCGGCGATAGCTTAACCGTTAATATCATGGGCGAAGAACGCAGTTACCGGATTTTGAATATCTTGGAATTCAACTCGACGCGTAAGAGAATGAGTGTGATTGTCCAAATGCCGGATGGAACGATTCGCCTGCTGTGCAAGGGTGCCGATACGGTCATTAACTCTCGCCTGGCCCCCGGTCAACAACGGGAGCTCCGGAATACCACCGCGCAGCATCTTGAAACATTCGCCCAAGAAGGTCTCCGAGTGCTCTGTATTGCCGAACGGGTTCTTGACGAGGACTACTACCGTCAGTGGAGTCTCAAGCATGACGTGGCTGCCGCTGCCATCGTGGATCGTGAAGAGAAGCTGGAGGAGGTCGCCAGTGCTATTGAACGGGACTTGTTTCTTTTGGGTGGCACTGCCATTGAAGATCGGTTACAGGATGGTGTACCAGACACTATCTCCTTACTGGCTGAGGCTGGTATCAAGCTTTGGGTTTTGACTGGTGACAAGGTCGAAACTGCCATCAACATTGGCTACTCCTGCAACCTTCTCAACAATGACATGGATATCATGATAATGAGTGCACCGGATGCCGACATGGCCGCGAAAGAATTGGACAGCAAGCTAGAAATGTTTGGGATTACGGGCTCGGATGAGGAATTGACTGCTGCACGCCAGGACCACTCACCGCCCCCGCCAACGCATGCCCTCGTTCTCGACGGGGACTGCCTCCGATTGATGTTGGATGATGCCTTGAGGCAGAAGTTCCTGTTGCTGTGCCGGAAATGTAAGTCCGTCCTCTGTTGCCGTGTCAGCCCGGCCCAAAAGGCCGCGGTTGTTGACATGGTGAGGACCGGTTTGAACGTGATGGCTTTGTCGATTGGAGACGGCGCCAACGATGTCGCCATGATTCAAAAAGCAGATGTCGGGGTGGGCATTGCTGGAGAAGAAGGTCGCCAGGCAGTCATGTCGGCCGATTACGCCATCGGCCAGTTCCGTTTCCTACAGCGTCTGATTCTCGTGCATGGACGGTGGGCGTACCGGCGGCTCGGCGAGACCACCGCCAATTTCTTCTATAAGGTCAGTCTATACCCCGGCTGGTGATGGCGGGTGTGGAAGTAGACCACACGGGATGGATTAGCTTGGGGATGTTGATGCTGACTTTGGTCTCAGAACTTGGTCTGGACGTTTGCGCTGTTTTGGTATTCTATCTATGACAACTTCGACGGCTCCTACCTTTTCGAGTACACATATATTACCCTGGTGAACGTCGCCTTCACCTCCCTGCCTGTAATCTTTATGGGAATCTTCGATCAGGATGTCGACGATAGGGTGTCCCTGGCAGTACCACAGCTCTACATGCGAGGCATTGAGCGTAAGGAGTGGACGCAGTTCAAATTCTGGTGAGTTACATCGCTGCTTGCAGGCACTGAGTCTGGTGTCGTGGGACTAGAACGAGGCTGACGACTGTCACCAGGATCTACATGCTGGACGGCTTTTACCAATCCATCATCTGTTTCTTCATGCCATATGAGCTGTACTCTGCGGCCAATTTCCAAACCGAAAACGGACTCGGCATCGATGACCGGTACCGCATGGGTGTCCTCGTCGCTACTTGTGCGGTGGTTGCGAGCAACACCTACGTGATGATGAACATGTATCGATGGGATTGGCTGACCACCTTGATCAACGCGATTAGCTCACTGTTGATCTTCTTCTGGACCGGTATTTACTCGTCCTTTGAATCTTCCGCGACCTTCTATGGGGCTGCCCGGCAGGTCTATGGCGCCCTGTCGTTCTGGGTGGTCCTGTTTTTGACCGTGGTGATGTGTCTCGTCCCCCGATTCGTCATCAAGTGCATCCAGAAGGTCTACTTCCCGCTGGACGTGGACATTGTCCGAGAACAAGTGATTCTGGGCCAGTTTGACTATCTGAAGAAGTACGAAGCCTATGTGCCTCCCGACGTCGCCAAGCTCGCACCTTCGTCCGACAGCGAAGCCTCGACTACGCCCTCGGCCCGCAGCCATACCCCGCAGACTAATTTCACGCGCGATTATCCCGTCAACCAGGGAATTGACCGCACGGCGGATTCCACTCCCGTTGCACCTCTCGTCGATGCCCAGGGCGCTCCAACGGATCTAGGTAGCAATGTCACCAGTGCGAACAACAGTGTTGCCTTTGGGCTTCAGCGACGCTCGTCCTCAGAGAGTACCAGTCGAGAACCATCCGCTTTCTCGAGTCAACTCCTGACGGTCGAATCAGCGAACATGGAGCCACAGATGCCTCACAGTCCGCTCAAGAGCCGGAGTGATCCCCCGACATACCCTGTATAGATCAGTTGCTTTCCTGCTTTTCCAGCGGCCCTTCCGATTTGTTAATATCTCCACCTTATTTCCGTTGCGATTTGACCAAAAGCTCTTGAGCAGCCGTGCTTTCTTATATTTCTTCTCACACCCTTACCATGTTACCCGCCCTTTATTTTCCCTTGTGATTACCCTCTTTATTCCCCCGGAGTTGACGGGTGTCATTTGCAGTTTCCCTTGGTATTTCCAACCGCACGGTGCAGATTTCTTTGATTTTCGGGCTCTTCGAGCCCACTGCTCGGACCGCATCTTTTATCCCAGCGTGTGTGCCCGTGGGCATCGCTGGCCTTCTTCCTGTTTCTTCTCTATAATGTCTGAATCCGCTCACGAACGTGAATACGTCGTTTGTTTGCCCTGTTTATACCACCCTTGAATATATACACACCTGCCGTGTTGTAATATAGACCGCTATTTAGTGAATTACATGACTCGTCTTCTGGCCTCTACTCAACAATAGTGAATAATAGAATAGTTTGCATTAATACCTGCCCTAGTCTGCTCATACCAGAATGGGACTCCATTTCATACACACATCAAAGATCCATAACATTAGACAACATAAACCCTACTCAACTCACTCACCACCTCCACTACATATCCCCTAAGAAAACATCTCAAACCCCCTCCCCACCCCCCTTCTCCCCACCTTCCACCCTCTCCTCCCTCCCCCCATTCCCCACCAACCTCGCCGCCACATCCCCCGTAAAACACTCATCCACCGGCGCCGAAAACAACGCCGTGACCACCGACAACCCCCCAAACGCAATACTGGCCAGAAAAACCGTCCGAAAGGACAGCGAGTACGCCGTCTTAACTGCTTCCGCGACCGCCGCGAGAATAGTGGTAGTCATGCCGGGAACGGCGTCGTAGGCGGTGGTGGTGCCGACGGAGACGGCGTCGAGGAGATCGGTTAGGGAGGTGGAGGGCAGGCCGGCGTTCGTGGCTGCGGTGGAGATGGTATTGGGGAGGGTGGTGGCGATGCGGGCGTCGAGGATGGCGATGTAGATTGCCGCTGTTGGGGGGATTTGTTAGATTGTTTCGTTTTGGGTATGGGTGGAAGATTGGGTATAGCGGGGGAATGTGATGGGAGGGGTTGACTTACTGGCAATGGTACCGGCGACTTGTTTGGCGGAGCCGAGGAATCCGCTGGCGAGACCGATGTCTTCGGGTTTGCAGTAGAGGGGACACATGATGATGGTGATGAGTTCGAGGTAGCCGACCCAGAAGCCGCCGATGGCGGTGAACTGGTGGAGGTTAGAATGGATGCGTGGGAGAGGGGAGGGAGGAGGAGAGGGCTGACAGCAATGCCATAGGACTGGCGGTGTTGGTTGACGGCGGCCAGGGCGCCTGAGAATGCGGTGATCATGATGGTCGTGACGATGAGTTGGTACTTGGTGTAGCCGATGGGCTTCATCAGTAGACCGGCGGCGACTTCCCCGACCAGGACACCGGCACCGGTGGAGATCTGTTGGGCTGTTAGAGGAGTGGATAGGGGGATGTTGTCTGAGAGACACTCACCGAGAGCCAGCCGGCCTTGACGGTGTTGGTGGTGAACAGGGCGGAGATGGCAGTCGGCCATAGTAGACTAGGGTTTCGTGAGTCAATAATAGGGCGGCTGGGGAGTGATCCTACCTCATGGAAAAGTAGACCATGTTGCCAACCAGAGCCGAGCACACCGCTCCGGCGTACCCGCGGTTTCGGAGTAGAGACATGGGCAGAAGCGGCTGTTCAAGGGGGACGAAGGTTTCTAGGGAGATCCGAGTCAGTTTGCAGGCTGGGGAGGGACACACGTTGCTGGGCTGACGTACCATAGAGGGCAAAGGCGACCAAGCAGACGAATCCGATGACCAGGACGGCGACGACGTGTGCCGAGTGCCAGGCATACGAAGAGCCGCCCCATGCTGAGGGGATAGGGTTAGTCTCGAGGCAGAAGGAGTGGACGTCCAGGCTTACAGAGACCGAGCAGCACCAGAATCAGTCCGCTGGCATACAAAATAAAGCCGAAGTAGTCGAACTTCTTGAGACCGGCGATGCGACTCTCGTTTCCGCGTTTGGCATCCCATCCGGGAGGGAAGTAGAACAGTGCCAGCAGAATGACGGACAGGCCGCAGGTGATGATGTTCAGATAGTAGGTCCAGCGCCAGGATCGAGCCGTGTTAGCGATGAACAGGTCGGCGATCACGGCTCCGAACGCGGAGAAAGGCAGGGTGGTGATGAAGATACAGGCGTTCACAGCCGGACGCGCCTGATTAGGGACCAGCTCAGCGATCACAAAGCTGAAGGTTAACTGCACGGCAGCAGCCAGGCCACAGAGCACACTGCCCCCGATGACCGTGGGAACAGTCTTGGCTGTCGCACAGACAATGGCACCGATGAGACCGAGCACTTGGCCTCCAATGAGGATATACCGGCGCCCAAACAGGTCTCCCAAGCGACCCACCAGCAGGAGGCCGACCTAGAGCATGGTCGTTAGCATGGGCCATGGAAAGGGGGATGTCTCTCGCCTCGTCCTGGCACGAGTGCTCTTACCCCGGAAATCAGCGTGAAGACGGTCGAGATCAAGGTATAGCTAGGGTCCGGCCCTACAGGCAGAAACAGGTTGTTAATGATGATTCGATAGTCCCAGCTGGGCGAAGTGGGTGACGCAGCAGCCATGGGGATGGATCAACATACCCAAGTCGGCATTGATCGCACTCAAGCTGTTCACCTGCTCGACCGTCAGCGGGGCTGCCCACATAGAAGCAGGGCGAGAGAGACCGACCGGCAAGACATAACCCAGGTACAGACTGATGGCCATCAAGCACACGGCTATAAGCGAGCCGATAAAATTCTTACTGCAGTAGTACCCTGCCGGGAATTCATCTAGGTCGACAGGGGTGGCCTTTAGCTCCGCGGCCTGCTTGTAGTCGGTCATTCTGCCTCGAAAAGGTTCTGGGAGGAGTGGGTATGTCGGGTGAGGCGGAGAGAGAAAAGTACAGGGGAATGAAAGGAAAGAAAGAAAGACAAAAGGGTAAAAGATAGGTGTGGGCAGGGTATCAGGCGCTGAAGAAGCAGCAGCACGAAGCGCCGGGCCGATGGCGGAAATGAAGCCATGACGAATCGAATGATGATGGAGAGGACTAGGCCTCTCTATTGGTCTCTGCCAAGGCGCATGGATATTAAAGCATCAGGCGACTTGGACGCGGACTGGGAGACCGATCATTAGGGCTCATCACGATCCCTGCCTAGATGGCGGCTAGCCGGCCTAGATCGCGTAAACGATAGACAATAACAGAATATCATACTATCACCGAATAAAGACTTTAGCTGGAACCTATACCCAGAAAATGGAGTTCATCCAATCCAACCAAAGCACCCTAGCTAAAAGAACCAAGCACTACTGCTAGCGTCGCCGTGTCAGTGCCAATGATATTAATTGCTCGATAGCAGGTGGAGCATAGGAAATATTACCGATACTACCAATATAGGTATCCTTTGTCCGACGCCCTGCGGCCGAGATCATTCTGGCAGACTCGCACAGGATGGATTCACAATCCCTGACCATCATCATCTGCGAGACTGGACCCCTGGCTAGTGGCCACAACCCCATCCGCCTATCCACCCATCCAGTGCATCCACCCATTCGTCCAGCGTCCATGCATCTGCCATCTCTGCCCACCACCACGCTCGAGATCCCCACCAAATATCGATTCTCCCCGGAAGCCACTTGGAATGCCATTGCTTTCATCCCTGGACCTTGCATGCCGGACCAGACGGGCAGCCTCCAATGGAAGTGGTGTGGAAAGAAGCATTCCCTCCCGACAACACAGTCAACTTGAGGGCATCGCGGGTACCGTCGATCATTGCATGTAACACGGTTCTCCTGGTCATCGCGACCGGTGGATTGCTGGTCCGTCTGTTTGTGAGAATCCGATATCTCACGGGCCTCAGTCTCGACGATCTACTATGTGCCATCAGCTGGGTATGCTCCCTAGCCCTGGTAGTCTCGCAATCTCCCCCATACTGACGCACGAGTGCCCTGTCCAGGTCTTTACCTTTGTCCTGTGTTTTGTGTGTATCTGGAGTAAGCCGCCTCGGGACACACATCTGGCGCCTTTATAATGTTGACGAGTCCTCTCCCGCAGTGACCCGATATGGCTATGGAAGGCACATTGAGACGGTGCCCGACATGGAGACCCGTGAGATGTTCCTCAAGGTAAGAAGCTCTCCTGAAATGACGATTGAGTCATGCCATTTGCTGACAACCCACTGTTTTCCAGCTGGATTTCGTCAGTATGATCGCCTACCTTCTTGCCCTCGGCTTCATTAAAGCCTCCTTCTGCCTCCTTTACCTGCAGATCTTCCCCGGGAAAGGGTTCCGTATCGCTTGTTGGAGTCTATTGGCGCTTGTTGTGGGTGAAACCATCGAAGAGACTTTCGTCGTGATCTTTCAGTGCTCGCCCATCCACAAAGCATGGGACGCCGGCGGTATGGTCCAGGGCAAATGCCTATCTCTCACGGCCTTCTACTACATCTCTTTTGGGATCCGTCTGGCTACCGACCTGGCGCTTTTTGCCCTTCCAATCCCTAAACTGGTGCGGTTGAACATGACGATGGGTAAACGAGCCGGGCTGGTGATGATGTTCGGTCTGGGTGTCTTGTATGCCAGCCCCCTCCCCTCCTTGCTCGATCAAACCAGGACCGCCATAACAGTGCATGTTAGGATCTCCCTGACGAGTATTATCCGTGCGACCTACATCAGCAACTTTTCCGATGATCACACTTGTATGTCATCCCTTGCTCTGATCGGGTTGTAGAGGTAGTAGCTAACGCATCTGCACCTTCGTATAGGGACGCTAGTCAACACGCTCAACTGGTCCAGTGTAGAAGTCGCCGTCGCTATCTTTGTCGCCTGCATTCCCTCCTTCAAATCGCTTATCACCTTCCGCTTCCCAGAACTGCAACGGCTGCTCGGGTTTTCCAGCAAGAGCGACTCCACTGGCCGGTCGAGGATATACGGCACGTCGACTCGTCGGACCAACAATGGGCGCTCCATCATGGGGCATCATAGTATCAAGCTGAATGCCATAAATACTGTGACAGCACAGAGCCAAGTGGATGTCGAAGCGAGTCGCAACGGCTCGGAAGAGCGCATCATCCCTACCAACTCCGGCATCCACGTCACCACCGACGTGAGCGTGAATGAGAGTGATTGACGAGTTGGTCCTGCCTTTTTTCCTATGTCCATAGCCAACGTTCCCTACTTCCCTATCGACTATGATTCAATATATATCTTGTCCGCCCTGCCTGATGCGATGTCTATGCTTGCAAAATCCCCGATTCAGCTCACGCACATACCCAGCGGTGTTAGATCTCCAGGGGCCGAGTATGTAGATCCTGTGTAGGATCGAGCCTAGGCCATGAATTTAGCTCGCAGCCCTAGTTGACGTTAGGGAGACACGCTAAAGCTTAGGGTATATCAAGTGGGTCCGGGTGAGCGGTCGGGGGGTTGCTATTACCCGTTCCGCACTATCGGTCTCAGACATGGCTGCCAACCAGGTTGAAGGCTCGAGATTAAATAACGGACAATATCCGTAAGAAATGAAAAGCCCGTGAGTAGCCTTTCCGTCAAGTTGCGTGAGCATCTGGTCCTCGGTAGGAAAGGGGATACGTGAAATGGCTATCTCGTAAGGTGGAAAGAGTCGCCTATAGGTAGTCCTCATCACTTCCCATCCCTGGCTGGCTCGTGAAGCGAAAGCTGTGATGTCCTCCTACTGTGTAGCTGTTATTCTCAAGACCAATCTTTTGTCCTCTTATTTGATATCGATTGTCGTTTTATCTTTGCCATCGGGTTTAGAGATCTGAAGCAATTTCGGACAGCTCTTTGACCGGCCCTTGGATTTCACACCAGGGAATCCAGGAATGGTGACTTCAATTCGGCCAAAGATCCACGGCAGGAGTCGGAAGGAAGCGCGCGATCTGAGTGGCTGAACTTCGAAGCCCCTTCGCACTTGTAAAAAGGCGCCTTGGCCCTTGGCCCTTGTTATATTAAATTAATCGACTTATCAAAGACTTCCCCGCCTGTCACGTCAGGAAGTTGGCCGATGGGAGCTGAGGTGTGCCGGAGAGAGAACGTGGTAATTGCCCCCCTAGGCCCTCAGACTGCCTTTCTCCTCTGATTCGAGGGTCAGTTATAGTTCTGTCTGCTACCTTCCATTAGATTCGTTATGTAGCGTTAGCTCCAGACCTGCAGTGACCTGCAAGGAAGAATCCCTGGAAGCTCTGGTCCGGCTTCGAAGCTCAAAAGTAACGGCGTCGGACATCGTCCGAGATCTGGTGCCGCGGAGGCACAAGCCGATTACTGTCCCCACGACCATGGTCTGATGTCAATCGGCCGATTGTAGCTACTCCGCACTAGCAAGAGAAGCCATCTAGGGAGTCCGCTGGGGTTTGTACTACCTCCTCCCTTAATACCTGCAGCATTGCGTGGTGTTCTCTCGTCAACACTCAATCTGACCCCTGACACCCAGAAGCAGACTCATTATGCCGCAATCACCACCGTCTCTTGGCCACCATGCCATTGTGTTTGGCTGCTCCGGCATCAACGGCTGGGCCCTCGTCAACCAACTGTTGTCTGACTACCCCGCCCCCGGAACCTTCTCCAAAGTCACCGCCGTTGCGAACCGTGCGTTCACGCCCGATGAGGCCCAGTGGCCAACGGACGATCGTCTCCAGATCGTCTCCGGCGTGGACCTCTTGGTGAGCGATGACGCAGTGCTGGGGAAGACCCTGGCGGAGAAGATCCCCTCTGCCGAGACGATCAGCCATGTTTACTATGCGGGTGAGGGCGTCGATCGCTGTTCATTCCCTGTCACGGCTTCTGGTCGGTGTGCTAACCGTGCTCAACATCAGCATATCGCGCCAGCGATGTCCCCGCAGATGAATGCCGTCTGAACAAGGAGATGCTTCGTGCTGCCGTTCAGACACTGGAGACGCTCTCGTCCAAGCTGTCGTTCGTCACGCTCATCACAGGCACCAAGGCAAGTAACCATAGGCCGTATGTCAAAGGCGAGCACCTATTATATTAACGAACAGGATCCATCAGGCTTACGGGGTCTACTTACTCGACAAATTCCCTTTCCGGGATCAGGTTCCCTTGAAAGAAGACCTCCCTCGCGTGCCCGCAGAATATGCTCAGGACCTGTTCTACTACCATGAAGTCGATCTTCTACAGGAGCTATCCACCGGGAAGCGCTGGTCATGGTGTGAAGTCCGTCCGGACGTGATAGTATGCCCCCACGCTGGCGTGCGTCTTGTCACTGCAGAACTTGCACTAACTCGTCCCCAGGTCGGAGTTGCCCCATTCGGCAATGCCAACTGCATGGCTCAAACCATGGGCATCTATCTCAGCCTCTACCGGGAGCTTGAAGGAGAGGGCGCGCGGGTCCCCTTTCCCGGCAACGAGACCACCTGGCGGTTACTATCCACTGACTCGAATCAGGACATTATCGCGCGGTTTTGTATCCATGCCTCGATGCAGCCGCGGGAGAAGGTTCATACTCGCGCGTTCAATATTGCGGATAGTGCCAGGCCCGTGTCGTGGTCGGAGCGGTGGCCGGCCCTAGCGGCGTATTTCGGCCTGGAAGGTGTTGGACCGAACGAGGCCAGTCTACACCCGACGGTGTATATGGATCAAAATTGGGAGAGACTCCAGGCACTGTGTCGGGATCGGGGCTTGAAAGAGGACGTCATCTACCGCAGCATGCACAACACGGGGGCTCGGATGGGCAGTCTGCGGTTGATGGACTTTGATCGACCATTTGACTTGACTCGGGCGCGGGCGTTGGGATTTGAGGAAGAAATGGATACAGCCATGTCGTGGCATACGGCCTTTGAACGGGTACGAAAGGCGAAGATTATGCTCTAGGGGGCTCCGAAGTTATTATGGGGTTCTGCAGGAAGGCATGCGGATTTGGTGACCAAGTAATTCAGATTCGAACAAATGATATCAGGCTTTTTCAGCCCGGGCAGGGAATAGTATGTCCATACTCGTATTCCTCTGAGATGGTGATGATGGTAATGAGGAGAAGGAGGAAGGAGGAAGGAGGAAGGAGGGAGGAGGATGCGTAGGAGGAGAGGGATCAGGTGACTGGCCTGGCCCAGGCGAAGTGAATCCTGGCCGCCCGTAACGCCTCACCCAGGGCCTGAGACGTAGTCTTCCTACCCCGGCAAGACGAGACGCTGAGCCGGGTGCAAGGGCAGCAGTCTACGACTGGGGGAACTACAGGTTCATGCTCACGATGTTGACAGAGTACAATAGGCTCCCGCTCCGAGATAAAAGACGATCTATAGACTGACTAAATGCTTGCCAGTTACATCGCTTTGACCGCTGGTCGCCTCTCAATCGTCATCCACATATCTCGCCAGAAACCAACGCCTCCCTTGATCACGAATCGGGCGGAGGGCTTGTCCGGGACAATATGGAGCTTGTAGTGGCGGAAGAGCTGCGAGATGAATTAGTCGGATATCAGACAGATCACCAGCTGCTGGGATGGAGGAAACGAGACACAAGCTTACCTGCAACGGTCCCTTGAAGAGCTCCATCATGGCAATATCCTTTCCCAAGCACACCCGGGTCCCGTATCCGAAGGTGAACATATACTTATTGAACACTTTGGCCCGCTCCGGAGCGAGCCATCGTTCAGGGTGGAACTCGCTCGCATCGTCACCGAAGACCCTCGGGTCCCGCTGAACAATCCACGGATTGGCGGAGATTTCAGTTCCCGCGGGCGCGAACTGGCCGTACAGTTCGATGCCGGGTTCCGATACATACCTAGGGAAAATGTTTGGGGCAGGCGGGTTGAGGCGCAAGGTCTCGCGCACACACGCAACATAGTAGGGCAGGTGATCCACGATCTCGTCGTACTGGGGCATGGTGCTGATCAGGCCCTTCTGGGCAGCATCGTCGATTTCTGCGATCATCCGTTCATACACCTCGGGGTGTGTCAGGAGGTTATGCACCAGGGCCTGGAAGACTGTGCCTGTGGTATCCGCCCCCGCCAGCAGGACAAGCAGAACCTCCGCACGAATATACTCCATATCCAGGGGCTTGCCCTCCTCGGTTCGGGCCTCCAGGAAGGTTTGTAGCAGATCGACGCGGCCGATATCCTTTTTCTGTTCGAGGTCACGCAACCGTTGGTCGATGAGTCGGTCGCGGAAGCGCATCAGAACGCCAATGCCCGAGTCGTCTTCGGGAGTCGCCACCAGGTACTTCTTCATGAAAGTCGTCTTCATCCAGCTGGTGAAGGGGTGAAGGCGCGCCAGGAATCCAAACGCCGGCAGTCCATCGTGGAACCCCTGAACCAGACCGCCAACATCCTGTCCCTGCTCGACAAATCCGAAGGGTGCGCCAAACCCAACCTCGCTAATAATATCGTATGCCATATAACTGCGATGACGAAATTCGTTAGTACAGCCTGTGAGGTGATCTCCGGCCGGGGCCACTTACACAGCCCACCATGAGAAGTCGAATGTGGCGCCCGTACGGGCGTACCTCTCGTCGACTTTCTGCAGCCAATGGTCAATGTGGGCATCCAGCAATGGCTCCATCCTCTTGACGCTGGTGAAGCTGTACTGCATGGACATTAGCCGAGTGGTTGCTGAGGGGGCTGTGAGGGCGAGCATACGGGGCCCGCGACGTGCTTTCGAAACGCCGCATGCGTCTTATGTGAGCGCATGTTGAACAAGGACTCGGTTTCGCCAAAGGATCCGGTAATGTAGTGGCCCGTTTTGTCTGCATTGCGGTGGTAGATATCCGGGAGCTTCTGGGGATCGCTGACAAGCAGGAGCGTGGGCGTGATCCGTACTACGGGGCCTGCATATGACGGAGTCAAGCTTTAGACATGTCATCATGTTTCAGCCTCAAGACCGAACGGTGCTGCATACCATATTTTTGTGTGAGTTTGTAGACCGTCTGTAATTCGGTCGATCGCACGTTATGCCATGCGATCCAGAGCCGGGTCACCCCACCCCAGAATGGTCCCGGGAATTTGGACAATGGATGGAAAAAGTGGTAATAGACAATCTGGCGCACGAATTGGAGGATGACATAGGCCAGCAGACCCAGAATCACGTTGGTCACGGTGACCTTGGCCAGAAGGTCTGCGCCGATGCCCATTGTTGCGATTGACGAACAAGCAGGCGACTAGTCGACGGAATGGAGAGAGGCCCGGAGCTCTTAAGCATGCTCATCTTCCCCAAGCGGCCTTCTGTCTTAGATCCGTCCAAAGCTCAACACCGCCATCTTGTTGCCCTGTCTCCTGACATGAGCGTGGCTAGACAGCGAATCAGACGACTTCGAAAGCTGGTCCCGGTGGACAGCGTGCGCCGTCTGGTATTTTCCCGGGACTCCATCCGAGGAGAACAAGAGCTAGACTATCATACCTACTGCATTGGTGTGAGTGAACGGTGGATGAATGTCGATCCAACCAAGCCGGAGCCATTGGCAAGCGATGGGCAGCCCGTCCGTGATGGAGAATGCTGGTGCGGGGCGAGAAAGTGGTTGGCTTTGCTGAACCGGAAAAAAGCTGGACGAGGGTTTAGGGCCCCAACGGCTCCCAAGCCTCCCAGGCTCCTAGTGTCTGGAATGGAGGGGTTGCCTGGACACTATGTGGACTGTCCGGACTCCGGACACCATTGGTCGCAATTAAGCTCTCGGTGGCAGTTGTCACTTGTCAGAGACTGTTACAGACTGCTACTTAAGCCGTTCATGGCCGGCCGATGTCATCATGTCATGAGTCCAGACCGTCATGGCAGGTTGAAAAATTGAAAGAACCATCTCTCCGCCCCGGTTTCGTGATGTCCCCCCGCAGGCTGGCTGTCCTAGGTATTATCTACTCCCCGATCAGACATCGGGAGCAAGCATAATGAGGATGATAGCCGAGATTCCGCCTCCTGCTATCTGCTCGACTGGTTTGACGTACTTTTGTGTCCTTCAATCTTGGAGAAATTGCGGTCCACCGTGAAGGAGTCGGCCGGGCGCCGGATCCGCCGCGGGCAGCCCCTAGCAGGCCCTAACGCAGACTAACTCTCGCACCGGCCCTCGTATGGGCCGCGATCGGCACCGTCCATAACCCTCGCCTACACTGAACTGGCAGATTGCAGGCAAATGCAAAGACCAAGAGCAAGTACGACGGACGGCGTCCTCCGTGGGAAATTAAACCCGCCAGATAGCGACTGGTTCGTTGCCTTGGGTCAATTCTTAGCGACATACGGAGTACACTATCGACTCTTTCCGGGTGTACCGGGGGGTTGGCGGAAGGGAAATTAACTCGCCGAGAAAGGACAACAAAGCGGTTGTCGATGCCAGCATTGTGTGAGAATTTGATCAGTGGTGTATAGGATCGACCTTTTATGGCTATAATGCGGACATTATTGTCCATCCTCCATCGAGCGTCTACCTACCCCGTATTCCAGCCGGTTTACCGTTTCAACTTTCAGGTGATGGCAGCGACGCAGCGACAATGGGTTGGGCGCACGGCCCAAATCCACTTGATTGAAGTTTGAACCGCCCTAGTTTCTTCCAGTCTCCAAATACGGCCCATCCGTGACTCCCCATAAGTCGGTGCATACGCATGCCGAAAGGTCTCCTCGAAATCAGGAAAATTCTTTCAATCTGATCTATTGACCAAAGTACTTGCCTCCGAGCACCAGGGCGTCCAATGAACAATTGCTCTTGACTACCCGGGAAGAATACGAGCGACCAGGATCTGATCCTGCACGCATTGGCTACGCCTGTAGTCCGGGCCTCGGAGTAGACTATTCGCCGTCTAGGAGATTCTAGACTTGGCCACTCAGCAGTGGGTCGGTGTCGCGCTCAGGACTCGTCCCTAGTTCTTACCCTAACCCGGTTGGAGGAAAGCCCACAACATGAACTCGCCCTGCTCAGACACCGGTCGTTTACTGAGCGAATAGCGTCGGAACATACTTCCACCTTGTCCTGGCCACCCCGATGGCTGACCGGTAATAACTGTAGCAGTGGTGGTGGTTGTTAAAATCCGGGTTGGCCAGGTCATGGCCATGTTTATGGGTTGGTGCCGTCTCACTGTTGCAGCGTCTGATGATAACGTGGTGGTCAGCCATGCCATGTTAACAGGACGTCATACCCCATGTTGATTGTCGCGATCCCCTCCGGATATATGACCCGTCATTGACGATCGCTCCCGGGTGCTATTCTTGTCGACGGTGGCCAATGACAGACTAAAACACGTACGTACCTGGGGCGAGTGCGACAGGCTTCCCAGCGGCACCTCGGGCCAATCGTGGAGCGATAGGTTCGCCGACGTATTTTCTGTATCAGATTCGAGAAGCGGAGACCAATGCAGATGACCACCACCCAGGATGTGGGCTACAAAATGCCACCACTCCGTGCATTCCGAGGGCCCAAATATTCGTCGGCAGAGGTCTTGCTTTTTCTCCTTTTCTTCCAAAATCGCTAGCTGAATCTTGATGCGCCTGAGGATTTCCCCCTCGGTTTCCCTTTTAGGGAAACGCCACTGGTCATCAGTACCTCCAACATGGGAGGGATGCTGGGCTGCCAGGGGCACTCGATGCAGCAAGGATCGCGATGGCGCATGTGCAAGATCGCCTCCCGCTTAAATCGCAACCTAATCGTCGACTCACAAATCTGGAGCAGCCCCCTCAAAAGTGTGTGTATGTACATGCATGGGAGATCGCATGAAATGCCCAGCAGCTGATATATAAGACCTTGTGAAATCCCAAACCACCCATCATCTCCTTGCGCCTTGCCCATAGTTGTCCGTTTGGACCGTAAAGATGGCGGAATCAAAGGGTCCAATAATAGCTGGTGTTGCCATCAGTTTTGCGATCCTGAGCTTTGTGGTCATCTGTTTGCGGCTGTTTGCTCGGATCTATGTCTTGAAGCGAATGGGCTTGGATGACTGTAAGTATATGCGCACCCGCTTTCTGTTCAGTGTGTGACTGACCAATTCCGGAAGATCTGATTATTGGCGCCTGCGTAAGCAAAGTGGTTTCAGATTCATCTGACACAGCTGACCCTCATCCAGCTTCTTTCATGGGCGTTTACATCTGTCACTATAGTCGGCAAGGCCCACTCAACTCCCTGCATCGGAGGTGGCACTAACAATGAGCAGCCGTCAAGCATGGCATGGGGAAACACTTGGATGATGTGAACCCAGATGGTTTGATAACATATGCTTTCGTACGTGGCCCTAACTAAGTCTTCATTGGACGGGTGCTGATGCTTTACATCAGGTCGTCTGGCTGAGCTCGATGTTTTATTTAGCCTGTCTGGGCTTCATCAAGACCTCGGTCTGCTGGTTTTACACCCGACTGGGAGATAAGCAGCTCACGCGCTTGTCTCTCATTATGATGTGTGTGGTGGCCTGCCAGGCAACCTCCTTCGTCCTGACTGCTGCCTTCCAGTGCCATCCCATTGCTCGGGCCTGGAATACTAGCATTCCCGGTCACTGCGTGACGATCAATGTCTTCTACCTCGCCAATGCGGCGTTGAACATTGTCACTGATCTGATCACCTACTCCCTCCCGATCCGGGTCATCTTGAACCTGCACATGCCGGCAAAACAGAAGCTGGCCCTCGGCGGCATCCTTTGCCTAGGTTTATTGTACGTGAATCCCATGTCCTCCACTCCGCATGTCATCTTTCTCACAGCTCCTTTCCAGCGCATGCATCTCTTCCATCATCCGAATCACCTACATCCCCGCAATGCTGACCTCATCCGACTCCACCTTCGCCATCAGCGGTGCCATGTACTGGTCGGCAATCGAAATCAACGTCGGCATCCTGGCCTCCTCCATCCCCTCCTTCAAGGCCATTGCCTCCCGTTTCCTCCCCCGGTTGATTGGCGAATACAGCTCGAACAAGGGTTACAGTGGATGGTCGAGCGACAACGGAGCGAAGCGGTATGCATCGGGCTTCTCCCGGGTCCGCGAACATGTGTTCGGCATGAGTGTGCTGGAGACCCGAGGAGAGGCGGAAACGGTGACGGGCACCCAGATCGAGCGAAACACCAGCGAGGAGCGGATCATTGTTCCCGCGGGAAAGATTTACGCTCATACGGAAATCGAGACGAACGTCGAAGTCAGTCCGGATTATATCCGAGCCGCGCATTCTTTTGATCACCCTCGCTCAGTCGCGACGGTGAATTCCTCTTGAAGCACTTGAATGATTCTATACCCGGCATCTTCTTTCTCTTCCGCTTGCCATTCCCTCTCTCCCCTTTATTTTTCCTCGGTATATACGTTTCTGTGACTCTATATTCCCTCCTTCTCTTCATATTTTCCCTTTCTTTGTACCAACTCTTCATTTCACCCCATCCTCACATGACGTGTGCCTGAAGCTTCAACATCGATATCCCCAGCCATGGAAAGAACCATGCACACTAACAAGGCGGGGCAAGCCACGCAATCAAGATCGACCCAGACATGACTGTACTATGTAGATACAATCGAAAGCTTAATCGACTACGAACTCGCGCCACCCTATCTATCATATGCGGGAGAATTACAATTAACCCCAAGGTTAGACCCAAGAGATGACGAACTGAAACTGTCGATCTACGACACATCATACGGAGTACACATGGCAAGGCCAAGAATATTCCACGCCCGAAACCCCCATCCACCAAACTATCTATCTAGTACCCTTACTCCCTGAGCAACAAATGCATCAATGTGATAGACATATCCGCACCCACACGTGCACGATACGCCAGGATACTTGCTCATCCCGTAATCAAATCCCGATGTTTTCGGGTTTAATCGGGCTATTGACTGGTAGTCGGAAGTCGGCCTATGTAGTGAGTTACTTAGGTACGGATCGATCGTCCGAGTCGCGATTTGTGTTTGCTGCTGCATGGGCCTCTAGGGGTCGGTAATAGGGGCTAGCTAGCTAGCTAGCAATATAGGCTATTCGCTGACTACTGCGGCTCTAGTCTCTAGTATCAAGCATATTATGTTAGTTGCGCTACGTGAAATGACACCATCGGGTGCCATAGATACTGCGCGAATTGTACTTGGTGACTAGGCAGCCCGCGGAGATGACCGTCTTACTAAGTCTGTACTTAAGTCGACTATAATATTATGCATGATTGCTGCATAAGGATGCAGGAGAAGTGGGTTCCATCCCCCGAAACAGAGGAACAAGGCTATCTACCTATCAACCAGGCGCTTCGCCTCATATAAGTACGAAGGATTTGCCACCCTCATTCCCCTATCCTGAAAGTTGATACTTGGAACAATCTGCGTGTGAATGCACTTGCATTAGACCCGCTCCTTGGTATGCAATGTGCATGTTCTTAGCTGCTGTGGTTAGGTCGCACATTGTGACGGTGAAATCAAGAAGCATGAACGATCGCTGGCGCTTTATGCATTAATCCTCTGGTGCTGAGGGAATTGAGGCGCCCCGTTCTCATGACCGCTTTTCAGGATAAGTTCGACCTGATTGCAGGTTAGCCAAGCCGGCGTGGGTGGATGATTCTTGTGCAACCACTGCGCCTTACCAGTTCCAAATCCGCCAATGCTTCTTCTGGTCGCTGCTCGGGCGGCACAGTCCCCTTTGCCAGTGCCTCCGCCCAAGCCTTGACTTCGTTGACCACTGCTAGACGCTCAACTGGGAGCTTCTTCACATCATCCTTCCCGTTAATCTGGACGGTAACTACTTCATTCTGCACTCGCAAGTTCCCGTTTTCGCCGACAACCGCATACCCCGTGTCTTTCTGGAGACTGGAGCAGGTGGAAAACGTGAAAGTGCCCTGAGCGCCCGACTCAGTCTGGAAAATGGCATCAACTGTGTCCGCAGGAGGCAGAGCGCCGTCCAACGCGGCAACCAGCGCATTAACACGCGTGATGCGTTCAGATCCAAGCAGATACCGCGTGGCAGCGAGGTGATGTACGCCGAGATCGAGAATTAGGCCCCCTTGATGATCGGGTTTCTGACGCCAGGGTACCTCTAAGCCGAATGATCAGAAAGCTACCCCAAGAACACAACCATCACGATAGCTCTGTAAAACTCACCTACATAGTTCCAATATTCGAAATGCCCCGGTCGGCAGTCGACGTATACTTGGGTGCGAAATTGCCGGATCTTTCTCAGTTGCCCGAGATGTTTTCGACCGTATCGCACGGTATCCAGGTATCGCCAGTTCTCTGCCACCGCCCAGGTGATGCCCTTGGGCGCAATTTCAGACCTGTACCATTGGATCAAGCTCACAGCTTCTGCAATATCTTTGGCGATGGGCTTTTCCGACAGGACATGCTTGCCAGCCGATAAGGCGGCCCGGACGTAGTGGGCTTGCTTCGTGATGGGCAGACTACAAGCAGACTTGGGATTAGAGCGCCATAGGCGAACACACGAGGTTTACATACGCGATGATAACTGCTTGGATGTCCGCGCGCTCGAGGAGGTGGGGTAGACCTTGGTTGGTGTCGTCTGCATACCGACCCAGCTGCAGGTCGGTCGCAATTCCGGCCGCCGACTTGAGGGATCGGGAATATACAGCCTTGAGCTCGAGGTCGGGAGAAGCCTGAATTCCCGGCTGAGTGGATGGAGTAAGCTTAGACTTTGGCTTTTACGGCTAGAGTGTTGATGGGGACATACCAAGTGGGCATCCTGCATGAACAGGCCTGGATACCAGCAATCAGGATGGCACAGCAACAGGGTACTCGGGTCAACATACCTGCTCCGATCAGGGCAACTCCAATGGGCATGATGAGAGCCAGCTTTGGTCCTCGGGCGCGAGTCTAGACTTGTCTACAGGGTCCTGTCCGGATTGAGGGACTGGTTCAAGGGAGGGGAAAACCGGTCTCCAGAGGGCCTTAAGTAGCCGACAGGTGTAGTTGCGTCAAAGCCGGCTTCGTCCAGCTGCAGATTTCCCATGCACGATGATGCAATCCGTTTCATCCACCGGCTAACAACACCAAGACAATTCTCATTGTTTATCGGGGTGGCTTTCGATATTCCTGATGGTCCAGTCCGCCAGCAGCTGGGTCTGCGCATTCAGACCCATGGGAAACCTTGAACGTTGGAACAGGGCAGGTGGAAAGCTAAATCACCTAATTGCCTGGAACAATTGCTTCAATGATCCGAGGTAGAGAAAGATATTCTGGATCGTTCACCCCAATCGTGATATGCCAAGGTTTTTCCGCGAAAATAATCCTTGATCGGATGGCAGTGTCTCCAAGTATATTAGTCTCTTTGTGCACAATGTGTTCCATCCCTTCTGGACCAGCATCAAAGAGCCCTCCCTCTGTGTGGTTTGGAATCCATGGCACCTCCTTCAGCTAAAACCAAGGCCAAATTCGACCAGTTTCTATCCAAGGTCGAACACATCACTCGACACGATCAAGATCCTTTCCAGGTAAAGATCGAGAACTTCATCGGCTATACGCATGTCCCCGTTGGATTAGCTGGACCTCTACATATTCGCACGTTCCCCGGGCACGACAAGGAGATATGTGCACCCATGGCAACCACCGAGGCGGCCCTGATTGCCAGCTGTTGTCGAGGATGCAAGGCTATTAATGCGTGCGGCGGGTCGAGTTCGTGACAGGACAGGACTCCATGAAGCGCTGTCCGTTCTTTCGTTTCAAAAGCCAAGGGGATGCGTTTCAGTTTGCGCACGCACTCCCTCATCTGAAAGAGTCCTTTGCACAAGTCGCCGAAACCACCAGCAAGCACCTCCGCCTGCAAAGTGTGACCCCGTATACGATCGGGCACTGTGTCCATACCCTCTTCAGCTTCGCATGCGGGGATGCATCGGGACAGAATATGGTGACGATAGCTACCGAGCATGTCTGCGCCTGGGTGTCGAGAACCCTGGCTAGCGAATACGGAATTGTAGAGTCCTATGTGGAAGGCCAAATGTCCTCGGACAAAAAGCCGTCCTGGGGGAATGTGACGGCGGCCCGGGGAGTTGAAGTCACGGCCTGGACATCGCTATCCGACTCGGCTTGCCAGCAAATTTTGGGCTGCTCGTCCGCACACATCTATGATTTTCTCCAGATGGTCCAGGAAGCCTCCATCCGTAACGGACAACATGGCAGCAACATCAACGTTGCCAATGTGTTGGCCGCAATCTTCATCGCCACGGGTCAAGATGCGGCAAGCATCACAGATGCCTCGTGGGCCCATCTAACTCCGGAGTATGATACCGAGGTGCAGCGAGTGACGCTGAGTCTCTACTTCCCCTCTCTTCCGGTGGGGGTGGTGGGAGGGGGCACTGTATACGCTACCCAACAGGAAGCGTTGCGGATCATGCAATGCGATGGACCCGGAGGCAAGCTCCAGTTGGCCGGGTGTATCGCCGCATTTGCTCTGGCCCTAGAGGTCAGTACGACTTCATCCGTCGTGACGAATACCTTTGCTCGGAGTCATGCGCGGTTGGCGCGGGGGGAGGCCGAACTAAGGCCGGAGTCGAAGATGTGAGATAGATAGGTAGACTATTGGATGGCCCCGGAATGATAAGATAGGTCGATGAATCGCTTTTGAAAACGATGCAGGAGCGGGGAAGAAGGAGTCGGTGTGGAAGTAGACATTAGCGAGTAGAGAGAGTAAGAGTAGAAAGAGTAGAAAGAGTAAAAAGAGTAACAAAAAGAGTAGGAAGAGAGATCGATATTCATGCCTAAGGCCAAAAGCGGGTGCTGACTCAGCAGAGCGCCCGGACCGGGCGGGCGGACCAATCAGAGGTGCATGATCGGCCACGGTGACCGACACTTCTTCAATCAAGTCTACATCATGATTGTTCTCCATTTCTCACTAGGTTACTTGTTCATAGTTTCAAGTCTCTTCCCTCCTCGCCTCCTGCTCCCTTTTACTACCCCCCAACACACACTTTAACACACTCCCACACTACCCTTCCCCTTGGCAACCTCCGCACGGCCTTGACAGCTGAACAATGCTTGCAACGTCCCCCATCCCCGGCTGCAACTGACCCTGACCCAGACCCTCCCCCTTCCTTCTTCCCCCATGCCAGACCTCTCCACTTCTCCCGGTCGGGATCCCGACTCCGACCCAAGGGAGGCTAGCAACAATGATGACAACAATGAGAACAATAGCCACATCCTGTCCCAGCATCTTCACCCTCAGTTCACAGCTTCATTACAAGATGAACTGGCCCCACCTTCCGGAGACGCCCCAGCAGAGCAAAGCAGCGGAGACGCTCCGTCCGAACCCCAGTCCTCGTTGAAGCTGCAAGGCGGCGACATCCATCGGGATCTGTACCGCATCGATGCCAAATCGAAACAGGCTCGCCTGGACAAACGGGCGGCCACCTTCTCCTTCCTTCCGAGACATACGGATGATGTCGTAGAAGAAGGCGTTGCCTCCCTGGAGCCAGGGAGCTTTCGCCGCCATTTCATCCAGAACAAGTACGGTCGCCTCGATCAACCCGGCGTAACCTCTTCCTTTCTCGACTTCCTCGACATCTATGGCAACTTTGCGGGCGAGGATCTGGCCGATACCGAGGAGGAGTCTGCCATCGTCGAGGAAGAGGACGAGACACAGGTTTCCGAGCGGACGGCCCTCTTGCGGCGACGGAAGAGCTCGCGAGCCAGTCGCCCCGGCGATGCCTCCAATGTCAAGACTTTCTTTACTCTGCTCAAGGCCTTTGTCGGGACCGGAATCATTTTCTTGCCCAAGGCCTTCCGCAACGGCGGTATCCTCTTCTCTTCCATCACGCTCGTAACGGTCGCCTTGATCAGCACGTTGTGTTTCCATCTGCTGCTCGAGTGTCGGAGACAATACGGCGGTGGCTATGGCGACATCGGCGAGCGGATTGGTGGTCCCCGACTTCGGACCCTGATCCTCGCATCCATCGTAATCTCGCAACTGGGCTTTGTGTGTGCCTGCATCATTTTCACGGCAGAAAACATCCACGCCTTCGTGGAGGCGGTAACGAAAGACCAGACTACCGCCATATCGATCGGTGCATTGATCGCCTTGCAACTGCTGGTACTCATTCCGTTGTCCTTGATCCGAAATATCTCCAAGCTGGGTCCGATTGCGTTGCTTGCGGATGTGTTCATCCTGGTGGGGTTGGCATATATCTACTGCTATGACATTGCCAGTCTCGCATCTCGTGGGCTGGCGTCAACGGTCGAACTGTTCAACCGCCAGTCGTTCACCCTGACCATCGGCTCGTGCATCTTCACGTTCGAAGGAATTGGGCTGATCCTGCCGATCCAGTCGTCCATGAAACGGCCAGAGCACTTTGACAAACTGCTATATACCGTCATGGCCATTATCACCATTCTTTTCACGGCGGTGGGGGCTCTGTCATATGCCACCTTTGGCGACGAGACCAAAACCGAGATCATCAGTAACCTGCCGCGCACGGACCGCTTCGTCAACGCTCTTCAGTTCTTTTACTCGCTCGCCATCTTGGTGAGCACACCCATCCAACTCTTCCCCGCCGTTCGCATTCTGGAGGGCAAGCTATTCGGTCAGGGATCGGGCAAGCGCGATCCGATGATCAAGTGGAAGAAGAACGTGTTCCGGACAGTGGCTGTTGTGGGTTGTGGACTGATTGCGGCCTTGGGGGCCGGGGATCTCGACAAGTTCGTGTCCTTGATCGGGTCCTTCGCCTGTGTACCGTTGGTCTATATCTACCCGGCGTACCTGCACTGGAAAGGCGTGGCCGAGTCCGCGTGGGTCAAACGGGGAGATATCGCGATGATGGTGCTGGGGGTAGTGTTCATGGTGTATACGACCAGCGCCACCGTATCTGTCTGGCTAGAGGGATCCTCTTAAAAAAGCGACCATCGACAAGACATGCGTAGTGTCCGGCGTCCCGGTTTTGCATCTTCCATTGGAGGCGTTTGGCGCTCCTGGCTCAGTTTGTCAGTCACTCACTCATCACAATTACTTGCCCGGCCTGCCCGCGACTAACCGCAGTGCGTCCAGGCCTTCTTTTTCCTTTTTGCTCAACCCACCCACCTACCCACCAGGGAGCTAACGGTGTGAATGACAGCGGTAGAGAAAATCCAACATGCCAGTGCTCAGCAGAGTAGTTGCAGCGGAGCAAAAGTAATCCCACCTTGGCTTGTGAATTTCATTTGTTGCTTTGGCTGCGTTTTTTAGTGATACCGTGAGGGGTTTCGTGTCCTCTCTTGATGAGGAATGATTGAATGAATGAAACACCTGACCCATACCCCACCTGTTCTTTTCCTTTTAGAGCTGTATCACGCATGCATCGTAGTCATTGGCTGCTTGAAGCCGTGTCGCCGATATTCGCAATTGGAAGTTTGTGGAACAAGCACGCTGTGACTGACAGGCCACATCCTACGTGACGAGAAGAGTATCGTCAATACAATCCTAGATGCCGGTCCCATCTACAAACCACCCGATCGCCAATAATAGTACACCTCACACTGGCAAGGAACAGACACACACTGCCACACAAACACATAAACCTTGATTGAGTTGGTTTACACTAAGCTAAATCCGCTGATCGACAGCATCAGAAATAAGAAGATGAAAAAGATGATACTATACATTCACAGTCCTACCCCAGAGAAGTCCACGTAGCACCTTACGGGCATCCGCTGGACGGGTAGTTGCAGCTGTCGTCGCTACCACCGGTGATGTCCACATCGGTGAAGACAAAGTTGGAGCAGCTGCCGTCACCGCAGAGGATGTAGTAGTCCTTGCCGTCGCTCATGGTACCAGTGACGTCGACAAAAGTGACGTTCTCAATCTTGACGCCGTTGGTCGGGTCGCCGGTGGCACCGCCGTTCTCGTAATCCTGCTGGACGTCGATACCGTAGTCGGTGATGCCGGACAGGGTGATATTCTCGTAGCGGATGTTGTAGACCTGTTTCTGTTAGACGAAAGGAGGTTTTCGAGGAGAGGGAGAAAGAACTAACCTCGCCTGTCTCACCGGCGTTGCTCTTGATGCGGCAGCCGTTCTCGCTGTTCACGACCTGCGAGTTGGAGAAGGTAACACCGTTGACGGTGTTGTCGCTCTTGCCGCCGATGGAGCCGATGCTCAGACCATGGCCACCGTAGCAGTAAAGGTTATCGACGACAATCTCCGTGCCGCTGGTGACGGCCACACAGTCGTCCTGGTTGTGCACCCAGCTGTTGGAAAGGGTCAGGTAGTCGCTCTGCTTGATGTCGAAGGCATCAGTGTTGTGGGCGGCCGGGTCGCCGTCGCTCTTGCTGTTGGCGGCATCGCCGGCCGAGTTGTTGAGGGTCAGGCCGGAGATGGTGAGGTACTCGGTGTTCTCGATCTCGAAGCAGTGGACGGGCCAGTTCATGATGTTGAGGTTCTGGATGCTGGAGTTGTACATGTCTTTGATGACAATGAAGTGGTCGGGTCTAGAAGTGCATTAGCATAATCAGCCTGCTGATCATTGTTGGTAAGTGAGGCTCACTTGTCCTGTCCACCATTGGATCCCTCGCCGTCCCAGTAGGCTTCACCGTTGCCGTTGATGACATGTCCCTCCTCACCAGTGATGGTCAGGTCGGTACCCGAGATGACAATGGGATCGAAGTCATCGTCATAGGTGTCACCGAAGGTCTATCGAGATTATAAGCATGGTGACCGACTGCACGAGAGGAGAGATAACTTACGGTTTCACCAGCGAAGATGACCGCTGCGCCGGTCTGCAGACCCGTGAGATCGATAGTGCTGGATGCCGGGGCAGAGACGCCGGACAGGAGAATGTTGGAGCAGGATGCGACGGCCGAGGAGATCGAGGCGTATTCGGTCACCGTGCAAGTCGTCCCTCCATTGCCCGCGACGGAGCTCTGCACCGGTACGGGGGCCTGGGTAGTCGCAGCCGCCACTGCCGAGGTAGACACTGCCACGCGAACGGCGGTGGTTTGGAAGGTGGTCGCAGCCGCAGAAGTCCGAGTGGCTGCAACAGGAGGGGCCTTGCCCTAGAGTGGTTCAGCATTTGGCGTACAGTAGTGTCGGTGGTCTACAGCCATAGCTGATACTCACCTGACTGCTGGAGGAGGCTGCCGAGGTCGATGCGGGAGAAGATGCGTCGGCGGTGCCCAAGCAACTGCAGGCACTCGACAGGTGCTTAGTCTTGTAGTCGCAGTTGGAGAGGAAGACGTCCGGCACATCAGTCGTGGCGGTCACCGAGCTCGCCGTGAAAGTGGCACAGAAGCTGGCAGCTGCAGCGGATGACACCGAGTAGATGGAGGCACAGGCATGGCTCTCGGGACTGTCGCATCCCAAGGCGAGGGGAAGGAAGGAAAGAAGGAGCGCGCTGCGCTTCATGATGGCGAAAGGAGCGAGTGTTCGAAAGAGCGTAAGGTTGAAAACGAAAAAAAAAACTAGGAAGAGGGGGAAAGAAGGACAACTGTGGCGATGGAATTCCCTATTCTTCCATCTTGACGGCGGCTGGAAGTGTGCAGCATTTTATACAGTACCTTGGGTGTAGTGTGTACCATGTCTAGTATGGGCCCAGAACCGCCAGGCCATCCGCATAATCCATCGAATCCAGCGCAGGTCGGAGCTAAGAATCGACAAGCTAAGCTCAGCCACCTCCTCCGGAGCTTGGCATGGCTAATGGCTCGAGTGGAGACCGGGACTAGTCAATAATTCATATCCGGCTCATTGGCGCCGTCGGCAGCCACGTCCTGTAGCCGAGCTCGACACGAGTTAACGACGGGTCAACTTGATGAAGGGACCCCTCGGACGTGTTTCACGAACTGCAGGATGGGTGGAGAGCCGTTGAGGGGAAGAGCCCACTCCACTTATCTGATACTCCGACGCGTCATTTCCCAGCACGAGTCATGTCCGGCCAGGAACCATGGGGTTGAATCGGATATCTCGGATCTCCCAGTCTCAGGGTCAATCCCATCCTCCCAGTTCAGCCGGGAAAGTCTTTGCCCCTGTGATCCTCCCTGTCTATTCATGTTATTGTCTGAACAGGATTCTCAATCTATGTCCTGCACCGTCGGGCCATCCGTAGCGTTGTGGGTGGGTCAGGGTAAAATTAAGCAGCCCGGGGCTAGGGAGAATTGACGAGCCATTGTCAAGGGACCCCCAGTGCAGTCATATGTCTTGGAGGCAGCATTGTTATGTCCGAAATTACTATCGGGCCCATGCACGTGCGCGCAGACCCATCTTTATCCGTCAACAAAAGCCTTGATCTTACCCATAGTACTGATGGCCTATCTTCTATACCTCGTCGACATATCCTTTTTGAGATTAGCCACCTATGGCCGTATATTAGTACTTGCGACAAGGCCTGCCTCACTCTGAGCCTGAGCTTGCATCACTTCGTGGGACAGTCTGAGTAGAAAAGTGGTGGAATTTGGAAGCAACCAAGGTGATCAACTAATCAATAGGCATTCCCCCGAGCCTACATATCCAAAAGATTAGCATTTTCAGGCTCCAATACCAACAGTTAGACCCTCACTGTGCAGACGAGCTGCAGCTTCGACCTTCGCATTCCCACTTAAGAGGTATCGGTAAAGTCGTGCTAGAGCGGGCACCAGTTCCAGCCAGTCATCCTTCAAGTTTAGGTTATAACCACGAGTGAACTTGATTGTGAATTCTTCACCCTTGGCACATCCTTCCTTGTGAACTCTTGTTACAGTGGTAGCCGGGAAAACCCCATAGGCAATATGGAGATAAGATTCATAGAACCCTAAAACAAAGACTTCCTGGTCTCTTGTAACATGCCGACGGCGCTGCAGTGTGATATTTGCAGCCAGCTGCCCAAGCATTATGCTCAGGGTTTCCATCAGGAATTGATTTCAGGTCTGTCCTTTATACCACTGCAGCCATCAGCAACCCCGGCCTGATCATTTGAGTATAGGGAACTTACTCCCGTGAAGGAAATGATGGGCACTGGCTTTCCCTGGCACATTACAGTGGCCCCACCCGCTGACTTGGAAGCAAATTGTTGGCTCCTTATTACATACCTTTCTATAAGTTGCGATTTGAACCTACGGGAGTCATTATCTGAAATGGTTGCCAAGCAGATTGAAACATACTGGATATGGGGACTGTGCTCACGAATGCCCTCAAGGTTACAGTAAACGGCGGTCATTAACGTCTTCAGCATGGAGCCTTGCGATCGGACGAAGGCACTGAAGGGCTCTCGCTCTGGTTGCTGCCAGCTTTTCTCGAGCAATTTGATTGATTCCCGTGCCTCGAAGGCATCTGATATCTGTGTCTCAGAACCAGCCAGGTCAAGACTGTAATCAGAAAGCTTGCGAAAAAGGGACTTGAAATCCCTGTCTTCTATCGGCCAAGCAATGGTACAGTCTTCATTCTGACTGACCACGTCGGTTCTCTTGAATACCCAAGGAATTAGCCGTGCCAGATCCCTAGCTTGAACAACTTGTCAGTAACCATCAAGCCATCTGGAGGAGTGCCCTTCGATACCTGCACATTCACTATCCACGGCACTAGGAAGTAACGCTTCAATCTCCACAATCTCCGAGCAGATAGTCACTGACATGCTGAGTGAGCGTATTTCTGGCGGCAAAACGAGTCGGTCTGGTGATGGTTTTCAAGAAGACGGGGTGTCGTGAAAGATAGACACCTCCGATGGATGGGGAACATGCTCGATCGCGAAAGTGAGTAGCAGTGCGCTATGACACAGTGGTGAGAGCAAAAGGGTGATGTTGGGGATGGGGAAGGGAAGTTTGGGGGAGGAGGAGGAATAGGAGAAGGAAAAGGGGAGAGGGAGGCTTATGAGCTGGGGAAGGGAAACGGGGAACGCGTGCCGGCCACGGGATGCCGCAGGTCACAGCAACCGCGAGGAAACAGAGGCATACTGTAGTACTACACAAGTGGTATGCAAGTACTACCTAGGAGTAGGCAGAGGCATCCCACACTAGGCAGAGGCATCCCACACTAGGCAGAGACCCTGACGGAGATCTCCCATGGTCCGTGCCACTCGGATTCCCTGGCCCGAATAGCTCGATGGCTCGAACACACGACTCCACCACGCGCTAGCTGAACATGGTCTGTAGTACGAGATACGACAGAGAATCCCAACTGCCTCAACGGCCACTGAAGTGTCCAGTCCGCCTAAGGACCCGTTCAGGAGAAGCGGCCACTTAAGAAGTCCAATGTCCCGGTTCCATTTACAGCTCCCTGCACGCCAGATGCTACCATGGCTACCGGTTGGACCGCATACGCCTACTATCCCTCCGTGGGAGGGGCGGCCGTCATGATCATGCTGTTTCTGGGCGGCATTTCCATCTTTACCTACCAGCTCATTCGGACACGCGCATGGCTGACAATTGCGGCTTTGATCGGAGGCCTCTGTACGTTTGCCGCCTACGTTTCCCAACCCCCCAAGTCGCTCTCCAAGCCTTCCAAACTGACCACGGAAATCTCTCCAGTTGAAACGGTTGGCTATATCGGTCGAGCCATGTCAGGCAACCAATCCCCCAATTGGACTCTGGGTCCCTATATCATCCAAAGCACGCTTCTTCTGATTGCCCCGGCCTTGTTTGCCGCCACCATCTATATGGTCCTCGGCCGGATCATCGCCCTCGTGCACGGAGAGCACCATTCGATCATCCGACTCAAATGGCTGACCAAAATCTTCGTGGTGGGGGATTGTCTGTCCTTCTTGATGCAGTCATCCGGTCGGTTCCTCTGCGGCTCTACCGTTTGTCCTATACTGACCTCTAACAGGCGCCGGAATCATGGTGCAGTCGAAATCAGCAACGGATAACACGGGCGAGAATGTCATCATCGGGGGTCTTCTGGTTCAGATCCTTTTCTTCTGCTTCTTCCTCGTGGCCGCCGGCATCTTCCAACGTCGCATCTACCGACACCCCACCGTCCGCTCCGAGTCGCCCATGATCCCGTGGCGCAAGCATTTCTTCTCGCTATACGCGTCCAGCTTCCTGATCCTCATTCGGTCGATCGTGCGCTTCATCGAATACATCCAGGGACAGGACGGGTACGTGATCACCCATGAGGCTTTCATCTACGTTTTCGATGCGGTGCCCATGTTCCTGGTGCTGTGTATCTTGATTCGGGTCCACCCCAGTGAGATCAACGGGCTGTTGGGGAAATCCCGCGTGGCCGCGGTGGGAAACGGCCTCCGCTTTGTAGATATATCTCCGGCACTATAAAAGCCGAGGCTGGGAAGGATACCTAGATACCAGAGCAGATAGAATATATAGCCAGCTATATATGACTTTTATCAGAAGGAACAGATCCGCCTTCTTCTGGCCTCTCCTTCTCTACCTCTCTCTTTTTCTTTCCATTTTTATTTGTGGCCGTAGTCTATTATTTTCAGAATTTCCCCCGGGAACGAGGGATCCACTTCGGGCTTCTTTTTCCGGACAACAGAACGAATACGACGATGACCCAACTAAGATAAAGTATGGAGGCGATGTGATGCGATGAGATGAGCCACTCCCCTCCGGCAGTCCCCGGGCGCTGGCCTACTGGTGAATCGAGTCGCTTTTAAATATCAAGCAATGCCTGGGATGGTTAATTCACTCCATGCCCCTGGAAAGCCCATCGCTTACCCAGGACCACTATCACAAGCATGATTTTGATTGTCTTGGTGGCCTGCCTCGCATGGACGGCCTACATCCTCGCATGCACTGGTCGCAATTACCGCTCGGTCTGGGCGGCACACCCCGAGGTCCCCATTCTCGTCAGCGTCGTCTTCCTCGGTGAGCCGCTCTGGCGCTGCCTCCAGTCCCTCCGCCCAGCCACGTACAACGACCGCTTCTCCATCTTCTTCCAACTGCACAGATTTCAGAAGCATGCCTGGAACTTCTCCGATAAATATGCCCTTCACGCGCGATACGGCAAGTCATTCTACTTGGTAACGCCCACTCAATGTGAGTTCATCACTGCGGATGGTACCGTGGCTGGGGAGATTCTGAGTCGGAGCCAGAGCTTTGCGAAACCGGTTGGCCTCCTAAGTAAGTAATCCAGGTGCGCTCCCACCCTTGTGCACAGATTTACTAAAGTACTAGGAACAGGGAAGCTCGATGTGTTTGGCAAGAGCCTCGCCTCAGTAAGATCCCCGTTCCGCCCTGACTATTTTCTCAGACGGCATCATAAGCATGGCTGACGAACGCCTCGGCAGGTGGAAGGAATAGACTGGAAGCGTCACTGTAGACTTACGGCCGGCGCATTCAACGACCAGACGGACCAAGCAGCATGGTACAAGGCATTGGATCGAGCGGCCGATGTTCTATCAACATGGCTGGAGGCAGAGGCTGTCACGAGCACCAGCTCCGACATGGCCCACATCAGCATGGATGTGCTTTTCCAGGCCTGTCTCGCCCTCGATGACGAAAGCATTCTCAACCGTCCGAATCTGTCTTTGGATGACTGCAAGTCTAACCTAACCACCTTCTTGGATATGGTCTCGGGGACGAAGAAGCCATTTCTCGCACGCGATCGAGAATCGCGGAATGCGGGCGGAATCATCTCGGCCGCGCGACATTTAAGACGCACATTGGAGGAACTTATAGAATTTCGCCGACAGTGTCCCGCTGTCAATCGTACGGACCTGATTTCAATGATGCTGAAAGGTGAACGCCGGATGAACGCTCCGCCGGAGAAAGCAAGAGACAAGCTCTACCTCACTCCGGAGGAAGTCCGGGGTAACCTCTTCTTATTCCTTTTCGCAGGCCATGAGACTACGGCCAATACTCTGGTAGCGATTATATATCTCCTCGCGATATTCCCCTCATGGCAGGAGTGGGCTTTGCAAGAGATCGATTATCTCTTGCAGGACATCAGGGTGGATGAACTGCCCAATTATAAGCTCTTTCGTTCTACTAAGCGACTCAGAGCTGTCATGGTATGCTCATGCGGTCTTGAGCTTTTGACACCTTGAACCAAGCTAATGAGGTCTCCAGCTCGAGACACTACGGCTTTACGGACCGGTACTGAATATCCTAAGGGAGACTAAGCACCAGGGGCAGACAGTGGGTATAAATAATGAGCGATCGCTCATCCCTAAGAACACCAAGGTACGCATCAACAGTGTGGCCTTGCATACCGACCCGGACACATGGGGTCCCGACTCTTTGGAGTGGAGGCCGAACCGGTGGATATCAAGCAATCCGCCTGGGCCTACCAGCCGTGACTGTTCAATCCCCGTGAATGAATCGTACTGCACCAGCATGGAAAGAAGGCTGCTTGCTTGGTCCGAGGGAGCGAGGGTATGTCCGGGGAAGAAGTTTTCCCAGGTGGAAATAGTGGCTGTCTTGATCCAGTTGTTTCGCAACCACCGAGTGAGCATTATACCTCAGCCCGGACAGACGCTTGAGCAGGCGAGAATGAATGCGTATGACCGCGTTCAAAACAGCGTTATGAGACTTACCCTGCATATTGCAGACCCTGAAGCGGTTCGTGTCCGGTGGGACATACGACGGTAACCCAATTCAACAGTACTCAAGCAACATCCGGCGACTGCGCCTGTGCCAGATATTCTCCTTGTTGTGTCTAATATAGATCGTTCAAATTACTCCTCTTTCCAATATACGCTGTGAGGGGCATTGTATCAAACAAAAGTGTGGCCCTTCTCTGCAATCTACACGCAGATAATACATAGTAGGTTTAGGCGATTACTATGTACACCCATGTTGTTGTGCTGTGCCGCTGACATTCCTGATTTGAGTGCATCACCTACTCCAGCACTAGAATTAGCGCTTTTTCAATACTGAACCAATTAACTTATTGATATTTTATTGGATCTTTCTATTAATTCTCTTACAATTGTATCATAGCTGACTAGCTTCAACCATTTTGGTTTTATTACTTGCTAGAGCTTGATATCTACACGCCAAGTCCTATAGTGTCTGGTTCTCCCGCATCTAGCTATTCGATCCCGGCGCCTCCGCGTGTTTATTATCAGACTATGTTCATCGAATTCAGTTGAATAAGGCTAAGAATAGTAGGATTGGACAACTGGCTAGACCCACAAGCTCGCGGCCTCATAGACACCTAGAATGACTAAGACACTATAATATTAGAACAGGAGTGGGCGGAATAATTCACCAAGGACTTATGCGGTGTTGATATGAGACAACACCTCATGACTTTGCCCCGCTGCCAAACCATCTCGAACTTAGTTGTCAGACATTTCTCCCAGATTCGCGGGCAGCTCAGGCCTTGAGGAAGCGTCGGAGTGTGAACCACACCCTATACTATGAAATAGCAATGGTAGCAGCAAATGTTCAGAATGAGGATTATGGGTGAATAATGGCTCCTGGCGGCAGAATTAGTCACCCGTGACTCTCCGGAGGCGGAAAGGACATCCGCTGCAGGAAGACCTATATATACGAGTAATTGCCCAGCTACTGTTGCAGGGTTCCGTGAACGTTGCTGTCACATGACCCTATAATTAGACCTGGTGTGGCGGACCTCAGGTGTCCGAGCCCGAAAGACAGGGGGTGGTCATCACACAAAACATTCAACAAGTCGTTCATCATTCTCTTGATTCAAAGGGAAGCCAGCCATATTTCATACAGTGTGAGAACGGCCCGCGCAAGCTTATATATCCATCTTAGCTGTCCAGGTTCGTTGGCATCTCTAATGCAAATGGACGAAGCGGAGTCGCAATCATTTCCAGTCGACAGCGGGAAAAACCCCCTAGTCGCAAAGCGCACGACCCCCGAAGAGCCCGAATACGGCCCCGGATGCCAAAAAGCTCAAAAGCTTTCATAGCGGGGAGGTACCGTCGAACATGTAACCCTCCGCGATAACCCGGATTGTTCCTTTTCCAGAATAAGTATGCTCGGTCTTTGGAATGGCTTGAAGTCCTCTGACTGTCCTGAAGCCTGCAGTTGTAGAAGAGCGAAACGGCGAGATAGAATTCCGGGTCGTCAACAATGATGGCTCCACAGAGAGTATGATTGTCCTCACAGGGCTCAAAAACCTGTTTCAAAAGCAGCTACCGAAGATGCCCAAAGACTACATCGCCCGTCTCGTCTATGATCGCACGCACTTGTCTTTGGCCATCGTGAAAATGCCTCTAGAAGTCATTGGTGGAATTACATTTCGAGAAGTCCGACACCGCAAGTTCGCTGAAATCGTGTTCTGTGCCGTCTCATCGGACCAGCAGGTGAAGGGATACGGAGCGCATCTCATGGCCCACTTGAAGGACTATGTCAAGGCCACATCCCCCGTGATGCATTTTCTGACTTACGCTGATAACTACGCCACGGGGTATTTCCAAAAGCAGGGCTTCACTAAAGAAATCATGCTTGACCGTTCCATCTGGATGGGCTACATCAAGGACTATGAAGGCGGCACACTCATGCAATGCTCGATGCTTCCCCGAATACGGTATCTCGAAGTGGGCCGTATGCTTCTCAAGCAGAAGGAAACTGTTCTAGCGAAAATGCGTCCCTTGAGCAAAAATCACATTATACATCCACCGCCTCCGCAATGGGCTAACGGCGTCATCACTCCGATCGATCCACTCTCTATTCCTGCCATTCGAGCTGCTGGCTGGTCTCCGGACATGGACAAGCTAGCACGGGAACCACGACATGGGCCTCATTTTAACGAACTTCGGCGCTTTCTGAGCCAAATTCAAGCCCACAAACAAGCATGGCCCTTTGTCTCTCCGGTCAACAAGGACGAGGTCCCGGATTACTACAAAGTTATTGAAACCCCAATGGATTTGTCAACAATGGAAGAAAGATTAGAGAAAGATGCTTATTCGACCCCGAAAGACCTTGTTAACGATCTCAAGTTGATCTTTAGCAATTGTCGGCAGTATAATGACGCGACAACGGTATATGCCAAGTGTGCGATGAAGCTGGAGAGATACATATATTCTTTAATCAAGGAGGTACCGGAGTGGTATGACTTGCTGGAAGAATGAAGCTAGCGCATCAATGGCTCTCTTAAGACTCAACCTACTCTAAGCGAGACGAGAGTTTTGTAAGTATGGAGTCTGCGTTGGGCTATTTTTTTTGAAGGCGCTATGCCTATCATAATGTAGCATGATGGAGAAGAGTAGACATCTTGCAGAGGTCGAGTTGGGGTAAAGTTTCTCTGGATGGAAGTGGGACCAGCTTAAGATATGAAAATGATCATACCCTTGAGCATCGAAAAGTGATTATGTCCAAAATCAATCCAACAAAGCTGGACTCTTACATATGTGAGAAAAAGAAATGGAGAAGCATCAGGTTACAAGCTCTTGATGCATACGTAGAAACTCTTGATTGCTTCTTTTGCTATCGTCTCACATCCCCCATCCCCAGTTTCTTTTCTCTGGATCTGGCATACAAAATGCGCCCCATACTTGATGAGGACATCCTATGATATTTACTCACTGGAGATCGCCCATGCATAGGCACCAGAACCGTTGATAAATAAGGACTGTCTACTGCTTAGCTGAGGTTTTCAGTCTCATCGGTAATTTACTGAACTACCCACATACAGCATCTACGATAACCGTAATATTTGTCTACCTTCTTTCCAATGTCCATAACATGCGCCGCCAGAAAATCCCTTTTTTGGAGCAGAAAGGGAGCAGCTAGAAACTAAATTGATTGGTCTAACTTTGATGGAATATTCCAAGCGTAAGAGCACTGCACCCTAAGCAGCTGCCTAGATTGGTGACAAATACGAATACGAGCCCGAATGCGACATCCACCAGCCACCACGTTGGTATCAGCCAACGCAGCCTTACTGCTCTTGATGCATGTCATAACTATAAAACCAGTATGTATGTATCAGTTTCCACTGTCAGCACCAAATCCTCCCCAGACCCCAACCATGGTGGTAGGAGATTATCAACTCTACCGGTACGCCCCATCCCTCGCCGCCGCCATCGCAGCAACCGTCTGCTTCGGTCTCATCACAACATGTCATTCGATCCACTACATCGCCCAGCGAACATGGTTCTTCACACCCTTCATCATCGGGGGCATATGTACGTGGACACCACCACCACCACCACCTCTCCACCTTTCCCCAACCCCCACTCACGAACCCCAGTCGAAACCATCGGCTACATAGGCCGAATCCTCAACAGCCAACAAACCCCAAACTGGAGCACCGGTCCGTACATCATGCAAGAGCTCCTCCTTCTCATCGCCCCATCCCTCTTCGCCGCCTCCATCTACATGATCCTCGGACGAATCATCCAAGCCACAAAAGGCGACTCCCGCTCCCTCATCCCGGGACGCTGGATCACCCGAATCTTCGTCATCGGAGACATCATTGCCTTTTTTGCTCAAGCCGGGGGTACGTTCCCCTCCCACTGCATCTAGATAACCTATCCCATTCATAGCAAAAACAACAGGTGGCGGCATCCTCGCCCAAGCCAAAACCTCATCCCAAGAACGGCTCGGCAACTGGGTCATTATCGGGGGCCTGCTCGTACAGATCATCTTCTTCGTGCTGTTTATCTTCGTGTCGGGGGTGCTTCACGTTCGTATGAGACGTCATCCTACGCGACAGGCGCGGAAAACGCGAGTCCCCTGGGATCGGTTCCTCGGGGTGTTGTATCTCACTAATGGGTTGATTCTGGCGCGCTCGGTGTATCGTGTTATTGAGTTTGCGGAGGGGTCGGATGGGGCGTTGCAGAGGCGGGAGGTGTGGTTGTATGTGTTTGATGGGTTGTTGATGTTTTTGGTGATGGTGGTTTTGTTGCTTTATCATCCGAGTCGGCTTGTGTGGGTGGAGGAGAGGAGCGGGGGAGGTGCTAGGAGGAGAGGGAAGAAAGGGAGGAGGAGAAAGTCGAGTTCCAGACGTCGTGTGGAGCGGGAGATGATGGGTGTTGTTTGAATGATGCCATGAACTCAGACCTCTGACATTGTTGAATGATGTACGGGCGTCATATGATCTAATGAGCTCCAGGTGAAAAAGATGCATGCTACACAGTGAATACTCCGTAGTTAGTAATGTCAAAGGCTACAGACTCATGACAAGCTATCTTTTGTGAACAGAGGCCTAGGCGCGTCCAGCGTGGAAAACAATACCTAGGGTCCGCGGGCAACTTACGAAATCTTTCTATGGTAGAGATTAATAGTTGGTCAACATTGAAAGTTCCAAACTCATAATTTAAAGCTACTAGGTATCCCGTGGGCCTGCGGGTGGTATTGGTGTAAAATGACTGACCACAACTTAGCTGGATTATTCAATGTTGAGACGTCTGTTATACCTTCTATACCGGTAGTTGGAAGGCATATGTCCTTGATAGTCTACTTGGTAATAATTTCCCTCCTTTATGAAGGCGTAACGTTGCTACCCTTTCTAGAGATGGTCGTAGATCAGCGTGCAATGGATTGAGCTTGGGAATATCCAATCCGCTTAGCTGCAATATACAAAAGGATCAATACGACAACCCATATTTTATAAACGAGCCTGCCACGTCTCCCAGAACGCTGGAACTCGAGAGACTGCCTCGGCCAGTTTGCGCAGACCTGTAATCCCTCGTTCAGCATGAACACTGGCGACCTCTGGACCCGGTACATTCAGCGAATTGTTAAACACCTCCAAAGACATCGGCCCCCGGTATCCCGTCGCCACTACCGCGGCGGCAACCAGCTCCACCGGCATATATCCCCCGCGCTGCGATTCAAACGGAAACAAGCGATGTCCGCGCGACCACGGCAACAATGCAGGCACTTCTGGATCCGTCGGCGGGCGAAAGGTCTTGGGATACATGAGCTCCGCATCGCCCACCTGAAAGAAGAAGATGCGATCGCCAGGCACCGAAGCCACAAGCGACGCTAGAGAGGCACGTAACACGTCCAAGGACTCCTCCAGGGTTGGATAAATACGGCCATGACCAGCGGGGTTATACGGATCCGCAAACTCCACCGCCAGCACATTGAATGCATCGACAATCAGTCCAACATTCGGACGGTTGGCCATCCGCACGACTTCCCAAGTGGATGCCCAGGTGTTGCGCGTCGCCCAGGAAAGACCCTCATACCCGATACGCAACATGGGACCACCATCTGCATCCGAATAAGCCTTGGCCATGTCGCCGAGTTCCGCTAGATCGCGTGCAACCGTCTTCAGGTCCGACGTGACTCCCTCATCGGTGCGGATGTTGGCACACATAAACACGAGGTCGGTGTCAAAGGCGCGCATGAACGGGAAACGCTTGGCCACCAGATCCAGCGAGGCGCGCCGCTCAGCGGGGTCCTTGATGCCCTCGATCTTGCGCAGAGGCTGGGTGCATGCGATGCGCATTCCCAGGGACCGAACTAGGGCGCCGAGCTTCCGTGCGATCTGTAGGTTGTCCGGGGTCGCTTCCCAGAGCTGGTCACCGGGAAGTCCATGTTCCTCGAGATAGGCGGCCCAGCATTCGTCGAAGAGGTCGATCCAGCGGTAGCCGGCTTTGGCGGCTGCTTCGAGACGGGGTTGGAGGGGATGATGGATGGCGTTGCCGAGGGAGAGAGTGGCAGTGCCAAACTCGTTGGGGATGGAAGGAGGTGGCCAGGGGATAGGCATGATTAAGGTATAATGTGGTGAAAAGAGGTGTGGGTTTCTTGGATTCTCGAGAGGGGGCGACGAGTCATCGCATGAGCCGGCTAATCGTTCTGTTCTGAAGATGCGGGGTGAAGGCTTTCCCGTCTTGGGGAGGGAGAACCTGGCCCCGGGACGATCCTCCCAGATGTCTGGGGAGTCTGGGGATTATCCGGGGTAAAAGATTTGTGCCTTTGGGCCTGAGGTACACATCCTTCTGACGTCGACTAGGTTCTCAATCCATGGGTCGTGCAGAGGCTGTTTCATCTACCCCCCATGAGCCTCACGAGCAATTCTCTTCATACAGAGCCTCCTGACAGTAAGTGGGCGGATGACCAGGATACCTCCATCAGGTTCACAACTGAAAGCCTAACAACGAAGACACTGAGAAGATGTACAGGGAAAGAATTGAGAAAGTTAGTGACAAAACAGATTGCCGATAATCAATGTGTCGAATGGCTGAATGAACGGATGACATCGGATCTCCTCAGAATCCTAATCAACTAGGGTGTCGACCGGGGCTGTCGGCATCTTCCGCTATCTCCGAGTGTCGTCTGGAGTAGACTTTACCCCCGCATCAAGAAGGAGGGGTATCTCAATTCCTTGTCCAGTTTCCTAGTCGTACTCACCCATAAGAGCACAGCCAGGCTCTTTCTCGCCACCCCAATTTCTATCCGGCAAGTTGACGGGCCCAATGAGACATGCCGTGCCAAGTTAGACCACCCATCGCCTGGACTCGGAGCTGTTGGACCTTGGATGAGAAGGGCCATCGGGGTCGGAACGGCCGGCGCTGCAGGATCTCCAGTGCGACCGATGCAAGGACACGTCAGATCTGCATGGCCGGGCTGGAGATTCCCCGCCAGTCTAGAGGGAACAATCCCGGCGGGACGCCCTGGATCTTAATGTCCCTGGGCCAAGGCACTCCGGTCAGCTCGGCTGCCAATGTTCGGGATGCGTACCAACCGCCGTCAAGGTTCGGGCAGGAGAATGCTATACTCCGGATGTTGAACACCGAACTTCTGCAAACCAATTCTCGCCGCGGAAGGAGGAAACAAATACCCCTTGCTTGCCCGGGGGAACCGGACCCTGATGGCTCAGTCTGATTTCCCCAACAATGTGGATCCCACATTCTCTCCGCACCGGCCCAGCCCCCGTCATCCCCGACTACTAGCATACTAGCAGTTCCCACCGTCCTTTAACTAGTACTGCATCTCACGTCGTACCACCCCCCCAAATTTCCCCCCAATGATGCCTTGTTCATTGACCGAGATGGGAATTAGCCTAATCGGCTAAATCCTCTGGGGATGGCTACTTAAACCCTCGCCGACAAGATGGAGATCTGTAGTGTATACCGATCGAAAAAGCGCATCCTCCGTCCGCTCAGATCATGAATCCGAGATAGAAGACGAAACATGTATTTCTCTTCTATTCTCGCCCTGGGCGCTTTGGTCCAGGCTGCGGCATCCACCTATATTGCCCCCAATTCGACCGGCATCCGTCTCCAGCATGGCTTCGAGACCATTCTCATCCAACCCTTTGGATACGACGGGTTCCGCGTGCGCGCATGGCCCTTCCGTCCTCCCTCGGGCAACGAGATCAGCTTCATCTATGACCCTCCACTTGAAGGCTTCGAGGACTCCGCGCATGGCATGAGTTATGACACCGCAACCACTGGCACGGAGCCTCGCACCCTGCGCAACGGCAACATAATCCTGCGCACCACCGGATGGGGAGGTACAACGGGCGGGTACAGACTGTCCTTCTCGCGCGTCAATGAGGATGGGAGCGAGACCCTCCTCACCAACGAGTACGCCCCGCTCAAGTCCCTCAACCCCCGGTACTATCACTGGCCCGGTCCCGGGCCCGAATTCTCAGCCGAGTTCTCCTTCAGTGCGACCCCGGATGAGCAGATCTATGGCACGGGTACACAGCAAGATCATATGATCAATAAGAAGGGCCAGGTCATTGACTTGGTGAACTTCAACACGCATATCCCCACCCCCGTCTTCATGAGCAACAAAGGTTACGCCTTTATCTGGAACATGCCGGCCGAGGGACGCATGGAGTTTGGGCCCCTTCGAACCAGGTTCACCGCCGCGACGACAACGCTGGTCGACTATGTGATTGTGGCCTCTGCGCCAGGCGACTACGATACTCTGCAGCGGAGAATTTCGGCCCTGACGGGGCGGGCACCGGTCCCGCCGGACTTTGCCCTTGGGTACATCCAGTCGAAGCTGCGGTACGAGAACCAAACAGAAGTTGAGCTTCTGGCACAGGACTTCCATGACCGTGGGATCCCGGTGGCCATGATCGTGATTGATTATCAGTCGTGGGCGCACCAGGGAGACTGGGCACTCGATCCGCGCCTGTGGCCGAATGTTGGGCAGATGTCGGCGCGGGTAAAGAACCTCACAGGAGCCGAGATGATGGCGTCGCTGTGGCCCAGTGTCGCGGATGATAGTGACAATTACGCTGCACTGCAGGCGAACGGGTTGCTTTCAGCCACGCGCGACGGCCCCGGCACCACTGACTCCTGGAACGGGTCATACATCCGCAACTATGACTCGACCAACCCTTGGGCGCGCGAGTTCCTCTGGAGCATGCTGAAGAAGAACTACTACGACAAGGGGATCAAAAACTTCTGGATCGACCAGGCCGATGGCGGAGCTCTGGGTGAGGCGTATGAGAACAACGGACAGAGTACGTACATCGAATCGGTACCGTATGCCCTGCCGAATGTACTGTACGCCGCCGGAACGCAGCTCAGCGTGGGCAAGTTGTACCCCTGGGCGCATCAGCAGGCGATCGATGAAGGGTTCCGCAATGCAACGGACACGGAAGAGGGGGGCGCTTGCACCCAAGTCTCGCTGAGTCGGTCCGGATACATCGGGTCCCAGCGGTTCTGCAGCATGATCTGGTCCGGAGATACCACGTCCGTGTGGGATACGCTGGCCGTGCAGGTGGCTAGTGGCCTGTCCGCCGCAGCAACAGGCTGGGGCTGGTGGACCGTCGATGCCGGCGGTTTCCAGGTTGACCCCACAGTCTGGTGGAGTGGTAACATCGACACCCCCGAATTCCGGGAGTTGTATGTGCGCTGGCTGGCCTGGGCGACCTTCTTGCCCTTCATGCGCACTCACGGCAGCCGGGCCTGCAACTTCCAGGACGCCTACACCTGCGCCAACGAGCCGTGGTCGTACGGCGAAGCCAACACTCCCATTATCGTCTCGTACATCCATCTGCGCTACCAGCTAGGCGCCTATCTGCGCTCCATTTTCAAGCAATTCCACCTCACCGGTCGGAGTATCATGCGCCCGTTGTATATGGACTTCGAGAAGACCGACCCGAAGATCTCCACGCTCACGGCATCGAACAGCAACTTCACGACGCAGCAGTACATGTTCGGCCCACGCCTGTTGGTCTCCCCGGTGACCTTGCCCAACGTGACCGAGTGGCCGGTTTATCTGCCGCAGACGGGCGACAACAGCACCAAGCCATGGACCTACTGGTGGACAAACGAGACGTACGCAGGAGGGCAAGTGGTGAAGGTTCCAGCGCCGGTGCAGCACATCCCTGTGTTCCATCTGGGGTCGAGGGAAGAGGTCCTCACAGGAAATGTGTTCTAGGCTTCTCAGTATCAAATTTAGAGAGAAACAAAATGTTTGTTGAGCAATTATAAGGACATGTCTGTGTTAGATGCCAAAAAGTCCATGTATGATTCGCGCTCGCGTTTCACCAATAGAGTTGCTATCGATAGTAGTTTCCGAGGCCCATCAAATTGACTCAAGATCCGGGGAAGGTGAGTTCGAGCAGTCAGGTGAGCGAGGCACGTGCTTTCGCCTTGGTTTTCTGCCTGGCCTCACCTACGCTGGAACAATTCAGTAAAAACTTCAAGGTCTTCCTTTACTAGCGGTCGTCGAGTACGCAGCGTCCTGGGCTGATCCATACAGTTTGACTGGCTATGAAAGAGCAAGATTGAGTGTTGAGCCAGGATACCAAACCCGAGTCTTCTCAAGAGTGGCATGGAATGCATTGAAACAAGCACGCTATGAAACAGGATCTCTTGGTACAGGTAAGAAGTGACCACAGGAGACAAGCACATGAAGATGAAGGCAAGCAACGCTGATGAGACCCAGACGTTTAGTCACACCCTACCAGTGGCTTCTGCTCCGGCAACTCGGATGGCGGCATTCGGCAACGTGCACGGTATCGGATGATGTCAATCAGGATATACACGGTGCACAGGGCTTGCAGCACCGCTGCTGTCCAGGCCATTCCCAGGAACGATGTACTCGTAGTCGCTGATACTCCATGTCCATTGCCCGAGGTGTTGATCAACTTCACGAACTCGGTCGTGATGACGCTGGCAATGACGGAAGCGACTCCGAAGCTGAACAGGCTCACCTGCAGGATCAATACATTAGACGGATGCTGAATTCAAGGGCCGATAGTGCGGGACTTCTTTCACTTACCAGGAAGATCAGAAACTCCACTCGAGACGGCGGAGTCTCGGAATCGAAGCGAGGGGATGGGTCCCCGGTGTAGCTGGGGGGCCTGCTTGACGCTCGTGTGCAGGCAATTGACCAGATCCGAGCTCCGATAGCCAAAGCTGCGGTTGTCGTACCGAAAATGAAAAACACGACCATGGTGGTGTTGGTTGGGCCCAACGCCTCGAAGTCGTCCGTGATGCACGAAGGCCACTCATCCGGCGATAGCGTTCCAGATGGCGTTCCCAAGGCATTGAGAATGGCCTCGCTCGGGTTGAAGGTAAACAGCACGCTGCGGTCAGAGCAGCCGATAATTTCATTTTTGATCGTGGTGGCATTTGTGGTCTCATCTGACACACACAATTCCTGAAACCCAGTACAATAGGACATGGTGTAGACGGAGAAATAATCGGGGGCCCCCGCGCCACCAGCGCCTCCGGTATATAACTGGCGAATATGACATGAGTTGGGGACTTCAATCCGTGACACCACCACTTACAGTTAGAAGAGATGCCTGGGGCAGGAGCTGACGCTGGCTACCAGCGAAGAGACACAGGATGCCCAGCAGAAAAGCAACGCAGGAGCCCATGATGGGCAGCACGGCACGGATACAGCTCATGGTGACCGGCTAATCGTCCCCGAGGTTTTTACCAGTGAGAGATATGATTGCAGACTTTAATCTGCTGAAACATAGATGGATGGGCGAGTCTCTGCATGGGGTAATGGATATAAACCAAAGAACGAGTCATACGCCAGAACAAGACAATCGAGGAGAGCACAGAGAACTTATACATCGACAGGCAAATTCAGGCGTGTCGTGTGCCATTGGGCAGGCCCATGTCCTACTGCCGCCTGCGGTGACCAGCCGCCAAATGCTGGGAATTCTTAACCCTGCCTTAAACTGTTTCAAGCTTGCGCCGCCAGGTTAGGCTAAGCCCGTGGCTTTCCTTCCGAGGCATGTCCCAATGCTTGGTGGATGACGCCGTGGACGGACCTGGGTCTCGATCGAGGAGCACGCTCAGACCGATCTGTCTCCGGATACAATCCCAGCCCCGCGATTTATCATACATCATCGAGGAATCCCTGTACTGTGGCGTTCGAGAGAAGTAGATTCGTTGCTCCTGCTGCCCCAGGCGATGCTAAAGTCAATGGCGATCAGCACGGGAGATAGTCCGATCATCCTTGACAGATTCAGCATCCCTATTTTGTTTAATCGCAAAACAGCACTGTGAATTGACCTTCGACTACGACAAGAGCTCTTCCAGGCCAGAGGAATGAAGGTTATTCCAATCATCCGGAGCCAGTTCGCCAGGGCGCCAAATTGTCTTGGGGTGGATGTCTTCTCCGGAAGACCTTTCCATTCCCCACCCACCACCCATTGGTATGCGAGAATACGCTTAGCCTCGCGTTGCACAAAATTCTTCAGTTCCTCGGCCAAAATACTTCAAAGTAAAACAGAAGAGATGTTTCACTCTAGGGTCCAATCATACGGCTGTGTGAGTTGGACGGTCCTCCTTCTTGGAATACACAATAGGCTGCCCAGCAGGCCTGGACAATACGTACTAGCTCAGAAAGAGCAACCAACAATGAGATCAGTTTCCCGGAAATTGTATCGAGGATCGCCACCAATCGACTCATCGAGGCCATGTCTGAAATCATCTAGGCAGCGATGACATCGGCATAAGCAGCTTGCAGAGGCATACACGTCAATGCAGGGCTTGGAGTGTCCATTCTAATGTGCGAACTACGCTCTTGCAAGTTGCAACCATCATAAAGGGGGATTAATTATGGACGTAATATGGCATTTGTCTGTGAAATTTCACAGGAATCTGGCTGCACTTATTCTAGGGGTTTCCCACAAACTAATTGATGAGTCCATTGCGCTGCAAACATAGATAGTGACCACAGTCGCATATGGGAGTGAAGATTGCTGGCGATGATACCGGACATGAATCACAAGACCTTTTAACAAAAAGCGCCGATCTGGCCTGGTATTCAGAAGATTGTCTTTTTCGCATCACCCAACTCCACCTCCTGTCGCTGATGAAGTCCTCACGCGGACGAAGACAGAATCAATGGACCATTAGAAATATGCATCTTCTTGGACTACTAGGTGATCGGCCTCTCGTGAAGGACGCCAGGAACTGAGGTAAGGATGTATTATATCCTATAGCCTTTTGTCTATGTCTATCTTTTATGGTCATACTTACAGTAATGTCTTTGTCTACAGTCTTCCACTATGCTTGTTTGATCTCTTCCGCGACAGGCTCCATCACAGGGGCCAGTTTACTCTTCCGCCGGATACGACTACCATAGAGGTAGAACATCACCGGGATTGGGATCATCACCACAGCAATACATCCCAGCAGCGTACCGGCCCATTGAATACCCAGGTTGTTGAACATCTGTCGCGTGAAAAGAGGAAAGACGGCACCCACCATGGATCGCATCATGGTGTTGGCCGCAAAGGCCGACGCAGCACTACATCATTAGCATGTAGCTCGGTGCGTATTGAAGAATAATGAATCTAAAGGGAGAAACGGAGTGCACTCACAATTTGGAATAAGTGTCCAGAATATAGTTGAAGCACTGCATGAAGATGGAAGTTAAGCCAAATCCCACCGCCACTCCGGCAGCCGTGGGGGCCATCCAATGGATTGAACTATCCCAGCCAGTCCATCCAAACCTGCTCTCGCTCGTCAGTATTCCACCAGGCTCGGCGTGCGCCCGAGGGAGGGAGCCATACCAGAATAGCCCACCAGCAAACGCGGCGCCACCAACAATGCAAGGGGGGAGACGCCATTCCGGCACCGACACGCCGTTGTTGGCCATCAATTTCCGCGAATAGGATCCCGACAGCGATAAGACAAACGCACTGCCAGCGATTTCTCCAATGATCAGGCCAATGAAGGGCAACCCTGCGACACCCCCAGTCATGCCATAGGTGCCTTCAAAGACAATCGGATACGCCTCCAGCAGTGCATAGGCTAATCCATAGATGAACGACATGTAGAGAGTGAGCAGAAACGCAATCGGCTCGGTGAACAGAATCAAGAACGGACGCGCCAAGTTCTTGGTGACCAGCTCCTGGAAGCTAATTTCCAATTCGTCCTGGCGAGCATGAATTCCCCAATTCCGCGTCTGGCGTCGGAGAATTGCCGCTTTCTGTACCAGGATGATAGGGGCGTATGTCTCTTCGGTAAAGAGCGCTATCAACGCGAGGCAGAAGAACCCAACAATGGCGGGAACATACAGCGTCCACCGCCAGCCGAGATGGCTTGACGCCGTGAAGCCACCGATGAATGGGGCTGTGAACGGACCTGTGAATACCGACATGGTGTACATGGCGATGGCGACCCCACGCTGGTGATTGTTGAAGACATCGGACAGGCTAGCGGGTACCAGGGCAATGATGCTGGCTGCGAAGAAACCAGCGAAGAAGCGGGACAGCATCAGGGTCTGGGTGTCCTTGGCGGTGGCGCACGCTATAGTGAAAATATCGAAGCCAAACATCCCGATCAATAGCGGCCATCGCCGGCCGAGCAGCTCTGAGCCGGGGGCCCATACCGTTGGCCCAGCCGAGAAGCCCAAGACGTACAGAGTCGTTCCTAGTGCCGCGACTTCTTCACCAAAGCCAAACTCTTTCATGGCACCAGAAGCGGCAGTCGCAAATACTGCACTGCCATAGGCGGTAACCAGAGCACATGAGGTGAGAAGTGATCCAAGAATGACTCTACGAGGGCATCAATAACCATTCCCATGCGACCTAGGTCGGATAAATGAGGGCTACTCTTGCTTACCTCTTCTTCATGGGCCAGTTGTGAGGATGCATCGGATCGTCCGCTCCTTCAAATTCGACCACATACGCCTCCGAGTCCGGTAGAGGCGGCGGGTAGGGTTTCCCAGCCCCGAGGGGTAGCCATTGGTCTTGCGGTATGCGACTTCCTCGCGATCCTACCGTAAGTTGCTGCTGAAGACGATAGGTGTTGATACGCTCGAGCTCGATGCTGTCATGGGGGCCGGAGGCTCCGACCTGCGAGCCGTGACGATGGGAGACAGCTGACATGCGTTCCGCTATCGAGGAACCGTCGTCAGCTTCGGCTTCGTATGTATCATGATGAAGTCGGTCCATGGCCATGGATCAGCTTCTGCACCATAGAATGGCGAACCTAAGGGCCAGGGAAGGTCGGGGTGAGAAGGGTCAGCTACAAAAGACAAGGATTATAAGGATTCCATAGTATTAATATCAGTCTGTTGGCCCCAAGGAGGCCCTCCAAATTTTCATTCCTTATTTTTCTTTTTCCTCAGCTTTGGGCGGGAACCAATGCTCCAGTGGGTCGTGGAAGGATGGACATTGTCCACTCAGCCAAAGCCTCTAGATCCACTGCCTCAGTGGATACACTGGCTAAAGGATATCCTCCTGGGGTTGTGCCGGATAAAACGGAGCAGGCATGGCACTAAGGGCATGCAACCCGGCCCATCATCAGGTTAGCTAGGCACCGAGACTGCGATTCGGAGTTAGAGATTCGGGGCGGCGGAACCGGGAGGGTAATCGGAGGGCAGTCCCGGTGTCGGTTGGGGGCTCTTCGTAGTTCTTACTGTTCCCGATATATCGTTATCAGGGAGCTATCCACTGTATCCACCGCGTAGATAGGTACTGTGAGAAAGATCTAGGACATAAGAGCCGAGCGCGACTGTTGTCTACGGGAATTATCCCGCTGTGGGGGAAAGAGGAGGATGGAATCCACCCTTCTATTTCACCGGCATTTCCCACAAGTATAGACCTACGATGTACATCTATACTTTGCAGCCAGTCGGTGTCCTTTGGTCAATCAGATCGTATGATGGTGCTGAAGGACGGCGAAATGGTGAAATGGTGCAATGATGAAATGATGGATGAAGGAGGCGTGATGATTGCCTCGGAAAGAAAAGCGGAACCAGCAAAGGGGCGGAATACTTTCCGCTGCCAGCGGGGAATCGGAATCTCACCAGTCAGTCCCTCAGTCAGGCATGATAGATAGAGCCTCGATGCCTTAGTCCTTCTCCAACTGGAACAAAATCCTTGTTAAATCACGAATATAGCTTGCAAAGCACTGGCGGAGTCCATCATGCAAATCACCGCTGACCGAGCACGAGTTCTCGGGCCCCACCATGGGCCATGCAGGCGTGGATTTGATACTAACCAAATCACCACTCACCGATAAGAAAGGTGGGGTCACAAAGGACGCCTTTCGAGATTCGAACAGCACACACCGAACTGCAATAATAAGAATCCCTAGATTCCACGCCGCGGGGAAACGACCTCTCACCACCGGCAGCCAGGAAATCAGATTCCGACCCCGTCGGGAAATGACACCGAGCGGCAGTCTGCGGGATCTTCTTCGTGATCTTTATCTACTACCCTTCCCCTCCTCGAACCCCTCAGTTCCCTGGGTCTGAAGATCGATCGACATCAACGAGCTTAAATCGAGAAACTGCGTGAAAATGATTACTGGTCTCGCGCACGTCAACATCCTCGTCCCGGAAGGGACCCTGGACCTGGCAGAAGAATTCTACACCAACACGCTGGGTCTGCCATCCGCCCCAGTTCCCCACCTACAAAAGGGAACGCTTTTATGGTGAGCAACCCCAAATCGGGACCCTGCTTCGAGGAGATCCGGTCAGAATTGATCGCAAATAGGTTCAACCTCACGCCGGACGGTAGCCAGCAAATTCACGTGGCCTTTGGGAAGAACGGCGAGCTAGACTCCAGACGCCATGCCTGCCTGAGGGTCGCGTCGCTGGAGGCACTGCTGAACCTGCAGCAGCGCATCTGGGAACATCTTCAGAGGGGCGGTGCTGCTGCTCCCTTGCACGCCGATCAGCCTGGCGAGCAGAATTCGGGTATGTCCTTTCTATTCTATCTCTCCGATGTTCTCATTGCCATAGGACATGCCTATATGAGCAATTGCTGCCGTCTTCTACCTTCTTCTCAGAATCTGCATTTCTTCTACTGGCCTCCTTGTTGAACGTTCCTACTGATCACTATGAGTTTTATATAGGGGCCCAAGGCGTCGAATATCCGAGTCGATTTTTTGCGAGGGACTACGCGGGCAATAGGCTGGAGTTCACTCTATGACACCCTTGAATGAGTCTAATGGATCACTGTTTGTCGATACCTATTGAGCGGAGACCATTGTGTCATGATCCAATAAATATCCACTTTTCGATTCCTCAATTGGCTCACTCCATGAACCACCTACAAGTATGCCCTGTGAACATCCAAAAGTGTTGGGCTATTGTATGCTACCCCAACCTTTGTAGGCACTGCCTTCTCTGTCCGTTTACCCCCACGCGCAGACTACAGAGTGCATCTTATTCAGATTGATCGGAACCAGATTCCCTGCCGGGTGCCATCCAATCTCAAGTTCACCCAGGTAGCTCCGCCATGTGCAGTTTGGCACTGCCGTATGGGATGAAATCACTCACACAGGTTTTACTACACTTAGGGGAAAGGGGTGCCGTGATGTGGAATGGGAGGTGATCGGTACAGCGTACAGCAAGGCACCGTGGTATATGGGCACAGTATTACAGACTCGTGGTTCCACTCGAGCACTGGCAGTCATCTTCACGTGCATATGGGATCGACCTGACGCCAATGATACGAACAGCTTTGCCGAATATATAACATACACAATTACCTGTGCAGTCAGATAGGTTGTCTCACAGATGATCGACACATTGGCCCCATCTCTCGTGGTAGTAATGGCTGACGTGCATCCCAGCAACGCATGGGAAATGTCATTCTGGCTGTTACACTCAAGCACTACTATGATGTGCTCGGGGATTCCCTGGGGTATTTGCCAGTGCAGTAGGGTGATGGAACAATAAGCCATGAAGTTAGTCCTCTTTCGCGTATGGAGGATAAACATGCGATCTGCTGAGTCGGTAAATCGAAAGAGTCTTCTTTCAGCAGTGATTCCCCCCGATGGAGTGCCATGGTCGCAAAAGTTCCATTTCACTGCTCTTCCTAATAAATTTGGTATGAGCGATCATTGTAGGTGAATTGTTGGCGGTGTCTTCATGCCTTCGCCTGCGTGCTCAAGGGAAGAATTGATCTGTCATGACGTCGTCACGGAAAGGGTCTAAGTCTCCTTGATAAGTCTGTTGTCCATTTTATGGCCTTCTCGTGGAACACATGCTTACAGTTCAACATGCTCTGCTTCTGATTCCGACGTTCGTGTTCGTCGGGCCATCATAAGTTGTTCTATGCTCTTTCCTGGTTGGGGACGCGATGTCGCCGGTCGTATAAGTAGTATGAGCCTTCATAGCTACAGGTTCCTTGATCAGATGGTCTGTCGAGAAGTACAGCCAGCAATAGCTCGAGCTGCTATTGAGTTCGGTCACATTGCCGTGCCTCTCTTTGATCAATTCCTGATAATTAACTATTTACACCAAGCACGGCTGAATTTCAATGCATATAATTGACGTGCGGCAGAAGAAACGACTGGTATTTGCTTCGGTATTATCATTGGTGCTGGGATTGGCGTGTGATGAGAGTAATCCATGGTAGTACTCTCAAAGAACCGCCATTGTCAACAAAGGTTTTGTGAAGGTAGAAGACAGGGGTATATAGACCCGGTTGCTTCTCTCCATATGCAAGATAGACCATTTTTCCCTACCAGGGCCCTCTATAACCCGGCGGTGGAGTCTCTCCGTTTGATGATATCACCACTAAGAGAGGATGATCTCGTGCGACAGCAAGGCAGCAAGGCAGCAGGACGGCACGGCGGATGGCACGCAGACCGCCTACCCAACGCGGCCCGCGGCTTATGCAGGAAGGGGAGCGGGTTCGCTGCTTTTGGTTTTGCTGCCCAGCACCGCACCGGCAACCACCGAACCACCAACTTATTACTATTACACCAAGACCAGATCATCAATCCCCTCCTCCTCCGTTCCCCCCTTATTCTTCCCTCGCTCCCTTCTCCCCTCCTCCTCCTCCTCCTCCTTCTCTTCCTTCATTGCCTTCTTTGCGATCCTTTTACCGACCTCGGGACCTTCCCCTCCCCCTTGTCTCCTGGGGTATGCCTAGAGGTGGATCTCTTTTCCCCGGACCTCCTTGTTATTGTGGTCGGCCGACACCCGGATGAGGCTCGACCTTCCATCTGTACCAACAATCCGCTGTTGGTGGTAACTGGTTCTTTGACTAGTTCCTGCTCTTTCATCGCGGGCCTGGTACCGGTCTGGAGCTTGACCCGGAGATCCGCTGGTCTTTCCCCGTGCCCTTGAGCGACCTATCCTTGCTCGCCCAGTGGGAATCCTTTCCAGGCCGTTCCCGAGCCTCGCTTTGCACGTCTGCCCTGTCGCGTGCGGGCAGCCTTGGCCATCCCGCTGTCAAACCCCCGCCGAGGCCCCTTAACAACAATGGCGCATTACCAGAATGGATATCCGGCCTACAACCAGTCTCCCAATTCCCCACCGAGTTCGACTCAGCCTAACCGCTATGACCTCTATGCCACCCAGCCGACGAGCCCGCAGTTGCGAAGGATGCCAAGTTATAACGTGGGGGATGATGCGGGTGTTTTGGGCTCCCCTCATTCCCAGGACTCTAGGGCCACCGAGATGAATGCTCGCTATGCTGGCTGGAATGCACCAGCGGAAGGCCAATCTAGCTATAATCTCATCAACACCGGACGCGATGAATACGCGGACCCTCGATATGCGCACATCCCTGCGTCTACCTCGCCGCAATTGTCGCGCGCCCGGGCTTCCTCACAATCAAGCTATCAATACCAGTATACCTCATCTGTTCCTGCTGCCGCATCACCCACCCAGCTTGCGTACAATCCCCAGCAGTATGCCTTGCCCCCCACACCGTCGCAGCAGCAAGTAGGCTTCAGTCCGCTCGCATATACAGGGCCTGGCGCTTCGTATAACAGCTCAACAGCGCCCGGTCACCAGCCTTATAATCCAGCCGCCTACCAACCTGCTAGTTTTGGCTCCTCCCCAGTGCAGAGGCAGCCAACCATCTCTTATGCACAGGCTCCTCCCACACCTCAATCTTTTGGGCCTCCCCACCCGCAGTTGCCGCCGCCTCCGCCGCCTCGGGGACCGGATCACCCGTACGGAAGTCGTCCGTCCCCCCAGTATGGAAATGTTTCGCCAGGTACGCACTACGGGTTCGCAACCCAGCAGGCGTCATCTTCATCCACACTATCCGGTTCTTTGTCCTACGGAACAACGTCCCCTTCGACACCCAATGCCACCTATGGATCCACAAACAGCTCTTTTACCGCCAGTGGACCGAACACTGCTGCGGCCCACCTATACACTGGAGGTACGCAAATTCCAACCTACATTCCACAGTCACCGGGTCATTCTGAAGGTGCTCTTGCCTCTCCTTTCGATGAACAACCTCCTGCACCCCCGGCTCACTCGACATCGACCGAGGACGCCTTTGGGAAGCGGTCTAGCTTGACGCGCCCTGGCTCAGGAAGATCCCTTCCCACACCGCCCATCTACCAAAATCAAACGCAGATGTCGCCGCGTAGAACGGACACTTTGACTCGACACCCCCAGTCGCGGCCCTTACCTGGTCCTCCCGTTGATGCGGATGTGGGCTCAGACCCTTACATGACTTCCAATGGACTTGCCAGCCTGGATAGTCGGCCAGACTCGAGGACTGGCTACGATGAGCTAATCAAGGAGGTCGAGGCTGCAGTTGCGGACCGGCGTGCCACCGGTGAGCCGGGTTACAGCTTGGATCCATTACACGTGGACCCACGCGACGCGCTGGTATTGGAACCACCAACCAGCGTCTCCCCAGGTCCACGGCTATCTCCCGATGAGAGACACACCCACACCAATGGCAGTATTGCCACTGGTACAGGTCAGTATGTGAATTACGATGCGTACAGTGATGACAGTGACGCCGAGGCTGCTGCGGGCTTGGCTATGCTGCAAATGGCAGACGAAGAGGACAAAGCTCAAGCTGAGCGCCTTCAAGAACGTGCGCGGCGAGAGACGACCGCCTCTATTATCAGTGCGTATGGAGCACGATCGGAGAATCGCGCTCCATCTCCTCATCAAGACTGGCATCAGGATGAGCTAGATTCTTACAGTGGAAGCTACAATCGGGCTTCCCAGTACGATGGGCTGGATCCCCACACGAATGGTTATGGTGATAGCTTAGATCATGTCAGGCTTGCGCCCACATCCGGCTCGAGACATTCCAACCCTTTCGCAGATGGCCAGAGGGAATACTCCGATGACTATGACTATCCATCCGCAGCGCTCGATGCTTCTGGGTATCCCTATCCAGACCCGCAGCATCATGCACGAGTGGATGCTGGCGGCACTGGGGGATTGGCGGAGCCGGGGGCGTATGAACGTCGGATGAGTTTCGATTACGGCGATGAGACCGATGGGCCCTTATCCCAAACTCATAACCTGCAACGCTCGGGAAGTGAGAGCTCAGACAGAGGAGATGAGCCTGGAGACCTCTTCTTCCACCCAGGCATGCGCCCGCTTCCCCCGGCTCCCGTGGAGCCGGCGAGCAACCCAAGCCTGATGTCGCATTTGATGCCGGCAGGGACGTACCGGCACTATGAGCAGGGTGACGAGCGGGGCTCTACCCAGTATACACCCTCCTATTTCCCTGTTGCTCCAGACTCGTACACTTCGACCGTGTCCAGCCCTACCCAAGTCCCACGGTCAACGTCTTTGTCGAGTCATCCAATTGGACCTCGTACTGACCCCCCTATCAGATCGAAAACCGATGCAGACCGGGCGAAGTATAAACAGCAACAGGAGCTTCTGCGGCAGCAGCAGCAGCAGCATGGTGCCGTCAAATTTGATACTTCTCCGGATGCTGCAGCTGCCATGACCCTCGATTTACCTACAATCCCTGCTGGGCGTCGTAAGAAGTTCAATCCGACTAAGTTATCATCAGAACAATTCCGACGCTGTACGGAGCCGTGGGCATTGAGTGCGATCTTATCATGGGTTCGGGAGCTCAGCGAGGATGAAACGGACCTGAAGGAACATACGATCGTTGAGGCTATCGTTGCCTTGTTCACCCATAAAGTACCGACAATGAACATTGCTGATGCCGAAACATTAGCCGCACGTGTGGTCAAAAATATGATGCAGGAGGAAGCCTTGGTGAAAGACGAGGAATGGGTCAAATTCAGCACGGGCACTTTGTCGGGAGTCTTGTTCCAGATTACGGGTACTGGCTGCTACTCCTCTCGGCTTCATGAACAAGGAACAGAAGTGTTTGGGCGTTGCTATTCCCATCATTGTATGCGGACGCTCAAGAAGGTCAACCTCAAAGCGCAGATGATGGAGGCGGACAAAAAGGCAGAAGACTGGGTGACGTTTTACAAGGTCCCCAAGGAAGTTTGGGAGACCTACCCCAAGAAGGAGATCGATCGACAAAACAATCTACACGAGATCGTGACCACTGAGGATTCCTTCATATCCCAGCTCGATGTTTTGCGTGATCTTTATCGGGATCAGCTGGCGAGGATGCAACCGTCGGTAATTGCACCAAAACGTTTGAACAAATTTTTGAATGATGTGTTCGGAAAAGTCGATCCTGTCAAGAAGGTCAACGAAGACCATCTCCTGGCTCAGCTCAAGTATCGCCAGAAAGAACAGGGCCCGTTTATCGCGGGGTTCAGTGACATTTTCCGCGAGTGGATCCGAAAGGCTAAGTCCGTCTATATCGACTACGCGGCCACGTTTCCCAGCGCCAATTATTTGGTGCGCAAAGAAGCAGAGAGAAATATTCACTTCCGCCAGTTCCTCAATCAAGTCCGTGATCACAAGCTGTCAAATCGCCTTAGCTGGGACACTTACCTCAAGGCTCCTATCACCCGGATCCAGCGATACACGCTGCTGCTGTCTACGGTTCACAAGAATATGCCCAAAGATTCCGAGGAGAAAGCCAACCTAGCACAAGCCATTGAAGAAATCAAGCTCGTGGCACTCGAGTGTGATAATAAAGTGGGCGAAATGAGCAGGAAGGTTGATCTCATGGAGCTTTCGTCCAAGTTGCAGCTCCGCCCAGAAATGAAGAAGGAAGTTGAGCTGAACCTGGAACACTTGGGGCGCGAAATCATTTTCCGAGGCGATCTGCAGCGGCCAGGAACACGAACAAGGTTCTTGGTGGATACCCATGCTATACTTTTCGACCATTACCTGGTGCTTGCAAAAGCCTTCACAGCTCGAGATCCATCGAGAACCGTGAAGTACGAGAGCTATGATGTGTCCAAGTTGCCCATTCCCATGGACCTCTTGGTCCTTGAGAGTGACAATGAAGACCCTGTCGTGAAGTCTGCGGTCCGCGGAGTAGTCGCTCAATCACCGGCCGTCGTCGGCCGTGGTGTAGGCGGCGGCCCTCTAACCCATACTGCCAGTGGGAACTCGGCTAGTTCTGGCAACTCGAACCAAGGAAAGACTTTGGTGCCCACCACGGTTCTAGAGAGCTCGAAGGATGACAAGATCCTCTACCCATTCAAGATCAAGCACCTTGGGAAGAACGGAACATACACGCTCTATGCTTTTTCTGCCCAAAACCGGCAAGACTGGTGTGATAAGATCACGGTGGCAAAGACCAAACATGCCGCCGCTTTATTTACACAGAATGCCGAGCCGTTTAGGCTCCGCGTACTTGCAGATACCGCATTTGCAACCCCTGACAATTCATCAATCCCCACTGGCGTCACCATCGACGGCACGCCTCTTGATCGTGCGATCAAGGACGTGGAGGAGCGTTACGGTCCGTCAACACCACGGCCGGCACCGGTTTGCAGAACTGCTGTCCACTGTGCGACTGTCTTCCAGCAACCGCCTGGTCGGATGATGTGCGCCATCGGTACTGATTATGGCGTATACATCTCCGAATACAATGACCCTCGCGGCTGGACTCGGGTAAGTAGTGACTCACTTTCGAATAACCCCCCCTTGTTCATTGTCGATCTCGTACTGACTCCGTGTTTTAAGACTATACCCATTGTGCGCGTGACACAAATTGCGGTGTTTGAAGAATTCAATGTCTTCCTCCTCATCGCAGATAAGTCCTTGATTGCTTACCATCTGGATGTCGTGTGTCCTCCGAACGGTGTGTCAGCCCAGGCAACAACAGACTCTTCCCGGCGAGCGCCGCAGAAACTGTCTGGCAGTCGAGAAGTAGGCTTCTTTGCGGCAGGACACATGAAGGACAGGACCTTGGTCATGTATAAAAAGAGAGACGGGTTGTCGTCCACGTTCAAGGTTTGTGTTGCAAGTTTCCCTTGCATGTTTGCATACTTATCCGAGTTTTAGATTCTCGAGCCAGTCGTCCAGAAGTCATCAAGCAGCAGGAGCCGGCTTTTCAGCTCTCGACGTTCGCAGACCGAGTTCTTCCGAGAGTACGACGAGTTCTATATCCCCGCCGAAAGCTACGGCATCAATCTCTTCCATTCTTCTCTAGCGATCTCGACTCATCGAGGCATCGAGATCCTCACCATTGACAAGAAACATACATGGTCCGTTCCTGATTTCCGATCCGAAGCTCCTCCTGAGGCGCAAGCCCAGCTCACCAGTATCGCTCATCGGATTGGAACTTTGCGTCCGCTGGGCATGTTCCGCCTCAGCGACAGCGAGTTCTTGGTCGTATACACCGAATGTGCGGTCTATGTGAACAAACACGGTGATGTGTCACGCAGTGTGGTCATGGAATTTGTGGGCCATGCCCACTCTGCGTGTCTCTACGGAAAATTCTTAATCTTATTTAATGACGACTTTGTCGAGGTGCGAAATGCTATGAACGGCCGCCTACGCCAAGTGATCCCAGGTCATGGTGTTGTCTGCTTAGATGATGGCAGCAGCATGCCAGGCTCTGGTGCGAACAGTATCCCTACCAGTGCCGGAGGCGCTGTCAACCTCTCCAGCGGATTATCGAACGGTGCTTCCCTGGCGAACAATGGCCACACAGTGAAGATCTGCATGCAGCATCCTGAATACGAGCGGAGTCAAATCATACTCGAGTTGATCGAGAATGAAGGGCAAAAGGATTAATGTTCATGCCCATCTTCTAGGTGACGAGTATCAATCGCTCATGCCAAAGTCAACCCTCATTTTCAACCTTCTCTTCCCCCCCCCGCCCCCCCATTCCCTCCCATTCTATCTTTCTGACTTTATACCCCATTTTTCATTCTCAATCTTCTATGGTGAATACTTCTTCTGTCTCCTCATTCTAAGCCATCACCGTACTTCGTGGGCCATTGTCAAGCCGGTGGATATGGGTTTATCTGTACATAGTTGGCATTGTCAGACATAGCTTCGCATCGTAATGCATAAAACCCTTCACAACCAGTTATGCCTCCCAAAACATAGGACGTGCAAGACACCCCCATTTTCCGACAACTAGACCCACGTTCGTCAACAGTAACACCATCTCCCGACTCCGAGTCCTATCATAGCACCGACAATGAATAGACGCACTCAGTAAAGGCGCAGCAAACACGAGTTAGCCTTGAATGAATTAATGGTTGATTGTAAAATGAGCCGCCTAGCTGCCTGCGGAAAAGAAACTCTTTATCACTAGTCCAACCTTGTCCTACATCCCCACCGACTGACGAAATACAACTGTACAGAATTGTGCTTGATGCAAATCACTAGCTAGACAGGGAATAATAGGCGCAGAGCTGCTAGTTCCGCGGTTACTATGTTTGCAGGATTTGATGAAGTAGGGAAAGTTGGGGAGGGGGGGGGGGGGGGTGGGTTTGTTTATAGGAGATCAAAGTTTATAGTATTGTCTGATTTAGGCTGATGAAACAGGATACATGCATGCATACATACAATTAATCTTCCAGAAACGGAGGACAGCATTCGTCTAATAGTAGAGAGACAGTTGTATGGCGGTGATGGGTGTAGGAAGTGTGAATCATGAGGCAGACAATGTAGGCGAGGAAATCTAGAATGAGATAGATGGAAATAGGTGGGGGGAAAAGAAGGACGAGGAAGGTGGAGTGGGCTTCATGACTCGAATTCAACCTTGCTGACGAGGTTGGGATCGTCATGGCTTGGATCATGGGTTCCTCGGTCTTGCTTGTGGTCGTCTTTGTCGTCAAGAAGTGATGCGTCATCTTTGCCGCGCATGCTGATGACTTCGGCTCCTTCGAGTAGATCGCGATCTGCGTCTCTGACGCTACGGCGTTCGGGATCGGCGCCGTAGGCACCTGCACCCCAGCTCGAGATGCCACCGACCATGGCGGATGTCGTGGCAACGCCGCTGCGAGGATCGTACTCTTCGTCTTCTTCCTCTTCTTCGTCGTCTCGGTTGAGGGCGCTGCGCTCCAATTCACGCTGTGCTTCGTCCATTCTCTTCTTGACTTCTGCAGCCATGCGGATGCCATCGGATACGATGTTGTCCAGCACCCCGCGGAGACCCTTGCCCGGAGGAACGATGCCGCCGGACGCTCCCGCTACCGAGGCACCAGATGCTGGGCTAGGTTGGGGTTTGGCAGCACCGATGTTGGAGAATGTAGTTAGGTTCGATGAGAGAGACGAGGAAGCCAAGGCCTCCAATCCATGATCTGAAAGGCGGAACGATTGTGGGAAGAATGAATCGAAGAATTGCTCCAGCAGTTCGTCAGCTAGGATCACCATGCGGAAGGTGGGAAGAGTGATGTGTAGAGGATTGTTGGGATCGAGTGCAGGGTTTGCAGATTCGGAAACAGATCGGTTGTGGTGCGTATTGGGCTTGTCTTCAGTCACCTGCTTCGCGGGATTTATTGTTCCAGCGGACTCGATTGATTTCGCATCATCATCGATATCGATGAGGTCCTCCTCGTCGTCCCCAATGCTAAAAGACCCGAGTTTATCGGCTGTTTCTGCCGCATCCTCATCTTTCTGTCCTTCGGCTGCTCTGTCCGGATGGCTGGGATCGGCATACTCAAAGCAACGGCGAATAAAAGAGCTGACGCTCCCCAGGAATCTTTCGTCGGTACTGAGCTTATCCTGATCCTGTTCATTTGCCCGGACGTCCTCCACAGACTGCGTGGGAGTGATAGCCCCTTCAAAGCCCCGTCGAGAAAGGAAAAGAAGAGCCTCCGACATGCGAAGAATACCTTCTCGATCCACCTGGCCAGTCCCTTCGTCATCGTAGAGATCGAAAAAGTAATTGATATTGTTCATTATGTCACGCGGCCCTTTCAGTCGTGCAAGGCCGTTGACGACGTTCTGCAAGCTCAGTCCTTCATTTGGATCCGTAGCCCACTTGCGGAACAGTCGGCGTGTGAATTCATGATCTGCTGGTTCAGGCTTATTATTCCACAACGCGGAGGATTTGCCCCATCCTCTGAAACTGTTGAAGCCCTGCTCAGATGTAGACTCCTTGCGTGATGATCCGCGTGAATCCGCAACGGCCCATTTTGCTGTTGCTGCGAGGAAGTCCCGGAAAGCGTCGTAATCCATGTGGGTAGGACTAGGACCGAGACCAACACGACCAATTTCTCTATCCACAGGAGGCCCAAGGATGGATGTTCTTTCCACTCTCTTCTTTTCCTGTCGCCTTCTCTCCTCTTCTTCGACCTTCTGTCTCTGCTGGCGGTCATAAAGAACCTCGTAGTAGCGGTCGTAGATTACACCTAAATCATCCATGCTGAGCTTTTTACTATCTGGCCCGAGGTTCCGGATGGATGTGCGTTTGGCGAAACTTTCAATGTTCTGCAAAACAGCGTCCTTGTGTTTCTCACGCTGTTCCGTGATGGTCTGGTGGGTGATTTGTGAGAATTCTTTAAAGGCGACAACCATGAGCTCCTGAAACCGAGTGATAGCCCTCAGTTTCGGGTTCTCAGATCGTGGGTGGGCTGACTCATCGAGGCGAGAAAAGTACGCCTTCAGGACGGAGATGAAAGAGCCGTCATCCTGTATATCCAAAAGCTCCTCGCCGTTGATCCTGAGGATGGCTAAGCCAACCTGGAAAAGAACCTTAGGCCCCTCGAGGAAGAACACGTCCAATACACGAAAAGCAAAAACTAGCGGCATTGAGTTGATATAGAGCGAGAGGAACCATGGGAGAGAAACAACGGATAGCTGCACATCAGATTTCGTAAGATGGTCCCAAAGCACCGGCATGGTTTTCTCAACGAGGGATTCAAACACCTTTTGATCGAGCAATGTGCCGTACATTGTTGTAGAGTAGTAGCCCGGCAGAAGACGATCGCAAAGGACAGACAATAAAAAGAAGGCTTGTGCCTCGGACATGTAACTGGATAGGTCAGCTTCAGTCTCGAAACAGTATGAGGGAACAACGCACATCAACAGCGCTGCAACAACAATATTCATAGCTTGGCAGTACCCAATCTCTGCGTTGGTCCAACTGTAGGCTGTAAGGACCCTTCGAAGGCGACCAATGCCTTCTTCACTCTGAAATCCGGCATACTCGGGCAAGCTGCGGTTCAGGTCTTTCTCAATCTCGTCGATCGCCAGGGACTCTTGCCCGGAGAACTTCGATAGCGTCTCCGTATAAAGATTTGGAGATCTCAGATGAAGGTAAAGCGAGCCCGATGTTACCTCCCATATCTCGCCCCGCAGGCGGTTCGGGAGACCGACTCGGATTAGTTTATGGAAGGTAGGTTGACGGATGAGCGTCGCGTTGCGGCCATTCTCTACAGAAGGACTCAATATACATTCCAGTCATTGACATTTCAGGATGGGGTTGCATACCTCTGAAGTACTCCCCCCACAACCTCATCTTACTACGGTCCCGAAGTTTGCGAGCATCACCGGGATAACGAAACATCATCCCCAGCCCGGCATCGGGTGGCTGACGCGCTTCAGGAGCCTCTCCATTCTGGGCTTTAGCTTTGGTTCCGGAGAGCAAGTATTCCGAATAGCAATTATTTACGACTAGCCGCAGGTTCTCGATTTCTTTCATGCATTCCCGCAGCCCCTTCTTCAAGCCGTCGCAAAAACGTTCGCAGGCCTGCCTGCTTCCAGCCAGCTGGATAGTGAACCGTTGTGGAGCAAAGTCAGAATTTTGTTGCTTGCCCAGTGCGCCGTTCCAGGTTGTTAATGCGAGGGAGAAAACATGGCTGAGACTGTTGAGTCGCTCCACCCTCCGGATGCAGCACAGCGGGATGGTAAACCCATTTCCAGACGGGCCTGTGCCGTTGGTCTGGCCAGCCCAATGCGTCGATGCACCAAGGCTAGTGGACGGTGTGAAACTTGTAGGCTGTGTCGAGAAGCAGAGGAACCGTTCGCTCAGATGGAGCCTGCCAGCGTAGCGGTTCCCGGCGCGATCAACAGGATTGCGGGCGGGTTCGCCGAGGGATGTAGACGACGGTGTATGCGGTATGGGTAGGATTAGCTCTGCCGTAATCTCTTGCAGCGGGTTTTGGGAATCGGGAAGACGGAACTGCTGGCGAAACAAGGAGGCCTTGGACGGGTTGCGATCGGAGGAAGAGAGGGTTGGAAGACTGAAGTTAGCCGGGTCGATGAAGGACTGGGCTTTCTGAACGAATGACGTCCACTGCATCATGGCGCCAGTGGAGAAAAAGAGGCTTGCCGCGGTGGCCTGGGACGGATGAGCAGGTGTCCTCCTGCGTCGTGGTTGAGTATAAAGCTGACGGCCGCCGACTCGGGCGGGAGCGGGAGCTGGATGGAGCTGCTGGAAGCTCACACGGCAGTCAGCGTTCGGCAAGGAAGATGCACAGAAGCCCACGAATGATTTAGGGGGGAGTTCAGGGTCATCGTAAGAAGCTAGCGCAACATCATTCGGCGAGGACTTCTGACGGCGGCGGCGGCAGACAGAAGGACCTGGGGTGATGACGGTCGGCGTGGGAGCGAAGAGGAGGGGAACGTCGCCGGCGACCGTTCCGGGCAGGCTGCCGGGACAGCCCTCACGTGATGAGACATCTGAAACATTCAGAGAATACCAGAGACAGTAGAGACAGGCCCCCTCAATTGGGTGCGGGATCGTTCGACTACAGTGGTTTTGGTACGGAACAAGAACCATATTTGCACTACATAAGGAAACTAGCGGAGTCTGGCCAGTGGCCTAGTACAGCCGACAGGAAAGCCGAAAGAGCGAACTAGATCCCAGCGGACAATCATAGTCAAAGGGAAGAAAAGGGGTAGGGGAAAAAAAGGTATAGGAAATAGGAACGAGGGTTTGCTTTACAGAATCACTTCGAAAGAAACAACGAGAAGCTCAAATATATTCATCTCCGGCGAATTTGCCGGCAAGTCTTGCCAGTCCCACCTTTTTGTAGTCCAGGCCGGTGCAACATCTCAACATGCAGGATATAGTGTGCAGAAGAGATTAGCAGTATTTAACGGCTCAGTTCTTGGTCAAAGGCGCTACCTCCGTCATGGCCTCTTCATCACTATAGGCAGGGGGGAGATCATCGGAAGACTCAGTCATCAAGCCCTGCTTTTCAGCCACAGTGCCCTGTTCCAGGGACTTCTTGGGGGTAGAACGGCGGAAACGCTGCCACATGAAGACCACGATCTGACCGACCAGCATACCGAGAGCGCTAGCGGCCAACCCTGCCAAAACACCCAACACGGCTGGAACCACGATGAAGCGGACCACGCGGTGGACAGTGCGTTCCCACTGGCCGTGGTGCATGTGGTTCATGTGGTGGTGATGGTGGGGACGGTCAAATTTGCCCATGTGGCCCATGTGGCCCATGAAACCGGCCTCCTCTCCCTCCACGGGCGGCATCTCAATGCGCTCCGAGTCAAAACCATCATCGTCATGGTGATGGTGATGGTGGTGAGGGAAGGGCGGGCGAGGGTGGTCCATGCCATGAGGACCACCGCAATGCGAGCCCTTCGGCTTGGGTCCCATTCCAAGCATACGTGCCTTGGCCGCTGCGAACAAGGATCGCATCCGGTCAAACAACAACTTCCTCAGACAGTTCGGCTTTCCACGGCACTGTCTCCAGGAGACACGGTCGGGTGTTGCTTCTTCGATCTCGGTCTTGGCCATGTAGAGCTCACCGCTGGTAGGGTCGTGGATAAGCGTCAAAGCCACGGTGTCCAAGGGAACTGGGCGACTGTCGAGGTCGAGAACGGTAAAGCGCACAGCCACAAGCTGCATAGGGTCCTCGGGCGGGGTTGGCAGAGGCATCTCTTCTACAGCATATCCCAAGGGAATCGGCTCCGTTTCCATGCCATCAGACGCCCGGCGCTGTACTGCAGTAATGAGGGTTGGAGGTGGAGGAGGGAAGATTTGGCGACCGTTGGCCAGCAGGAAGCCATTTTCAGTCGAGAATTCCAAAGACTGAGCCAGGTATTAGCATTTTGCGTTCTCTTGCTCTTAAGGGTTGTCCTAGACCCCAAGGCGGGTCCACTTACCAGAGACGTCTGGAAGCCATCAGTCCAGCTGACCTGCCCATTCTCACCAACTTCGGGGAATGGACACTCGGTGCAGGCAAGCTCAACCTGCTGCTTCTTGGGAGCGTAAACCTCCAACGGATGGAAGGGGGGGAAGTCGCCCTCAGGGGCGATGGCTTCGTCGAGTTCGGGGATAACTAGCAAGGCGTTGGCGCCTAGAGCGAGGACGCTCCCCACAAGGCACGAACGGAGGTGCATGGTGGCCGAGAGAGATCTAGACCAAGCACATATGAGAACGTCGGATATGCGCAGATGATGGGAGATGGGAGATGGCAGATGAAAAAAGAAGAAAGATGACGATGATGATTTTGTTTTAGTAAGAATGAAGAAATGAAGGCTTAATGATCTGGATTCCACCGGGCGCTTCTTGAATGTCCGTCAGGAGGGGACAAAAGGCGAATCGCTGCATGGCCGGGCCGCGTCGCTGGTTGGCTGGCTGGGGCGCGCCGGTGGAGCAGGTGACGCAGTACCACCCCACCGCCTACCGCATAGGGATACAGCTGACGCATCCGCCACCAAAACCAATCACATGATTCCCGCTTCCCAAAATAGACCTTCTCATTGTTTTTACATACTCCATTGGTCCTCCTCCTACTATGTATTGTGTACCCGGTAAACTATTCAGTCGTGAATAAAATAATTATATACTTATTATAAACCCCACCCCTTCAGCACCTCTATATACATCCATGTCATTTGCTCCGCATTTGATCAGGAAGTCTGTCGTGCCACCAGGGCCGAAGACTCGGACCTGCATCCTCACCCAAGCCAGCCGGATTTTATGTTTACAAATCTAGCCAACCTATAATCCACCTTTTGCACCCACCGCATCCCAGATGGTTTGCTACCCCGCACCATCCTCAGCACGTCCTCGGGTACCTCGTTGTAATGCATCCATTCCTGGGTTCCATTCCACCAGCGGATTAGACGACCAATTTCGGCCCAAACAACCAGGAGCATCCCGAAAACCAGGAGAGCCCACACTACCTCGATCCAGGCGGGGAGCGGTGATTGCTCTGTGGCCCTCATTTGGATCGTCTCCGCGGTTGTCGCGGCAGGTACAAAGCGCACTCTCAGAGATCTTGTATCAGCATTGTCAGTGTTGCGAGAATTGCCAGAATCAGGCGGCTGATCATCTCCATTTCCATCAGATGCACTGGGGTCCGACAAGTTGGTCCAGGCTTTTGGTGTTGTTCGAAATGGTTCAACTTCCAAAGGATGCGAGTCATATTTCTTTGAGAGGTATATTGGGCCTGAGTAGTTCGGTCCACGTGGCAGGAAGCTCTCCGGCTTTCTTTCAGGCTTGCCCGGCGGTTTGACGGAAATGACCGTAGCTGTCGGTTGGGCTTTTGGAACATCATCTAGCGTCTGGACAGCGACAGTCCGATAATTTCGGCTCCAATGACTCTGCGAGGTCACCGGGTTGGATAGTCGCGGGCTCTGGCGGGCCTGGCCATCCTTTCGAAAGCTCGCCTCTTGTAGCGAGCGCAGATATTCTGCTTCGGGGTCAGGCTTTCGCTGACCGGGAGCAACACAAATTTTCTTGCCCGGCGAGAACACATTACCCACATCATGGGAACCATCAGTTGTCTGCCAGTAGTCCGACGACCGCTTTCGATTCGCATTCGAGAGGTCTCCCAAGAATGGAATCACACCTGCATGGGCGGCTTGCTCCGCATTGCCCCAGTCCACGGCAACTGCTTCAACGGCCGGAACTTGGTTTTGGCTGGGTAGCGGCGGCGCATCAGGAAGACCGGTCAAGTTTGTTTCGCGATCCGGTTGCGCCTGCTGCCCGAAAAATGTCGCTAAACTCGACTGGCTCGCTGTGCCTTCAGACAGGCTATACAGGCTATTCTGTAACTCCTCGTTCAGCGTCTTATGGGTGTCGAATGGAAGGATCTGCCCGCTTTGGCTCGGAAGGTCCAGCCCGGGCCAGGTGTCGCTGGGACGCTGCACAGTCTCTATCATCGCATGCTCAGCAATATCATTTGTCTGCATAGCCTTGCGAAGCCGCTCCAGTAAAATCAAATTCTTCCTTTCTCCCTCTGCCACCCTCGCATGACATTCTGTTTTCATGCTCGCAAATTCCGAACCCATCGAGGCCAGCCGATGCTTGAGTTCTTTGACCTCTCGATCATACGCCTCCAACTTCTCCCGTTGCACATTGATCATTTCATCGTTTTCTCGCTTTTCCTGCCTGACCCTTCTCGCCTTCTCCAGAATTTGGTGAATTTTCTTCTGCTGGGCCTCAGTCTCCTTTTGGAGATCATCATTGGCATCCTCGGCTTTTCCGATCGTGATGTCCTTCGACTTATTCTCCCTTTGGGCATTGATGAAGGAGGTTTTTGCATCTTCATGCGCCTTGGCCTCGTCCGCAAGCTGTTCAGTCAAATTACTGAGCTCGTCTGCTAGGTCTTTGTTTTGATCCTGGAGTCGACAAAGTTCGTGCTGTGCTTCTTTAAGCTGCTTGACTAGCTCCTCGACCAAGAATTCTGGCTCGATATCGGGTGGTAGTTGAAGGTCCTCCATGGAAGATGTCCTGCGACTAAAGGGCGATTCTTCCGGCTTGGTAGGTACTAGTGGCGGATATAGCGTGTTCTCTGGTGTTGCCTCGGCTGGAAATAAGGCTGATTGGATTGTGGCAGAGACAGATAACGAAGTGGTTTGGTTTTGGATATGGCTCTAAATGCCGACCTGCAGCGAAGCGCGTTTATAAGGTCATTCAATACGCTCTTTTCTTTCAGTGCTTTCAGTATGGCACAGGAAATCCCACAAGACCACACCTATCTAAGAATGGGCCAGGGTCGCTGTGCGGCATTGTTCAGTATTGGGCCTTTATTCAATTCTAATGATAGTTGTCTGGACATTTTTGGGGTTGAAAGTTCGCAGTATTGTAAAGCACGAGCACTGGTTCCGCCATTCATCCGTTTCTTTGTTGTCATGCTCGATGTCGCATGGCGCGGGAACCTGGACAGAGCTGAAGAACACGGTGAAACGAAGGAGGCCTTTGTTTCTACAAAGGCTTATTTATCAGCAAAGCACAAATCGTCTCCCCTGGGGAGATAAACAATACTTGCTAGGGAAGTTCACGACGGCTTCTATACTGGTTCGAAGGACAAACAAAAAAATCATTTTTCAATCGGGGGATGCCATCAAAGTTTGGATTTCTTCTGGCCTTTGACGTTGGGAACTGCATCTCCCGAGAGAAGAAAATCGGGGTACGAAAGTTTCCCATACGCTGCACCACCGGCCGACATTCTCCAAGATGCGCCGTCGACTATGGCACTGTGTTAACTGTCTCTGATCGTAACCTCGGAAAGAGAGACTCACCAACTAGAGTTTGACCACTGACGTAACTACCGGTGTCCGCAAAGATATACACGGTAGCATCGGCAATGTCGCGTACCGAGCCGAATCGGCCCAGTGGTTGCGACTTAGTGTAAGCCTCCATACTGTCACTCGGGAGGAGACGGTCGAGACCCTAAGATCATAAGTCAACTGTCCCCATGTAGCAGATAGGAAAAAGACAAACCTCTGTCGAAGCAATGGGCCCGGGTGCGATAATATTGGAGGTAACGCCCAGAGGGCCAAACTCAATAGCCACACTATGCGATAGTGCATCCACGCCTGCCTTGGCAACCGACACGTGCGTTTGGAAAGGCATGGTCCTATAATGGATCGTAGCACTGACAAAAATGATACGTCCTCCCGTTCCTGCTGCAGCAGGCTGGACTGGTGGCGAGAAAGTAAGCATATTTTCCGGGGGTCTATCGACCATCGACTTACGCGTCTTGGAGTCCACTCTGTGCTTCTTGGCCGACTCGACTAGGTATGGTAGAGTCGCCTTGAGGGTGTTGTAAGAACCCAGAACATCAATATCCATCACGGATTTGAAGGCGTTCGCTGAGAGCTGGTTGATCGAGGCAAGGAAATTACCGGCTGCCCCGGCACTTCACGCAGCCAAGATTAGCGAGGTGTCAGCTTCTAAAGATGTGGTCCGTACATGACAAAATCGATGCCACCGAGCTCTTGAACGCAACGATCCACCGCATCTTGGAGGCTTTCCAGTTTGCGCACGTCCACGGCGCCGATACCAATGACCTTGGAACCAGGACGAGCGGTCGCAATGTCCTGGGCTGCTTTCTCGGTTTTGTCGACGTTTCTGCCGATGATGCAAGCATTGGCACCTAGGTGGACGAGAGCGCGAACCTGGGCGCTACAAATAGTTCCTGCCCCTCCAGTGCAAAAGACGACCTTATTTGCTGCCGAGAGTCAGCGTCGATGACAGGGGGCTTTTGTTGGTTGGGTAAGCCGACGTACTAAACAGGCCATCTTTCCAAGAATCACTCAGGTAGGCTTCTTTTGACAGGGGCATATTGCAAGGTGAATTCGGGGGATGCCAATGAACCGGAAGGTCTAATGTGATGCGTGTTACGGAGTGAGGTGAAAGATAATGCTACGGAGACCGGAGTAGCTTAATGACGATCCTCAGGCGGGTGGCTGAACCCCCCGGGTATGAGCCTGGGTTTCTCCGCAGTTCCGCAGGAGAGCAGCAGAGATGCCTCGGCTTGTCCCTACTCCCTAATCCGCTCCGAGTAAGGCGCCCGGGTAGAACACTCTAACCGGAGGAGGACTAGTGTCGCCGTCGTAGTCGGAGCCTCAGGAATTACTCAGTAACACCAGCCCGGTGATTGGCTGGCTGCCTCCGCCTCAAAGCATGTCACAACGTCACTCCGTCGGCTTGCCATCGCGAACTTTTCTATGGCTTCGTGGTGGTGCTAGTTCCTTCGAGTCCTAATCGCTCTCCGCATCCCATCCTACCCGTTGCCGTAGGGGATCAGCCATCGATACCACCCCTCACTAACCCAGTGAGAGAAATCTTAGCATTCAAGTCCTTCCCAGTGTCAGCGTTCCGGTCGCATTGTCGACTCCCGTTTCGCGACCGTCATGGCGTGCCCCATCACCGTCTCCAAGTTCGTGGGCACAGTCTCCCTTGGGCTACTCACGGTACGGTCCTTTCCATTGTCTTATTGGCGCTAGGATTGTCTGCTGCAAGGGAGGTCAAGTCTTCCTTGGGCCGGGCAAGCCAGTCTATCCCAGCCCAACTAACGCGACATCGATCATCTATAGGGCCTGTCATACTCTGCTTCCAGTGTCGCCATTCCATCCTTGAACCTTCTCCCCACTGCCACAACTGCTTCCCGCTCGCTCGGCGAAGTCAAGCGCTTGAACCGCAAGCATGGCCTGCGCCTGACCAACATCGCCAACGGATGTCTCCTCTTCGCGTATTGCCTCTCTTCCAAGCACCGCAAGCATCCTTATTTGATCTGGATGTGCGTCACATCCACTGTTGGCTCTTATGGTATGGATTACTGGTTCCACCGCCAGGACGGTGTTGTGGTCTGGATTCAGGACGTTCTGCACGACATGGGATGCAGCCGCGGGACTGCTCAGAAGCAGAAGAAAGAAGAGGATATCGTAGTGGTTGAGGCGGAGGAGAACATCAACGGCGAGAGTGTACAGAAGGAGATGGACACGGAACGTCGTTTCCAGCGGGTGCGGGCCGTTTTCTCCGGTTTTGCACTCGCGATGGGCATCGTGGGACTTTGGGGCGATCGTCGGCCTTGATTATGGACCGGAAAGGATCCACGCTGGCATAGGCTTCATTTTCTCCCCTCCGTCGTTTTCGCTTCTTGAAATGACTTCTCATTTTTCTGTCTTAATACGTCTTTATTTGTTGAGTATGCCCGTCATGATATATTCGATGTATGTATCCGGGTTGAAGGATCTGGCCTACAGGGTCTATTGATGATGATGGAGCGTTTCTTAGGTATCTAGTTAGGGTCGGAGTTAAGAGAGTTTCTATGAAATTAGTGAAGCCAAATAAGCTACATGCTCGGGCCGACAGGCTCCTAGGTTTCAAACCAGAGACATCGTCGTAGTAAGCGCAGGACAATTCATCAATCCCCGCACCGCCAAGTAGCCAAGTACTAGCCAAGTATCAGCCTCCAACCAAGAGACATACAACCCCAGCCGTACTACCTCAGCTCTCCGAATATGTATCTTCTCGTGCTCCTGATTCTCCCCTTCATCCTTTATACCGCGACCCGTCTCGCCCGGCTAATCCGCACAGCCCTTGTCAACCCTTACTTGCTTGCCATTCCCGGACCTTTCCTTGCTCGCTTCACACGACTGTGGTATTTCAGCCACGTCCGAAAAGGTCATTTCGAGTGGGACAATATCAACCTCCATGCCCGCTATGGTCCAGTCGTCCGTCTTGCGCCAAATCACTATAGTATCAGTGATCGGGCGGCCGTAAAGACCATCTACGGCCCGGGGAGTCAGTTCGCCAAGTCCGCTTGGTACGATGGATGGAGCCATCCAGACCCCAACAAAACGAGTTTGTTTGCGGATCGAAATATCAAGAGACATGGTATGGATTGCTCTCCAGCTGTATAGATCTGTTTGATCACACGTCACCTAACACATGTGGCAAACTAGCCGAAGCCAAGAAGCGGTATTCCAGCCTCTACTCCATGACTTCCCTCATTCACTACGAGGACTTTGTTGACCGATGCGCTGATATTTTCACGCAACGAGTGGCTGAGTTCGCTCGGCAGGGAGAGTCTTTCAACCTGGGTCATTGGTTCCAATGCTATGCGTTCGATGTCATCGGAGATATCACCTTTGGACAGCGGTTCGGTAAGAGAGGCCCTGACAGTCATCCACCATCATCGAGCACAGTACTAACAGGCCCAGGATTTTTGGACCAAGGACAAGATATGGAAGGTGCGATCAACGCCGTCGAGAAAGTGATGAACTTCAGCACGTTGGTGGGCATCTATCCGGAGTGGCGTTCGATCCTCTATCATACCCTGGGCCGCTTCAACTTGTCAGGACCGAGTGGACGATCATTAATCATCCGATACGTCGAAGACAAGATCCAGAAGTTCAATAGCCGCGTTAAAAGTAGCCCCGAGACAGGCCAGGGCGCGTTGCAGACACAAGCTTTCTTGGAGAAGATGGTCCTCGCCCGGGATAAAGACCCGAATAAAGTCGGCGATCGCCACTTGCTAATGATGGGGGTATCGAATCTGACTGCCGGGTCGGACACGACCTCAGTCAGTCTTTCCTCCATCATGTACGAACTCCTGCGAAACCCAACTGTCCTCCGCCGACTCCGCCAGGAGATCAGTGAATTTACCGAACAGGGCCGCTGCAGCACCCGCGTGACATTCAAGGAAAGCCAGGAGATGCCATATCTGCAGGCCGTGATGAAGGAGGCAATCCGCATGCACAGTGCCACTGGTCTGCCACTTTGGAGGGTCGTCCCCGCTGGAGGTGCTGAGATCAGTGGGCATTTCTTTCCCGAGGGAACAGTCCTTGGAATCAACACCTGGGTCGCGCACTACGATGAACGGGTGTTTCCAGATGCCAAAGCCTTTCGACCGGAACGGTGGATCGAGGCGGAGAGCAATCCGGAGACGCTGAAGGTCATGAATGAGATGTACATGCCGGTGAGTGCACTGAATTCTGTGACTTTCCTCACGACCACTAACTTCAGCAGTTCGGTCTCGGTTCCAGAACGTGCATCGGCAAACATATCTCGATTCTGGAAATGTCGAAACTGATTCCCCGGATTGTGCGCGACTTTGACTTTGAGCTGGAAAATGAAGCATGGACGACGCGGAATACGTGGTTCGTGAAATCGACTGAGTTTGTTGTCAAGGCCGAGTTGCGGAAGAGCTCGTAGAGTGTTGTTCTTGTTGGTTCAATCAAATACCCGTTATATGATATATGATTTTCAATATGTACCGTCTGGCTTAACCGGAATTACATACAAGAAGAGAAAGAACCCAATCCCTATCTCACATCAACCCCTACCCCATAACCAACCCCATAACCATCCCCAACAAAACCCACCCCCTCATGCTCCCTTGATACCTACTCCCGGTACTAGTCGCAGTACTACCACTCGCACTCCCACTCCCACTCCCCCCCGACCCCGCTGCAGTCTGCCCCCCAACCCAAGGCTGCCCCGGCAAAGAATCATTACTCCTACTCACAACCCCCCACTCCACCCACTCATTCTCCAACACCCCACAATCCACCCTCCCTTCCCCCTCCGCAATGTCATTCGTCACCTCAACCGGCAAATCAAAAACCGTATAATAATCCGTTCCCTCCCAGCGAAACCCCTGATGAATGGAGATATTATACTCGCCGCGAGCAGAACCCTTCCCGCCATCATCCTGGCCGGTGCCCACGAAACAAGCAGGCCATATCCAATTCACATGTTTCACCGTCGACGAGGGCTCAAGGTCCAGGACGGGCCCGACGTAGGTATTATTAGTGGTGGGAGTGGTGCCGTTGGAGATGGTAAAGTTCTTGCCTGTGGCGAGGGAGGTTAGGAAGATGGTGAGGGAGTGGAATTGCGTGGCGGCGGTGGGTTGTGGGGTGGTGGGGAGGTGGCCGTTGCCGGAGATGTCGAGGGCGAGTTGGAGGGTTTCTAATTGTGGTGATGGGTGGTTAGGGTCGGTATCTAGACTGGATGTGAGGAGGGTAGGAGTGCTAACCGCCTCCGAGGGGAGTATAGGGCTGGGGGGCATCGATGATGGCTAGGCCTGGGGTGTAGATTTGGCCGTTGATGATGGTGAAGTTCATGATGCTGGTGTTGACTGACTTGTCAGTCAGATATTTGTGGAATCAGGTGCTTCAGATTAGGGGGTTTCTGACAGGGAGTCCGTTAGCCTATATCTATGAACTGGCGACCCCTGCTGGACCCTATTTACTAGGACGAGGGGCTTAATTTCCGAAGCTCCGGGAGCCGGGACCCTGAATGGCTCCCCACCTGCCAGGCACCCCGATTTAACCGAAATGAATGGCGGTGGGGTTTCAGGGTCAAGGGCAGCCGTGAGAACCCAGTGGGTTGTTAATTTGTTGGGGTCTTGGTGGTCTCAGTTGGTAACTTAACGCAGTATGAATCTTTCTTCCCGATTCCCTCCTTATGACATACGGCAGCATGGATAAATATCTACAGTGCATCGATGCAGCTAGCCTATGCAAAAACCGGCCGGATTTTTCCTGCTGCGCGATCGGCCAACCTCTCTGGTAACATGGTCTGATACACATGCTGCGCCCATGCGCAACACACCCGCCGAGTATCTTTCGGATCGATGATCTCCTCCACGCCAAATGCATTCGCTGTCCGCACTGGGTTCATCAATCGCCGGTACTCCTCCTCTAGTTCACTATATCGAGCTTCTTTCACTCCCAACTTTTCTGCCTCGCGCAGCTCATGGCGATGGGCGACCTCAATGCCACCTTCCAATGGCAGGGAGCCCCATTGACCTGATGGCCAGGCCACTTGCATGACTGGATCGCGAGCACCTAGCATCAGTCCTCCGGCCACCCCATAGGCTCGTCGTGTAATAACGTTAAACAATGGGATCGTGGTGGTGAAGTAGGTTTTGCCTAGTTCCACACCCCAACGCATGGTGGCGGTGCGTTCGGCAACTGTGCCAATAGCATAGCCCGCTGTGTACCAAGTCAGCGAGTGGAATGCTCAGATGCTAGAAAGGGAAGGGCATGGATTGCATCAGGAAATACTACGTACGAACGTCGATGAACTGCAAGATAGGCAGGTTCATCACATCACACAGCTTCAGTAGGCGAGCAAGTTTCTGACTTCCTGCCGCATCCAAAGCCCCTCCATTGACCTCGCAATTGAGTGAAATCACGCCCACCGGTCGCCCTCCCAGTCGAGCCAGACCCCCAATGGCAGTGCGACCCCAGAGCGCACCAATCTCGAACCATGACCCAGTGTCCACGACACTAGTGATGATCGTTCGCGGGTTATACATGCGCGTCTGCCGCCGGGGTATAACTCGACGCAGTGCCTCGTCCTCTCGATCTTCAGGGTCGTCCGTGGTAATTACTGGCGGTGCCTCCCGACCAGAATTGGGCAGGTAGCTCAACACCGTGCGCAGCTGCTCGTAGCAGTCGGCTTCGTTGGCGGCAAGATTATCAATCGTGCCGTTCGTGCAATGGATCGTTGGGCCGCCGAGAGTCTGGAAATCCAGCCCTTCCTCGAACGTGGCCCCCTTAACCACTTCTGGTCCGGCGTTAAAGAGTGATCCCACGTCGGCGGCCATGACGGAGAAATGGCAGGATACAACACGCGCAGCTCCCAAACCAATCTACAGTCGATCAGCAAATTGCACCCCTCGGCTCGAGGGTAGCATTGGCAGGGGATACCTACAGCCGGCCCGACAACCGCCCCCAGGTTCGGGATGCCTTGATTCAATTGCTCGACGACGTGTTTGTACATCGATACATACGGCAGATAGCTCCAGCCCGCCGTGCGGATAGTAGTGACGCTGCCTCCGCCTGAGCTTCCATCAACCAGTTTTACCACCGGCAGTTTCAGCGCCAGCGCCAGCTTCTCAAGATAAATCGTTTTCTCGTGTGAAGCGCCATCGGCATGTCCGCTGCGAAGGGTGAAATCATCCGCTGTTAGAAGGATCTGCCGACCCTGCAGTCTCCCCATGCCCTGGACGTTATTACTTGGCACAAAGGAAACGGGCCTCTCCCGCATGGGACCCGTTTTCTCCCATGTCACTGTACCGGAGAGTGAGCCAATTTCTCGGAAACTGTCGCGATCCAGGAGTTGTTCGAGGCGCTCGCGCACCCACAGCTTCCCGGCTTGCTTTTGACGGATATATCCTCGACGGGAAGGGTCTGGCGTTGCAACTAGCGTGCGAAGAGTGTTGATGTGAGAGAGCACATCGGAGTAGTCGGGTGGCAGATGCGAGGAAATCTGACGGAGTCGCTTCGATGCTTGTCGAGACTGCGCGTCATGTTTATTTTTAGAGCCTCCGTCGTCAGACATGATGTATAGATAAGATTAAATCCTGTGGCATGAGTCGCAATTGCTGGTTCTGTTTTCGGTTGCATGGGCTGTTCCTGAGGGGTAGAGCTGACAGATCGGATCCGAGGTCCGAGGCATGGAGTTCACTGCAACCCAGCCATACGACCATCCTAGCCCAGTTAAACGTGGAATTGAACAATCATCAACCGGGGAGATAATGCCTTCCACGAAGCCCTTTCGGCGGCTTCTGGTCGTCAATAGGTACGGTGTTCTGCTGACATAGTAGTGTTCACACAGGTCCTAGACTGACGAAACAGAGGTGAAATCGCCGTGCGCATCATCCAAGCCGCCCGCGAGCTTTCCCCTCCTCCAGAGGTGTTTGCTATATATACGGATGATGATCGCTCCCATTGTGAAATTGGCCGTCCTGATCGGGCTCTGCTCATCCCATCCGTTGCTACCTATCTAGACATCTCATTCTTAGTCCATCTGGCTCGGGATCATGCAATCGACGCTGTGCACCCTGGATACGGCTTTCTGAGCGAGAATGCAGACTTTTCCGCCCACATGCAAGATGCTGGGATAGCCGTGATAGGTCCCGGGAGGGAAGCTCTGGCTCGTACAAGCAACAAGCTTCAAGCAAAGCAACTAGCCATGGAGTGTGGTGTTCCTGTTTTACCAGCAATGACGCACCCCACTGCGGATATAGCAGCAGTTCAAGCCTTCGCAAGGCAAGTCCAGTATCCTGTGATTGTCAAGGCAGTTGATGGTGGTGGTGGGCGAGGAATACGGCTGGTGCGGCAGGACGACCAGCTGGAAAGTGCGGTCCGCGGAGCGGCCAATGAGTCGCCATCGCAGACTGTCTTCGCCGAGAAAGCAGCCGTGACGGGATTCCGCCATATAGAGGTGCAGATCTTAGGCGATGGAACAGAAGTGCGTCATCTATGGGAGCGCGACTGCAGCATACAACGGCGCTTTCAGAAGGTGGTTGAGCAAGCACCATCCTTGATCAAGAACCGGGCTCTCGTGCAGCAAATAGTGGATGCGGCACTGCGCATGGCTAGAGCTATCCGCTATAGATCTCTAGGGACAGTTGAGTTTCTGGTCAATGAGCAGCAAGGGGAGTTCTACTTCCTTGAGATAAACCCACGACTTCAAGTGGAGCATACCATCACTGAAGCTATTACCGGTGTGGATCTAGTACAAGCACAGCTGCGACTGGCTCAAGGTTGCACTCTTGCACAGCTTGATATCCCGGCTGCGGAATCGGCTACGCCCTATCTCCATTCGATTCAGCTCCGGTTATGCGCCGAAGACCCTCGCAATCAATTTGCCCTGAGCATAGGTAAAGTGACCGAGTTGGTCGTTCCGAGCGGCCATGGGGTTCGACTTGACACCCATGTTGGTACGGCAGGAACAAGCCCTGTTGTGGTAGGCGCGCAGTTAGATAACCTGCTGGCCAAAATCATTGTCACAGCGTCTAGCTGGGAGGGGGCAGTGCTCAAAGCTCGACGAGTACTTGCAGATACGAAAGTAGCCGGTATCCGGACTAACTTGGAATTACTGCGAGGAATCGTTAGCCATGAAGAATTCATCGCTGGTAGGATAGACACACGATGGCTAGAAACCGGCATGGACCAAATACTGCGGCGAGGGGCAAGTGTCTCGCAATCGGTCCGTAACCAAACACCCGCACAGGGAGCCCGTCCCTCTACACTGCCCAGTGTACCTCCTTCGACTCTCTTGCTCCGGCGAGGGGATGCATGGTCTATTAGACTTGCACCAGTTGACTCACCTGGACAGTCACAGCCACAGCAGCACCATATCCAGCTCACACGTGTGCTTCAAAACGACTTTCCAACCTCGCTTGCCGCCGAGATTGAGTATCAGACACCCAACCTTTCCACGGCCTATCGACTACAGCTGGCAGCCACCTCAACCGCAGCATCTGCTTTGTTGTCATCTTCGCATCGGCGCGGAGATATGAGCAATCCGCGCCATATTGTTCTCCCTCTGTCTGGAAAACTCATTGAAGTCCTTGTTTCTGCCGGGGATCCAGTCGCTGAGAACCAGGTGCTAGCATTCGTGATGCAGATGAAAATGGAAGTCGAGGTACGCAGTCCGCGTGCAGGCCGAGCACAATGGGTGTATGAGATGGAGGATGAAGAAGAGGATGTGGCGGAAGGGATGCTGTTGGTTGAGTTGACAGATGGATTGCAAGGGAAACTGTAGAACGGGGTAGATTAGCACTAGGAAGTATATATGTCTCCACAGTCACACTAATGTCCGGAGTACTACTGGTGCAATTTAAAGCCAATGCAGACCCAAGAGCCGAGGAAGATGGGTATATGACAGCGTTATCGGAATTGATCTCAACTATCCTAGTGCTTATAATGTAGTAGTCTCGAGAGTTGAGAGAGTTGAGATAGTAGTAGGAATAGTGATGGTGGTCAACAAGTGATCTTTCCCCGGAAACGGATCCACTGATCGTCACATGTTCCCAGCTCTCTCATTCCCTCACAAGGTCTCCCTCCCAGCTCTGAGCTCTCACTCACCACTACTCTTATCTCCAAGCCCCCCTTCTCTGTCCTTTCCAAGCGGTCGGGGATAAACCCACTCCTTTTCTCTTGCAATAATGGATTCGCTTACCCTTTACCTTCTTACCTTCAACTGCGCTCGGAACCCAGTCGATGTCGACCGCTTCTCCCGACATTTTTTCGATGCCTTGCCCCTCACCGATGATTCCAACTCCTCCACCGCCCCCGACTTCATCGTGCTGTCCCTGCAGGAAATCGCACCCATCGCATACGCATTCCTCGGGGGCTCGTTCCTTGCTCCGTACTTCTCATCCCTGACACAAGTGGTGGATCGTGCAGTGGCCCAACGCTGGGATGTTCATTACGTCAACCTTCTGACCGACAACTCCGGCATGACGGGGCTGATGGTCTTCGCTCGGTCGGACGTGGCCGAACATGTTTCGTCTGTCGATACGGCCCGCGTAGGCTTTGGTTTCCAACAGATGGGCAACAAGGGCGCCGTGGGGGCACGGGTTGCCTACGCAGCCGCGAATTCGGCCGGCGATCCTGTGGACCTCACCTTCGTCGCTGCGCACCTCGCCCCCATGGAGTATGCGGTCGAGCGGAGAAATGCAGACTGGCGCAGCCTGGTTGAAAGACTCATCTTTCGCTCCCCACCTTCGGCGGATCGGGAAATCGTCGAAACGGCCAACGGGTCGGAAAATGCGCCCATGCTACAAGAAGGGCAGCGGGGCATCTATATGTCTACAAGCTATCTCTTCCTAGCGGGTGACCTCAATTACCGTACCTCCAATGTATCGCCACGGCCAGATGACCATAGCCGATTCCCGCGGGCGAATGTAGACCCTTCTGACCCTCAACACTACTCGCAGCTCTTGAAACAAGATCAGCTTTCCTGCGAAATGGGCCAGTCCCGCTGTTTCCATGGACTGTCAGAAGCACCGATCACCTTCCCCCCAACATACAAATATACGTTGGCAGCACGTCAGGCTGCAAGCGATCCAACTGCGGATGATGCACGTCCGGATTGGCAGTGGACGAGTACCCGCTGGCCCAGTTGGTGTGACCGTGTGTTATATTTGGATTCTCCACCCGACATGGGCAAGCGAGGTCAGGTCAAGCCTCTGAAGTATGACGCCCTGCCATTGTTTCCAACTTCTGACCATCGCGCCGTCGCTCTGGCTGTATCTATCCCTGCGCAATCAGTGCGCCCAGAAAATGCGGCGCAACTGGAGCCACCGTTTCTGATCGACCCGGAATGGAGGACTAAACGCGATATAGCGCGGAGAAAGGAGCTTGTGGTGGGCTGTTTGGCGTATTTGGCTTTAACCTGGGAGGGAAACGGCCTGTTGCTCGCATCGACCGTAGGATTATTAGGGGCATGGCTCGTGCTTCGATCGTTACTTAACGTCTGAGATCTGCTGGTGCGTTGCAGACCTGCAGGCCTGCGAATTTTGCTTGAAACCGTGCCCCGTGCCGATCATACCGATCTCCGGCACCAAATGCAAAACCGACATGAACTGTGATTGCCCTGGTACCCCACGGTGTCCGGGTTTCACGCTCAAACAATGCACACCTTCTGTCTGCCGGTTTCCACATTGTCTCCAATGTATCGCGCGCGACACTCAGACTCTCGATCAGGCAAGCGGCAGTCTGAGGCGGCGGCGTCGCCTTCATGGTGACATGAGATTGGATCCATAGCTGCAGTGGGACCGGACAAGCTATGGCGTTGGACTACCTATGTGCCGAGTCAGCTGACTGGTAATCGATCTAGAACGGTCGGTAACCGATGGCAAGGGACAGGAACTGGAAGAGGACAGGCGCGGCCAACACGAAGAGGCTCAATCCGGCCCAGATTCTGGACAGTAATGCCCGCCCAGGGACGGAGTGTTTTTGGTCTAGGTTATCACTAGTTGCACGTGTATAAGCCAAGACTTAGGCTTCTGCTTGAGGTTGCCCAATTTCTGGCCCGGAGACACAACCACAACCTCGTAGTGACCAGGTCAGGCTCGGCGGACCCGAATGGGCGACGATGGAGCCGTTACAGAAGAAAGTTTGGCCCCGGTTAGATCGGGTCACTGACCGTCTGACGGGCTTGGTCGTAGCCTTGCGACCCGGTGGGTATGGATTCAGATGTGCGTCCAGGCTAGTGGATAGTGTAGGTATTTTCGTCATGGGTGGTATGGGAAAGGCACGGCTAATCGGGCATCTAGCCTAAGTGCCTACGTGATTCCATGCCTAGTTTATATATACGATGGGCTGCTAGAATTAGAAAAGCCATTTAGGAAGTAGTAATCAATAGAGCGGATTTAGTCGGACGGGCTAGTTTCAGGTAATTATGGCATGGAGAAACAAGGTCGAGGCGATCCAGAAAGAGGGACGGGTACCCGCGCCAGAGAAGCGAAGCAGGTGAGACCGTGAGAGCGCACTAAAGAAAGGGTTTTCTCCCACTGGGAATCTGGTCGAGCCTAGGAGTAGAGGGCCCGCTCTGCTCACTGGTGAAACCATTTGGTGACCAACACCGTTGGCCGACCGGACTCGGGTACAGACAGCAATTTCGGTTCTTGTGATGACGATGGCGATGATGGTTGTCATTCCTATTAGTCCGTAGATTAGTAGTATTAATGTTCTTCTGATGGCCCGGGACGGGAAGGTTTAATATATCGAAAGTCAATAATTTGCTGTTCAATCGCTGGATTAATTGGCAATAATTTACCGTGCCAGGCGGCCCCAAGGGACGTGTCATACGGTGGTGCCCTGGCTTGGTAGTAAGGATTAGATATAGGTAGTAGTAATAGGTAGATAGATAAAAATGGAGTACGGTCAGAGTAACCGAGCCTTGTCCAACAAAACTCGGCCTTGGCAGGGAGCAAAATGGATGAAGGAAGAAGCAGACCAAGCCCGCCGCGTTGCCTGTCGGACTGCATCGTATTCTTTTCATGCGGTCAACGGAGTAGGAATCCATCAAAGACCGACCAGTGTTACCTCACAGGACCGTGAATGCCTTGCGGAGGGGCAAAATGCGGCAACCCGGATGGTGGCTTGTAGGCACATGATCCCTTGGAGGTCAAGTGACTGCGAGGTCTGATTCCCGCGGTGCCTCACTGCCTCCATTTCCCCTCATCTCTCTTCCTCTACGGAGTATCCCGTTGTCTCTATGCTCAACCACGCAGCACAAGGACGGCCCAGATCTGGGCCTCCGGGCCGGCATGTCTGGATCGGCCCTGGAACAGACAGGCCTCATTGCCCACTGTCACTGTCAGGTCCGCTGAAACCGATGGCTGGGCACGGAGTACGGCGCAACCGGGCCAATCGCTGAAGGGATGAACCCAGGCTCACCTGACATGATTCCCTTGGGTCTGCTTCGCAGTCCACACTCGGATCCAGCAATACTGGTGGACAGAGCCAAGCCCGACAGGCGCTTGACAAGGCTGAGTTGCTGATCGTATTATTATTCTATGGCTGGACTGGTCTCCGAGACGAATTCTCATGCCCCCGTCACCTGGCAGGGTTTACGGATTTACCTTACCGTCCACGGCTTTGCGGCAGTCGTCAATTTATGTCTCCCCCACTTTGGCCAACCCAGTGGTGCGGAACCTGGCGACTTCCACTGACTGTACTACGGAGTAGATACTGAGCGAAAGGATAACAGGGACGTCAAGACACCGGACGACGCGGGAGTGCATCGGAAAAGCAACGATAACTGCCGAAACAAGGCAATTGAGAATGATCTACAGAGGCAGCACACAGGGTACAAGGATGCGGGCATGGAAGAGGAGACAGGTCGGTGTCATTCAGACCTACCTACGCTGTCTTCTGACTCACCCGATCGAAGTAACAATGAATGATTGCATGGATTATTATTATGGCAATGCCAGGGTGAGGACAAAGACCAGACAGTAAAAGCCCTTCGATTGGTCACATTTCCCGCGTCTTCCGACAGCCGACTGCGCACTAAAGCTGAGGGCAAAAGGGGGGAGAGACTGGGAGTGAGGAAAGAGAGGGGTTGGCCCCTCCCCAAGGGGAAAAAATTAAATGGGAAAAAAAAGGCGGAAAGAAGAAAAGGAGAAGAAGCTCAGTCGACGTTCCAGAAACTGTGGAAACTTTCTTGGTGCGACGGTTCGGGCCCAAGATCCAGACTCTGGTGCTACGGCTCTATTACCCTCATCTATCCGAAACTTCAGTGGCTACCGTGATGCCGGCTGTTAGCAATAGTGGGCCACCCAATTATTATCTTCTTGTTCAACTTAAGCGACCAAGTCAACAGCTCTGCTATGCATGGTTGAGCCGTGAAAATCACTTTTCTGACAGGGCCCACGCCGCCCTGCAATCAAGTCATCCATCATTCACTCAATCAGGGGCCAAAACTGCGAGTCATTCGGGCGATCAGGCTGTTACATGGGGGGGCAGCTGTAAGGTGTGTTCGGGAACATTTTTTTTTTCCTTTTGCCCCCTCCTTTCCTCCCATTCTGGATCACTTGAAAACAACCAGCCGGGAAACACGGAGTCCACGGTTGGGCATTCGAACAACCAATGGCGGGTGGAATACCCGTAAATATCACAGGGAACAAAATAATTTGCGCCAAGGCCCAGCAGTCGGTGATACCCAGGATGACAAGCGAAGGCTGCCTTGTGGTTTCCTGGAAATTACGAATGCTGAATGATAGTAAGTGCCGGGGTCTATGATTTGTTTATTAGTATCCATCATCGCCACCATTGTCACCAGCACCACAAGGTAGTAATCAGTAACCATAGGGTACCTTGTCAAATCTGATTCCAATTCGAGGGCTGCATCAGAACAATATACACACGGGCTCCATCTTGCCCCGTCCCGTGGCCCGTTGGATGCCATGGAACCCAAAATTAATATTTTTTTTGCCTATTACGACCATTCGTATAGGTTGCTCTATATTATTTGAGGATTTTCTGAATTTATTATCACTAATGCTCACCCGTTCTTCGACGACCCTTTACCCCGATCTTCCTTGAGGACGTTTCGCATAGATCTCCATTACTGATATAAATCGGAGATCCCTCAAATTTACCTCCTTTTCTTCTTACTTAGGTCCCCTCGACGTTCCCTCCCTCCGCTTCCTCTGTATGATAATTGACCGTTGATCGATCGATTGATCTCCTTGCACTCCTTAATTGTTCATTCCTTTGCTGCTGCACGTCTTCACTTTTGTCTCTCCTCGCCCCATCCACCACCCACTTTAGTGGCGCAGCCCAACCTCAGCGCTAGAACCTCAACGGACCCCGGCCGGCGCGCCTAAGGACGCTTCCTTTTTCCTTCCCCCTGCTGGTGCCGCTGCAAGACAACGGCCTTGCGATCTTGACGTAATTGCCCCGTGGCTTGCAATTGGGGCTATTTTGAATTTTTTTTGCTCTTTTTTTTTTTTTACCTTCCTTCATTATTATCCATTATCTCCAGCGCTTTTTGACGCTTATTTTTTTTTCTTCTTTTTTTACTTTTCCCTTTTCCCCTTCTTGCTCCGCTCCGAGACAGCAAGCCCCAGCCCTAGAAAAGCTCCCTTGACGGGATTTATCTTCCATCGAACCGCGGCTCCTACCAGCACCTGCGCACTTCCAACCACCACAATCGTCATGTACTCTTGCGCCAACTATCCTCGCGGTTGCCGCGGCCGCGTCAACATCCAAGGAGGCAAATGCGCTGACTGTGTGGTATGTTATCGGCCCTAGACGGGATTTCCAGAGCTCACCCGCACGACTTGTACGCAAACCCAACACTAACAATGTCATCTCCAGCAACTGAAGCTGCGTCGGCCTCTATCGTCATCTCCCTTTGCCCAGCCCAGAGACTACCGGAGAGCCCTGCCATCTGAGCTCCTCAATGATTCACCATACAAGGAGATCGAGCGCTACCTATAACGACACTGCTACGATCACATGGCGCTTTGAATTAAGAAGGGTGCAGAGGTCTTCCGGGGCCTCCAAGCAGATTCCCCGGGGTCCTGCCGGCTGGGACCAAACCCACGGAATCTGGGTGCCTTTCTCGCCTACTCTTCGCTTCGCTTCTCGCTTACCATGTGCGGCTTGATGCTCTGACTTGATGCATTGCTGGGAGTTTGATCGATCATCTATTTTATACCACGCAAGGGCGGCTTTGTCGATTTCATTTATGCCTGGCGGTCTGGCACTGTCCCGCTCTCGCACCATTCACTCCTCCCGATCCCGCGGAATCTGGATAGGGCAGGATGTGTGGGGGCGAACGAGTAGGTTGGTGTATCTGCTGGGATGTTTTTTTTTAATAGGAACGGCATCGGTTATCTATATCTTATTAATGGGCTACTGGGTGGAATACTGGTTGGCTATGATCTGGACCTGGAAGGGACAGTGGCGAGATATGCCCAAGATGGCCCTCCGCTCAGCAGGGACGGCGCACCGCTGGGAATCTCTGCTGTGGGAGGGACGCCGTGGTGCCGGCGGATCTGTCTCGCCCTTGTCTCTTCTTTTGTCCTTCTCTTCCTTTCCTCCCCCTTCCTCCTCTTCTTGCTGTCTTTGTCTGGTTCCGACACTACCGTGTACTTTTTCTTTGTCATGTCATGTGTGCTCTGTGATATCGTTGGTCGATTTCCATACCCATTCGGCTAATTGTACGATCTATTATCTCCTCTTGGATACTGAATATTTTATACCCTTGGAATCCACTTTCTTTGTTCTCCGATGGCCTTAGGAAAAGCAATGGGAGGGGATCGGCTGACGGCGCCGGGGTTTCCTCCCACGCCTCCAACTCCAACTCCGGACTCCGGGAATAAATGCCGATCGCTGGCCCTGGACTCCGGGCTAGAACCCGGCCGAACGAGGCTCATCACGGGGTTTTGCTTTTTCTTCTTTTTCTTGATTTACTTTATTTTCTCTATTCACCCTTTTCTTATTTATTTCCCGGTGATTAATAAACCCTACCGCGAATGCGGCGACCAGACGGCGAGGCCGTGACGCATGCGTTGTCCCTCGGGCTTCCCGAAAGGAAGAACAACGCGGCTACTGGCAGGTGACAGGCAGCCAGAGCCACTCCGCTGAGTAGTGCTACTACTAAGTACTAGTATCAAGCTGCTGGCTGCAACTGGACGGCTCCGATCCTTGTCCATCTACTAGCACGGCGTCGGACGGCATTTCCCTTGGTACGACTCATTGAATACTCCGCACTGTGCAACCAACCTTCTACATGGCTCCTGATTGGCCATCGGCTCACCCTGTCAATCCTTTTATTCTCTTGAATCAGGGATTGGGAACGGGTTGAGATCTGCGGAGAACAACGCTTATGTCGATCAAGCGGACTCTAGCAGTCCTGTCCCTTTGAGGCGTGCAGGCTCGGTCCTCTGCAATCATCTAGGCCATGGACCAAGTGGAGCTTCACCATGCGCCGAGTGTGGTTCGACTGGGCACCAATGCCTGTCACACAAGGCTATGTCATGACTGGCATGCCACAGACCGGTTGTACATGAAACGCTCACTCTCATGATGCCTATGTACAGGGAGGTGGGAAGCGCTACTCAGCCTAAGATCGGTGACGGACTTTGGTCAAATGCGACATATTGACCAATTGGTGCAACAGTGGAGTCGTTGGGAATTAACCTCCGGGCGATCCCTGCTTTTCCTCCTGCGACCCAATGTAGACCTTGAATACGGGTACGAGGAGGTTTCCTACTTCAGGCTGTGTGTGGCTTGCCCCCACGCTTCGCCGTTTAACTGGTAGAAACCCAGAGCGAGAATAGTGAGGTGGCCACATCCTGATGTAGATGCTGTAAAAGCCTCACATTCACATGGCTTCTGATACCTCCACAGCACTACTTTCAGTAGCAATAGTGCCAAATAGGCGCGGAGGTGGCCACGATGGTGAGGTTGGATGCGCTTGGCCGTGGTTTACAACATGAACTGACGAAATACCGATTCAGGGGCTTCGATGACTACGGCCCGATATTTGAGGGTGACGGGATGGGGGGACCAGCGAAAACAGCCTCATGTTTACCAAGACGGTGATGGAGCAGGAGCAGGATCTGGCTCAGGCTTATGGAACACTATCAGGGAAGCCGCAACCAACGCGGATCCAACGACATGTACCGAACTGGCAAGAGCCAGCTCCTTCCCCCGACTCTCCCAACAATGGTCTTCATCAATCTGAATACATCGCTGCAGATGGGAGCACCGTCTCTAGTACATCTATATCACCTCTCTATCATACGTCCTGTTCAGAATACGGATCTCCCTCTAATCTGATATCAACGCCATGGAACATCTGCGGAGATCTCGATCGTCTCGATCTATCAGGAGAAGCCATCACAGTTCCCAATCAACCGAACCCTTTGACCCCGAGCTTGCGAGGCTTCATGCTACTACCGCAGCGTCTCGAGCTATGCTGCGCTCCAAATGCTCCTATGATGCTTTAGGCGGTCCCAGTAACATGGCCGTGCCTCAGAGGAAACATCGCTCGGCCGAACCCCCGCAAAGACCTAACAATGTCCCGGTTGGTCCTGGGACTTCTTCTCGTCGATCTACGGCCGATAATTTGGGTGCCTCGAGTGTCGACCCATCTTTATCAGCCGCTCTGCCTTCAATAAGCGAGTTTCGAGGGCTCGACGCCGGTGTTGCTGCTTTGCCTTCTTCCTACCGACGACTTCGCAAGACTCGATCGATGTTCTCGACTGGGCAGCGCTATTCTCGCGGAACCTATGGATTATCATCTCCTGACTCCCTGAATAAAAATCTCGCGGGGCAAGTGGAATCCCAGGTTAGTCCGCACGCAGGTGGCACATTGAGGCGCTCCATGTCATTTTTTCGGGGGGACAACCGAGCCTCTGATGCTCTCCGGCATGCAAAGAGTCACGACGCGGCGATTGAACTGGCACGCAATAATTATCAGCAGTCAGGGGACCATCTGTGCCAATCCAGGAAATCATCACTACCAGTCCTTAAATTGAGACGGGAGCACAAGCCATTTAGGAAAACGCTCCGTACCGCAGTATCGGATGCAGATGCAGCAAGCATACCCTCGACGCAGAGGACTGTTAACACCTCATCCTATGGAAAAGCCAGATCACTGTCTTCGTCTATTAAGAAAGGGCTGAAAAGGGTGTTAGGGCTCTCCAAGCCCTCAGTCCATCTACCTACTGAACAAACATCATCTTATGATCAGCAACGGGCCCAGGAGGCACAGCCAACTGTATTCGAGATGCACGCGGGCTCCCTGAAAAAAAGTGCCGAGACGACTGACATGACGCCGTCGGAAGGTGCTGAAGGTCCCGTGCCACACCACGAAATTAGGAGAACTGGAAGCTCTGAAAGTCTTGCCACAAGCCGCTCTCGGGTCACGAGTTGGGCCGACTCGACCATAGCAAATACCATTGTCACACCTAAAGCCGGGGACCGCAGCTCCTTATCTATAATCAACGAACGGGAGAGCTCGATTCCCAAAGCCGAAGCGTCTGGAAACGATTCGTTCACCAGATGGAGCCCCATCAGACCCGACGGTATGATCGACAGCCAGCGTTTATATTCCGCACTGATGAAGCGCATTGATGGAAACAATAAGCAGAACGCAAGCGAGGAGATCGTCTTTGGTCACGTCAAGGAGCTCCGCGCGATCCCGACTCCAGCGCCCTCCATGTATACACGTCGTAGTAGGCAGACAATCCGTCTCATCGCCAGCGATGAGTCTATCCAAACTCCGGGATCATATACGACAGCTTACGCGGATACGATGACTCCTCGCGAGCCGTCGCAACGCGTAGTTCAGCGTATTCACGGACCACAGCACTTGCAGGAAGGTGAAGTTCATAACCCTTACGACTCTAGTCACGGGGATTCGTCAATCCATGCAAATGAGACGCACGAAGAAGACGCAAAGGGTGTGGTCATGGAAACACCGCAGAGCCCAGATACAGGATTCGATTCCCCTAGCGTTTATTCGCGTACGACTAGTGGAAATTCGCCCAGCACGACGGACCTGAAAATAGCCACCAATGGCCCTGAAACAGAGGAGGAGCCAGGCATGGCAACAATTTTTGCGAGCCAGCGCACGGCTTATAGTTCCCCGAAACGGGGCTTCGGCCCGGGCCTCCAGGGGTCACAGCGACCGAGTGCTGATTGGCAACAATGGATGCACTCTCAGATGGCGAGAATCGAGAAAACCGAGAACCTTGCACCAGCAAGATATCATTACCGAGAAGATGCACAAATCCATGACGAAGGGACGGCCTTTCCCTATCGGACCCCAGCTCATGATAAAGGGGACTTTCGACATGGGTTGCTTGAAGATGATATGTGGACCACTTGCAAAGTAACTGCAAGAAATAACTTTTCACGTCCATTCAGCCGGTCGTCAAGTATACGCACAACAGTGGCAATTCCAAAGGAGCAGTCCAATACTCCCCTGCGTCCACCCCCCCCTTCGGCCTCAAGCTCGCCAAAGATACCAAGCAACTCCAGCGGACATAGCTTCTTTCTTAACCAGGCTGAGACACGATCTAACAGCACCGCATTATCGCCAGTACATTTGGTATCGACTAACCGTCTTCGAACTCCCGAGTCCCCGACCCCAAGAAGAGACGCGACCGACAAAAGTCAGTGGCAAGCAACTAGCAGAAAGCAAGGGAGGCACCCTTCCAGACAGCTTCCAGGAACTCGAGACTTGAAAACTTTCCAGGGCAGATCTGCACGTGCCGTCCGCGATAATAAGAAGCTGACAGATGAGAACCTCAGAGCTGAGAGTCGGTATCGCGATGTCACAAATCAAGATAGCCCACTTCAGAGCACGTTCTCGCCCATTTCGAGCAAGCGTATGGTAGAGATGTTCCTAGAAAGCCGCCGTCACCAACCGGGGGCCGAGATGCCTGACGAAGCAGCATCTGAAGGCGCGTTCATCTAACAAGGATAGGGTAACAGGACAAGCAGGTCTACGTTGGTATCTCTGCCGGGAAAGAGTATCTGTTATACACTTCGTTTTCCTCTGGCCATGAACGGCGCTGTGATGATCAAACAAATGATTAGGACTGCAGGTGATAGCACCACATATCAAGTTAAGTTCTGATAGTGATAGTGACAGTGGCAATAAGCATACCATATCATTGTGAAATTGACATCGGTTCTTGTAGCAGCCATCGCTTGCAACAAAGTAAAGTACAGTAGATGAGGCATCAAACTCCCGGCGGGCCCAATACACGACAACGAGGAACACTCAGTGAGCAAAATACATTAATACTACTACTAGGTATAAAATCTGGCTCCTGACTTCTTTTAACTGATAATCCCAATTTGCAAGATGCAACCGCACCCACTCATTACTCCACATAGTTAGCCGGAAAGCTTCCCTTCACCCCTCGAAGCTCGCCCTCCCACCAGTCATCAGTACTATCTGTCTTCTTGAGAACGCGGATCCGGTCTCCTTCTCGGAAAGCAAGATCACCGGGACTTTGGCCCCCGAAGTCATACAGGGCAGTCACGTACAGAGCAGTACTGGAATTCGCCCGCGGCGGGGGAGGCGGCGGGGGCTTTCTTTTGCCGGCTACTAATGCACTGACGCCGGGAGATGTCGCTCTCGAGACGCTGGATGGGTGTTGGTTCCGACTGAAGTAGTCTGTGCGCGCTGCAACGCTGGAGAGGCCGGGGGACGGCGGGTGGGCGCTCTCGCTGGCGGAAACGTATGATTCGGCGCCTGGGGAGGAAGCAGACGGCTGGGGCGAGAAGTAATTCGAGGGCACGGTGAGGTTGGATGAGGCGGGGGAAGGGGCCATGTCTGTGAGCCGAGGTTTCGTCTCGTATACTGGTGATGGCTTCCTGTCGTAGGCGGGCTTCGGTGGAGGGAGCTTGTGGTTGGGAGAGATCGGGCGCTGTTGTTGGATTGGCGGGGTGTGGCCACCGGAGGGTCGACGATAGGAGGTTCCGTTTGCTGGACGGCTGGTGATGCGAGGGCCGTGGCGTTGGTCATCGGGGGCTTGGGATAGTTTTACGGTTCTGCCGTTGACGATGCAGCCGAATGTTTCTACCTCTTGCTGGATGGGGAGGCAGAGGCGTTCCCACTCCTGCACGACCTGTTCCATAGGGGGAGGAGGGGAGGGGAATTGTGTCTCCTGGCAATAGTTATGGACCACGGTATAGTAGTGCGCCAGCATTGCATTCTGGATTTCAATCTGCGTAGCGAGGAGTCGCGGGAGCAAGGAGAATGCAGCGGCGATCAACGGTGGGAGACATTGTCGCAAGTGCTCGTCTGCTGCTTCGTAGTCCTACGATTGTCAGATACGGAGCATAGACGATCGGAGTGCTCAGTTTGGTGTCTCGTACCTCGATCGCCTTGGCAAGGTCACTCTCGGCCTTAACCAGGGCTGCGTTATCACGTTCCGATCTCTTGGTCTTTTTGGAATAGTTGTCGACGCGCCCTTGGTAGCGTTCATAATCCAACTAGGAGGTGAAGGGAAATGTCAGCAGGGGATACATTGACTAGGAGGAGCATGGAGAGCAAAGGCTGGTTCCTGAGTGGGGGCGCGGAACAGGGACAGCTGTCTGCGGCCGCGCTCCCTGAGTGCGGGATAATGCGCACCTTTCGATCATCCCGCTTCTTGATGGTTTTCTTCACTGGACTTAGATATTCCCTAGCTTGCGAAGCTGGCCGGATCATCCGTTCGTCGATCGCAGCGATCTCCCCGAGTAGCTCTTTTCGTAGGTCTTCATATTGTTCCCGAAGTTCGTGTGTCCGAGCCAAGGTCGCTTGCGGAGTTGGGATGCCGTTCTGTGAGGCAGAGTCGGAGGAACCGAGGATGGGGGCATACAGGCCTTCGAACTCGGCCAGCATTCGATTTTGGTGCGTCAAGAGGGATGACCAAGCGTCGCGCCAGGCACTGGTGGAATCGACGATCTGTCGGAATGCGGGAGCTGTCAGTCAGGGACATCAACAAACCCAAACCCCGCAGGAAGTACCCCGATCGAGGGGGGTGGATCTCGTTCGTTGGTTACCTTGCCCAGAATTTTGTCTGCTTCTTCGAAGTCCTTCAAAAGAATGGCCACCTGGCTATCGTCGGCCGACCTCTTCATCAGTCGGCCAAACTGCCTCTGCATGCTCTGCATGGTGTGCCGGGAGGCCCCTCAGTGGAGGGGAATGGGAGGGATGCGCGGAGATTGAACTAGGAGGAGAGGACGGGCATTCCCATCGAGGCCACGGGGGAGATAATGAAGGGGAGTCGAAAATGCCAGCGGGGCAGGGGGGGGCCGAAAGGAGAGAGTCAGCCTTAAGAGGGACGAAGAACATCTAGTGGCAGTCCGGCGTATCTGGATCGATCGAAAAGGAGCCCAGGCGGATGACGCAGCCAACATGTGGTGCTCTCCAGTGAGAGGGTCTCAGGCGTGTTTCAGTCCATTTCTGATCGGCTCCGGCTATTTTTATCAAGCAAGTGGTGTGTCGATCGTGATTCCCTGAGGGGAACCGTTATTACGGCCCCAACCCGGCCAGGTACGAAGTATACTCCGCAGACCAATTCTGCATTGTGCGCTAGATAAGTAGATGCGTCGTACAGCTTTCTCAGTAGATGATCACAACTCAATGAACCCTAGTCCCAGTGGCATTGGCCACACCATGGCTTGCACAGCGCGACCATTGATAAAGGGAAGGGAATCTGCACTCCATCCGCCGGAGTATACCGAGTGGTACGAGTTGCGCAATGTGTCCATATCCAGTGGCACCGCCAAGGCAACCAGTTCCCACGACCCCAATTGGAATTGAGCCTTGGGACCCTCACGGATCATCGGTCAATGGTGCCTCCAAATGATGCTCGGAGGGAAGAACAAAGAGAAAGAGAAAGCGAGGGGGGGGTTTATACTCCCGCTCCGACCACGGGACTCGCTGGCCTCAGGCTTCCCTGATAGCAGATACGCGATACGTGATCCGTGATCCGCGCGGGTCGGCGGTTGAACAGAACCAGAACCAGAACCACCGCACCGCCAACTACTCCAGACGCGCCAACCAGCCAAGCAACACCATCCCCCTCCCACGACCGGATGGTCTCCAAACACAGGGTCACCATCCCAGGGCCCTGGCGCTGGATTTCGCCATTCACACCACAATGTCGACCCCGCGAGGCACCCCGAGCATGAGCGTCCCCGCGACGCAAAACACCGCGCCCGTGATCCGCTTCCGCTGCCTGTACACCTACGATATGCGACGCAAAGCGAAGCGCTGGCAAGATGGGTTCCTCCGCTACCACACCTTCAATAAACGCATCATGGCGTACGACGTTGCCGGGAATTTCGTGGGTGATTACCACTGGCGACAAGATGATGAGGGAATCCAAGACGGCGACGAACTCGAACTAGATAACGGGGCCCTCATTCAGGTCTGTGAACCGGTAGAACGAACAGAGACGGATATCTCGGCCTTGTATAGCAATAAGAGGAGAAGTCATGGGTCCCCGCCGCAGCTAGGGGACACACCAACTCCGTCCGTCACGCCGTCACGGCCCGCGCTTTCCTCACAGCCGACCCGCTCATTGAACGATCTTCTGGGGATCAAAAAGACCTCTTCACAGCGATCGGGCCCACCGAATACGGATCGAGAAAGGCATACATCGACGGGAAACGAGCATGAGCGCTCAGAGCGACCAGCGAAACGGCAACGGACAAAGCCCACGTCGTCGGACAACCCGCCCAAGCAACCCTCCAGCCGGCAAGCCCATCGTGCACCGGAGCCAGCAGTCATTGATTTGACCGAGTCACAAACCACAAAGAGACAAGCAACCGAGCACGGATCGGCTCTAAACAATGTCGTGGACAAGGAGGTGATGGACACAAAGCACACTACAACTTCCAGCCCGCGCCGCAAATCCAAACACCACACCGACCAAGCCAAGCGCAAGAAAGCCGAGAAGAGTGCATCCAAGTCCCCCGAGCAAACTCGACCCCAGAAATCTGGGCTTCCCAATGATGGCGATGACGACGATGAAACTCCCGAAATCCCAGGCAACATGCTCCGCCTATCAACCGGAAAATCGCGAAAGAAGCTAATGTATCACACCGTGCTATCCAACCAAGACGCAAACGGGGATGCAGGAAGACATCGCCAATCACCCCAGCAGCCGCAGTCAGTATGTACTCTGTACGAAACCCTGGACATTAGACTGACCATAGTACCAGCGAACCAGGTGAACATTCGAATGATCCGCATTCCGACCACGAGAACGCACCACCGACTGCCCGAAAGCGCAAATCCGGTCCAGTAGGGATTCGGAAATCATATTCAAATCCTACTGCTTTAGCGAGCTATGATGATCTTCCACCCCGCCGGCGATCGTCGGAGAGTCCGCTGAGTACGGTTTCAGATACCGATGAGTCTGAAACGGGTCCTTGGACCTGGGAGGCAGAGTATCTGCTCGAGTTCTGGCCGCCAGGACGCCCAAAGCCAACTTGAGCCTCGGTATTGCGTCCAGCACACAGGACGGACCAGAGATGCTCGCCATGATGGGGGACGATATGGCTAAAATGATGATACCCTAGTTGATTGATGTGTTAATCTAACAAACAGGACACCTGAGGTCCTTGCTTTCATATTCCTCTTCGGCTAGAATGACATCCATGCCGATCAGGGCTCTAAGCATTTGTTTCATGGCGGTCTAAGTAGTTTTCACGCTAGACATGAGCTATCAATTATCTACGGGTAGGTATCGAGGGTACGTAGATCTTGGATTGTCTTGGTGCACAATGGTACCTAGATCAAATTCCCAATGTAAGATCACAATAAACGACATGGATACCCAACCATATGGCCTTTAGACCAAGGCAGTTGGTCCATATAACCCGCCATCACAGACCACACCCCTCTTGGGGGTCCAAGGAAATACAGGCCAATCGTACACAACGGCAATTCCGCACAAGCAATTGCGCAGTATCTTGCGGGAAAGGAAAGACAAAAAAGCGAAAGTAAGACCATGGCAGCCAAGCCAGAGTTAATGAGTGACCCAAGTTCACATGTATGTCAAGCTCGCAGTGAGTATCAACATAGGAAATATATCGACGGGTTGTGCGAAACAGCTCGCAAATGAATGACAGAAATGATCGGGGTACGGGAGTGGGGAGCAGTAGCAGGTGATGAGGCCAGGCCCCGGGATTAAAAAACTAAGTATAGTAAGGGGCGGTACGGAGAAACGTGCCCATCAGGGGTATGCAAACTCGCAGCTAAGCTGACTCAGACGCTGATTCTGCGCTCATAAACACCAAACGAACAAGATGGGGTGCCAAGGATGACAGTGGTGATAATGCAAAGAGACTCATGCAAAAGCTTAGGACCATGGGAAAGAAAACTCAGGGGGCAAATCTCCCGGTGGACCGCAGGGCTCAAGACCCACAGCGATCAGTCGACTGCGCCGGATGGCCGTCTTAATGGTGAGAGTGGATTCGATTAACCCGGGGGCTGTATCGACTCGTCCTCGAAAGTGCGCTGACATCATGTTTGCCTAATGTACTGTCGTTAGCTTTGAAATATCAGAGAACAAAAACACCTACCATCGCAGCATGCTCGGACATTCTCGAGTCGATCATCCTGCCTTTCCATCATATGCCGCAGATCTTCCTCGCTATCATGTGTATGGAGGCTTCCTTCATGCACACTAGAGGTAGCATAGCCGGGACCCTTCCGGCCGAAAGAACCCTTAATTGTTGTGTTCAAGATTGTACTAAGGCGAGAGGCAGAGCTGTGCCTTTGGTCGGAGTAATGAGACGGCGTACTTAGTGCTGGGGAAGTGCGACCAGGTGTAGCCGTGCGGCGTGCCGACAGCACGGACCCTGCACGTTGCTTGGGCCAATTCCGGGCGGTACGACTCCGAGAAGACGAGAATGACAGCCGGGAAGTCTGGCGCGAGCGTGAGCGAAAACCAGGGTTAAACTCATCAATGTCCTCCAACGAAGCGTTACTCTCCTGCTCCTCGCCATTCTCGGCCGAGTTACGTAGCAGCAGATACGAGAGTGCGTTGAACCAAGTCTCGTGTCTTTGACTGGTGGTTGCAGTGAATCGGATCCGGCGTCCAGGGCTCACCACTTCAAGGCTCTTGCAGTGAAGACCCGGAGGATAAGGGTTGTCATCTGGCACAACTCTAACAGCCTCGATTAGAACACTCTTCGTTCGGAGCTCGCTCTTGCCAGCGCTCTGCGGATCCTGTTCGCTCCAGTACAATGTGCGGGTGTACGGGTGGACCCAGAAGTACCGACGGTGTCTCGAGTTAGATATTTCTCCAGACACATGCTTGCGTGTGTACTTCCAGAGGAACTCTCCAATCATCGTCTGAGTGATTGCCTGGATCATTCGCGGGTCTGTACCAGCGGCATACCCTTGCGGACCAAGCGCTGGGTTAGGATGCATGTTGAACCGTTCTTCAATTTCAGACGCAAATGACGACACAGACGATCTTCGCGATACGTGGCTCTCGCGCCTCATCTTCACCCGTGAAGTTGTCGTTGCAGTTCCGACTTGCAAACCGGAGTCGTTGGGGGTTCGTGGCGGCTGGGCTACATTCGCTCTGTGGGCAGACGCTGGGGCAAGAGGTGGGCCCATAAAACTTGGGGAGGCTGGACGATGATGGTCCAGTGACCTCTTTTCGGCCGATGAGACGGCTTCCCTGGGGTCCCCGGGCAAGAGAGTGTGGCTTTGGATGCTGGATGCCTGGCTAACAGCACTACCAGGCCTCAGGTAGTGAGACGGGAGAGACGCCGCTGAGGATTGATGGCTTGGGCGGGCCCTGGCTTTCGGCGTAGCGAAAGGAGAAGTGTTTTGGTCCTTGGACTTATCGCTATCTGGTGGAGACAATGGCCGAGTCGTAATACGGTCCATCAGGATCTGATCGATTTGCTTGGACGACAAGATCGTCTGGGCACCTTGGTCTGCCTGGTTGTAATACGAAGCTTGCTTCGTATGGCGTGGGACAGCGTTGCCAGAAATGGTGCTCAAGGGGAGCGAGATATCCAGTTTGGGGTTAGCCGCGCTGTTGAATGTACCCTCATCCGAGGTGTCTTCCGCAACCAGGAGAGACGGCACTTCCGCTGCTGGACTACTCTTGGCCGCCGTCCTGCTAGATGCCGGTACGACATTCTCGTCGGGCAGTTGAAGCACAGGGATCGTGGCTATCGGTGGACTGAAACTGACTGGCAGAGTCTCCACGGAGCTGACATCGGACAGCGACACATTTGGTACCAAAGCAACTCGTGGTTCACGCGTTTGCGGTGAAATAGGCTCGGTGCATTCAGAGGCCATCAAAGAAATGGTCAAGTTCGGAAGCGCTGCTTCAGGCACAGGCTCCTCACGCTGTAGAATAGCTTCGACGGGTTGTGTTTCCTGCGAGGAAATAGAAGAGACCGCGAGCTCTGGGAGCTCAGCCTTAGGCACGACTTGCGCCACGGCAATCTGTGGCTCCTTCACCTCTCGAACAGCCGCAACCGGGTGCGTTTGCTGAGCGAAGATGGAGGACAGAGAAAGCTCCGGCGATTCCGTGTTGGTTTCCGTGCGCTCTGCAATGACTTCCGGCACCGGCACCTTCTGCTCTAGAACGGCTTCGACGGGTTCTGTCTGCTGCGACAGGATAGACGAAACGGCTACCTCTGGTGTCTCAGTAATGGTACCTCGCTCGGCTAGCGAAATTGGGGGAGCAGGTTCAGGAAGAGCTGGTGTGACAGGCATGGTATACTGGAAGTCTATTGTTGAGACAGCCATATCTGCCACATATATAGGTTCGGGCTCAGGAAGCTTCGAACCAACCGGTTCCGTCAATTGTGAGCAGATAGAGGACAAAGTGATCTCTGGCGGTTCGGGAGCAACCCATTGGACAGGTTCAGTGGTGACTCCAACAGCATATGACGTGCTCAACTCAGGGAGTGTTGGTGCCACAGGAACGGTCTCCTGGAAAGAGACAGAAGAGACGTCCATTTCAATCTCGGCAGTAGGGTTAAGGAGCCCATTCCGTTGAGCATCTGTAGCGTATTTATCCACTTGTTCAGCTGCTGGCACAAGGGGAGCCCATTGAGTTGCCGCGTGCGCCAGTTGCGGGGGTTCTTCTACTTCAGTAGCGGTGCTGGCATCTGACATTGCTGGCTTTGTGGATGTTGTAGGCAGACCATAAACTGTCTCGTCATTGGTATCATTGGCGGTAGACGGGACAATTGTTGGCACCCAAGGATCAGTCATCATTCCAGAATCAACCATGACAGGCTTGGGCCTGGCATCGAGCATGGCCTCCGAGGGTCGTCTAGAATCAGGTGTGGGAAGCATGCGCGGTGTTGAAGCCTGTGAGGCCGTAGTGTATCGCATAGGGGGCCCAAAGTCACCCTCATCTTCATCGCCGTCTAGCTCCGCGAGTTCCATGAAGAGACTCTGTCCCTCCGAGGCCGCCAGGCCTTGGGTGAAACTGGTTGCCGGGGATTCTCGCGCACTAGATGGCCGGCTACCGGAAGCCATTGGGGCTTCACCTGAGGGGCGAATTTTCCTCACTACACTTCTCTTCTGCCTCAGTCGATATCTAGGCGACGACATTTGGCTGGGCGACGGGAAACCCCCGTCATAATCTTCGTCTTCATCGCCTGAGGTGGAGGCGGTACTCTGGTAAGACGACCTATCGCGGGACTTGGCCATTGTCAAGGAGGACACCCGTCCACGTGGGGTCCGCTGCAGCCGTTCCTCGGTCTCCGTCAGCTCATCGGTATCAGTGCTGTCGTCAGCCATGCTTTCCAGACCAGTCTGGAAAGCTTCACTTTCGGTCGCTGTTTCCCGTTCATTGGCCGTCTCGAAGGCGTCGTCGGCTTCGGTGGCAGTCTGGTACGCATCGCTGGGCTCCTCGGATGACTGCTCTCCCATATGACCCCTAGACAACTTCGCGGAAGCCCGGTGAGACGGGCTGGCATCGGTAGCATTGTCTTCCCAGTCCGAGTCGTGAATCTCAATTTCCGCCCTCTTTCGTCCAGCACCCAACAGATCCGGCCGGGCAGTTTTCCTTGTAGCCTCAGCCTTGGTCTTCTGGCGCTTGCTTGCTGGGTTGGTTGGGGCGGCGGTTTCACGACGGCGCTGTTCTATCTCATCGCGGGCTTCTTGCAACATCCGTTTTAGATCAATCTTTTCGGTCTTTTCCCGATGGATGGTGCTTTTGAGATTTTGAATCATGCGATGGGCATGACCAAGCGAACTTCGCAAAGTCTCGGTTTCCAGGTGGTTATGCCGAGGGGTGAACTTGTTGGGAGATGGGGGAGGGGAATTCTCAGGTGTGGATTGATCTTGATCGTCGGAATCATGGCCACCAGCGACCTCGCGCGTGGACTCCGTCTCGTGTTGGCGAAGTCGCATTGCCACTACTCGCGCGAGCTCTTGGTTTTGTGCATTCAACTCCTCGACCTTCTGTTGAAGGGCAAGTTTCTCGGCATCTCCGGCATTGAGGTTTCTGCGCAGGAGATGAATCTCGGAATCGTTCGCTTTCTGAGCTGCCGTATGATCCTCGACCAATTTTGCGTTGACTTGCTTCAAGTCCTCAAGCTCCCGTTCCACGGAACCTTTCTCGGTGGTCAAAGTACCCAGGCTGCTGTTGAGTCTACTCTCGCGATCAGCTGCCTCCTTGACTGCAGCCATGAGCTCATGGGTCCGAGTCTCCAATGCCCAGTTCTCATCTTTGTAGC